CAGTCAGATTAATCAATGGAACGCAAAATGGGGAGAAAGCACCCGGGTCAATCACGAGACAGGTTATCCGCTCAAACCAGGTACAGCAGCCATTGCTTCCAGTGAATGCTTCGCATGTGGCACCCACGGTCATAACGGAAGGAACTGCCGGTTACCAATGGACCATGCAGAACGACTATCGAGAAAGGAAGCGGCGTGGAGAGCAATTGTTAGTAAAGCCCTTGGCGCATTCAACAGGGCCACCGCAATCCCCATCTCACTCGTACTTGACCAATTCCCCCAATCATCTTCAGCCTGGATCGAGGAAGTCGCAGAGTTTAGCGAGGGAAAAGAGAACGGGTCGGCGTAAGAAAGGATATCACGCCGACCCACCACCTTAGGAATATCCAAGCCCACGAGAACGTCCTCGCGCGGGAAGAGGCTACGCACGAGGACAGTTCTACGATGTCTAGCCCCGAAACTCCAGCTTTAGCTATAGCCACCACATGTACTACTATGCATGACGCAATCGCAGTCGTTGATTTGTACACGGCCGGCCACACGCAAACCAACACAACAAAGCTGGAAAACGGGGAAAGCGTCCCGTTCATACACCAGATAGCATTAAGAGGACCACAAGGAGAATTAGTTCGAGTCAAAGCTTTATTTGACGACGGAGCGATGGTTGGCGTCATGTGCACGACAATATTTCAAAAAATCAAGCATAGACTGCATAACTGGACCAAGTCTTCAAAACGCTTAAGAATGGCCAATGGAACCATAGTTAACTCCATCGCCAAATGGACAGGAACAGTGGAAATTAACAATGTTAAGGCTCAATGCGACTTCGAGGTTTTCGATAGCGGCGGTAGTTGGGGCTTCTTGTTCGGGAAGCCAATGCTCAAAGCCTTTGCGGCAGTACACGACTACACGACGGACGTAGTCACCGTATCCGACAAACTGAATTCAACGATCATAACGAACCAAATTGCAAGACCAATGGCCCTAGAACATGCGGAACAAGGAGTTAGTCTAACGTTAGATATAAAACAGAGGGAAATGACAATGGGGGGTATAGGCGAACCCCCCTCGAGGCAAGTTCAAGCGAATCGTATCAGTGGAGCAAAGCCAAGCACTAATAGCACCCACGAGCGTCAGCATATACCGGGTCAACAACCCATGGGACAATGGAGGAAACCGGAATATATGAAGAAGAGAAGTAAGGAAGAGAACGGAGGAGAGTCGAAAGAGAATATCGAGCAAAGGGAGAGCGTCGAACAGGAACACGAAGTGGGGAGCGAAACGCTCCCCTCAAGGGAAGTTAACCCGACTAAGTCAACACAGCAGAAACTCGTAATTGACCAAATCAACCCTATAGAACACGTACCGGGAATAGATGTCATCACATCAAGTGAAGACAACGAGTTATTGGGTGAACTCCCTGAACCGACACCGCTGCTGCAGAATCCGTCAATATACACAAGGCAAACGGACCCGTTCAACACAGCTCGAGTGGCTGCAATCACCCGTCAGATAATGCTTGGAGACGATCTAACGGAGGACAAACGCAAGGAGCTCGAGGAATTCGTAGCGAACTATGCGGATACATTCGCCTTAACGCTCAAGGAAGTAACACCTATTCCAGGGTCAGCGATCAATCTAAACGTGCCAGAAGACGCAGTCTTCAACTTACGAATCCACCAACGTCCTCTAACACCAGAACAATCCAAGTTTTATAACGCTAGAGCAAGCGACATGTTAGAAGCAGGACTCATAGAACGAGCACCGCCAGAATTGATCAAGTGTGCCGCTACGACCGTCATAGCGCAAAAGGCCCATGAAGCGGGAGGACTGTCGCTCGACGAGCTACAACACAGAGTCAACGAGCAATGTCAGAGCGCTGGACTACACCCAGCGTTCGAACTACCACCTCGTGAAGTAGAACCCCCGCAAACGCCCAACGACACAACAGACAAGGGCCCGAAGAAATGGAGAATTTGTCAGAATTTCGCGCAGCTAAACAAGGTCACAGAGGTCGCACCAATGCCTCAAGGCGATATCCTGGCGAAACAACAGCGTTTAAGCGGCCACAGATACATCTCCGTCTTCGACTTCGCCTCGGGATTCTACGCTATAGAAGTCCCCGAAAAATGGAGGCCGTATCTAGCGTTTTATGTGGAAGGGAGGGGCTACTTTTGGTATAAGCGCATGCCTATGGGCATCACAGGAGCGCCAACCGCGTTCTGTGACACGCTAGCGGAACAACTACACGACTTATTAGTACCACACTTCATGGAGTTGTTCATGGACGACGGCGGATGCGCAGCACATACCTTCCGAGCAATGATGGACAAGCTAACTACCATATTCAAACGGTTCCGCGAATGCCGTTTCTCGATAGCGCCCAGCAAGACACGTCTTTGCGTATCAGAGACCGAGTTGGCAGGAGGGACAGTAGGCCGAGACGGGGTGAAACCGGACTTGACAAAGCTAACGGCCATAGTAGACTGGACACAGCCAGAAGACGCGATGAACCTCGTGTCGTTCCTAGGGCTAACGGGATTTTACCGCACATTAATCAAGGCATACGCAAAGAGAGAGGGTCCTTTAAGAGACTTACTGCTAAAAGTCCCAATGGACAACGCCCACTCGAAAGCCTTGTATAAACGAACAATGAGCAGTTTCAAGTTAGCCCCCCACAGGAAACCAGAACACACCAAAGCTTTCTTAGACTTGAAGATCGCAATCACGTCTAGACCGGTACTCCAGGCGCCAAAGTATGACGGATCGCACTTCGTGATTACCTCGGACGGATGTTTGGATGGTTTTGCCGCGGTATTGTCGCAACGAGTGCGAACGCAAACCCCGACAGGCAAATGGGTCGAAAACCTTCACCCTATTGGATTTGCGTCAAAAAGAACGTCACCAACCGAACGCAAATACAAGTCGTACCTTTTGGAATTCGCAGCACTCAAATTTGGCCTCGACAAATTCTCGAGCGTCATCTGGGGGTTCCCAGTAGAAGTCGAGACCGACTGCAACGCGCTTAAAGACACGCTCCTCAAGAACAATCTAAACGTGTCGCATGCAAGATGGCGCGAAGGCATATTAGCATACAACATAGTCGATGTTCGACACGTACCGGGGAGACTAAACGTAGTCGCAGATGGGTTGAGTAGAATGTGGGAAGGACAGCCACACGTCGAAGGAGACGGTAGTGACTGGATGGTTAACGAGGACTGGGAGGCGAGGACAGGGCTAATCAATGACATACTTTTCGTTACAGCAACAGATCCAACGGTTGACGTTCTCCGGGAGAGGTTCGCGGAAGAGAAAGTATTCAAAGAGGTCATAGATGCCATCTACGACCTAGACCACGGGATGGAGTTACGAGATAAGAAGAGGGCAAGGCATAGGGCGTCGCAGTATATGGTAGACCAAGGGAAACTATGGCGTATACGAGGGAACGACGCAACGAGGGCACGAGCGAAGGTCGAATGCGTCAGCAAAACGGAAGCCCGCGCACTAGCAGCTAAAGCGCATGAGGAGGGAGGGCATTGGGGAAGGGACGCAATTAAGATTGCGCTCCTGGACCACATCTGCAGTCCAAAGTTAGATGCTTCGATAATGGAAGCCGTCAAAGACTGTCCAAAATGTAAGAATTTCGGACCGACACACTTACATTCCCTTCTAGAGCCGATAACGAGAAGACACCCGTTTGAGCTATTAGTCGGTGATTATTTGACGCTACCAAAGGGAACGGGTGGATACACGAACCTAGGCGTCTACCTGGATACCTTCTCGCAGCATACCTGGGTCTTTAAGTATAAAACCGCAGGGAGCGCAAAAACCACTGTGGATGGTCTAACTAACATATTCAACAGCTTCACACCCTCAGAAACCTTCATGTCTGATGGGGGCAAACACTTCAACAATGACGCAGTCAGATCATACTGCGAATCAAGAAAGTGTAAACTCCACATTGTCGCTGCGTATTCTCCTTGGATTAACGGTTTGGTGGAGGGCACTAACAAACTGTTGTTGCATATTCTCAAGCGATTGTGTGCGCCGAGCATAGGTGAAGACGAGCCTCAAGAGATGTCCTGGGAAAGACTCCCAAAGACATGGCCGGATCACCTAGAAGAAGCGGTCCAGGCCTTAAACAACCGCCTCTTACCAGCGCTAAAATTTTCGCCAAAGGAGTTGCTTCTGGGTCTAGTGGTCAACACCCAGAAAACTCCTCAAGAAGATAACACGTCGGCGACAACCCAACTGGACGCATCAACGCACATCGCGTACGTGGAACAACAGCAGTTAGACGGGTACGAAGAAATCCTCCACCACGCGCTTAAGCGGAAAACAGCCTTTGATAGAAGAGTCACGAAGCAGAAGCCGGGAGAAGTCGTCTTCAAGCGAGGACAGTTAGTACAGGTCTACCGGAATGACCTGGACTACACGTTCAAAGCGGAACGAAAATTATTGCCAAAATGGTCAATACCACGCCGTATCAAAACAAGACTACGGAATTCGTACACGTTGGAAACTCTAGAGGGTGTTGTTCTACAAGGGGAATATGAGGCTAGAAGGCTGAGAGCATTCACGCCACGGGAGGGCACAGTATTGGCAAAGAAGCAAGAGGAGTACGAAGAAGGGTTGAAGGAACAAGGCGCCGAGGAAGAGAACAGAAATAGAGAACCGGAAGAGGAAAGGGAAGACGAAGAGAATAGAGAAGACGAGGAGAGTGGAGAAGAGGACCAGGGTGAAACAGATTAGAGAAGAGAGACGGAAGAGTACAGGCGTCGAGGGCGGCGCCGGTTGTTTTTTGAGGGGCGCATGGACTAGGGGTTCCAAGGGCAAGGGCCATGCACCAAGGGTCCTATCGGCCACTTCCTTAGCTTAGTCATCACATAAGTCAGGTGTCAGCATGTTCGTAGTGTAGCATCATCATCATTCATCTCGGTTCTTGCAGCAGCGGAGTCTCTAGCAGTCGGCACTGCTCCAACGCCATGATCGGACAGGAACTAGGGTGCGTTCTGAACAGGCATGCAGCAAACCCAGGCCATGAGGCGAGTACGCCATCCAGTAATTGGGATGTGAGGACGCGTGATCGTTCCTGCTGTCCCCGTAGCACCAGCGACGGCGGGAGGTGTCGAAGCAGTGGCATTGGCATTGGGAGGTGGTTGCTGGGTGGGATGGGCATGGGCAGTTTGCGAAGAACTGGCGGTTGGCTTCTTTCTCCAAGCGTGATAGTTTCTCTATGCGAGAAGCAGTCAGTGATAAAGAAGAACAGAGAAATGGGGGAAACGCACAGGCTTGCCTGCTGTGCATGGGACCTCGACTATTGGTGGCTCCCGCAGCTGTGCGTCTGATCCATCTCGTCTGCGCACCGTGCCAGAGACTAGGTTTTGAGTCCAGCTGAAAGGGCTGGACCAAGATTGCGTGTGATGACCAGTCGCTCTGTGTTGGTGTCGTCGCCAGAATGAGGGAAAGCGACTGAGGGTGCGGCTGTCTTGTTGTCCATGTGATTGAGTATAAGAAGTAGACAACTAACAATGTATCAATCAAACCATTCAATCGTAGATGGAAACCGTCATGTACATCAGCACGTCGTGTACCGTCAAAAAACCCTGGGGGTATTCGAGGACGTGGAGCATCTTTGATCTTTGGAGCTGATTGTCGGGTAGTATCAACCTGGGGGAGTAAATTCGTTGTCAGTGTGGTCAAGGATGAAATGTATCCAAGCTCACATTGTCGGACAGAAGGCTAGCGTCTTTGACAATAGCGGAAAGATCCCATTTGTATAGTAGTAAGGGGTTATCAATTCCCGATATGGCCGTCACTTGGGCAGGTGAAAATTGAACTCGCTTCGTGACAACCGTGACTACAAGCTGAAGAGAACACGCGATCACGTGAGGGCGCTTCTGAAGTTCGGAACAGTACTTGCTCAGTTCAACTGGGCCACACTCAAGTTCGCCGTGATCGTGAATGGCATGATGTGAGTCTCATTCCTGGTATCTGCCTTTCCTTTTCTATCCTTGTATGGCTACTGCCCAGCCCAAAGGCACTGGCTCTGACATGCGGAGCGTGCTGTGCCATCAAATCGTCACCTGGGCACAGCAGAGGTTCGGTGTGCGGTGGCACAGGTCCGCCTTGGCAGTTCTTGCGTCTGGCATTAGATCGATGGTCTCGTCTGAGACCACGAACGCCCATAACGAAAGACTCAATTGCTTGTAATCCTTTTGTGCGTCGCCCAACTGTATAACAATCGATTCCAAGATGGCAACAGTGATCAGTTGAATGATTCCGGTTGCATCATGATCAAGGGGTGACAGAACACTCGGAGCATCAAGCAGTGACGTGGTATTGCACGATGTTCCCGTCGCTGGTACTTATCAGGTACTATCTCTGATGTGTCGAATAGAATTTCTCCTTTAAAGGCTTCTGGCTGTGTTATATCGATCTGGAGGCTCAAAATAACCAGGGGGAATTTCAATAATGCCTATCGATCATCATACTTAAGTAACCCTTGCAGGGGTATCGTTATGAGGGCTTGCGGGCAGGTACTACCACAAGGCGCATACTGATTTTTCATACTGACATGTCTTCCCTGTCGGTCTCAGATCTCGCGAAGATACAGACGGTCAAGGTAAGCGAAGTTCTGCTTGGCCCTGATATACTCGACGCTTACATTATGTCTAATCCAGTACGCTAATCGTGAGTCTCTGTGGATCGTCCGAAAATTGAATGGCGGCGCTGACTGTTATTTTCTTAGTGTGCAGTCTTGCAATCCTCGTGAGTATCAAACACATTTCTTGTGGTTATGGCTCAATATCAATGTCTCCTTCGATGTCGCAGGTATTCGATTATTGTGTCACTTTTCCCGAAGAGGTTGGAAAATAATCTGTATGTCCGCGAGCGTTGTTCTGATCACTCCCCACAGGTGAAATGGACCTGGTTCAAACCATGGGATTCTACTCGCGTCACCTTCGCCATTTCTCGATATCTGCCTTTCGCAGGTGTTGGAATGACTGCATACGGCGAGTCACCCCACTCCGATGCTCCTTATCTTGTTAGTTGCTGATGGGCCTATCTTAGATGCATTGCGTGTCAGCAGTCAGGTAAGCCTTGGGTGGCGAATAGTTTCTATGATAAGCTGATTGCATGTGCAAAGTGTGCCTCTACTCTGGAAGGAATTAGTAGTGAGTCGGTGTGCCCAACAATTCATTTTCACTAAGCTCAACAACGTGAATGTCAGTCGTTCTCATTCCCGCAATAGGTATCGCTGCTGCGGAAAGTGCGACTTCCTCATGCATGTTAAGGACGCAGTGAATCATACTTACTTTGCAGGCCTGCTTGTTCTTCGAACCTGGGCGTTCTGGCAAAAGAGTAAAAGACTGATGATCGGGTTAAGGACTTATAGTGTGGTGCGTGTTCTGCAGAGCATGCGTCAGAGCATACATTTTGATTATTGCAGTTGACAATTGTCGCCGTCATTGTCACATGCCTCAGCCCTAAAATGTTGATTCCAGGGGGTGTGTGTTCATTAGTGTTCACGAAATAAATGTGTTCTAATATGACTATCAGAGGAGCCCCCTCTAGGAACGTGTTACTTCGAGAGCACCCGCAATTATGCTGTCCCATACATGTTCTTGGCGATGTTCGAAAGCTGTCAGTGATTATGCAAAGCGTTATATTGGCCTACTTACTCACAACCAAAACGTGCAGTGATGCTAGCCCTTACTGTGTACAAGAGAGTTCACGACTACCGAGGTTTTCAAAGCGGAATAGTAGTAACACTGTACCATGACGGCATCTTCTACATGATGTGCATCCTCAGTGGGTGGAAATATTTGGCTCTCAAGATAGTATCGTCTAACATGTTTCGGGAAGCTATCACACTGGCCAATGTGATCGTTGTAGCTGCGCTTCCGGTACGTGTATCGGTCTGTCAAATCCTGCCACTCACTCACTTTCTGTAACTTGGTTGTAGAGTGCCTATAGTAATTTGTTTGCCACGTACGTCACAGGCTGCATTCTGGTTGTTCGCTGGTTTGATCTCGAACCCACTCCGTTAGGCTACAGCCGGTCACTCATAGCGTCTTGGCATCACGAATTCTATTCCGCATTCGACATAGCAATGAGCGTGAATATGAGACGTCGTCCATGACGCTGTTAGACCCTGTGAACTTTCTACGACCCCCTGCCATGTCAATTGGTGGAACGACCAGAAGTGCAGTTTGAGGGGATATATGCATATGTAGAACCATTGTATCTGTTAAATCAGAAGCTTCTCCTCTTATGTGATATAATATACGACTCAAATTATGATGTTAAAGGGCCATGATACAGCGAGACCTAACGGCATGAACGAATTAGTGGTTCATTCCCGACCGGCTCTTTGTTCGACCGTGCGTAGTCCGATGTCAAGGCTTTTCATGCGACGACAGGATAATTCTGCATCATATGCCTGAGATTTACTTCCGTAAACCTCGTCTTGAAGTCAATAGCGCATGGCCTGTCATTCGGCATCGCCCCGGTCATGAAACCCAAGTCATGAAACGGCTTTGTAGGATCCAGAGTGAGCTGGAAAGCCCAAAGAATAAGAAGCGAATTTATGAACACCGATCTGTAATAATCGAATGAGCTCAGAAGTTCATATGCGGAATAATATTCGTACCTGTTCGCAACATGTTGAGTAGGGCATATGCTGGAAGGAAGGAATGTCAGAGAAAGGATATCTTGAAAGACGGTGCTTACCGCCGACCAAACCCGTAGACGAAGAACTTGAGATCTTCTCTCATGCGGCCTTGGTCATTAATCCAGCGCTGAGGCTTGAACATGTCAGGGTCGGGGTAGACTTCTGGATCTCGAGAGATGGCCCTGACGAAAAGACCATTGGATATTTCGTATCTTGATGTACAAGTGCTTACCAATGGTTGCCAGATACTGTAGTCCCAGCGGGAATGCAATAGTTTTCCTGCCAGTGGATCAGGTCATCCTTCGGACGAAAACTTGAACAGCACTTACCCAAATCACGTCTTCAGTCGTTCGGTGAGCAAACCCTGCGAAGTGAACCGTGTAAACTTTAGGTACATGACTGACGATCAAGATACCGACCATTAGCAGCCAACGGTCTCCATCTCAAGGCCTCAGAGATGAAGGCTTGAAGACAAGGAAGGGATTCTTGGTCGGTGAAGGTCGGTGCTGTACAAATCCTTAGATTGGTAAAAATGCAAGAGAAATAGAGCTACCTCGGTGCCTTCCGATGACCATATCAAGCTCGGCCTGTACTTTAGCTTGTTCCTCGGGAAAACATGCGGCTGCCATTAGTACCGTGCATATTGCCACAGCAGTCTGACACTTGGTATGAGTTACACATCTTCAGACACAAAGGAATACACCTCACTGTATCAGATCCGGCTCCAAACAAGGCGCCACCAAGAAACGCCATCTCGGTCTCGTCAAATGATGGAGGCGCTCGTTTTCTAGCATATATTTCGCAAACGAAGGACCAACATCCACATTGCTCTGCTGTGGAATAATTCAAACATAGTCTGAATGTTGGTAAGACTATGCGTGCTAGTTGCTGTTTCACACGGTTGAGCTGATTTGTGTAGAGTTTCCTGGTGCTCTCAAACTGTCGTTTTAAGTCTAGACCATACCAAGGAAGGTATTTGAGCCATGGAATCGAGTCCACGAGGTAAGCACCAGGGCGCAAAGCTGTGCGAAAGCTTTCGAAGAGGCGGTGAACCTCTCTGACTTCGGTGTCACTTGCAGACGTGGGTGTAGTTTTCCCGTATGTTTTTTTAATAATACTCGCCGCAGCATAACTTCAAAATTTTTGTAAGTGATGTGCTATCATAACGCGAACCCAGCAAAGCGCTTACGTTGTCGCGTGGTTCTGGAAGTTGTATGGATCATCAAGAATGTCTAGCACTGTGTTTCTCGCGTGTGACATCTGCAGAGGCTGATAAGCCTCAGCCGCTTTAGGCTGGAGGTGCGAATGAAGTGCTCTGCATCACGTTGCAGAAGTGAGATAGGATTATCTTTGCATTGTATCGCTGATAGCGAACCTACGCATCCGACGAAACCTGTCCCCAGCGTGCATAAAACCGATAGCCTGTCCGCCGCTAAGAATTTCTCCAGCAGCAATCATTCGAGGACGATCAGTTAGCGATCCGCCCTGCTTCTCCATGATATCCATTACGGCCTGCAACAGAATGTTTGAACCTAGACATTACTTATGACAACCCAGTGTGGAAGACTGACTTTATGACGGCCGATGATAATGATCTTCTCGGTTCCTGAACGAATGGTGATGAGAGGACCGTACTCATCAATCCATCCCGCTATAGTGAAAAATGAGTTGATCAGCAAAGGAACGCAATTAACATTAAAATTGCGACGACGACGATGTCTCAATTTACTTGCGAGGAGGCAGGAAGTGCCCCAGAAGGCGCGAAGTGGGAGGAGAAGGTGGGAGAGGAAGGCCGTGCTCTGATTTAGGAAAGTAAATCCAACTCGCTCCGGCTAGTAGAAGACCCCCGGCACCGAGAACAAGCTGCGCGTTATCAGAAATGGGCAGGTCAAACATTTGTACCATGGCAAATCGGGAGGACCGCAAAGTTGAATGTTATTGAAAGTGCATTCAAGCCATGGCTTTTATGCACAGTAATCGTAGTGTCCCTGAAGATGGCACCTGGAGCCCTTGGACCTGAAGCCAGGAGAGGGTTTGTCTTTAGCCATAGTAGATGGTCAGCCCTTACGCATTACACCCATTGGCGGTTCGAAGTACACCGTGCTAACGGGCAGGTTGGAGTCGGCTAAATTCATTTGGTAAGTGTAATGAGGTGGGCTTATTGGTTTCAAGGTTCCACAATTGCGTTGTTTTGTTTGTGAATGATGTGTTTTTGAATGATGTGCTTGCGAGGATGCGCTCATTTGGAGTTAATGAAATCGAATCGACCAAATGTCCCACCTGTGTGTCACCATAACCGTTACTAATTAGTAAGAGTGATGTAATAGCATGTTCCTCACTAAGTAGGGGCGTTTACCTATACTGCAGCGCTTCAGCACGTTCCGCAGCAATCAGCAGTGACTTTGCTAGGAAAACAAACCTCGGGTATACCGGTATATTATATAAGGTTATAATTAGGCTGCAAGACTATATTTAGGTTTCCCATGGTATTATTATATCCGCTTAATCCCGTGCGCCTCTTGCCGACACTTCTCCGGCCTTTCCCACGTCCTCCACACAGCCGTGCTCACTGTCATGCACAACGAGCACCACTGCAGCCTTCAAACCTTATCGTTTTCGAGTGTGCTTTTTGCGCTTATGATACCATGGCCTATCCTATACCATCTGGCGGCTTGGGACCCCTTTTAACACTGGAATTTGCTTGCTCATCAAGAACACATGTTGCATCACCACTACGTTTCGCACTGTACACGAGCCTGGACACCTGTTGCTGAGCGCTGAGCTCCCTTCAACATGTAGGCCACATGGCAGCAGCCTTGGTGGGCTGCTCGCATAAGCGAGATGTTTGCTCACGCCCTTTTTTCAGGTCCATACTTAACATTCAACATCCACCATGCCCCCAAAGCGCCCTTCGAGGATGTCTACATCTTCACGGGTGAAGATGACTGTTCTCAATGGCGCATCTCACTCACTACATACTACGACAACTTCGTTGACGCAAATACGGCGTGAACGACTACAGGACGAGCGTAGACGAGCTGAATCAATACGAGGTATGTGCTATGATAATCCGCCCATCCCCCCTCAGCAACCGCCCCCCAGAAAATAGTCGCATCCGTTCTCTTATGGCGGAAGCCCAACTAGAGGCTGGAGAACACTATTGCGACACGATGTCGTATGATGATGCTGCACCCGAATATGACGACAACGACAACGACAGGATAGATATTCGTGAGGGTAAGCAGTTGGAGGACAGTGAGCTGTTTTCAGATTTCTTCCAGAGCTGTGGCCCGCAGCGGTCAATATTTCTGTTCCTTGCTCGTTGCTTTGCTGATTTTTTTTGCAGCGGTGTCACCAGTCGTAAACACCAAGACCATCGTACACGATCCGAACGATATCGTCGTGCACACACTGCATGGACGCAGCAGATGACGTCCCTTGTTCATGCTTATATGTCATGGAAACATCGGTCACGTCCAGAACACGCCACAGATAATCAACCTCAAGCACTCGATGAGCATATCTTTGGTGTGTCTGTCATTGGGCTCAGGGGTAAGCTTTTAGTTTATGCTCTTGATTGTTATCACAAGCGTTCTAGCAGATTTTAGATTTAACGTGAATGTCGCCCAACGGCCCGACGAACCTGCCAACTCTGCGCTGCTGCGCATGGGCTTACTCGGCTGCTCGCCAGTGCAACCAACAGTCGCTATTGATCTCACATGCCTAGAACTTTATCATCAGATTCGCCGTCGTCAATCGTCATTTAGCATGCAATCGATTACAAAAGTTCTCTGCGCGCTTCATAATGTAAGTCTTTTATGTATCAAATAATGTGTTACTGAACCAATGTTTAGGTAACATATTCGCAGTACTTACGCAATCAATTTTCGATTGCGTTTGATATCTACCTCGAAATTCAACGCCTCGTTCAACTACAGGTCGACCGTGCACTCGGCAGAGACCACGCCGACTGGCACATGTCAGGCGCTTGTCCGTGTTGTGCTTTTGAGGTGAGTATTGATATTTGAATAAATTACTGATTAAATATCGTGTTTTCAGCAACCGAACGAGCCGCCCCTTAATCCCCGAAGGCTTCACAGCATGGACGGCAACCATTCCGCCAAACGTTTGGATGGTTCCGGCTCAGCAGATGAGCGCGTCTTCGACAGCAGGTACTTCATCCCCACGACTGCGGTGGAGCTTTTCAGAGACGACGTTCGCAATCGGCCTGGTGAACATCATAGTGGCGAGACTACTAATTGTACAGAAAATTGGACAGCCACCAAGTCTGTGGAGGAGAACAAAATTTTCGTCTTCGAGCAAACCGGCATCTTTATCTTGGCGTGTCGCCATGGCTTTGTAGAATGTGTTGTTGAGATGAAACGAAGCGGAGAGCTGTGAGTCATTCTCCGTTCTACTCATCTGATGCTGACATGATTTCGTTAGTGCCAAGTATGGACTCGCCGTGACCAATCGATTACTTGACATCTGCGGGAATGATCAAGCTCTGGGCCATGACATCGGCTGTTCATCGCGCAAGACCATCGCAGCGAGTTCTATTGGTGCGAGAGCCAAGGCACTAAATCTTATTGTCGCAGTGAACAGTTTTCATGGATACGCTCATAACCGCCGCTGCCAGCTGCAAAATCATCCTTTGTACCTCGAAGGTTTCGGCAACGAGGATCTAGAAACCTGTGAACGTATCTTCTCGAGTTCTAATAGTGCTGCAGTTCTCATCCGCCACGCGTCCCATTTTCATTGGACGCAATTTCTCGATCTTCACTTTGACCAATGGGATCGCGACAAGTATCTTGAATTAAGTAAGATTAAACCTTGTTGATCAAACTACGATCTTGTTCGTTAATGTGACTAAAGGTCGCTTCTTATGCAATAATTATGTCCAGGCGCTCAAAATCATCGAAGATTATACGCCCTTGCTTGAGGAGTTCAAGTCCCGGAAATCGCTCGCTGACCAAGACTTCATCCAGTGGCATCAAGAAGAAGTCGAGTTTCTTAGCAACTTAGCTATTGAACCACCATCCGATGTCCTTGCAGTGGCATATGTCGAGGAGCTTGAAAAGCTTCGGCTCGCTGAGTTTGTAGTTGGCGCTAGCATGTTTTTTTTCACTTACCCTCGAAATTTAGGTCAGCGTATGGCAGCGTGACATCGGTGCCTTTCCTCATGTATACACCCACCAGCTTTACGCAAACTTCAGGTTTGAACGCCAGTGCTCGGAGGCAGTCAAGAACAGTTGAAGCAGAACGCGCATCAGTGCTGCGCAGGTATGAGTTGCAAATGAATGTGGTGGATGATTTCGAGCGGCGGAATGGCATCAATGAGCGTTGGACAATAGCGCACCCTGAATACACTCAGGCACTGAAGTATTCTCATGAGCGCCGCTTCATTCGGACTGTGGAGGAATTGGAGGGCCTAGTCGTCCAACGCTTATTTGAGTTTTCGAAGGCCAACCTCGTAGGCACAGGTTTGTCTTGCAATTATCTGTGTGGTCTCATGCTCATTACTGCGAGGAGGCTACAAAATGCGGAAACATATTTCCAAAGCCATCGCACGTCGATCTGCCGCTATTCGCTCAGCGCTCGAGAAGTACAACAAGTTAGCCCCTCTTCAAACACCACCTCGGCCTATCCTCGATTATTCCGAAGTTGTGGGGTATGCTACCCTTGGGGAGTTCTCGCTCCTCAAATATTCTCGCCATGACCTCCTTTCCAAGCCATGGGCCGTCCCTGACAATCGGGAAATGGCAGCTAGATATTTCAAGGTGGTGAGGTCGCATGAGGAGATTACCCGCTTAAATGTCGAAATACGTCGCCTCGACGCTTGGGTCGAGTATGATGATGCGAAGATGCTAGAAGTCATTGAGACATTAGCGGTTGAGGAAGCTGACTCCCTTCTTGCTGCAGAGTTCAGACAACAGTACAATGAACGGCACCGCATCAACAATATTCACCGCCATCGTTTGAACAAGATTCGTTACCTCAAGGGCTACAGTGGCCCGGCTGCAGCGCTGTTGCATGGTTCTGTGGAGATAGAGAACTTGGATGACGAAAGGGAACCAGTTGATCTCGGGGAGAATGACGAGTTGAACGACGAAGCTTTCCGTCTTGAAGATGCCATTTCTCACCTTTAGGTTGTAATGTAGCGTTGTATTCATTATCGTGACCTTATGCCCAAAAATGATTGCAGCGGTGCGCTGAAGCACGAATTCAACTACTACTACCCCTTGAATCTCTAAGTACTTGTCTTGAAGAAATGGGGTGCAACGAGCATAAATCACATTGCAGTGGTGCGCTGAAGCACGAATTCAACTACTTCTACTACCCTTGAATCTCTAAGTATTTGTCTTGAAGAAATGAGGTGCAATGAGCGAATTACAATGCAGTGGTGCGCTGAAACACGAATTCAACTACTTCTACTACCCTTTGAGTCACATTGCAGTGGTGCGCTGAAGCACGAATTCAACTACTTCTACTACCCTTTGATCCGTGGATAGGCTGTTGAAGCATGAATTCAATGACTTCTACCCCTTCGATATGCTTGCCTCCAGCAAAGATTTGGTCCAGATAAGTATACTACGACAATTTGGCGATGCAGAGGAATACATTAACTGTTCGATGGCATTTTGATAGGAGACTGGCAATGATTACATACTAGTATACTCGCTTCAAATTCAACATGTGCGAGCCTCAAGGCTTCCTCAAGTCACTTTGCTCCAGCGCTGATCACACTACTGTAAGTTACCAACAACCATGACTCCTGCAGACCGTCTGGAATATCTTGATCTGCATGGTCAGACAGTGAGTATATGTATTCCTTAAGTTTGAAGTTGTTCTCATCATGCTATGAACAGAAACACTATTTTGAGATCAAGCTCACCGCCGAATTCGTTTTCGAAAAGCGTCCCAACATGTTCTGCTGGTATCCCACTACCAAGACTACCGTCCTTGCATCTGAGCCCATCGAGTGCCAGATTGAGAAGACCATGCTTGAGAAGATCCACACGGACTTTTCCTGTTCAATCGCGCATCAAGTCTGTCGCCGTTGGTTCGACTGGAGGCCTGTAGAGCTTCCTCCGAAGCTGCTTCAAAGTAAGTGTTTCTTCATTTTGCATCGCGGCGTCCACTGAGAAATTTGATTGCCTCAGGGCTAGATGCATTACAACGGGAAGAGCTTGAATCCAAGCGCCAAACTCAAGACATGGGCACCTCATCTTACATTTTCCCCAATCCTTTGAGCTCTCCTGCGATCCCTAATGCCAGCATACACGGATTTTCAATTGTCGATCCTCGATCCTCAGCCATTAGTACACAGCCGGACGACGACTGGAGATATTCTCTTAGTTTATATTCCTCGCATTCATCGAGACACTTTTCGTCAACATCTGATCGTTCATCGCTACACTCACTCTCCGACGAAGACACCGACGAGCTTTCAAAAACTGCTGAGCTTTTAGCAGAAGGTATCACCATTCGCACCAATCGACAACTTATCACACAGCCATTGTCTGCGCGTCCTCTGAAGACTCATAGACAACATTCGGTCCCTCTTGCACGGCCACAGACTCCAACAAAGACTGATAGACAAGGTCCAGCACCCAGTATTGCAGGGCAACAGACACCAAGAAAGAGCCGAACTATACGGGTGCAGACACCAATGTCTACATGCCCTTCGCAGCCTCTGCCGGTTGTTATTGCACCACCTCCAAGCCCTCCTCCATTCATAATTGCACCTTGCTCTCCTCGCTTGAAGCACACGGTCTCATCGCGCTCAGCATTGCACACTGTAGTGTCACCCTCTGCAGCACCTATCATTCAAAGCCCTCTTCCAAGCCCTCCTCCGTTCATAATCGCACCTTGCTCTCCTCACTTGAAACACATGGTTTCATCACCCTCATCAGTGGCGCGCCCTCCTCCAAGCCCTCCTCCGTTCATAATCGCACCTTGCTCTCCTCGCTTGAAACACACGGTTTCATCACCCTCATCAGTGGCGCGTGCTGTGGCGTCGCCCGTCAAATCAAACATGCATCAGCTTTACGTAAGTAGATCACAAACTAATTCAGCTTCGTGGGACTGACGTGTACTTAGGACAAAACCGGAGGAGTTAGCACGGCATCGCGCCAAAGGTCAAGGGTCGAAAATGGGCCACAGAATCCGATCCAGACCTCAACGTCAATTCGAGGGACTGAACACAAAACCAGAGGAGCCAGCACGGCATCGCGCCAAAGGTCAAGGGTTGAACAAGGGCCGCAGAATCCAGTCCAGATCTCAACGTCAATGCGAGGGACTGAAGAAGGTAATATTTCGATCACAAATCACATTTACCTGATGTCGGATGCGCGTTTGACTGGGCGTCCAAATGATGTGGCCTCCGAGCGTGTTTCCACGGAAATTAGCGCTTACCTTCATGACCTTTCGCTTCACGCTACAACAATGGATGAGATTTGGAGGTGCATCAACCAGGTTGACGGGTATGGTCCCTTGACCTGGCAAGCGATTCTTGTGAAGCTGGGGATACCCGAGGAACGGATGAAATATATTCTCGCTATCATGGCACGTGCAAGTAACGATCATTGTCAGATTTGTGAGTTTAATTCGGCACTTCAGTGGGCGCTGGCTAATTTAAATTTTCTGTTCTAGCTAAATAGTATTGTTCGTTTACCTTAGCAATGCATTTTTTGGCTCTAACCCTGTTTGACTTCGGCAATTCCACAATTCTAAGGCGACGCACATGGAGCACTAGGTTTGATTTGTTCCCCCCACCACTTGCACCATGGCTCGTGCTCCGAAAACTCACCGAACTCGAGCAAAGTTGACGGCCGCTCAGAAAGCAGAACGGCGGAATAAATTGGACGCTTTGACAGGTGCCATCGACAATGCCAAGGAAGCCTATGCGCAGGAGGCTGTCGACATTGCACAAGTACATGGTCGGTAAGTTTGGTTTCGACGACCCGCTGTTCTTGTGGCTGCTCGACTCACTCATGTTGTCCAGTTCCCTCAGGTGGACTCGTAGCCAATTATTCCTCAGGAGTCGCATGTCACAACAGCGCCGAGGTGTTAACTCGTGGAACGGCTTCATCAAGGCAAAACTTAGGGAAGAAAATGAAGGTGAAATTCAATCTATATTTTCTGAGCTTCATATTGACAATGATTTTTTTAATCGAGATCGTGAACGGGGCGATCGCATTAAGCTTACCCAATTCATCGCTGAGAATAAGGATGAACTCCTTGAAGCATATTCATGCCTCACGTTTGCTCAAAAGCGTGCTTACAACGCAGAGGTTCTTCAAGCTCGGACAGAAAAGAGTCATGTCGCCCGAGCAAATCCAAAGGCAAAACGTCACGACATCAATGCAACATTCACAACGATGGATCGCGAGGTAAGTCCGGGTCTCGTATTATAATGTTTGCTGACTGACATATATCTAATTCTAGTGGATGGCCCTCTGTGCTCGAACCGGCACGGAGGGCTTTTATGTTGGAGTGCGCGGGAACATCGAAGATCTCTCCGAACCGAAGATATTTTTCACGCCGAAAGCCGAGAAATTTGTCAAAGAGGTCCTTCACGTCGAACCACGACACTTGGGTCTCAAATTGGAGGCTTTTGTGGTTACCGGCCTCGGTATGATTCTAAACCTTTCGATGGCGAGGATTATATTGATTTTTGGGTAGACGAGAACACGATAATTACGCGCCAACGCCCGTTGAACAAGCTCATCAGCGATTGTCGCACAATCATTCAAGAAGAGCTTGGTGAGTTTTAATCCCTCAATGCTGATGCACTACTGATCATCAAGTCATAGAATCGATTGCGCTTGAGAAGAACATCAAGAAGGCTGTCAAAATGAACTACGTCAACTACGAGCGCAACATAGTCGAGCACTGCGGTGTCGCTCTCGTGGGCTGGCCACTGCCCGGACCTGTTTGCAACCCAAGCAAAGTTGGCGGAAGGGCAGAGGTTCAGAAATTGCTTGACGCTCTACAGAGAGAACCTCACCACAGGGAATCTTGCCATTGGGTTGTGCTCACGGACGAAGAATTGGTTCAACGAATGACGGAAAATCGGGCACGTCACTCACGTGGAGAAGCAGTATATGTTGCACGGAAGAAGAGGAAGGTTACGGGCCCAGTGCACAAGAGCAACACCACCATCGACACTGATTCCGAAGACTCATCGGATGACGCCTCCACCAGCGATGAGTAGTTAGTTTTACAATCAGCCTATGTGTATCTTCTGCTGCGTGCAATATACTGCCGAAGTTTTCACCCTCCGAAGTTTTCAGTCAATGCACTAAGTAACAAATCACAACCGCCATGACATGTGAAGCTAGTGGGGGCGAGTTATTGATTGTCATGCTATGCACAGACCACTAAGACCAACGAGCTCGGTGTCATCAAATAATATCACATTGATATACAACATAAACTCCTTATACATGTATGGTTCTAGTGTTTCTGGCGGTCTAAAGCAGGCAGGTGGTATAGGATAGGTCATGGTATCATAAGCGCAAAAAGTGCGCTCGAAAACGATAAGGTTTGAAGGCTGTAGTGGTGCTCGTCGTGCATGACAGTGAGCACGGCTGTGTGGAGGACGTGGGAAAGGCCGGAGAAGTGTCGGCAAGAGGCGCACGGGATTAAGCGGATATAATAATACCATGGGAAACCTAAATATAGTCTTGCAGCCTAATTATAACCTTATATAATATACCGGTATACCCGAGGTTTGTTTTCCTAGCAAAGTCACTGCTGATTGCTGCGGAACGTGCTGAAGCGCTGCAGTATAGGTAAACGCCCCTACTTAGTGAGGAACATGCTATCACATCACTCTTACTAATTAGTAACGGTTATGGTGACACACAGGTGAAATGTCCAGGATCTAAGTTTAGAACAGCCGTTTCGGACCACATGACGGTGTCAAATTTTGTGATGCCTATTGAGTCCCGCGGCGATAAGCGTTTTTCCATCCACGGTCCATGCCACGCATGCAGCAAATCCCTCGAGTGTTTTGAACAATTCGCCTGTGTTGGCATCCCAGACTTTCAAGCCATCCCCAGCCGTGGCAATCATCTTGGCATTAGGCGAGTAGCAAACCGCGTTCATGGATTGCCCTGCCTTGATCGGTCCGAGGATTGTAGTGCCACTCTCAACATCCCATACTCTGAATATTCCATCTCTGGATCCGCTCACCACTTGTCCTCCGTCTGAACTCCAGCACAAAGACCTCACTTCATCTGTGTGCCCCGTCCATTTTTTGATCACCTTGCCTGTGTCGATGTTCCATAATCTCACCGCACCATCTCTACTCCCACTTGCTAATGTCTTGCTGCCCGGCGACAATGCTATGGCCGCCACTCCTTTGTCTGTGTCCTCCCATGCCTCCCCGACCTGTGTGCCCGTCTCCAAGTCCCAGACTCTAAATGAGCCACTCCATGAATATACGATGATCCGCTGTCCACTGCGCAGATGCAAGATGTGTTCGATGCCACCGTACCATGGCTCACCTTCGATGTCATTTCTTGTAATCTTCTTGTAAGGTATTCTAGCTGAAGTTTGTTGCTCCGCTGGGGCCGGATAAGGCATGGTTTTTGTTCGGGGACTTACTTGAAGTGCGCGGTATAATTTCAGCTCTGAAAATCACATGCCACATGAATATCACTTACTTGATCACAATCCAGAGGTACACAGAAAGACGGATGTTGAAACAGCTGCAACGAGTGGGTGTCAAGAGTCAAGCAGGGAGGGAGGTCGCTGTTAAGTCCTCCACAGCTTTGCAAACTTCCCTGATATTCGCTCCACAGCTTATGCACTGGCTGTGCAGGTTAAGCGCCGACCTCTATTCTCTGATAATGCGTACCCAGTTTTGTCATCTTCATTGACCCATCGACATCGCGTCTTAGAGCCATGCTATCCCGCGAGCCTGTATCACTGTTTCTCTCCACTGGCCAAATATCATTCTGTGGTCTTCCTATCCATCCCCTCGCACCGCATTTCTATTCGGTACAACAAGATGTACCGTGTCCGACCTTTCAATGCTGGAAACGAGTTCTTTTTCAAATCATAATCTAGCAATCCTAGTCACATTCTTCCAGTTTTCGTCCAATCAGTCTTTCTTGTCTTCTCGCACTCTATGTTCCGTCTTCGGAGGAACGTCGCAGGTCTTTGAAATCCCAACAAACCAGACTGAATATCTCGACCCCCAGGAAGAGATTATTCGTAGCTTCGTCCACTTGGGTAAAGACTGGGATTCAAAGAATGTCTCGGTAAGCCGTTCTTGGTCATTGGTCAGTATTGATATCCTACCATCACAGAAGAACGCGCTGCTCGGATCCTCGAGCATCTCTTCATGTACGAACGACGAGCTCAGGGCTCGTATCACCACAGTACAGGGAGGAACGTTTTGATTCCAGACCCGAATTCACAAGCTCATTGCCGCACAAGTGAGATTATCAACCTTCACATCCTCGCTCTTTCATCATCGCAGCCCAAGCCGTCGCCTGCTCTTGGACACATTCAATCCTTGGGTATGTTGAGATTTGGAACGTGCTCTATACCACTGAACGTGCCTCTATATTATCCTTGGCAGCTGGCCTTCGAGAACACACGTCATTCAGACACTTTTCAGGGACGATGACAGTTCATCTCCTCAACATATCTTGGTAACACCAGCGATTTGGCACAGCTCTCAACAAGCAGCTTCGGTGAGATGAGCATGGCTTCACCCATCGCTGGACCACTCCACAATGTGGGCGGGGACACCGATATGACGGAGAGGCTCATGTTCTCCAAGGCACACAAGACATAGAAGACGCAACGTGGCCTTTGTCAATTCCTGTCTGGCACCGTTGAGTTACAAATGAAAGGGGTGGATGGATGATATTGCGAATATGCAGGCGGATCACTCGTAAGTCCCTGTACTAATGCTCATCATGGCCACAGCACTTCGCATGTGTTGGAGCAGGCATCATGCTGAATTTCTACTTTACCACTGTGAATGTCGATTGTGCGAGACGGACAATGCGCATCACAGTTTCTGTACAATTGAACATAGCGTGAATCAATTCTTCTACCAGCTATTTTACAACGCACTTCAGTTTGACGCAAACACATTTCGTTGCTCGAGGTCCTTGCCTACTTCCTCTTGTCAACAATGAGAAACTATAACATGATGCATTCGTTTCTTTATAAGAGCCCAGACAGTAGATTGCCTATAAGAGTGCAGGGGATACGTAAATTCCTGCTCGGTAGTCATTTTTTATGATACTCTTCGTCAGTCATCACTCGTGATCTCGCCCGTCAATGGATCTACCGACGAGATTCATGCCTGGCAGATAAATAAAGCGGAATGGGACGGCGTTAAACGTTTCTGGGATTAAGTAGTATTCCAGGACCTGTATTCACGTAAAGGGCACGATCGGACAAGAGCTAATCTGCATTTTGAATGGGTATGCAGCAAACCCAGGCCATGAGACGAGCACACCACCCAGTAATTGGGATGTGAGGACGCGAAATAATTCCCGTTGTCCCCGCAGCACCAGCGACGGCAGGAGGTGTTGAAGCCATGACAGTGGGGGGTGGTTGGTGCGATGATGATGGTGTGCCCTGGGGTGCTGTGTGTTGCTGGGTGGTATGGGCATGGGCAGTTTGCAAAGAGCTGGCAGCTGGCTTCTTTTTCCGAGCGTGATAGTTTCTCTGCACGAGAAATGGTCAGTAATAAAGAAGAACCAAGAAGAGGGAAAGAACGTACAGGTTTGCCTGCTGTGCATGGGACCTCGACTATTGGCGGCTTTCGCAACTCAATGCCCGATCCATCTCGTCTGCGTACCATGCCAGAGACTAAGCTCTGACTCCAGCTAAAAGGGCGGGACCAGGATTGTATGCCATGTTCAGTCGCCCTGTTTTGTTTGAAGGGGCGTCGTCGCCAGAATGAGGGAAAGCGACCGAGGCTGCGGCGTTCATGTTGTCCATGTGATTGAGTATGCGGAGTAGACAACTAACAATGTATCAATCAAACCATTCAATCGTAGATGGAATCCATCACGTACATCAGCACGTCGTATACCGTCAAAAAAACCTGGGGGTATTTGAGGACGTGGAGCACCTTTCATTTTTGGAACTGGTCGTCGGGTAGCATCAATCTGGGGAGTAGATCCGTTGTCAGTGTGATTGAGGATTAAATGTATTCAAGCTTACATTGTTGGACAAAAGGCTAGCGTCTTTGACAATAGCGGAAAGATCCCACTTGTATATGGGGGCGTCACGTCCGGCCGTGGCGGTGATGAAGAACAATCCATCTGCAGAAAAGGTTGCGCACCACACCTGATCAATATCTTCAGCTTCATGATGGAGTGGTGGTTCGATGGGCTGATTGGTTTTGAGGTTCCATAATTGCACTGTCTTTCTGGCGTAGAAATTGTAGGAATTGCCAAAACTTGCGAAAATGTGCTCATTTGGAGATAATAAAATGGAACCGACTATACCAGGCTCTTCAAGTTCCAATTCAAGAACAGCTGCTGCAGACCACGTGGCAGTGTTGAATTTCGTGATGCATTTGTATGCCCCGGCGATAATTGTCTTTCCATCGGAGGTCCATACCAGGCACGAAACAAATTCCTCGATTATTAATGTTGTGAGCAATTTGCCTGTGTTGGCATCCCAGACTTTCAAGCAATCCCCGCCGCCCGTGGCAATCATTTTGGCATCAGGTGAGTAGCAAACCGCCTTTATGGTTCGCCCTGCCTTGATCGGTCCGAGGATTGTCGCACTGCTCTTGATATCCCAAACTCTGAATGTTCCATCTTCCGATCCGCTCACCACTCGCCCTCCGTCTGAACTCCAGCACACAGAGTTCACTTCCTTTTTGTGCCCCATCCATTTTTTGATGATCTTGCCCGTGTCGATGTTCCACAATCTCACTGCGCCATCTTTACTCCCGCTCGCTACTTTCTTGCCGTCCGGCGACAATGCCAATGCTATGGCCTTCACTCCTTTTTCTTTGTCCTCCCATTCCTCCCCGACCTGCATGCCCGTCTCCAAGTCCCAGACCCGAAATGAGCCATTATACGAGTAGATGATGATCCGACGTCCATTGGGCAGGTGCAAGATATGCTTGATGCTACCGTGACCGTACCGTACCACTGGCATGTCTTGGATGTTCCTTGTTGCAATCTTTTTGTAAGGCATTGTCACTGAAGTTCCTTTCTTCGCAGGGGCTGGATACGGCATGGTTTTTTGTTCGGGGACCCACTTAATGGACGCGGTATAACTTCAGCTTTTAACATTACCTGCCACACGAAACTCACTCACTTGATCAGAATCCAGAGGTACATGGGAACTTGAAGACAAATGCTGGAGAAGCTGTAACGGAGTGGGCATCCAGAGTCAAGTCAAGTCGTGAGGGAGATCGTTTAGATCCTCCACAGTAAGCTCATCCTCGTGTTCGCGTCACAGCATTGACCACTGGCTGTGCAGGTTAAGCGCCCAATTCTTTCATCACACTTGTAGATATTGGGTTCAAATCTTCGGGTGCAACCGCTCTGAATGCATGCTCTTTGTAGTCTATCCGCAGAAAGTCCCGCTTGTTGAGATGGGATACAGAGAAAGACAGACGGAAGTGAGACACGTGTAATCTGCCATAGCCATCTCTAGATATACTAGTTAGGTATTATGTGACCGTTTCGTTCATGTGAGCGCAATCAGGCATATCTGAGCGCACTATCGAAGGAATCGAGATCTATGTAGTGAAAGATGACGATAAGGAAGCATCGTGTCCGGCAGAGAAATACAGCGGAATATGATGTCACTGTGCACATGGCGCGTGAGCCATTCAAGGACGTCTTGGAGTGCTTCTGACATTAGCACTGCAAAATGCAACCCCGTAAACGCCATGATCAGACCAGAGCCTAGTCTGTGTTCTGAATAGGGATGCAGCAAACCCAGGCCATGAGACGAGCGGGCCATCCAGTAATGGTGATATGAGGATTGGATATTGTTCCCGTTGTGCCCGCGGCACCAGCGACGGCGGGAAGTGTCGAGGCAGTAGCAGTGCGTGTTGCTGGGTGTTGCTGGGTGGTATTGGTATTGGAAGGTCGAGAAGAGCTGGCAGCTGGCCTCTTTCTCGCGTGATAGTCCCTCTACGCGAAAAGTGGTCAGTGGTAAAGAAGAGCAGAGAAGAGGAAAAGAGCGTACAGGCTTGCCTGCTGTGCATGGGACCTCAACTATTGGCGGTTCTCGCAGCTCGACGTTCGATCCATCTCGTCTTCGCATCATGTCAGAGACTAGGTTCCAGGTCCAGCTGAAAGGGCTGGACAAGGATTGCGTGTCACGTTCAGTCGCTCCGTGTCGATTGGAGGGGCGGCGCCAGAATGAGGGAAAGCGACTGAGGGTGCGGCTGTTATGTTGACCATGTGATTGAATATAAGAAGTAGACAACTGACAATATATCGGTCAAACCACTCAATCATAGATGGAATTCGTCACATACATCAGCACGTCGTGCATCGTCAAAAAACCCTGGGGGTATTTGACGACGTGGAACACCTTTCATCTTTGGCGCTAGTTGTTGTGTAGCATCAACCTGGGGGAGTAGATCCATTGTCAGTGTGATTGAGGATTAATTGTATCCAAGCTTACATTGTTCAAGTTGGACAGAAGGCTAGCGTCTTTGACGATAGTTGAAAGATCCCATTTGTATCTCATAATGGGCCCGTGCCCGTCCATTCCATAGACAGCGGTGATGAGGAACATTCCATCCGGAGAAAAGACTGCGCACGTCACCCCGTCTTCATGCACATGATGGAGTGGTGGTTCAATGGGCTGAGTGGTTTCGAGGTTCCATAATTGCACTGTCTTGCAATTGTTGGTGTATAATAAGTCTAAACATGCGAGGATGCGCTCATTTGGAGATAATAAAATCGAACCGACAATATCAGGCTCTTCCAATTCAAGAAGAGCTGTTTCGGACCACGTGGCGGTGTCAAATTTCATGATGAAGGATCCCGCGGCGATAAGTGTTTTTCCATCGGAGGTCCACACCAGGCACTTCACGAATCTCTCGATTGTTGTGAGCAATTCGCCTGTGCTAGCATCCCAGATTTTCAAGCCGGCTCCGCCCGTGGCAATCATCTTGGCATCAGGTGAATAGCAAACCGCACACATGGTGAACCCTGGTAACCCTGTCTTGATCGGTCCGAGGATTGTCGTGCCGCTGTCGACTTCCCATACTCTGAATGTTCCATCTTTCGATACGCTCACCATTCGCCCTCCGTCTGAATTCCAGCACAAAGAGACCACTGTCTTTGTGTGACCCGTCCATTTTTTTATCACCTTGCCTGTGTCGATGCTCCACAATCTCACTGCGCCATCTTCACTCCCGCTTGCTAATGTCTTGCTGTCCGGCGACATTGCTATGACCTTCACTATTAGTTGTTTGTCCTCCCATTCCTCCCCAACTTGCATGCCCGTCTCCAAGTCCCAGACTCGAAATGAGCCACCCCATGAGCAGATGATGATCCGCTGTCCACCGGGCAGGTGCAAGATGTGTTCGACGCCGCCGTAACATTGCGTGATGTTCCTTGTTGTGAACTTTTTGGAAGGCATTGTCACTGAAGGTTCTTTCTTCGCAGGGGCTGGATTAAGCATGGTTTTTGTTCGGGGACTCACTTAACGGGCGCGGTATCATTTCAGCTTTTAATATTACCTGCCATACAAATATCACTTACTTGATCAGAATACAGAGGTAAATGGAAAGAAAAATGCTGAAGAAGTTGTAGCGGAGTGGGCGTCGAGAGTCAAGTCAAGTCGTGAGGGAGATCGTTTGAATCCTCCACAGCAAGCTCATCCTCGTGTTTGCGTTACAGCATCGTGCACTGGCTGTGCAGGTCAAGCGCCCAATTCTATTTCCATCCTTAATTTCTCCATCGACCCCATGGCACCGCGTCTGATAGACATGTTATCCAGCGAGCCTGCAACTCTGTTTCTCTCCACTGGTCCGGTACAATACTATCCTGCACTCTTCGTATCTACCCTCGCGCTGCATTTCTGTTGACTTGAGCCATTGCTGAACGCACGCTCATCTCACCATCTGAAAGCTCCCAAACCACTGTTCTTTCCATCCATAGTGGACTCCAAATTTCCGGACGAGAAAAGCGAGGCCATGCCACCGTCCCCGAGTGTAAAACCTTGAGCGAGTGAGCCTTTAATGACCCACTGATAATATCGACATACCTTTTATTGGTCCCCTTGTAAGTTACGTCTTCGCTTTCAACCTTCCCAGCTACGTCCGTGCCAGGTACAGCTTCGGGTCACGAATCCAGCTTTCTGATGAGAAATATATGAGCATACTTTGGAGAGCCTAGACAAATCATTCGGAGACGTGATGAATGCCATCATCGATGAGGAAAAGGAATCTCAAGGCGCATCAAGCCGAGATGCAACATTGCGAATCTGCAGGTGGGATGAGGCAAAGGACGGAGCAACGGTGTCGGAGCGAACGAAGATGGATTGTTCGTCGTTAGTAATATTACAAAAGGTGAAACTTCGAAGAACAACAATGTAACGCAAGGGATATAATGATGTTCTTTTGGTAGATGCGATTCATAGTACGCAGATAGATTGTACATAAAAATATCCATGAAATGACGTGCGTCGACGACGCAGATGAGGGTTTTGATGTAAGTACAATGTGGTAGCGATTAGTCCACATTCCAAGGACGAGGAACTAGTTCCTTCCCGTTGGCAGTCTCAACAAGGTCAAAGTATGAGGCATTCGTTCGGGTGAACGGCCTGCGAGGGCGAGGAGGCTGCCCGTTGTCGTCCGCTGGGCCTTGCTCAGGCACAAGAGGTTGTGCCTCTGGGTTGACCGCTGGGTATTGGGGAAGGACTAACAGGTTTGGCACCAGACTTTTTGCCTCGATGTAACCCGGGTCGGCCGCTGGGTACTTGGGCGCTACACCAGTTCTAATGAAGTTGGTCGCAGCTTGCAGCTTGACAAATTCTCCCATCTCGTTGATTCTCTGTCTCTTTTCCATGAAAGCATCCGGTGCTGAAAATCGTTGATCAATATAGGCTTCCTGAATATCGTAGTGGGTTCACGTACATTGCATGTCATCTATCTCTGCGTAGGGCTTTCGCGCTGACGAGAGAGCAGCAGCAGACTTTACATGCTGGCGGGCCTGAGGGACTAGCAATTCCTCGATGCCCAGTTGAGCACGGGGGTCAACTCCCCCGAAGCGTATATCGAAATTGGTGTGTAGGGGTAACAAGAGCCGGGTGATTCGTTCTGTACGGACGGTGAAAAAGAAATCTAACAACATAAGACCAATACATACCGTCCATCATGGTGTCCGAGGGGAAAGCGCGCTTGCGGCTTTTGATTACAAGCAACAACTTGAAGTACGCCTTCTTGTACGGCAGTAGAGTCTCTGAACAGACGACGAAGAGGTGTAATTTCACTCCCATGCGATTCAGAGTGGAACGTGCGACCTTGGGCGACGAAAGCGTTATTGCAAGGACTTGCTACAATGAAAACTATACTTTACCTCAGTCAGTGCAATGATCTGCAAGGAAAGATCATCGTTAGTTGACTGTAAAAGAATATTAAAAAGAGAAGCTTACTTTTCGCCCGTTGCGTTGTAATTGGCAGTCTTCCGAACGGCTAGTGATCGCCATGATGTCATAGATAGCGTCCAGAAGAAGGTATGGAGAGTTCAGACGTTGAGCCAGATCCATGGGGCCTCGTCGATTATAATTATCGAGTGCAGTCGTGTTGTTGGTCATGGTCATTAAAAAGTAGGTGTGAGTGGAGGGAGAGATGGAAAGAAAGATGTGGAAAGAGAAACGCCGCCAACATGGAATTTATAGTCACATAATGTGGCAGAGCTCCGATCCTTGGGTCCACAAATATTCGAAGGGCGCTTGCCAGTGTATGTCACACATGGCTGCGGTACATTCCGTGAACAGTGGACATCCACAGATGACTCCGCTAGCAGAGGGTTTAGCTTGGGACACAATTGTGCACTCTTCTAGTACATGCCCTCCTGGCCATGTCAGAATTTCTAAAATGGCAAATGCGGTACACATGTCAGCACCAAATAACACATCAACAAACCACAGCCTGACCTCGCGACATCCAATTAAATTGCCAAAGAGGCTCCGCTTGAAGGCTCACCTCCGATGGCTTATGAAGGACCTTTATAGGTACATCTTGGGTCTTCATATATACATGCGCATTGAATATCAGGTTTCAAACGGTGTAAAGCAATCACCTCGTGAGTTCATATCCCTTCCTTACATAAGTCTCCGGAGAATGGGGGCAGTTTGCTTCCTCGTCGAGTCCGTGTTACCCTGCTTGTACGCCTCGCAATATATGACGCCCCGAACTGCGCTTCACCAGTCGTGATTTCTTCAGTATCCTCGTTCTCAGATTCCTCAGCCATGTCGGCGCTGCCAACGAACTTTGAGAAATCAAGCCGCTTCAGCTCAAGCTCTTCGCTTGCTTCGAGGCCCTCCCAAAGTTTCTCTGCGATGCCTTCATCTCCTGTCTTGATTATCCAAAGTTGCTCCCCCCCTCCTTTGCCTTTCTTGTTCCGGAAAGTAGTAAGCATGCCGAGAATGCTAAGGTCTCTTTCTGCGAGCTAATCTTGAATTTCCTGCATAGGATAATTCGATGACGCAAATAACGCGGAGAGACGGAGTGGGACGGTGGCGAGACCCACTGCTATCACATTTGAAGATTGCACCGCGTTATCGGATGCAGGCGTTGTGAATGTATACTCTTTGTAATCTCTTCGTAGCAAGTCCCGCGTGCTGAGATGGGATACAGAGAGCTTTTTCTCTCCCGACGTGGTGGACAGAGACTGGACTGAAGGGTGGTGTGTAATCGGTTGGTTATCTGATGATATGAAAACTTCTTCCATCAATAGCTTTTCCTCCCTCTTTGAGACCTCGGGTATCGATCAAAACAGGACTCAGCAAGAGCGTCGACAGTTCAGGGGGTATGGAAAAAAATTGATGATTGATATAATCTTGCAACAAGAGACGAGCAACTTCCAGCCGGCTCGACTACCCTGGGATCAGCCGTATCCTTGTATTGACCTTCATCCTCGTGGTGGTCTATTACTGCGACAACCCTGGCTGTTGGAGATGCGTAACTGGTGTGGAGGACGTTGTGATCTACAAGTGCAAACTGGGACACTTGCGATGGCATAGGATCACTCGAGCAATAAAGTTCCTCAAAAGGCTGGTTAATTCCGGCGAGACCAAGGGCATACAGATTCTCTGCTCTGAGCATGAAATCCTCCCTAGGTGTAGTTATGAATGCGATCGCCTTTCCGCTTGTGTTTGAGCGCAACCAGGAATATCCGAGAGCACTAGTGAGGGAACAGAGATCTATGTAACGCAAACCCACGGTAAGGATTGAGAACGAGCGAAACAGAATTAAACACACCGCCTGCTTCATTGCCCATCACCACCATCCATCCATCCCCATTATCAACTAGAAAATTTGCCTTCTAGGACTTGAGGTAGGACGAAAAGTTGGATGTTGACGTTGAAGCTTGCCGCAGAGGTTTACTTGGAAACTTGATGTTTAGACGTGCCAGTGAACTGGATGTGATTTTTGCAAGTCTAGGCAAGAGCTGGGCCCTGGCGACTACGAAAGCCCATAGGATCGCTAGGCAGGAATATCTGGTAAGGATCATGCGAGTCGGAGCCCCAAATCACATGCATGACGATGCTATAGGTGATGAACTTGGTATCACGGGCTGCAGATGGCCTGGATTGCGAATTGTGGGTTATGAGACGGGAAAGCGGGATAGGTAAGTTATTCATGCCTGAGAATTATGAACTACTTGCAACTGTTTGCTATGTTCTCGCAGCATATTGATACGACGCTCGTAGACAGGACCTCTTTGGGACCTCTAAGAACGGCGGCCTCATTTCCAGACTAGCGAAATTTTGCAACGCGGTGAGGAAGGCTATTCCGATTTCCGAAAGTCTCGCCGCCAGCCAGTACAAATTAGGCAGTCCTATGTAACTAGGACCTGACCGCAACAAAACCGTCAGCATCTCGAGGTTCGCCAGATTCATGAACCGTTGGCAGAGGATGGAAAACTGGTTTTCTGCTCTATCACCCAAGACCACAGGAGCTTCAAAAAAAAATGATCCCACTCACCCTGGAACAAGGGTTGAAAATCACACGAAAATTGTTTGATAGGCTTGGGCGCTACTAACTTACAATGTACATGCGCCCGATATACTTATTTTTATCATCATCATCCTGATCCTATCGCTCATCTTCTACGGCTACCAACACTTGCAACCAGGTGAGCCTTCACGTGAAATCCTCACTGGCAACTTAACCCGGATGATGACACACAGATTAACGTTGCCGAATAACAGAAGTGGATCCTATTGCGAGTAATCTGCAGTCACTGGAACCTTTTGGTGTGAGCTCATGTTTGATCGTGGCGTCTATGGGTCTAAAGCTCATGAAAATTGGCGCCCAGTGCTAATGCCAGAAGCACTCACAGATGTACTTGAAGAGTTTACGCGCTATGTAAACAACGACATCCCATTCCGCCTTATCTACCTGTTGGATATGACGCTCGTTGGCAGATCCACTGTGAAGCAACATTTCCGACCGCTGATGGACGAGATCACGAATGACATGATAGACGAGGAGAGTAAAAAGATGAGACTGGAGCAGGGATTCATGTACCCCATACACTCTGATAGGCGATCTGCCGTCCGCGCTCTGGTGGAGGAAAGAGTGCAATATGCCATTTTTTCTCATCGCTGGCTGGAGGAAGGAGAGCCAAGCTTCAAGGACGTCGAGCAACGAAATGAATCTGCTCCCGGATACGCCAAACTTGGGCACTTTTGTGAAGTAGCTCAAAAAGGCCATGGGATGAAGTTCGCATGGTCAGATACATGCTGCATCGATAAGAGCAGCAGCGCCGAGCTAGACGAATCTATTCGCTCTATGTTCAGATGGTACAGAAACTCTGCGATATGCATCGTCCATCTCGCGCAGTCGACATCCACAGGAGATATGACGGACGACGAATGGTTCACAAGGGGGTGGACACTGCAGGAATTGATCGCTCCGAAGAAGACAAAGTTTTATAACAAGGACTGGGAACCTCTCACAAGCCTCCACTATGATAAGGGCGAATATGGAGATGAAGATATTTTATCTGCGATCAGCAAGCGTACGGGCATCAGCCGTCGAAATCTTCTTCATTTTGACCCAGGCCCATTCTTCCTCAAGGAGCGCATGGAGTGGGCAGCAGGGAGGAGAGCAACACGAGACGAAGACATTGCTTATTCACTAACCGGCATCTTCAACGTCGGACTGCAGATTGCATATGGAGAAGGAGCAGACCGCGCATTTGTCAGACTTATCGAAGCTCTCATGCAAGTCACTAGTGATACGGACATCCTGCACTGGACAGGGAAAGCCGCAGTACTTCCGCACACCCATGCCCTTCCTCCCTCCCCAGCAGCCTATCGTGTAAAATCAATCAGCGGTAGTCGCCCGAGGGGCCGTTTTGCCATGACGAGTTCGGGCTTCCAAATCAAACTTGCAGTTTTCCCTTCTCGATTGGTGTCCACTGATCAAGAGACGGGGGTGGCGACCCTTGCCTGCGATCTCGCTGGGATGCATGAAGTCATACTGAAGGTCGAGGTCCTGGAAAGAGATGCACTGCAGATGCATGCTGATGACGGGTACAATTGGATGATAGGTGTGTTCAATTACATGGATACTCTTGCAGGACCTAAGATCGCGCCGATATCGGGATGCTACCTGTTGATGACGTCGTCGTTGTCTCCGGAGTGCATAAAGCTGCCGACGAGGGATGTCATCACCTTCGAGATGAGCGAGATGGTATTTGACGTGAAGTACTTGCAGACCGTGTATCTGTGAGTGGCCTAATGCACCTATCCTATGCGAACCATACCGTAATACATAGAGTCATACATTACATGCTGTCTTCTCTATAATCAAGCTAGGTGGGTGGTAGAATTGGAGATGCTAAAAAGTCGAAACGCGGGTTTGAAAAACCATACGCATAATGCATACATGTCTATCATGAGAGCTGGAAGGATCCTTGTACCTGGTCTTCGGCGTCGAGGCGCTAATGTTTCTGGTTCGGCACTGTAATTTACACCAACGAACACCAATTGCTGATCAGGCCAATTTTACTCGGTGTGTCGGGCAGACATCGGCCTAGTCCTGCGAGGATTTTCGGCTCCGTTACACGAATCGGCAGGGTCGCAGCCTCGTGTCACACAGCATCAAGGAACCGTCCATCCATGAGGCCTGAGGCCTGAGATCTCAAGCAGCACCCTTGCAATTTCTATCACTCCACCGTGACAGGCTCGCTGCAAAACTCATCACCTTCAAACATTGTTACAGGACAGTCTAACGCCAAAACATCATTTCTCGACTTAAACCTCATCACAACCTACCCCAGCCTCAAAGTTACGGCCTAGAGTTCGAGCCTTCGATCGACATCTTCGGACGTCTTCCCTCAAGGTGGCCATCGCTCCTAGGTTTCTAGGAACACCTATCTGATCCGACTAGTGAGTGTTTCTTTCTAGCTTCTCCAAGTTGTGCCGTTTCATACCACATTTTCCCTTTATCAATCGAGAGATTCGCATGGCGTCACGCAGTCAGTCGTCCACACAACCCGCAACAAGTTTTACTCCTCAGCCTCGGCCAGCGGTAGGAACTTGGGAGAAGTTGTCCCAGGTCGCTGTCAAGGGTGCTGAATTTGCCTCCCCGGAACGTCAGCCCCACCCAAAATGTTTGGAAGGGACCCGGGTGAACATTCTCAACTACATCTACCAGCTATTGGACGGGCGAGAGATGAATCAAGTCATTTGGCTGCATGGCACGGCGGGCATTGGAAAGTCTGCTGTTGCATTCACTGTAGCTGAAAGGATGAGAAGTCTAAAAGTCACAGAGCTGGCAAATGTCGAGAAGCGGCTGGCTGGAACATTTTTTTTCTCGCGCCAGCACGCGAGTCGCTCCACGACTGGTTATTTCTTTACGACGCTTGCTTACCAACTTGGGAGCAATTTTCCTAGTGTCCGCGATGAAGTGAATAGAGCAATCCAGGAGAATCCTGCCCTTCTAGACCCCAACAAATCTCTTCACTCCCAAATGGAGGCCCTCTTTCTCCGACCTCTTCGGCACCTTCGTCTAAGGCTGCGCGACGGTCTGCCTTTGGTGTTTGTCGTCGATGCCCTTGAATGCTTATCCAAAGCCGCACTTGTTGATCTCATCTCCCTGATCGGCGAAGCTCTTCGTCAACCTGATCTGCCCGTGACCCATATGCTGGTCACGACTCGCACAGAATCGCATATCTACAACGCCTTTCAGACAGAAGAGGTGCGTCCGCTGGTGTACGAAATACCAGTGCACACTTCGGAGGAGGGCATTGCGACCATCATCTCGTTGGACGGCGCAGATGTTGACAATGATATATATATCTTCTTGCAGCATTCCTTCAGAAAGCTGCAAAGCCGCCATCACGATTTCCTGCAGCCATCGAGGGATGAACTTGTGCGGCTTGCGACGAGGGCGGGCAGACGTTTCATTGTGGCGTCCATGATGCTGCAGTTTCTCGAGGATGGCTACGGTGATATCCGCTGTAGGCTTCAGCTCATTCTCGAGCTAACAAGCGAACAGCTGCCAGTCACGGAGGTGTACAAATTCTACGATCGTATCCTCTCTACATGTGCCGATCCCTGGCTCGCGTACCTGCACTTGTCCATCGTTGCTGCACTTGCCGAGCCTCTTCCAATATCACAAATTTCGGAACTTCTGGGCCCTGATCAGGGCAAGGATGTAGAGACATCACTGCTGCAGCTACGGTCTTTCGTGGATATTCCTTTCGACAGCAGGCTCCCTGTGAATATCTATCATTCGTCCATTCGTGACTATGTTTCCGACCCATCGAACTGCGGCCTCCTTGGAGTTGTAGCACGTGTCACCACCCCAGCTCACTCCCTACTGGCTCATTCCTGTTTCAACTTGATGATGCGAGGTATCCCGGAAAGCACGGCCCTCCTTGATGCGCTCTCAGGGTTGGCGAGGCAGAACCACGCAATCCAGCCGCAAGACCCCCAGAGCTTAAAACACTCGTTGTCCTTCATTGTTCAGCCACCAGAGCCCCTGCAAATTCTTACAGGCCTGCTGTGGCTTCGTGGAAATCGCGGTCCGCATTTACAATTCTGGCTACAGACTCTGGACGGGCGTGCCTGGCTACAGACTCAAGGAGGGAAAGACTGGTTTCGAAGCGACGAGGGGAAGGACTGGTTAGAGACCCTAGAGGGGTGCGCCTGGCTGCCAACCCAAGGGGGGAAAGACTGGCTGCAGTCTGCAGGAGGAGAGGACTGGCTGCAGACCCAAGGGGGAGATGGATGGCTGCAGACCCACGGAGGGAAAGACTGGCTATGGACTGAGCGCGGGCAAGGCTGGCTGTGGACCATGAGCGGGAGAGGCTGGCTGAAGACCGAGAGCGGACAGGGCTGGTTGCAGATCCAGAACGGGCGAGTTTGGCTGAAGACAGAGGGAGGAGAGGACTGGCTGCAGACGGAGGGGGGAAAGGATTGGTTACAGACCCATGGAGGAAAAGACTGGTTGTGGACTGAGAGCGGGCAGGACTGGTTGTTCACGCCAGGTGGTCGAGGCTGGCTACATACTCCGATTGGGCGAAGCTGGCTCCAGATCCAGAGCGGACGAGATTGGCTACAGGCCCGTGGGGGTATCCAGGACTGGCTGACAGGCCGGGGAGGTGTACGTGCCTGGCTGCAAGCCCAGAGTGGTGTCCGTGCCTGGCTGCAGACCCAGGGTGGGAGAGATTGGCTGCAGACCCAGAGCGGGCAAGACTGGCTGCAGACTCCGGGCGGGCGAGGTTGGCTGCAAATCAAGAGCGGAAAAGACTGGCTGCAGACTAACGATGTGCAAGGCTGGTTGCAGAACCAGAGCGGGCGAGACTGGCTGCAAACTACTCACGGGCGGGACTGGCTGGAGACTCAAGGAGGGCGAGATTTCTTGCGGACAGAGGGGGGAGATGTATGGCTGCAGACCGAGGGGGGAGATGAATGGCTGCAGACGCTAGTCGGGCGAGATTGGTTGCAGGCCCAGAGTGGACAAGATTGGTTGCAGACCGAGTACGGGATGGACTGGCTGCAGACCCCGGTGGGGAAGGACTGGCTGCAGACAAAGGGGGGAAATGACTGGCTGCAGACTGAAGGGGGAAAAGACTGGTTGCAGATTGAGAATGGACGAGGCTGGCTGCAGACTCGTGGAGGAAAGGACTGGCTGCAGACCCAGGGGGGGAAGGATTGGTTGGAGACCCAGGATGGAGAGGATTGGCTGCAGACCCAGGGCGGGAAGGACTGGTTATGGACCGAGAGCGGACGAGACTGGCTGGGAACCGAGAGCGGGCGAGACTGGCTACGGACCGAGAGCGGGCGAAGTTGGCTTCAAACCCGGGGCGGGCGAGGATGGCTGCAGACCCAGGGTGGCCAAGACTGGCTGCAGACTCAGGGCAGGCGAGACCAGCTGCAGACTGTCAACCGGCGAAACCGACTGCAGACACAGAGCGCGCAAGACAGGCTACAGCTACGGAGCGTACGAGACCCGCCGCAGACCCAGAGTATACGAGACCAGCAGCAGATCCAGCGTCCACTATCCCGGTTGCAGACTCAGAGCACGCAAGACTTGTTGCATACGGACCACGATCAACTATCGCAGTTAACTCCTGCAGTGTCTGCCAGCGTCTGGCTAACAATGGAAGAATTCTCGAGCATGCTGGAAGCAATTAGCAAGTACATAACCATTCCAGAATTGGCTTTACTCCCGGCTTTTCAAACAATCCAGCAATTTCAAAGCTTGCCGGATTTCTTGATATTTCCGGCATTCCTGGCATTAAGGCACCACGATCGTTCCACCTCGACATTACCACAACGTCGCTTTCCACCGAGCATAGAGATCATCCACGCCATGAACGCCTTCGTGAATTTTGCAAACGAAGCACAGGAGCAAAGTCAGGCAGTTTCTGATGCCCTCAAGTACGCCTGTCAAAACTGGGCCGTTCATCTGTCTCTTGCTCCGACTCCATGGGATGGTACAACCAATTATGTATTCCAGGCTTTCTGGAATCGCCACCTCCTTTCCTGGCTCGAGAGGCAGTGGTGTTTGAAGGGTCTGAAATCTTGCCTCGTTATTTTATCCGAAGGGCAGAAACTTGCAAAGGTATGTAATGATCCTCTTTTTCCCCACACACCACACAAGCTGATATTGTATTGTGTCAGGTTCGATTTTTTCATTCAGTTGATGACATACTTTTTAATTCTCTCTTATCCTCAGTTTGGACCTGTTAATGCACAGCCTAATGAGTGGCCAGCCATCATTCCCAGATTATTGCTGACACCGGAAGAGTCGCCACCTGCTTACGCCTCCGAATACCCAACGGGGGGACCGTCAACTCCCACAACTACTGTTCTCACAAAAGAGCTCGCCGTGGCCCCGCGTATGAAAATTGTTCCTACGCAAAGTCCTATTATTCGTATGGATAGCCCTATTTCTCCTGTGGACAGCCCCATTGCTCCTGTGTACGTGGGCCCACGTATGAGAATTGTTCCTACGCAAAGCCCTTTTGATCCTATACAAAGCCTCATCAGACCAGCCTCGCGATACATACGAAAACCCTTGCCACCCATCCCTTCTCCGAGCCCCAACACCAAAGCGCACAAACATCCAAAATAAGACAAACTACCCTTGTAACCCAAGACTACAACCATCGCTGTGATGATCCAGGCATGGCACGTGAAGTGTTAGAAGTTTTGGAGGTCTTAGTGAGGAATATTGCTGGTAGCTCTCTACAGGGTCTACAATACTCCGGTCACCTGTCGGCTCTTGTAATTTTTATCGTGATTTATCTAGCACTCGTTGAAGTCTGATTCGACTGCTTGCTAAGAGGCTGAATATTCATGTGCTCTATGGTCTCTAAATTAGATGGACAATACAAATAGCCGAATTGTAATGTTACCAAAACGAATCGAGCGTCGGTACTGCCCTGTAAATACATCGTATCGCCTGCTGGTATGCAAATGATGCAGCATCAACTCACCTGCACGGGGTGACGGAACGAATGTTGCGCCGATGCGAATGCGCACAACATCGGGTTACATCGCACTAGCTGCGACAGTATCAGCTCATGACTGGACTGTAGCATGCTTCAAAATCCTCGCTATGAGAAAATGATGTAATCCATTAGTCTCGCACCCATAGTACTTGTTCTTGTAAGTAGAATTTTTGAAATTACTGAACGGTGGCAAAGTTCAAAGTGCGAGGGGGGGTTGCATCACGTACAATGCAGTCATGATCACGTGCAGGCGTACTTGGGTTTATAGTGTGCATGAACTTCAAAAATCACCAGCATGGTTCCCCGGTATCCTGGCTCAGCCACCACGTCTAGCTTACCGCACGCAATCGTTCGAATCCAAGACTATACTTAAATTGTTGCAATGACGATACTCCTGCCGTTCCACAAATCAATCCTTGAGGAGATTCATGACCCTGCCACTTCAGACTTGCTCATCCTTGCCCGTGGGCTTGGTCTTCGTCGTGTCATATGCACGCTCATGCAAATATACGACTCAAAGCAAAGTCTTATTCTACTCCTGAACGCCTCACCGGAAGAGGAAACTGCTATAGGTGATGAACTTGGTATCATGGGCTGCAGACGGCCTGGATTGCGAATTGTGGGTTATGAGATGGGAAAGCGGGATAGGTAAGTTATTCATGCCTATCGTTAAAACCGATTGTTTTGAGAATTATGAACTACTCGCAACTGTTTGCTCTGTTCTGGCAGCATATTGATACGACGCTCGCAGACAGGACCTGTATAAGAACGGCGGCCTCATTTCTGTCACCTCCCGCATTCTTATCGTTGACATGCTGCAATCCGACATTCCAACAGAGCTCATAACGGGTATAATTATTTTACATGCTGAAAAGTGCGTGCGTGCTCTTCTACATTGTGCTCAGTGATGAATTAATGCATCGACCAGGGTCACTGCCCTCTCCCTTGAAGCTTTTATTGTCCGGCTGTACCGAGAAAAGAATAAGGCTGGCTTTCTCAAAGCATTCTCAGACCAGCCGGAGCATATCACCAGTGGTATGTCTCCTCTGAAGAACATCATGAAGGAGCTTCAATTGAGACGCGTTCATATCTATCCTCGGTGTGTGACATCCTTCCTAGCTGATGTTCATGTTGTTCGCCTTCTAGTGCTCGTGTTACCGTCATTTCTCATCTATTCTGGCTCTAGATTTCACGAAGAAGTCAAAAACACGCTTGAAACCCGTAAAGCGGATGTCATCGAGTTGTATCAACATCTTACAGAGCCTATGGAGGCAATTCACCATGCGATAGTCCAATGTATGACCGTCACCCTCTCCGAGCTCAAAAGATCTAACAAGACAGTAAGTGTCTCTGAACTGGCATTTTTGCACCTGAACGAATTGCTATTTGTTTATCTCGCAGCTTGAGCTTGATGATCTTAATGTAGAGTCCGCATATTTCCGTTCCTTTGATGCAGTAGTCCGCAGGCAATTAGACCCCGTATGGCACAAGGTTGGTCCACGGACGAAGCAACTTGTGGGTGACCTCGCAACGCTCAGACGTCTATTAACGTATGTTTCATTATCATTATTCTTATTTTCGTTTTAAATTCGTGTCTACCATTTGTCGCTATCGTCTGTTGTCCATTTTGAACCGACACTGACCTGGGCCCTCTATCAAGGTACCTGCTGTCCTACGATTCCCTCGCTTTCCACGCCTACCTTGAAACTCTCGTAGCCTCAAATACGACGACCGCTACGGGTGCAGCTAAACAACACCAGTCCCCTTGGATGCTCACCGACGCGGCCAACATTATTTTTAACACCGCGAAAAGACGATGTTATATCCTCACTACCCCAAAACCCAAGGCCTCGGTTTCCGAGAGGCAAGTGATTGACGTTGACGACGAAGATGCATGGGCTGCCCTTGACGAGGTACATGGCATAATAGGAAGCAATCGTGGAGATAAAGGGAAGGAGAAGGAAAGGAAGAAACCATGGGTTCCGGATAACATGTCTCCCGTGCTCGAAGAACTTCCAAAGTGGGATCTCCTTGCAGATGTACTTCAGGAAATCGAGGAAGAGTTGATGAGACAGGAGGCAGTGTCGACTCGTGAGTCCAATTGACCGAACAATTTTTTTTGCTTGACGTACGTCAGGTCCGCCAATACGCGGGACAAACACGGTGCTTGTCATGACATCCTCTCCGCGCTCTTCTACCCTTGTGAGCGAGTTCTTGGGCGAGATGGACAGTGCTGCTCCGAAAGGCTCTCGTGGACGATCTATGATGGAGCGCAAATTGCGGAGGTATCTGTTTTGGAAGGGCGAGAACGCCAGACAAAAACAACCAAGGCACCAACAGCCCCCTCAGTTTTCCGCTCCGCAACCACAGCCTCCATCGCAACCCGAAGGTGAGATAAGCGAGGCTTTGAAGAGGAAGGACAAAACGAGACAAGAGCGAAGCGCAAATCGGAGAAGGGTGCGTGGCGGCGCACCCGCTGTTGCGTCAAGTAAACCAGCAATCGTGGATCCAAAATTGGAGTCGAGAGACGATGCAGATGATATCGCAACCTTGTGCGTCAGAATACTTGTAATTGTGCACTCCTTACTAAGATTGAATTTAGTCTCGCAAGCCAACCCCCAGATCTCCTTGTCTCCGCTGACGCAGACGCTCTCCTACTTGAAGCTCTTCTCTCAAGCGAAGCAGAACTGGACTTTGATACGCACTACGGCTTGCTTGCACCTTCGCAGACGGTCGTCGTGCGCGCATATACCGATGACACTGATGACCAGATTCTCGCAGAACTGCAGCCAAGGTTCATCGTGATGTTTGAACCTAACCTTGATTTCGTGAGGCGCATCGAGGTCAGTCTTTCATCTGAGAGAGGATACCGTTGAGTTTCATGCGGTGCAATGGACAGGTATACAGAAACTCAAATCCTGGTATGGGCGTCCGGGTATATTTCATGATCTACCAACTCAGTTGCGAGGAGCACAAGTACCTTGCTGGGTTGAGGCGCGAGAAGGACTCATTTGAGAAGCTCATCAAGGAGCGCGGAGTGCGTCGTTTGGTTTCAGTATCTTGCGTGTGGTGCAAGTCGCTCATCAGCTATATATAGTCTATGCTTCTGCCAATCTTCGAAGACAAACACGCCGGGAGAAGCGATGCAGTCATCAAAACAATCAGTACCCGTCTCGCAGGTGGAAGGAGGGAGTTGAGTACTGTGGCATCGCAGGTGATCGTTGACATGCGTGAATTCCGTTCCACGCTACCTTCGCTGCTACACGCATCTGGCCTGCTCGTTATTCCAGCGACACTGACCGTCGGGGATTATATCCTCACGCCTGATATTTGCGTTGAAAGGAAGAGCATACCTGATTTAGTGGCGAGCTTCAACAGCGGTCGATTGTAAGTCTCTCAGGTCTGTGCTTCTTTTTCGCTGATGAGTTGCAGGTACACACAGTGCGAGCTGATGTCGGTGCACTATAAGCAACCTGTATTGCTCATTGAGTTCGAAGAGAACAAATCATTCTCACTTGAGGTACGTTCAAAACCAGATTTCAGAAGGTCATCAGCAGCCTCACCCGTCTTTCAGACCGTAGCAGAATCAACGAAATTATACGCCAAACCCACAGGCAAATATCCTGCCAAGAAATCGGCAGGTCCAACCGATTCTGATCGCGCTCCACCATCCATCCAATCCAAACTCGTTCTGCTAACTCTTCACTTCCCTCGCGTTCGAATCATCTGGTCTTCATCTCCTTATGGCACCGCAGATATATTCAACGACCTCAAAGCCAATGCCTTCGAGCCCGACCCTAACCGCGCGATCGCAATTGGCGCCGAGGAAGACCCAGAGGCGGGCGCAGGTATCAACGCTGCTGCAGAGGAGCTGCTCCGATGTCTACCAGGAGTGACAGCGAAGAATGTCAAATATGTTATGAGCAAGGTGGGGAGTGTCAGGGAATTATGCGAGCTTGATAGAAAGGGTGTGCAAGTCATTTTGGGTGTTGAACCAGGGAATGCGTGTTATGACTTTATGCATCGGGGGGAGAGGAAGAAAGCTTGAGGTGCTTTATGAATTGCGTTACGTTAGTGCAACTTTTTGTTCCCGAGAACATGATGTCTTTTGTTTTTAGCTCAAAATTGTGAATCGTGATTCCAACGTGGCGGTTGTGGTTTTTTGTGTTCAGTGCTGACCGCTCCGAGCTTTCTGCAGTCACTCACTGGCTTCGGATTTCCCTTATTTGCTCCAGCGATGTACAGCACCCTCTGGTTCGGGATGGGCGATACCATCTGATATCATTCTTGCAGTCACGGCAATCAATAGGTTGTGCAGTTCCGCGTACGGTTCCATTCCTGTTCCTTCCCCTGTCACCCTTGTTGATTGTACCTGCAGACCCTGGATATCTTGGTAAGGGAGCGAATCCGGAACAGCAGTCGATACGCGCTGCAGTAACGCGAACCTAAACGCACGTGTATAACAATCAGATAATTGTTCCGCATGCCCACTGTGTGTATCATATTTCCCTTGTTCCAGACCTACAACTACGGCATATCATAGAGGTACAGTGTCTTGATTCTTGAAATAGCTTGAACGTTGTATATACCAAAGCTATTAGGTAGATCATGATATGAACCAAAGTAGTTTGCAATGCTGCTTGAATTGAACATGGATTACCCTAATTGAAAATGAGGTTACATGTCACAGAATATACATGATTAATGATTAAGGTTGAGCCAAAAAATTAGAGATATCATAGGATATGAGTTAACCAAACGCATGTGTGATGCCAAACTATATCTCAAACGTCGGTGTGGAATGCACTCCGAGTGATCCGATGTCCCTCTACGCCCAGCGCCTCTCCTGTTTCCGCGGAATCCACTTCCTAGGCAATCGTGATACCCAAACCCTCTTCCCCTCGCCCTGGACTGGCCGATCTACAACCGCTTACTCAGGGCATCCGCCAGCGAAGAAAATACAGGGACCGACAAGCGGCGTGCCTTCGTGCGCGACGTACGCGGGCCAAGAAAGGACATACTCCGCACGATGCTCTTCCTCTTTGTTTTCTTTTCCGTATCAGGAACGTCCTCCCTGAAATGCTCTGCTTGCTCATGCGTTTCCGCTGTGGCTGCGGAGGGCTTGGACGGGACCTGACCCACGTCAATGACGTTGACAGGTCTCACGGGATGCGGGGGTGTGGCGCAAACTGCGAACGAGATACGTCGCGTTTGCTGAGCCTCCTTAGCAGGTGGGTGGAGTTGTAGAATTGAAATTGGAAACACGGGTTGTGTGACAACGTCGACAAGGGTTTCCGTGCTATCATTTCCTATCAGAATGACAGGCCCCAAAGATGTTTCTGGGACGAGAGATGCGGACGAGGTTGCTGGTGATTGGGGGATAGTGGGAAGTGTTGAGCGGAATGTTGGAGACTCTGGCTTAAATTGGAGTGGTGTGGGGTTGTGCTCTGGGGGTGTCTCGAGGACAAAACCCTCTGGGATGAGTGGCGTTTTTCTCGCATTGCGAGTAAAATAAAGGACATTGGAGAACGAGATCCAGAAGGACATGGTGGAGACTGGAATAGTTTATAGATGATGGCCTAGAGGAAGATGGCCTGCACCCTAGAAGTTTAAAGGAAGAAAGTAATAACACAAGACAAAAGAAAAAAAGCGCCCTAGAATGAGGAAACGGGAGATCCGTGACAGCGAATGCAGGCGCAGAGAACGGAACTTATGTAGCATTCTCTGCTTTTCAGCTAAAACTGTGCCATCCGTTCCTATTGCTGGCACGAGGAAACCATCATGATGTGGTTGTTGATCGGGGCGTTGGCTGTGAACGTTGTTAACTGCTATCTTAACTGATAGTGCTATCCTGGCAAATGATTGCGCTACTGGATAGAAGGAAATAACCGGGTATGTCGGTGGAGTTTATGAGCGCTTCACAGGCTTTCAAGGTTATGAGGCTGTGTCGCGGCACCGGTGCTTAGCGACAAAATATTGCGCCCTAGTGGGTCTGGAAGAGCTGTGAGAACAGGTTTTTTTTTGGAAGGTCGTCTAGTACGATCATACGATGATTGCAGTCCGGATGATGACAGCTCTTGTGATAATCCGGTTGTGTGCACTACTGAGCGATTCTGGGTGCTCAGTCTCAGTCACTCATCCGTAGACCACACCCGGTGTAGCCTAAGGCATAAGAAGTGACTGGGCCTATGAGAGATCAAGTCTGCTCAAGCTGATTTGTCAATCACTGCGAGGCCTGCCGTGCCTCGTCGAGTATTAAGCGCGCTAAGTACTACTAGTGGATGAAATGGAAATGTGTTCAAGCTCCGCGAATATCAAATTATCAATGTGCCACCTGATCTGGAAGGTATAGTAGTTGAAAACAAAATTATACCTCAGATTGTCACTTGAACGGCGCTTTAAATGAAACATATGTGCTTGCGCGGCTTTATGTGGAAGCTCCACGGGAGTTGATGAACTTGGTATGTGAGATAGGAGAAGGTTTGACAGGAAAAATTTGGCTGTGTAACCATGAGACTTTACACAGGTTTGATGTTGACGCCATGAGATCAGTTGATCAGTCGACGAAAGAGCATGACTACGCTCGTATACACGGTCTAGAGGCAGTGTCTTGGTGCCGTTGCTTGGAGCCTTGAGATGCGATAATGTCGGATGCAAGGGGATCCGAGACATTGAACTTCCATCTGATCGTGAACGTGCAATGGCTGAGTTTCGGGCTGCGGGAAGGAGTAGACGCGGTGAGAGACCAAACAAAACAGAAACATGCAGATGAGGATGGTAAGGGTGGGCGAACAAACGGATTTAGATAAATCCCAATAACTGCTACACGATCGTTCAAAGAAAGCGAGAAATAATGGAATGCTACCACTTGCAGGGCGCAAAACGACGGGGACAATTCCAGGATGAACAGGTAAGTCGTCTCAGATTCAGCATTAAATTGTATGCCACATACACTAATGAAACACCTAGTCGTGGACGTTTGAGGCGGCGATCAAGCTCATACCGGTCAACTTGACGATAAATGCGCTCATTTTGCTGGGACATCACGATGGAAGATTAATACAGGTGAAGTGTCACGAAGACCAAACAAACTCCTCTCATATGTATGAAGCTTGCATGAAGGTGTAAGCTCTACTCAGACATATCTGATGTGTTTGCAGTGGGCGCTTATTTACAGAAATAACCATTTACGGCAACTTGTTCGGCTAACAAAACCAACCGCAACCGGTTGACCGTCTTGTGCGACGCCATCATGCATCGTGTTATAAGCTTCATAGCCTGCAGTCAACACGATCACATAGATGAATTGTATACACCCTGCAGTCAGTCTTTCAATAACATGATATCTTCTTCCCTTTGTCTAACACTCTCTTTCACGCCGAATCAAGGGTCTTGCACCTTTGTTTAAAATTTCAGTGGAAGGCTCTTTGACCTTTGGGAACAATTTCCACTGATGTCTTGACCAAATGATGACGATGGGCATCCACAGTACTTCTCAGTCTTTCTTCATACCAGTTTTCATTCAGCATACCAGACGGAACCACTCATTTTCGACATCGATAATCTACCATATGGTTGGAAGAACAGCTCGTGCCGTATGCGGTGCCTCAAACGTAGATACTGCGTCATTCACCTCATCACGACCAACCTCTCCACCCGATGGTGAGGATGAGGAATACCAGCCTGTTGTTAATCCTGTATCAGTACCACCCATCGCAGGCGCGGATTCATGCTCCTACGACCCTTCGGATGCCACAACGCCAGATCTCATTCCGGATGGTAGCACGTATGACAACGTATCCTCCGCCACTCCCCCTGAACAATCGCCCGAGCTCTTGACTCGGAGCTTGCCTTCAACTATTGCCCTACCGCTATTGCATCCTGCACTTCAGGATTTTATCCTGCCTAAGCAGAATGCTGACGGGAGATGTTCTTCTGCCGCAAAGGGCAAGGGGAAAGTTCTGCCAGAAGAACAACCGTTCCCTGGCAAAGGTCCAGCTGATCTTCAGTTCTTGGAAGCACTGGATGATGAAGATCTGTTATATCCACCTGATTTTTCCGTGAGTTACGTCGCTCCGTCCAATTGTTGTATGTCACCATTTCCGGCTTCTAGTCAACGGAGGAATGGGTTGCACATACTCGGCCCATCCTACAGGATTATGCCAACAGGCAAATCCCTCTGCCCCTTGGTCGGAGGGTTAATGTATCAGTAATTTTTTCTGTCCATGTCACGTAAACACGCCATTGACGGTTTTCCAGCTTAACGAGCCTTCTCAATTTATCCAGGGGGCTTTACAATTGCTTGCCAATCGCGATCACCCCAAAAATCCTCCTGTTGAACCATCTCGTCAACTTGGCCCTCAGCTACTTGAGAACTTCACGGATGTGCACAGATGGGCGACAGAGTACTTTCGTGCACGTTTTGGGATGTCAACTGTGGGAAGTGATATACCCGTGGTAAGAACCACTGAGCTAAGGAATATTCAGAGTTCCCGATTAACTGTCCCCTCTAGCTTTTGACGATCATCACGAACACTTTCTATGAAGCCCACACCCAGCTTATCGATAGCATAGCAGACGCAGCACTTGACAACATGCGTGTTCGTGGAGCCGCTAGCCTGGAAATCGAGGACTTTGCTTTTGGATATGGTTGGGTGGTTCGATCAGCGCTCTAAATCTATCGCTGACTGCTTTTCATCAGACTTCGACATTAGCCAAGACTTGCCTTTTGCTGTGGAGGCTAGCTCTCGTATTTACGATACCCTTGAGCGGCACCGGCGTGAGTTATCTCTAAGGTAGTGATTGTGGGACAGTAATTTACGATCTTACTTTCCAGCTCGGTCACCATTAGAACTCCCGGCGGACCTTCCGGTGACGACAAGATCTGGCAGACGAGTCAAGCCTTCTATGCAAGCTCAGGCAGCGGTGCTAGCTGAAAGTGAGAAGCTTTCCGATGCTCGCCAGCGCAAGAAAGAAAAGGCGAAGAAAGAGCAGGAATCGGCAACTTCGAGACTCAAAGGGTCCAAGGCCGTCTCACAAAAATCAACAAATTCAGCGGGTGTGGTGGTGTGCACCCCCTCTGCCTCTATCTACCATACGCCTAACAGTGGGATCTTGCGTAACATGGAGACGAATGCAGTCGTGTTCGCAGGCTCAAAGTGTCCCACGTGCAGCAGAGTGATGCCTCCTCGCATACTCAGGACTCCCGCTAACCCCCATTCGTCATCTCCGTCTGAAGTTAGCACAAACATATCGGTTGATTGGAGTTCTGAACGGGTAACCACTGGCCCTGCCGTTAGCTCAAATTCGAGGCTAGCGCTCGTTACCGGATTCCCACCCTCCACGTCCCATGCATCATCAGGACTTACGAATACCACTGCAACGCTTTCGGAGGCAACGACTGGCACTCAGGACTCAGTACAAGCACAAGCCGCCCCTGCCAGAGGGGGTCATATCTTTTTACGTGCTAGGGGTTCGAGGGGGAATACAGCCGGCGGACGAGGGCGTGGTGGGGGTGGTAAGTCGTCAGCTCCCCTTACTATCACTATACCCGCCCGTCCGCGCCCTGTTGCCCCTACTGCGGATCCAACTGCGAGTGCGTCAACGGCACCCATAGCCCCTGCTAATGCTGTAAGGTCTGGCACTTTGGGCGGATCTGGTGGAGGCACTGGTACTGCGTTCGCAGAAGCACGTGCCCCCACTGCAAGTGTGCGACCTGGGTCTGTGAACACAGGTGGTGGTGGTACTGATCCCAAGTCGGCGGTCTTTGCTTTCACGCACGCGTATTACTCTCAATATCGTGCCAACCAGAGCGCCCCTGCGAACACTGCTGATCATCCCTCACGTGGCAGGCCAGTCGATTTTTCCGACCCAGAACATTGGATAGCATGCGCGCGCTCTGCAGTCGATTTACCTGGCTTTGCAGCACAGGTACCGGAGAGACCAGCTGTCGCAGCGAGTAGCAATGAAGCTCATACTACGTTGGCATCGATTTCTCAGGTCGACAACAGGCAGAGCAAGAAGCGTAAATTGGGTGCCAGTAAATAATAATCTTTACTTCTAATTGTCAGAGGAGCTTGCTGGTATCTGTATGTACTGTATATATGTTGCACGTTTGATGCGTGGCCCCCGGTACTCTTGTGCCCCTCGTTCGTTCTCCTGATAAACTCTGAACGGTGTGCGATATGCCTGGAACTCAGTTAGTTAGCGATGACATGGATGACTGTTAGAAGTCGGCACTAGGTACGTTGCAGGACCGCAAATGATGATCATATTTCTATCAAACACTTCAACGGATAAATTAAGGACAATTATTTCTGGGTAGGGCATTGCAGTCCCGAACGGACGTTAGCCGGCCATTGAAAAAAAATAGAAATGAGTTCCTGTTCCTTGGCACCATGATCATTCTCGATGCCAGTGACCACTTGGTTGTTGACAAGTGACTGTATTTCTGACAGGGTTGAGATCAGGTTGATCAGATAAGGAAAGGTTCTCTGATACGGCCGGAGAAAACAGACCGCCTCGGTTTTATGCTCCCCGAAATCGTCCGAGGACCGTTCTACTGTTGATGATCCTGCTGACACTGCCAGTGATGATACGTTGAAACATTGCCTCGACGAAAGTCACTCCCACCCCACCGGCGCCAGCCCCGGTTCTAATCTGGGAAGGGCGTTGTGGCTAAAGCCCTCCATTCTACATCGCCCCTTAGGTAGATCACCCATTTTTAGTGGGGCATAGAATGCTCTGGATCGAACTTTGTGTGGCCTGACAGGCGTGTCCGAGGACCCATAATCAGGCTCGTGCTGTCAGGTAAGTGGTCAGGATCACCATCATACACCCACATGACTTGTCACGTTCAAGTTCCGACAAGCTAAAGATCCGGAAAAGGCGCGGTTGTAGACTCAAATTTAAATGAACTGGAAGATCATTTACCCGCCACTGGAACGCTGGAGAGAAAGCAGCAGTCGGCCATTCCACAGACTGAATTTATATGATCAGGTGCAGCAACTTGAAGCTGAATGAGTAAAATCCCAGTCAACGACCCATTAACCCGAGGTGTCTTGATTTGTGCACTTCTTTCCGAGGCTCCGTAAGAGGAACGACAGTCCTTATCCTACGCGCTACGATCCTGTGAAGGTGACGTAGTGCTGCGCTGCTGATGTCCGGTTCCAGTAGACCTTGCCCTGATATCTGGCGCTGTTATCGGACGTTCGACGTTCAAGTGCCACAATTTTACAGGACGATGCAGACGAACGTTTTGCCTGGGAATTCGAGTACGTACTGGAGCCTCATCCGTCTTGAACTCCCATTTTTACATAAGTTCCGGTAGTAAGTTGCGGCCGGAGTCCGACACCTGCAGAGCTGAACTGATTCCCACCTTTTGAAAGTCGAGCTCCGCCGCGGTGACAATCTTCAAAATGAGGAATGTCACCTTTTGCGTCGGCAGCTGCAACAAGCACACGTTCGTCAATGCAGTTTATTATTGGAAGGTTTCAAGACAGTTGGTGGGTACACCGATGCAGTACAGGAACGGTCATGGTCTGATCTAGATCACACTGGCATGTTGCGCTACCGTTCAAAAACGTTGATAAACGTTGCTTGGCAGCTCCAGCGCTCCTTACCTCTCTAGCACGTTTTCCTCCTTGCTACATAATATCATCCAATTCCACCAAAACCAACCGACACAAGCAGACGGCAGTGGGCACAAACATGAGCTTCAAGGGCGATTCCCAAATGGAGGTGGGTTATTTGTCCTCATGTGAATCATTCATTCATATTTATGCATATTTAGGTCATCACTGTGCTTGCCAACTGCGGGACCGACATTCGCAAGGCCAGACAAGCTCTTACGACGTACATTTCACGAAAACAAGAAAAAGGACGGTCAACAGAACACGTTTTGAACAAATTGCGACAACTGGAATTGAAAGTCGGTGGCCTTGAGCTTTCACCGTCACCTCTCTCCGTTAATGACTTCCTACACATAGTTCATCAATGACACCACTTTACATTCCGCTTTCCGGGACGCTAGAGCAAATACATGTCTTCCACGGTCACCTGATCTACCCCTGCCTCGCTTTGTGCTCCGTGACACGACTGCGAGTTCTCGGGACAGTCACCAGAGCCTGCCGACGCTGCGAGACTTTACAACTCCAAGTCCCAGCCCCTCTACCCCTTATAGCTGGACCCAACCGTCTTCTTCGTCAGTTCAACCTGCAGACTCTTACATAATAGAGGAGGATCAAATACAACCTGCAGAGGCTTCGCACATGGCTTACGAGGCTTCGTCGAGGCCACCTTCGCTGTCACCCACCAGCCCCTTAGGAAAGATGCCCGTGCTTTCACCGTATGCTTATCAAATCAGCTCCGGTCGATCTCGCTCCTCTACCCTCCCATCGTCGCTTCCCCAAAAGAAATTCCGAGCTTCATACAATTCTCCACCCCCAACATCCCCTCTCCCCGATCTTCCACCGGATGCAACTGACGAATATGACTCGCGTCTCCCGCAATTGCACTTGCCGCCACCAGCCGATCACCGACATTTGTCGTTTGGATCTCAGAGCTCATCTAGCTCGCACTCTAGTTATCCAATTCCTTGTACACCCGAGATCGCTCCACCGATCTATCCTGGACTCTCTTCACGATCAACAGTAATTATCCGGGGCGACGTCCATTATCCACAACAGAGGGAAGAAAAATTGCCCCAGCAGCCGCTCGTCGTGGATCATTACCCTTCGGAGACGGACATTCCGAGCATGTTTTTACCCAGCCTAGAAGGATCCTTCAACACGTCCAAGAGCTCATTTTGTGACTTTCCCAGTCCCAACCGCGATTCACCTATACTCCGTGAACGGTCTTCCATTCGCAATTTCAGTTTTCCGCTAGACAATGTTCTGAAGCTGTGCGCTGCTTCTGTTGTTGTTCGTCGCGAGGTGGCCAAGTGCCTCCAGCAAGAGCGTGGCTACGAGCAAGATAACTGGCCAACAGTCTTGCGGGAATGTGGTATAGCTCAAGAGAATTTTCCATTACTTCTGAACGAGATGGCCCGGGAAGCGGATTTCATGTCTAGGGCGTGATTCTACGATACAATTAACTTTATTCTTATTTACCGCATTGTTATGGGTCAATCATTGGCTGTCTGTCCAGTCTGTTGTGGTTTTAGAAGCTGTCTTGGTGTTTGTAGTACTTTTGGGTCAGTACTATACAGTCGGAGATGTGTTGTATTTGGGTTGTAGCTTGATTGTACGTTGGATGTAGTTGTAGAAAAAAATGGTCCTGCTGCCTAGACGCACTGACCTACCCCTGTATAATGTTTATCGGTAGTGAATTCCTTGTATGAGTTTTCCCAATAGCTAATCTGATTTCCAAAAGCTATAGCAGGGCAACATTTCGACCAAACAGCGAATCTGTCATCATCTCAAGACAACCAGTATCAGCACTGGACGAACGTGTTTAAGTCAAGCTTAATTCCCGCTGGGGATTTTGTCAGCGTCTGAGACAGATCACGTATGCTCTTCAATCATAAAAGACATATCATTCCCAAGCCCCTGAAGTTCGGCCTCCCTGGTCGACTCTCGGTGTCCACAATGTAACCCGATGTGGGCAGTTGGGTACTGATAATCACCACTTAGGTGCTGACGTACTTCAGGGACTCGAGCAAACGTATAGCCGATCACATTTATGCTTTAGGAGGAACGTTTGTAAACATAGAAAGAGCGATGCCACGAATTGTGCACCGGAGAAGTCATCCTAGACGGCAACAGTAGAGCCGCACGGAGCTCCAGATGACACTGCTCGCTATACCCACACTCGCGTCATGCTGATTCGGACGACATGTTCACAGATGCTGAGTGGTTCGTGAGAGGGCCGTCTCCAAGGAAGGTTACAGAACCCTTGATCGCGGGCTCACTATTTTGACATTAAAAATAAAATACAGCCAAATAAGCAAGATAATACGAGTCTAGCGCATGAGAAAGAGGCGGAGTCCATACTATGTAGTACTGATGCTCTCATCCCTACTATCCCAAAACGCGGTGTGTGTAGCCAGCCTGTAAAGGCCGCGCCGTTACTGTTGTCAAGGAAGCTGAAATATGCCTCTCCAAGTTTATCAACAGAAACTGGCAGATTGATGTGTCCCAAACATCATACGTAGTTCTGAGGGTCCATGGAGGATGCGCTGTGTGCCATGCTCATCATTTGATGAAGGTTAAATTCAAAGCAAGAACTCACGTGGGCAGTGTTAGCATGGTGGTAAGTGGTATATCTCGACTACCCATTTCCTCCGTGGAGGCGCTGGAAATGTTGAGAATATGATTAATAGGTCATTTATATCACTCGTACCTCGACTGTAGGTTTATAAGAGACAGAACTATTCGATTCGATGCGATAGTGCTGTGAAGGTAGTTGAATATATGGCGAGTGTGATAACATATGTAGATCCAAACCTGACGACAGATGCTGGCGTGGCCAAGATCAGATAGTGATTAGAAGGCGTCTGCAACAACTTACCCGGCATTGCAAATATAACGTTCATGGCAGCTAGTGTGTTATGAAGTTCCAAAATGACATCAAAATGACAGAAGATCCCTTACGATTCAGGTTTAATGCAGACATAACCTTTGCGAAGGAGAAAAATTAGCTGAATCCTGGATTCTGTTAAGCAGCACGCACGGTTGGGATAATATTTGCAAAGCAGGTGATCAAGACATATGCTATCCCTTGTTTATGCAACGTTCTCCATATTACATTTGATGATGGTGTTTTCCGAAGGCCGATTATAGTCATAGCAAGTGCCAGTATATCATAACACATCGCTGAGGAAGGTGTCAGGGGATGGAATAGAACACTATCTCTGGGACGTACTGTAGACAAATAGAGTGGTCATATCATCATGGTCAACGAGCATGAAGCCACAGCTATCGTTCACTTCCATGACGGTGAAGTCAATCATCACTGCGATGGCGGTGATAATTAATTGAGGATTAACTTGTTAATTGTTTCAGACAAACTGACCCCGTAACAGGAATATCCACTGGCCAATCGTGGCTAATACCAGAAATATACGGACCCAGCTGAACCCTTTCCAAATCATGAATCTGTGCATGTTGAGGAAGCGCTTCGACAATCGAAATTACCACTGAAACGCACGGTCGTAGCATCAAATTCAAAGAAGAACAGCCAATGGATGAATTTGCTGCAAACTGCCACACAAATTGAGACGATGAATCAACGATACATTATGGCACACTCACAGAAAAGGCCAAAAAAGCACCTGTCATGATGAACCTGAGCACGTGTGTAGCAAAACGATATTTAACAGAGGATTTACTGTGACAATCTAGGACTTGGGAGCTCGGGCTGGCGATCCAGCAGCTAATGTTCATGAGAATCTGCTGCGACAGTAAATGAAGAAAATACGCACATCATAATCGCAGACGTCAGAAGAAGAATACGACCGGTGATGTATGGCAGCTGATAAAATTGGCATTTTGTGAATGCACAAATCACATAAGTGGTTACGCACTAGAGGCCATCGAGGCGGCATGCGTCTGCAAATCAAAGCAAGTTCAACTTGCCATGATTTTATATACTCCCAACTATAGGCCATGGTCATGAGTGGGAGCTCTTGAATGCGGAGCAGTAAAAAGCCCTACATGTACACACCGAGACATAGGAAATTAAGGTATTCTAAGATGTTGCTGCATTTCGAGATGACATTGGGATCTGCCCAGTTCACCATTCACCAGCCGTGTGTGGGTCCTACTTAGTCTGGGCAGCAAGGTTCTATAAATGGCCACTGGCCACTTGTCCGTCGCTTTGACTCGGAGAGAGGGAAGAAGGGGAGCTGGTTCCAGAACAGATGGAGGGATAAGCAAAAGGGAATGGGCTACCATAACCCTGTCTAATATCTATAGGGCAACCTCGGTGTGGAGAACGGTGGCGGTCGGCCTTTCCGTAAATATTCCCTGTCAGAAAAGTGTCTCTATGCAGCTTGGCGCGTAGATGACTTGGCAAAAGATTGTGCCAGTTATGATGAGCAGGTGTGGGCGGAAGATAGTGTGATTCGTGTGTGCAGAAGTGAAACTTGTTTGAACTATGGCAAAACGATCTTCATGGGGAGTCGGGCAACGGGTGCTTATGGTGCACATGAGAACCTACGCCACTGTGAGCGAGCAACAAGCCCTGGAATGACACTAGCAGTTACAGCAGCACAATGACAGTGTGCGAACTAAAGGAGAACGGACCATGATCCGGACAGTTGGATGACGAAAAAAACACATCGTGAAACTTCTAGTGGCCGCCAGACCTTCTGCGAGGGAATCTAGTCTATGCACTAGCTAGTGCACAACTGCTTGACGTCACTGGCAGGTCAAAGACTACTTACCAGCAGTGGTTGGTCACGGTGGTGAGCTCCAAGCGTCATTTCCGCTATAACCAGAATTGTGTGTCATTTCCTTGGGCGCAAAGGTGGTCCTTCTGACATGGAAGAGTATTATTCACCGCTCCTGGTTGGCTCCCGGCATCTGAACAATACGCGAAACTCGGAGTTGCCTTTAGATAAACTTTTCCCGTCGGAGGCCAAGCCTGAGGCCTGAGGGTTTGTCGATTTATTCTGAGATCTTGGTCTGTTTTTGCAACCGTGATTCGACTTACATAAGTCAGGCATGATGATGATAGGCGCTCAGTTGGAACTTTTCACACTGGACTGAAGTCGAGTTATCGTACGCGTTATTTTCCAAAGTTTGGTTGCTTGAACTGATCTGCCGAGCTAGGTACTTCGAGGACAACGCACAGAATTTCCTGTAACCCTTTCCCGAGTCCGCTTCATCACCTGAATCCCCGAGCATCAGAAGACCACTCAAAGTTTCGACTCGGTCATTTTTAACACAGATTCAAGGAATGGTGCAGAGGAAAAGACTCTTATTGCAATTTTTGCAGTACCAGGACTTCACTACATGCATATATGAAGGTTGTCATACTGAAGCAACAAGAAGGCCCCAAGGGCCAACGAGGCGCATGTAGAAGGAGCTTTCAAGGATTCTTGGACTGGAAAGCGTTGCACAATTTGATTACTGGGTGCAGCACGTCTCGCAGCGAAGCCAAACCTACAATCCAGACCCTCCTTTGACCCTTCATGCGCAGTCTGTTTCGGTTCGAATTAGGCAATTTGGTTTCGGAGGAAGTGACGTCATTGGTTGGTCTGAACAGAATATTAATGACGTCGCATTGCGGTCATTCAGCCTGGATAAAACCAGAAAACACAGGCGGATGACTCCACCAAATCCTTTCATCCTACCATGTCTCTCCCGCCAGCACCCAAAGACATTTCAGAACACCCCAAGGCAGGCTCTGTCGTCGCACCAACCGACAAGGCTGCCAAGGAAGCTGATGTCTCCAGAAAGGTTAGTTTTTCATAGTTCAAACAATATTTGCTTAATCGGTTGTTGGGTCAGATCAATTTCTACGGCGTGATCGAAGCGTTTCGTCAGGGGCGTATGCCAGACAATCATCAAATAGACGAGACACTACAGTATCTGCTGCAAACGTCACCAGTGGATGAGCACAAGCTCTCTTCAGAAGGCCGAAAACTTGTTCAAGACGCCCGTGAAATCATTGAAACTGCGCGTGTCATAGTCAAGCAGAAAAATGCCGACGAACTTTTTCAAAATTTCATCTGGAATACCCGCGATATTTCTCTTGACAGCGCGAAGATGGACCCTGGCGCAGCCTCGTCCGTCGATCGCGCCAAAATCGACGAAGACCGTCAGACTGGTGCGCACGCGCTCGTACCTTGATATTGAAGAGTACTGAATGTATTTTGAATTTGCTAGCCGTTCGCCATCTTCGCACCATTCTTTCCCTTATTCTCACCAATTCCGAAGTTCGCAAGCTACTTTCCGACTTCTCGGTCATTGGGCGAGACTTGCTCGCAAAGGGTGCTTCGAAACTCGCTGAGAATTTGCGTCCTGGTGAGGAAGAGCTTGCCCATGTCGACGAGGCTGCTCCCCAAGATCAGTTTGTTACCAAGGGTGGACGCCAAGTTGGCCCTAGTGAAACACCGGTTCTGGAGGCGAAAGTCCCCGGAACGGACACTACCGTCGAGCAACACCCTCGCGCTGATGACGCCACGGTGACCACGGGGGATGGCTCACAGAAATCTGGGAATCAATTAGTTGGCGAGGGCCGTGCTGCTGTCGAGGGCGCCAAGGATAATACGAAAGACACAGTATCTCAGGTTAAAGGTACCGCCCAAGAGAAAGCAGACCAGGCCCGCCAGCAAGGGTGTGTAGTTCTTCTAATGCAAGTCGTGTGCTCACCCACTTCTCAAGGAACTTGGAAGGTGTTGCACCTGACACTTCGTCTTCAGAGACTGAGGGGAAAAAGCTGGGGTTCAAAGAACGCATTCGCGGTTATGCAGTATGCCGATGTTTTCCTCGTCTCAAGTCGCTATTCCTGATGGTTGTGTCACAGGGTGGTATCGGCGATCGCATCCCCCAGCAGCATCGGGACCGAGCATCCGAGCACGTTGAGCGAGGACGTAAGTTCTTAGCCGAGGAGTACTTCCCTGTAGGGCGCCGTGATCAATTCATCCATCGTGGCAAGAAGGTTATAATTGAATGCCAAAAGCATGACGATTACCAAGACGCTATCAGATGGTTACTTGACGAAGTTGAGCGGTATGCCTCCCAGGGGCAGATTGCTGCTGGTCACGGAAAGGAACGCGGCAGTGCTATAACGCAGGTGTGTTCGGTACCGGTGTAAAATGTTTTAGCTCGATCTAATTTTTGTGAAGGATAAAGCGCTAAATGCCGCGATGGCTGAACTTCGTACCCTGCTCGAGCGCTTTGCTGACGGCCGCAGCATGGATGGTATTTTCGACGCCTCAAATGCTCTCATCGACGATGCTCGTCGTGATGAAGAGTTTAGGAGCTGGTTTCATCGTTTGAATACGTACATTCGCAAAGTAAGTGCCATTAATTGACACGATATAACTTACTTAGGGCGGCGTAGGTTTTACTTGAGGCGGGCTTTTTGCTGGAAGACGATTGCAACCGTGAGGGTAACGAGATACTCGACTCAGGTCGCCAGTTCTGGGACCACAAGTACAAAGAGCACTTCGACAACCTCTTCGATGCTATTGGCAAATGGTTCTCGGCGATGGGAGAAGATCCCTTGAACAAGCGCTTCGGCGAAGACTGGGCTCGATTAACGCGTGACCTACTGTTTGATAGTGAAGGTAGCTTGAAGTTCAAGGCTGATCTTTGGAGCGACATCCGAAACGTCATCTTGCCTACGATGATGCAACAGGTACGTCACTAGTTAGGCGCTAGTGCAAGAGGCTAATCAGGTTTGCGCTCCAGGTCGGATATTTGCCCATTCCGCGTGTCGAGTACACCGACGATGCTCTTGACCTTGTCGTTGAGAACATCACTCTTCAAGGACGCAATCTGTTTCCCAACGTTATAGTCGTGGAGGCATATAACCTTTTGAAGTTTAGCCCGTACAGCGACATTCAAGACGAACGTCATCACGAGTTCACGATCACACTCTCCCAGATCCAGGCAGACATCCGGGACGTTGCCCTCTACTTCCGTAAGAAGACATTCCCCAGGATGAGGGACTCTGGCATAGCGGACGTTATTCTTGGTGGACAGGGCATGACGGTGACTATCCAGCTTGTGTCTGCCGACAAAGATCGCAGCTCCGTATTCAAGGTCAAGAACGTACACGTCAAGGTGGATTCGCTGAGGTTTAGCATTCGCGATTCGAAGCACGATTTGTTTTATAAGACTCTCAAGCCAATCGCGACAACCGTGGTGAAGAAGCATATACAGAAGGCGGTCGCACAGGCAATCAGGACTGGCCTGGAATATCTAGACGGACAGCTCGTCACCGTGAGGGACCGCATGGAGGAGTCAAAGACAAACGAGGAGATGAGTCGCCGCCAGGTGTTGCAAGATGTGAGTGTTGGTCAGTTTCGAGAGTTATCCTGCTTACCATGGCGTTCAGCTGTTCAAACACAAGAAGGACGAATCTGCGTCGATTAAGACATCGGAGAGCAAGTCTCATTTCAAAGTTGTCCATAATAAGCGCTCTTCGATGATCCAGGAAGGTCACCCAGCTGGATGGGTCAATCGAACGACCGAGCGCGAGGAGAAGGCGAAGGAGGGGAAGGAATGGAGGAGTGAAGCGTAAGTCTACCTTTCGATCACCAAGGCATAATATTGCTGATTCCAGTATGTACAGTTTCTGGATTGTGCACGACCCTGCCGCCTCTGCCACCTCTTCCTCTTAAATACCGCTTCTTGGATTTGGGAGCGCGAGGTATTTCTGTGTTACCCTTCTCTTCTGGAATCATGAGTGGATGATGATGCCGGAGTTCAAACACGATCGCTCTATGGTAACCGGTTTGTGTAATTATATGGCCCATACTTGTATCATCTAATGGTGTAGCTAATGCATCTTGTGTCGTCTGGACTTTTATGCCAACCTCTCGCAGGTTTGAAAGTTGCAATTCTTAGGAGTGAAATGGCTGACCAGGATATTGCACGTTCATTGATGAGTCTCGTTTATCTGCCTACCCTAAGCCCCACGAAAGTCCAGCGCCTGTCTCATAACACTCTTGCTTATCAACTGTATTGAGTGATATATACTAAACACTAGAGCTCAACACGGCGTGAGTCATCGTCGCATCACTCGTTCACTGATATCGATCGGACACCTGGCTGGTAGATAGGCGATTATCAATTACATTTGGTGGCACGACTCTAACGTGGGCGACTAATGATATTGAGAGTTGAGCTACCACAAACCAGCTGGTGCGTAGGTGATTCACTTTCACCACTTCGGCACCCTTAGCGGCTCGCCACTAATCTTGTGGGTATTCAACACGATACACCACTCTGGCAAGTCCAACCTCCTTCCATATTCACAGCGGACACTAAGTATACAGCCCCCGGGCCAGGGTCAACGACTATGGCACCATTTCGTGCATCGGAAGCAACCGATGTCCACATGTCCAAACAGAGGAGCACACGTGTACCAAGGCCCCTATTTGCCCGTCCCCTCGTTGACCCTTCGTTATCACCTCCCTTGCCAAATGACAATGATCAAATATTCCAGCGAGAAAAACATGAAGTTTATCAGTCACAGGACCGATGAATTGTCACTTATTGATCCACACGCCTCTCCTATCCACGTGCACCACCCCGAGCTGAACATCCATCGGCTGCCAGTGGAACTTCTACAGCAAATATTCTTGCTCGCCGTTAACGATGTGCAGGACTGTCCTTATATTTTCTCATATGATTATACCACCGTCTCGGCCAACTTTGCCAGCCCTCCCCTAATCTTCACTCGCGTTTGCCACCTTTGGCGGGCGGTCGCACAATCAACGACAGAGATCTGGTCGCGCATCGAGGTTTCGCTTACTGGTGGAGATGAACCATCATCGGAGTCGTTCCTTTCCTGTCTGCTCCAACGTTGGCTCGCCCTCTCCGGCAGTCAGCCTCTTACCATTCACCTCATACAGCACAAAACACCATTGACAAGCCAGACAGATATCACGCTGCTTGACATCCTTCGTTCCGAGAGCAGGCGGTGGGAAACGTTGATGTGTAGTGGGCTCAGGGAAGAGGAATGTCTCAGTTGTAACTTTGACACACCACAGTTGAGAACCTTGAGATGTGCCTGGTCAGATGTAGCCAGATTCAATGCACCCAATCTCCATCGACTACATATCGTCCAATGGTTTCCTGACATCTGCCCTATTCCTACCTGCAAAAATTTACGCCATCTTCGTCTCTTAAGCGCTTCCCCTCAAACCATACGCTCCAATTTGATGGCTTTTCCTGTCCTGGAAACTATTGCGGTACATCGACTTTTGTATTCTCGCGGTAGAAGTTATTCGTTCATGCACTCTTGCCTCGAATCGATGACTCTCCCCCTTTCCCTGGATGCTGCTCGTCCGCACTTGTTTATCGAAATATTCGATGAAGTTCATCTGCCCAAGTTGCAAAAATTGATTTTGGTGGGGCGCCTAAAGAAATCGCATGTCGACCTTGTTACGGACGCGCTGGCAGTTACTTCTTGCAATGTGCAAGTGGTGGATTTTCGTACGAACACACCGCAGGACGAAGTTGTGGATATTGTTGAGTCGTTGCTCTCAGTTGTGAGGGAGGTTTCTCTCCATGGGAAAGTGCTCTGCTGTCGTGCCCCGCGCAATTAGCCATGCATTTTCTACCACTCAAAAACACCATCGAACCAGTTGGGACACAATGTACAATTGGAACCTGGGAGGAAAGGAATGAAGATACTCAAACGGTATTCACTTTCTATAATACAGACTTGTTTGACACGCAAGTTTCAACGCTTGAAGCTTGGTTCGGCCTGTTGCAGGCCATGGCACCTATTGGTAGTAGCTTTGTTATGCAATTTGTGGTGCACAATGCAGTGAATGATGAGTGTTCTATGACCCAGCAGCAAGCAACGTCACCAGCCATGAGAAATCTAGGACGTATTGGCGCGCGCGCTCGAGAGAAACCAGCCATGCTCAGCCCTACAAGCAATCTTCTAAACGATATCGGGCATCAGAGGCAATCCAAATGTGCCCCGAGACGTGTGACCCGATAAGACTACGACTTCTTATCATCCTCAACATCATTTTCAAGTGCCGATCTCCCAGTAAGATCACCAGTGTCAACTCCATCCTGCTTGTCTCCCACGTACCAGTCCTGATTACGCTGGGGACCGTTGTACTGTGAACAGAAATGCGCGAGTATCCAAGACAAATTGGGGTCCTCGCTCAATCATTCGAGAGAGCAGTCCATCCAGAGTACGACTCGATCCATAAGATCGAAGAGCATATAATATTTAGTTAGAACGACGATGACGGGGACTCGACAAAGGGGTGAGTAGCCAATTTTCCACCTGCGGGGAACGATGGACATTGGTCAACTTACTGTTTCCCAGCTTTCCGTCACGCTTCAATGTGAGGAATGCCTCCGTGCCGGACTCAGTAATCGCCCGCCTGCACGGGGTATCTCAAAGCATGGCCTTCTGTGCTTGGCGTCCGCTTGGCACATGGACACAACAGAACAGACAGCGTGGAGCTGATATTTAAAAACAGGCTGAGATCACCGACGACCAATGAAATCTTGAACTGTTGTAAGGTTGCCTTCTTCCCCCGGTCCAAAACCTTTGTTGTCATGGAGGACAAATCTATCGATCTGTTATGAGATGAACTCGGCGTCGATGTTAGCCTTGCTGGCCTGTTATGCGAAGCGAGCTATGGGCATAGGCGTTAGTAACGCTGGGTGTTTGAGTCTCGTGAGCAGCCCACCGCTTTCTCCATTCCGAATGCGTGATTGATCAACGAAGATTTTCCGATGTCGGTCAATTGTAAGCACGTTGTCAAATAAGGCATGAGACCAAAGAAAACTTGACACCTTTCATATGACCAGAAATCGGAACCTTGGGGGCCTCGTGTCAACTTCCTGAAGAATGGCGCTTCATGGTTATCCTGACTCACCGAGGACAAATCAGAATATTTCGTCAGTGGTGGGTTTGAAGCTCTGGGTGTTCACCAAAAGAAGAAATAGGTTACGCAGCTCGCTATCTACGGCTTAGATGACTATCAATGCAAGACGTAGTAATGTAGGTCCTTACTTCGGTTGCAGTATTCCCGGAAAGCTCGACGACGATCTTGATTTTTTTCTTGTGGAACGTGATGTATTCTGTTCATATTGTGTTGGGTCCGTCAGTGATCGAGGCGAGAGTGCAATGATTACTGCTTGAGCTTTACCTTGTGTCTCAGGTTCTTCTCTTACATCAGATACCCGAAAAATGTCTTCGGTGTCAAAATCGGTGTCAAAATCGATGTCTTCATACTTGGTCTTGGTTCCAAACTTCTTGTGCCGTATACGAAGGAAAATGAATCCTCAATAGAAAGTTTTCTATGATAAAAACACAGGAACAGTTCAGAAGGGCATATTTGTTCGAGTCGAGTGCCTACATGAGTGGAGAAAATGTCTGTCGCAAATTCTTTCCTGCTGCGCATGCATCTTGCCGATCCACACTTCAGCAGACTCTACATTCTTTGCCGATTTGCTGAAATTGCCATAGACACCTATTTGACATAATTAACGAAAGTGACCTTAAGCTGATGAAGAGTCGAGTACTCCAGGTGTGGAGAGGACAGGGAACCATTGAGGGGTGAAGAGAATTGGCCATGCTCAGGAAACCTGATGGGACAAGTTAATAGAGTCTCCGTGCCAGCGATAGATGAATGTGGGGCGTGTGGTCAGCTACGGGGTAAGCTCGTTTCACCTACTTAGTACTTACTGTAGAAGGACGATTGAACTTGAGCGAGGGCCAAGCTGCGCCAGCAGGAGTCTCGTTCGTCAGACCGCCAGTCCAAAAATCAATCATCGCATGACTAGAAAATTACAATGTCTTGTGAGTAAGCTTCGCTCTAGCACTATAATCTCCCGGAGTACGGCATTGAAAACAGACTTCTTCGACCTCCCTATTCCGTGATGCACAAGCGTGAAGTGAACTTCAACAATAGCACCAGCCAGCTTGCGGTCGTAATCCTGTGCAGCAATGAGTTGATAGACATTGCCATATGCAGGGAGTGGTACAATGAGTAGGCACAATCTTTGCTATTTTGATGCGATTGGATGCGGGACGTCAACGCCCCGGTCCATAAAGATCGTCGTTCGACCAGATACCTTGTACTTACTACGGCCCAGCTAAAATGTCGCGGGAGCTATGTAAAGTCAGTATCGAGTCGGAGTGTCAAAATCAATTCACTCACGCCAACGTTCTAGGTAACGTTATTAAACAAGGTAACTTGGTTCCTTCCTATCCCTTGTTGATGCATGATATGGCCGTGGCCAGCGCCATGACATGGGTTATATCGTTGTTATGTACAAGTTTGGTGGCCGCACAGCGGGGTCGAACAAGCTTGTACATGGCAAACATACTACGCGGAACTTCCGCGGGATCAAATTGTTTCTATTTGACAATTGCGTCAATGTAGCGTAAAGTGTGCCTATGAAGCACTACTGTGCCTACATAGTGTTGTCACTCGGGCTACGGCATTATGTCTTGTACTGATGCCCTACGCCTCACATCTCTCACGGTGACTGCACACTGCCCACTGGATCTAGATTTGACGTCTAGGAGAGGTTCACACACTGAAGTCTGCAGTGATTATAAGGCTGCTCTCAGTGCTGAACAACTCTCATTGCTCAGTACTCAGTCCCGATATCATTTACCTTTCCTTCATGGACGCTTCACAGATAAAAGAGAAGATCGGCCGATTTCGAATCCTCATCATTGGAAGAGCAAATGCAGGAAAAACCACCATCCTTCAGAGAGTTTGTAACACGCGCAACGACCCAGACATATTTAACAGCGCTGGAGAAAAGGTGCGCATCGTGATGCTAGTCCGCGGCTGATAGTGATGTGTCTCATGAACATCAGATCGATGCCACTGTTTTAAAGGGATCCAGAGAGGTAACGTATGCTATCGTCAGTTTGCAACATGAACTGACGTGTTCTCAGCGTGGAGAACACGATATCGAGAATGAAATGGTGTTTCGAAGCAACCCAGGATTCATATTCCATGATTCACGCGGTTTTGAAGCAGGCGGAGAATCTGAGTATGACAAGGTAAAAGCATTTATTGCAGGACGTTCGAAGAAAACGAGTATAAAGGATCAAATTCATACTATATGGTAATTGGTCAAGTTGGTCACAGGCACTGGCTCACTTTTTTTTTTGACATAGGTACTGCATCCCGATGGACGAGGTAAGTAGGGCTTTCACCCAAGGCGAAATCAAGTTTTTCTCTGAGTGCGACACCGGAAGCAGTAAGCTTTTGCATCTGTCCGTTGATCGACTGATTCGTAACCTTAGCTCCTCAGTTCCGGTGATCGTAGTATTTACCAAATTCGATGCCCTTTACGACGTCGAATTCGCACGACTACTAAGGGAAGGAAGATCGAGGAAAGATGCTAAAGCACTGGCCCCGAAGCATGCTGAGGAGGCATTTACGAACGGGCCACAATTGAGGATTCTATACCACTCCAAGGATATCCAACGGCCTCCGAAATGTCATGTATGCCTCCCTGGTAAGCTGTGGATAGTTGAATTGCAATACATGATGACCGTTCATCCATCAGACATGAACAAGGGTAATGCCAATTGTGGGCCACTCATCGAACGCACGGCTGGAACTCTGGACAATGGAGTCCTTCAGCAACTGTTCGTCTCAACTCAGCATACCAACTTGGAACTCTGCATGAAATATGCAGTAGAAAAGTAATTGCCCATAATTTCATTTGCTTGCCACGAGCGTCACTGACTATTGTCCAGAACACTTGCAAGATTTATTGCCTCTGATGAGAAAATCGCGTCTGAGGACGTAATAGCGATTTTGGGTTCCTGGTTTCCACATATTCTGGTAAGATTGTAGGAATGTTCGAAAGTTGCTCTCATTTATGTTGGGTGTTTGCTTGCAGGCGGTATGTTTGTTGATTATCTGTGTTTGAGCCGTGCTAATCGAAGTCGTCGCCTACTACTCGCAGCTTGTGAGTGTGTCAATCCTCCTTCCAGCTCGGGTCATGCTGATCGAAGTCATTTGCCCACTATTCGCAGGCTGTGAGCGTGTTGACCTCCTTCGCACTTGAGCCATGCTGACTGAAGTCATTGCACGCCGTTCGTAGTATGTGAGTGTGTCGATCCTGCTTCGAGCTCGAGCTATACTGATCGCAATCATTGCCCACTGTTCGCAGAATGTGAGTCTGTCAATCCTGCCTCGAGCTCAAGCCATGCTGATCGAAGTATTTGCCCACTGTTCTTAGCGTGTGAGTGTGTCGATCCTCCTTTGATCTCGAGCCATGCTGATCAAGGTCATTTCCCACTGTTCGCAGGATGTGAGTGTGTTGATCCTCCTTTGAGCTCAAGCCATGTTGATCAAAGTCATTGTACGCTGTTCGCAGGATGTGAGTGTGACAATCCTCCTTCGGACTTGAGCCATACTGATCAAAGTCATTGCCCACTGTTTGCAGTGGGTGAGTGTGTCGATCCTCCTTAGAGCTCGAGTTATGCTGATCGAAGTCCTTGCCCACTATTCACAGGATGTGAGTGTGTCAATCCTCCTTAGCGCTCGTGTCATGCTGATCGAAGTCATTGTCCCTGTTCGCAGCGTGTGAGTGTGTCGATCCTACTTCGAGCTTAAGTTATTCTGACCAAAGTCATTTCCCAATGTTTGCAGTGGGTGAGTGTGTCGATCCCCCTTCGAGCTGGAGCTGTACTGATCGAACTCATTTCCCACTGTTCACAGGATGTGAGTCTGTTGATCCTCCTTTGAGCTCGAGCCATGCTGATCGCAGTCATTTCCCACTTTTCGCAGGATGTGAGTCTGTCGATCATCCTTCGGAGCCATGCTGATCGAAGTCATTTCCCACTGTTCGCAGGATGTGAGTCTGTCGATCCTCCTTATCGTTCCAGCCATGTTGATCGATGTCATTTCCACTCTTCGCAGGATGTAAGTCTGTCATCCTGTTTCGAGCTCGAGCCATGCTGATCGAAGTCCTTGCCCACTGCTCGCAGTATGTGAGTGTGTTGATCCTGCTTTGAGCTCGAGCCATGCTGATCGAGGTCATTGCCCACTGTTGGCAGGCTGTGAGTGTGTTTATCCTCCTTCGAGCTTGAGCGATGCTGATCGAAGACTGTTCACAGGACGTGAGTGTGTCAATCCTCCTTCAACGAGCCATGTTGATCAAAGTCATTGCCCACTGTTCGCAGTGGGTGAGTGTGTCGATCCTACTTCAAGTTTGAGCAATGCTGATCGAAGTCATCATTGCCCACTGTTTGCAGTATGTGAGTGTGTTGATCCTGCTTCGAGCTCGAACCGTACTGATTGAAGACATTGCCCACTGTTCGCAGAATGTGAGTCTGTCGATCCTGCTTGGCGCTCGAACCATACTGAATGAAGTCATTGTCCCCTGTTCTCAGCGTGTGAGTGCGTCGATCCTCCGAGCTTGAGCCATGCTGATTAAAGTCATTGCCCACTGTTTGCAGTGGGTGAGTTTGTCGATTCTCCTTCGAGCTCGAGCCATGTTGATTGAAGTCCTTGCCCACTGTTTGCAGTATGTAAGTGTGCCGACCCTCCTTCAAGCTCGAGCCATGCTGATCGAAGTCGTTGTCCAATGTTCGCAGGATGTGAGTGTGTTGATGCTGCTTCGAGCTCGAGCCATGCTGATCGAATTAATTGCCCGCTGTTATAGCTTGTGAGTGTGTCGATCCTCCGAGCTCGAGCCGTGCTGATCGAAGCCATTTACCACTGTTCGCAGCGTGTGAGTGTGGCGATTCTCCTTCGAGCTCGAGCCATGCTGATCGAAGTCATTGCGCACTGTTCGCAGGGGGTGAGTGTGTCGATCCTCTTTCAAACTCGAGCCGTGCTGACTGAAGACATTGTCCATCCGTCGATAGCGAGTGAGTAGAGCGATCCTTTGTCCGAGTTCGAGCCTTGCTGAATGAAGAAATTCCTTATCCATTGGCAGGATGTGAGTATATTCATCCTTCACCGTACTTGAGCCGTACTCACCAAGTCGTTGATAGTTTGTTAGTGTATTCATCCTCTCTTGACCTACCGCCTTGCTCATTGAAGCAATTGCCAATCTGTTTCCAGGGTGTGAGTATCCTACTCTCCGTCGACCTCGAGTCAAGCTGATCGAAGACATTGCTGATCCGTTGACAGATTGTGAGTGGCTTGATTCGCCGTTGGGGTCAAGTCATACTTATCACTGACATCGCGCATCCCTCAATAGAACGTGAGTGTTTGATCCTCGAGCCTTGCTCACTCTGACGATATCACCGATCCACCAATAGGACGTGAGTTTAACCATCCTCCTTTGATCTCAGACCATGCTGACCGAAGATACCGTTTATCGACAGTATGTGAGTGTTTCATCCTTGAGCCTTGCTCACCAACGATACCACCGATCCATCAATAGGAGGTGAGTTTGTTCATCCTCCTTTGACCCTAGGCCATGCTGACTAAAGATATCATTCATTGACAGAATGTGAGTATACCGATCCTCAACGGAGGGAGACGATTTTCAACTTTCCTTCGTGATTTCACCAGCTTTCGTTCGATCAACGTGCAGAGATGCAATCTAAGATACTCTCTGTGGTATGTCCAGTTGGTCACAGATGAACACACAATCCTCATGTTGGAAATACGCCAGGCCTCTGGCTCATCACCATTGGAGACAACTGTTCAGCTCAGTTCTGGTAAATTTTCAGGCGACGTTTCAATGAGCCGGCTTATCATTGATCTTTCAGCTGCTATCATTATTTTCGAACACTCCTTCTACATTCTCGACCAGCGGCTTAATCCTCAGGACCAGAAAGAGGCTGTTCCCTCTTTTTACATTGCTCTTGAGCAGTACTTGACGTCTCCACATGCAACTGCTGTCGCAGAAGCTGTGAGCACTGCTGTCGCGAAAGCTGTGGGCACTACCGTCCACGCAAAGCAAATGCCTGCTTGGAAAGCAAAGCTGTTGTTTGGACTCTTGCGGAGGAAGGCAAAACGCTCTATTGAACCCTCACGGGAGAGGGATTACTCTCAACAGAAGGATTACTCTCAAAAGAAGGCGGAGTTAATTGAAAGGGTTTATAAAATCGTTTTAGAGCATCGTCTACGTATGTTTTTAAAAACTCTCATTGTTGTTGCAATCGCGCTGATTTGTTTGTCTTCAGCAAGACCTTTGATGCCAGGCAGTGCATGACCACGTCAATGATGTTCGGAGTTGAGCTGATGTATTCTGGCGGCGAGTGCGAGTTTCTAGGGTTGTCTGGCGAGGGCGGTTCAACTTCTGAAGGGTGTAGCACTGTATCAAATTTGTACAATCATGCAATATGGCACTTTATCTCTGGTATGGTGTATAAGTGCGTGAAGCATGCTGGCCATTCACTTCTGAGCTAGCCGTCGTCGCTCAGCGTCTCGCGCCCGTTGTGTCCTTCACATCGCTCGAGGACAGTGATGCGACAGTGCAAGGAGCATTCGATGCATTGGGCCAGAATCAGTGGCTTCACTTGGCCTGCCATGGAATACCAAATCCAAAGGACCCATTTGAATCTTCCTTCGCAATGCGCGACGGGCCTTTAAAGATCAGGGAGATCATCCGATCTCACTGGCAGAACCCGGAGTTTGCATTCTTATCGGCTTGCCATACTACCGTGGGTGATAAGTCGAGCCCAGATGAAGCAATTAATCTCGCTGCGGCGATGCAATTCTCTGGATTTCGCAGCGGATTCGGTTCCATGTGGACTGTCGACGACGATGTTGCACGCCAGGTTGTTTCTGTGTTTTATGAACATCTGATTGATGGTTCGGGGAGATTGGACTGCACGCGCGCTGCGGTAGCATTGCACAAAGCTATGAAATCGTTGCGGAAGAAGATTCCGCTGGAACAGCAGATTGTGTTTGTACATATAAGTGTTTAGTTTGAACGAATTTAATGGGCTGACTGCACCAACCGTTGCCAGTGTCTCAGATTGCGATCTTGAATGTTAGTGATACGCGTGAAATTTAAGTTGATTAATGGATGCGGATCGATCCACTCACTGAGTGTATTCACTACACGAGAATTGAGGGTGGTAACATACTTCCAAGCACAATCGATTTAGCCTTACTCAGTCAACTTGGAGGTAGCGATGATCAATTAGCATGGGCAGCAAGTTGTTTTCCTTCGAATACATCAAGGTCTTAATTAATCAAGACATACATGAATATCATAGGCCGTGGCACCACCCTCCTTGGCTAAGCATGCGTAGCTCAATGGTCAAGATTGTCAACGGACTAGACCGTAGCACACTGGCAGAAGCGGGCCCAACTTGAAGGATATATACACGATCTAGAAGTAAACCTCATCAGTTTTTCAATACGTCTATACCGTGTATAACCTGGGTCACGCATAGTTCGCCTGCTGCGACGCGTTCGGTTAATGGAGGAGTCATGAAGTTTTCTTAGTCCAGATCTCGCATATTTGGGACATCTAAGGATCATGACATGGTAATAGGCAAGTTACCCTGCTCATCCACGCAATTAGGCTGCAGAAACAACCTGGTCCCCCGGCGTGCTCACATTCGTAGTCCAGGGCTCCTCGTCCCCGGGGCATTAAATTTCCCTGGTAAGTAATCTTCTGTCATTTCCCTGATACCCCGTATTTTGAACGTTTCGTCCCGGAAAGCTAGTCACTGACTCACCATGCTTGAAAACCGGCGTATATCATGACCTTGTATATCTATTCGTGAAACCGAAACGAGACCTTGTCATTTCCACCTGTGAGCATCTTCTTGGAGGGTAATACTACTGTTTTCAATCTGAGTTTTAACAGATCGCCGGGGGTAAATTTGTCTGACCTACTTAGTTGTAGGAAGACTGAATAGAATGACATTGACATTCGCACTAGTTCCTGCTGGTTCCCCATGTTCATGTATGCCTAATGCATATGGGTTGGATGTCGTTATTTTGCAATATACAGGCTTGTACAATACAGCCTTCAGACTTCGGAGGCGAGTTGTGTACGGCTCATGGTACGCACAACCCATTGCCCACTAGATCTAGGTTTGACAAGCTTAAGAGCGCTCACAGAACTCACACACCGATAGCGGTTAAAAGTCTACTACTCTCAGCGCCGAACATTTCTCACCGCTCAGTCCCATTACTACCATTTACCTTTCCTCATGGATTCTTCAAAGATAAAAAAGAAGATCAATCGCTTTCGAATTCTCATCATAGGAAGAGCGAATGCAGGGAAAACTACCATCCTCCAGAGGGTGTGCAATACAAAAGAGAACCCTGAAATATTTAATAGCGCTGGGGAAAAGGTGCGCATCACGATGCTAGTACGAGGCTAATAGTGACGGCTGTCTCATCGACATCAGATCGATGCTGCTGTTTTGACCGCATCTAGAGAGGTAACGTGTACCATTAGTCGGCAACATCAACTGACATTTTCTCAGCGTGGAGAGCACGACATCGAGAACGAACTGGCGTTTCAAACCAACCCAGGATTCATCTTTCATGATTCGTGCGGTTTTGAAGCAGGCGGGGAATCCGAGTATGACAAGATGAACAAATTTATTGCAGATCGTTCGAAGAAAGTAGATATCAAGGATAGAATCCACGCTATATGGTAATTGGTCGAGTTGGCGACATTCACTGGCTCACTGCTTTGACATAGGTATTGCATACCTATGGATCAGGCAAGCCGCTGTTTTACTGAAGCTGAAACCAAATTCTTCTCCCGCTGCGACACTGGAAGCAGTAAGCTTTGGACCTGTCCGTTAATCATCGACTGATTCGCGACTTGGATCCTCAGTTCCAGTTATCGTACTATTTACCAAATTCGACGCACTCTACGCTACTGAATTCACACGACTGACAGAAAACGGAATGTTGAGGAAAGATGCCAAACGACTGGCCCCAAAGCACGCCGAGGACTCATTTGCGAACGGGACACAAGTGAAGTCTCTATACGACCCAAAGACCATCCGACGGCCTCCAAAATGCCACGTCTGCCTCCCAGGTAAGCTGTAGATCATCGAAGTCTGATGCATGATGACTGTTGATCCATTAGACATGAACAAGGATGATGCTGATTGCGGGCCACTCATCGAACGGACCGCTGGAATTTTAGATGATCGAGTCCTTCAGCAATTGTTCGTCTCGACCCAGCAGACCAACTTAGAACTCTGCATGAAATATGCAGTTGAGCAGTATCTACCCATCATTTGCCTGCCGCGAGCATTATTGACTATCGTCCAGGACACTTGCAGAGCTTGTTGCCCCAGATAAGAAAATCTCATCTGAGGAAACAATAGCTAAATTGGGTGCCTGGTTTCCAAATATTTGGGTAAGATGATGGGAATGTTCGAAAGTTACTCTCATTTATGTTGGCTGTTTTTTCACAGATAGTACGTCTGTTGGTCCTCGTTCGCTCTCGAGCCATGCTGATCGAAGTCGTTGCCCACTCTTCGCAGGCTGTGAGTGTCTTGACCCTCCTTTGAGCTCGAGCCATGCTGATCGAAGTCGTTGCCCACTCTTCGCAGGACGTGAGTGTCTTGATCCTCCTTTGAGCTCGAGCCATGCTGATCGAAGTCATTGCCCACTCTTCGCAGGACGTGAGTGTCTTGATCATCCCTCGAGCTCGAGCCATGCTGATCGAAGTCGTTGCCCACTCTTCGCAGGACGTGAGTGTCTTGATCCTCCTTCGAGCTCGAGCCATGCTGATCGAAGTCGTTGCCCACTCTTCGCAGGACGTGAGTGTCTTGATCCTCCTTTGAGCTCGAGCCATGCTGATCCAAGTCGTTGCCCACTCCCCGCAGTTTGTGAGTGTCTTGATCCTCCTTCGAACCCGAGCCATGCTGATCCAACTCGTTGCCCACTCTTCGCAGCGTGTGAGTGTCTTGATCCTCCTTCGAGCTCGAACCATGCTGATCAAAGTCGTTGTCCACTCTTCGCAGTTTGTGAGTGTCTTGATCATCCTTTGAGCTTGATTCATGCTGATTCCAATCGTTGCCCACTCTTCGCAGCTTGTGAGTGTCCCGATCCTCCTTCGAGCTTGAGTCATGCTGATTCCAGTCGTTGCCCACTCTTCGCAGCTTGTGAGTGTCTTGATCCTCCCTCGAGCTCGATCCATGCTGATCGAAGTCGTTGTCCACTCTTCGCAGGCTGTGAGTGTCTTGATCCTCCCTCGAGCTCGAGCCATGCTGATCCAAGTCGTTGCCCACTCTTCGCAGCGTGTGAGTGTCTTGATCCTCCTTCGAGCTCGAGCCATGCTGATCCAAGTCGTTGCCCACTCTTCGCAGGACGTGAGTGTCTGGATCCTCCTTCGAGCTCGAGCAATGCTGATCCAAGTCGTTGCCACTCTTCGCAGCTTGTGAGTGTCTTGATCCTCCTTCGAGCTCGAGCCATGCTGATTCCAATCGTTGTCCACTCTTCGCAGCGTGTGAGTGTCTTGATCCTCCTTCGAGCTCGAGCCATGCTGATCCAAGTCGTTGCCCATCCGTTGACAGGATGTGAGTGTTGATCCTTCCTAGAGCTCGGGTCTTGCTGAGTGAAGGAATTTCTGATCCACCGGTAGAATGTGAGTATACTCATCCCTCACCGGCCTTGAGTTATACTCACCGAAAGAATGCCTGATTCGTTGATAGCTTGTAAGCGTGATCATCCTCAGTCGACCTCCTGTCCTGCTCACTGACGCAACTGTTGATCCATTGTCAGGGTGTGAGTTTCTTCATCCGCTGTCGATTTTGAGCCCTGCTGACCAAGTACGTTGGGTGATTCGTTGACAGATTGTGAGTTGGTCTATCCGCTGCCAAGCTCGAGCCATGCTTACTGAAAACATCGCCCACCCGTTCACAGAATGTGAGTTGGTCGGTCCGCCGTCAAGCTCTAGCCATGCTGACGGAAGACATCGCCCACCCGTTCACAGATTGTGAGCGCATCGATCCTCTGTCGAGCTGTAGCATTGCTGACCGGTGAAATTGCCGATCCACGTTGACAGGATGTGAGTGTGTTCGTCTGCCGTCGAGCTCGAGCCTTGCTCACTTGTGACATTGCTCGCTCGCTCACAGGCTGTCAGTGTTTTAATCCTCCGTGGGGCTCGAGCTTTGCTTATTACTCACATTGCGCATTCCTTAACAGACTGTGAGTGTCTCATCCCTCCAGCCTTTCTCACCAATGACATCGCTGATCCATTCATAGGAAGTGAGTTTGTTCATCCTCCTTTGGCCTTAGCCATGCTGACCGAAGACTTTATTCATTGACAGAATGTGAGTGTATTGGTCCTCAGCAGAGGGTGACGATTTTTAACTTTCCATCATCACTTCAGCTTTACGGCGATCAACGTACGGAGATGCGGTCTAGGATACTCTCTGTGGTGCGTTCAATTGGTCACAGGCTGTACACATATGTTTAAATGTACCAGACTTCTGCCAGTGCATCACCATTTGAGCAAATTTTCCAGCTTGGTTCTGGTGAATCTTCAGGCCGCATTGCAGTGAACTTGCTCATTTTCAATCATTTAGCTGCTGTCATTATTTTCGAACACTCTTTCTACGTTTTCGACCAGCGACGCCATCTTAAGGACCAGCAAGAATCTGTTCCCTCTTTTAATGTTGCTCTCGGGCGGTATATGGCTTCTCCGTATGCAATTACTGTCAGGGACTCAGTGAAAACTGCTGTTCACGCATATCAAGAACCTGTGGGCACTGCCGTCCACACAAATCAAGAGCCTGTGGGCACTGCCGTCCACACAAATGAAGGAAACTCGTCTAATTGGAAAGCAAAGCTACTGTTTGGACGCTTCCGGAGGAAGAAAAAACAATCTTTCAAACCCTCTCAGGGCAAGGTGAAAGAGTCCTTTGAATGCTCTCAGGAGATGGCGAAACAACCTATGGATTGCTCGGGTTTAATCGAAAGAATTCTTGCAATCACTTTAGAGCATCGCCTGCGTATATTTCAACTCTCATGATTGTGGCAATCCCGCTGATTTATTCGTCTTCAGCACGACCTTGATGCCAGTCAATGAATCACGACGTAGGTGATGCTTGGAGTCATATTCTGGAGGCAAATGAGGGTTTCTAGAATGGTCTGTCGAGGGCGGTTCAAGTTTTGAGGGGTGTGGCACTATCGAACTTTGTACAATCACATGCAATTATGAGACTTAATCTCTGGTTTGGCGTATATACGCGTGAAGCATGCTGGTCATTTAGCTGAGACAGCGGTTAGGCGTACTATGTCTCTAACAGCAGCTTGATGTATCTCCCAACTACGTCTGGTCCGATTGGTCGGGTCAGAATTGCGTATCATTGACTCACTTCTGCTGCACAGTTTTTCTCAACTTGCGTGAATTTTTCATAACGACATCTCGTTAATTGTCATTTCATAATTATACTCTACAGAGACACATGGAACGTCCCCGACAACGTCGTTGTCCAAATAAGGCTACCGAGAACTTCATGAATCACAAGTCCCTGTCGCGGTAGCTTGCCAGTACTACAAACACTGAAGTGTTATACTAGGGCGAGCTTCGCACTCCACCTCATTAACTCAGGGCTGTCTTCGGTGAGAAAATCCACGTTTGATATTAACGCACATGATTCACTCAACGGCGGGTCAGGCCGAGCAACGTCCCGCAACGTCCGAGTCCCCAGTTTGAAGTGCGTGCATACCTATCACAGGCTTCCTTCATCTCAAGTATAGTGCTTCTTCCACCTACAAGGCAAACAACACCGAGTTGTCCGTATACAGTTCGTTCCGACACTGGTTCCGTGTGGGGCTACTACATCTCCCAAGACGTCTTCCGCATTTTCATTAGTGCCAGGACTTCGCAGGGCCACGAAAGAATCAGGTCTTACCTTTTCCCTCGGCAATATCCATATTCCAGCTGGGATGAACACGTACGCTAACGACGTTTACAGCTTCCATAGACATTGCGTACAATACTATACATCCCCGCCGTCTCATTCTTGCATATTCTGCATTGTTCATCCCTAGGACCGGGGATCTGCCAGGTTATGTATAGACTCTCGTAGTGATCCCCTGCTATCCGCCAGGCGTAACTTTTCTGCCAACCCAACAGGTAGACTGTCAAGGTCTACACGCTACTACTCTCAGGATATAAAAGCAAGCCGTGTTCTTACCTTCTCCTCCCATACTCAGATATAATATTTGAGATCAGATCCCACATCACCTCGCACACATAATGCGTTTCTCCGTCCTCGCCGTTATTGTTGCTTTAACAGCATCTATGTCTGTCAGTGCATGCATTGACACATACTGGCCTTGCAAGAAGTCCTCGGATTGCTGCAGTAGCATGGTTTGTGAATTCGTGAGTGTAGATTGTTAGACTGATTCAGCTCTACAACTCACTCTTTGTATTACTCATAGGGATTCTGCGAACCTTCTGGTAGAGGGGAGTAGCTGGAAGGCGGAGTCGCTGGCACGTTGCGACAATGAGTCGCACTCCTGCTTTCGCATTTATGCTGTGTTTAATGGCACAATCCGTAGTTCGTTGCTGAGTTGATTGACACTGTTGGATCTGGGTAGTGGTTGAGCAGTGCGGTATTAAAAAAGATGTATACGGTTTTGACAAGGAATGGTCTATCGTCGGGACGTTGCGGTTTACATGGGCATTGCGTAAAATACTATACATCCCCGCCGTCTCATTCTTACATATTCTGCATTGTTCATCCCTCGGACTGGGGATCTGCCAGGTTATGTATAGACTCTCGTAGTGATCCCCTGCTATCCGCTAGGCGTAACCTTTCTGCCAAAACCGACAGGCAGATTGTCAAGGTCTACACGCTACTATGCTCAGGATATAAAAGCAAGCCCCATCTTCTTACCTTGTCCTCCCATAATCAGACATAGTATTTGAGATCAGATCCCACATCACCTCGCACACATAATGCGTTTCTCCGTCCTCGCCGTTATTGTTGCTTTAACAGCATCTATGTCTGTCAGTGCATGCGTTAAAGCATACCGGCCTTGCAAGAAGTCCTCGGATTGCTGCAGTGGCATAGTCGAATTGGTTTGTGTATCTGTGAGTGTAGATTGTTAGCTTGATTCAGCTCCACGACTCACCCTTTGTATTACTCATAGGGATTCTGCGAACCTACTGATAAAAAAGAGTAGCTAGAAGGTGGAGTCACTGGCACGTTGCGACAATGAGTCATACTCCTGCTTTCGCAGTTTTGATGGCACAATCCGTAGTTTCGTTGCCGAGTTGATTGGTATGGTTGGTTCTGGGTAGTGGTTGAGCAGTGCGGTATAAATAAAGAGTATACGGTTTTGACAAGGAATGAAATACCGTCGGGACGTTGCGGTTGGAGTGAAGTTGAATGAAGTGGCATGTTGAAAGTGTGGTAGCTAAATCAATGTCGACAATTGAGGCAGCTACGTCTTCTGGTTCTGAATTCCTTGCGAAGCCAATGGACCACTGAAGAAGCAACGTGATGAAGACGTAGAACAGAAGCGCGTGACGATGATCTGCATTCCCCCCACCCCCACATATCGAGGCCTTTGCATGATAGCAATCCAGGCTTGCACTGTAAGGAGAAAGAATATGCCTGTTGCTATACATAAGCCAACTTCCGCATCGTCACCTATCGATCGAAAAAATACCATACGCACAAAAGCATCATTCCATCAAGGCGAAATCTTTTGATGGGCAGATTTTTCTGTGGAATGATGACGTGACCGCCGATGAGGTCACCGAGTCGGTGACCTCTGGCAATGCCGTTCAAGTTCTCGAAAGCTTCTTGAATTCGCCGTATCAGTGAAATCACTGATGGAGCGGAGGGCGTTTGAGGGCTTAGCGATAACAAGCACTGGTATTATTAGACGTGATGCGATGTTATGTTATATGTGCGCCATGGCCGCATCTATGTTGGTTTGGAGTAGGACGATGAGGCGATTATGCTAGCCCTCAAACAGAAGGTTTTCAAATAGAAGATTATTGTGACGGTTTAGCTTGTCGAATTCAGTTAGTAAGACAGTTGGAGCATAGGTAGGTGCGAGAGGAAGCTTTGAAGTGGGACGGCAGTCGGAAATGAATGCATCAAGGTGACTAAGGCAGTTGGCAGCGCGGCCGCAATCAATCCGCATTCGTTCAATGATTGCGAGAGCATTGGGAGGCTCCGTGCATGCATGGGTTGACGACGAAGGTCCTATATCCTCCAACCTATATGTAAATACCACAACAAAACTCAAAATCAAATATATACATACTCCCTGCCCACTACCCGAGGTTGATCACTTGGATGGTTTCCAGTGCTACACATCTCCGCCAGTCAACGCATCTCCACCAGTCCGGAAAGCAAGGGATGTCATGTGTGTTCCTTCGTCGGACCTGGCCACGAGCTTAGCGTTATATTCACGAACGTCGAGGATCAGACGTGGTCCCAGCACAAACATCTGGAACACCTGGGCGATGTTGAGAATGCCATTATACAAACTAGTTCTCCAAGTAGATGTGTTCTATATACATGATCAGGAGTGATCAGATGCAGATGCTAGTAGCAGACTCGCAGCGCACCATCATAGACGGAGAAAGTCCCCCAAGAGTGAAGCAAGCCACGAGGACAAAGCTAGCCATGCAGAACTTCAGCGAAACAAGGTAACAAGATCCAAATAATCGAGCTCACGCTAGAAAGTAGAGCGCGTGACTTCTTATTAAGATCACGAAACAGTCCTCAATGATCGATCCTCTCTGCAATTGTCGCAGGTCACGGAGGTGCTTTATAACAATCCAGACTGCAAGAAAAAGATTGAGGATCTCCCATATAGCAGTGGGTATGATCACGTCGTCATTGAGATCCGTCGCGTCTATGTCAATTCTGTAAGCACAGACATGGTAACCAGAAAGCACGGCCTCCCCTGGTATTTGTCCATGAGTCCCATGTGCTCAAGGCTGTCATCAATATTTAAAGCTTACCCCCTGAGAAACCCAAATTTGCAATTACCGCCATAACTCCGGTGGCGATCGTGGAAACCAGTAGGAGTACAGCGAGTAAGGTGGATGGAATTTTAGATTGCCCATACATGGCGTGTATCCGAGCCATCATGATGACTTACATAATATTTCAGTCGAGTCAGTATCAGTTTTGTACGGCAGGACAGCTCACCGCCCAGCATGGCATTGACGACGACAGGCTCCCATATCGCTATGAAATAAAGGGTGTTGCCTGAAAAACCCAATGTCAGATGTGCTGCTTGCATTGATGGACTCAATGCTTTAAATGAACTTACAACTGTTGCGATCATGTCTAACCATCGCGCTTTCCGAGATTGTCACTTACCCCTGTGCAGGAGTGCAGTTAGTAGTTGAATGGGAATGGGGATATCGGGCATCAGTACTGAATACTCACAACGTCAGTCACCGGGACTGGGAGAGACACTAGTAGTACATGTTGCCAGTCAGAAGAAACAATGGTGTATTTGGGGATACATACACAGTATGAGGTTGCTGATTGTGAAATATAGTTTATTAGTGCAGTGCAGTGTGAACTCGTTAGCCTCGCAAACATACAAGGAATATAGTATTCCAATGTAGCGAACCTAGCATATGTTGAAGTCAGCACAAGACGTCAACTGCGCTCATAACATAACATACACAAATATAAAGAACGGTCATGAAGGACCAGCGCTGCCTCTGTCCCGAGTCAACTGCATTATCATGTTTGCTTCTGACGTAGGACTTTGCTCACCCATATCAATTCGACCTGTTAGAGCGCTCTTAGTGAGATAGCTGCGCAGGTCATGACATCAACTTACCTCTTGTGTGAATGTTAATGCTTGAGTACTGTATACATATTAATGATCCCTCATAAAGTACATCTCTCTCACCCCAATCGTATACCACTACAGTAGCAGATGCAACTGCGAAACCACAGTCAATGATAGTGTGAAGTCAACATCGTCATGTCACTTGCTCAGAGCTCTCTACGAACCTTCAAAATAGTCAATAAAATGAGCATAACTGATGAGCGGCCACCAAGCAGGATCATTTGAGACGTAGGTCATATTGGGATGGGACGTATGGAGTTCATGAAGACATACCACCATCCAGCGCTTTTGTAATGATGAGGCTGGACGGTGGCCGTGTCTCGAACCACAATCTTCATTGATCGCAGCATGTACATACCAGAAAGGGGCCCATAGCAGTTGTCAGCAACACCCTAAGCTTGTTGATGGAGCGCTAGCGGAGATCCGATAGAAGAAATCAGAATATATTTCCAAATGGTTACAAAGCTGCGGTGGTAGAGTAGACAAAATTAAAAGCAAGGAGCAACGCCGCAGACAAAAGCGGAGCGTGGCTACACGTTCAAGTTCAACTAGCCTGGGACTCCTTCGGAATCTTCCGGTCCCCCTGCCCATAATTCTGATCCTTTCTCTCGGAATGATTAAAGGTCACAGAATAGGCTTAACCGGAATATATACAATAAGTATGACGACGAAACAATCTCGCGCATCAATCAGAAAGTAATGGCCGTCTTGCCCAACAAGTCTAAGGTAATAAGGACTACGGCTCCTCCTCCTCCTCCTCATCCTCAACATCATCCGCATCAAGTACCGACCTCCCAGTAAGATCAGCAGCATCAATCGCATTCTGCTTGTCCCCCAAGTACCAGTTCGGCATCGCAAGGGCAAGCAAAACAGGTATCACGCTCAGTATGGTGGCTGCCGTTACCATGATCTTCATCGTATCGTCGTACGCTGCAACATAACCAGAACCACAACCATAAACCGGTGAGCAGCGTCATCTACGTATACATCAAACCGAACAAACGCACCATTGATGACGCCCTCTCGCACAGGATCGCCGCGTGGATAAGACGCCGCTAACGTTATGCTCCCGTACAGCTCCGCGCGCTGCTCGTCAGTCAACCACGGCAGATACTTCGCCAAGTTGACTGGCATCGTGTTCGACCAAATCGCGCCGGCTATCAGTGCGTTTGTTTCCATCAAATTCAACGTGCCAGGAGATGCCTGAGAGCGAACATACCGCATGCGTTCCCGACTGCGCCTCCGATTTCAGTCACTAGGAGCACGACCGCCGTGATGATCGCCACGTCTGCGTGAGGCACGGATGCTTGTGCTCCTACTTGTGAGGAAACGGCGGCGAAACCACCGCCGAAACCTTGGAGGATCTGGGTCCATACAAGCTCAGCATCCGAGGCGTTGGCACCGCGCGAATGGATCATCATTGCGACACCGCTGAAGAGAATGTGTAGGTCGGGTATGTTGTGGGAGTGATGGTATGACTTACGCTAGACGAACCACGAGTCCGATGACGAGTACATACTACCGTGCAAGGCTGGGTTGGACTGCAGTACTTGATAGAGGATCAACGTACCTTGTAACGATGTAGGAAACGCATGCTGACACCCGCAATGATGCCAAAGAATGTTAGAGCAACGGATTGCGCCTGAATGAAGTACGTCGCGTTCACGAGGGACCAAGGTTTCACCACCAGGACAAATGAATACAGATACGTGAACGTGAGGTAGAACGACATCTATCACGTCGGACGATCAATTTTGCCAATGCACAATAACGTCGGTGAACAGAAACTTACAAAGTCAAAAAACCCGATCAACGCAGCACATACAACGCTTCTATTCCTCACAAACCGCGGGGCAATCACGGGCCTACTGGCGAAACACAGATCCCAGATTCCGAACACGGCAAGGAGCACGACTCCCATAACAAGCATTGCAATAATCGAGCCTACATTTCGTGCACACCAGTCAATCTCCCATGAAATCATAAATTTAAATGTAGACAACGAACCATTCTTCCAGCTCCCTTTGACAGTCTGACTAATCGTTAATGGAAGTAAGGTCAGTGAGACTGCAAACCCGAGAAGGACGAGTCCGACGAGGTCAAGCTGTTCAGCAGACCGGAGGAAGCGAGCCATCATAGATCCACTCTGGCTAGGCTGGCTTGAACTACTGCGACTGCGTGATTTTGGGGGATCGAGAAGAGCAAGCTTTTTGGCCTTGCGTTCTGCCCATAGAAGAGTGATAATGAGGGGCGCAAGGGAAATAGGGACAAGGATGGCAAACATGGCATCTATGCATCACACCATGCAATTGAGAAGATGACAAGGTAAAATAATGCCCAAGACTTACAGCCCCATCGCCAACCGATATGCTGGAGTACTGCCGAGGATATGTTTGAGCCAATGAATGCATTGATAAGGAACGGTGCAGAGACGAGGGAAACGACGAGCCCTCGCCATGCGAGCGTGGTGATGTCAGCGATGATAATCTGCGTGAGCAGTTGCAATCCGCTGAGCCGGGTAGATTAATCCCCAGAATTGTACTAGTGACATCAGCCCATGCTCACGTGTATCCACTGGAAAAACGAGTAAAAATAGAATGAGAACGCAAGAAATATTGAACATACACAGCGTACAACACAATGCCCCCAGCAATAGTACCGACATTGGGAGCAGAAGCTATCACGGTATAGCCTAGCAGTGACAGACCATGTTAATCCTGATTGCAGTCAGTTCGTACAAACGACATACCGAGAACGTAAAAAATCACTAGAAATCAACCGTCAAACAATGACAAGCGCCCAAAACACACCCTGCACTCACAAACGCCGACATAGGCAGTACTTCGCGAAGAGACATCCGCGACTTTAGCAATCACGGGTTTACCAACAGCAACTGCGTATGCTCAGTCAATAATCACCCTTGGGAGGGATGACAAGCATAAATCACCAATGAGTGACTGCGCAACGGTGATCGAACTGATGAGACTGTGCTCGCCGAAAGTTGAAGTAGCGAATGTAAGGTATGCATAAGTCGTCGAAGCATCAAGGGAGTATATATACGACGCAAGTCCAAGGCTATTAATAGCGGTCTATCAGTATCAGTCTACTCGTGCTGTACGAGGTGCAACTTGAAAGTCGTTTCTACGGCGGCGACAACACGTACCCGATGAAGAGACACCAACGGGAGTAACGCCCGTACACACGCTGTGCAGCCTCGACTTTCTTGACGCCAGCATGTGCGTCCTGCTCTGCAGCAAGGACCTCACTGTCCAGTGCAGCCCGGCAGACCGATGCATCATCGCCTGAACGATCGCCGTCATCTAGTTCATGAAGCATTGTGAGCGGAAACACATCTTTTTGGATGAAGAATCGGATTTATACCTATAGGGCTCGTCTGAGGGATAGGCAAATAGCCTGCAGACATAGCTCGTCGTTCGAAATTGGAAATTCAATATTCAATGACGAACTCGACAAGTTGTCAAGTTGAAGTTGAGGTGAGGACGTCTGCTTTTTCGGATATCCGGGACGGCAATTGGACCGGCGATAACGTATGGACTGCCCTCAATCTCACCAGCGTCTGAACCGAGCTACCAGCTAGCTAGGTTGGACCTCATGAGCTGTTTTTGCGTTGGACAAAGCTGGAAAACCAAACGGCTTACTGTTTGAACCTCCGCGTTGAGTAGTAGTAGGTGCTAGGCTGAAGCTGTAATCTCCGTTGAGACCGGATTCTCCGGTCAGAGCATTCTTTATCTGATAAGCGATTCTCACCCCATCTCTTCGTCGGTTGATTCATCGGCCAAAGATGCGATTACATGCTTGGCCCCTCCTCGGAGAAATCACGGTGTACACGTCCACTGGAGTCCAATAGTTACGTAGTTGTACGAATCTGAATCAATGGCACAAATTACACGCAGAAAAACCAGGCAAAGACAAGCACTATATGTAACATATACCTACATCAGATCCTGGCAAAATAAATTACACAACATCTGCGACACCGTGAAAATCAGATAGCGATGAGGTCTCATTGCGGAGTCCTACCAGTGGGTATATATGAAATACAAGAACAAGTTTTACGTCCTATCACGTTGAAGTTGAAATGCGCCCGATACCAGGGAATGAGTCCACCGAAACAGGGAGGACAACAATTACAAAAGATAGGGATGATTTTTTTTGGATGGCACGGAACCCTGAACGAACAGTAAGAGCCCATGCCGTCTGCCACTGAGTACTGATTCTCGGGGGGTCATCGTTCTTCATCGCTCCATATCAGATCATCCCCATCATCTTCCGGCAAACCGCAATTGCCAGTCGACCTGAAAGATGATGAAATAACATTTCGTCTGTAAATCAAATGCGTGAGGTTCTGAATACGAGAAAGAAGACACGGAAATGAGATTAGTTACATACCTTGCGAGCAAATCCTCGACGCCCGCTTGTCCCGCTTCCCAGTCTACACGTACCCAGTTATGCACGAGCTCGCCGTCGCGATACACTAGTAGTGTGGGTAGCATGTCGGTGTCGACGTCGTCCTCCTGTTCTCCCTCGTCATCGTCGTCGTCGTGATAAGGCTTCTCATCAGCCCCATCAGCATACGGATCCTCTTCATCATCATCGATAAACCGCCCAGGCATCTTATCCGACCTAGACCTCACCCGAGACGCCGTCGTCGACGACGGCGCAGCCGACGCAAACCCCAGCGCAGCAGCCCTCGCACGCACAAACTTCGTCTCAGGGTAAATCCTCGCAAGCCTCGCCAAAACTTCATCAAGCGCATAACACCGATCCAACGACTACGCACACATCAGCACCAAAACCCCAACCCACCCAAAAAGCACCCACCGACTCATACAAATGCACAACAACCCAAACACCTCTATCCTCCCTCTCAACAGCACCCACAAACCCCGCACGCCCCACCTCCCTCAAATGCCCAAATCGCCCCGCTTTCGGAAGACCCAGCACATCCCGCTTCTCACCCAGCGCAATCGCGAACTCTAGCGCATCTTTCTTATCTTCCGCTTCTTCCTCCAAGAAGGTCTTCCCCCCTAAATTCCCTCGCTCCATCTTCCGCCGAACCTCCTCCATCTCGCGCGCGCGCCGCTCAGCGTGGAGCGCAGCTGCTTCGTGTTGGTCGCGGATGACGCCTTTTACACCTGTGCGTCCGGGACCCATCCCGATTGATTCTTGGTGCGCATTGGGATCGGGTTGGTGTTGGTATTGGGCACGTCGGTGGGAGGAGGAGGATGAGGAGGAGGCGGATGCGAATGAGAGGGTTGGGGAGGGGCTGCGTGAGGGGGAGGAGGAGCGGGAGTTGGTGCCGAAGAGTTTGCCTGAGAGGACTAGGTGCTCGATGTCGGCGTCCTGGGGGGCGATGAGCGGTGAGCGTGAGTGCGCGATGAGTGTGAGCGGTGAGTGTGCGATGAGTGAGAATGCACTTACCATCTTGTCCAGTTAGATTACGCTCACTAGTACGACTGCGGCTGTAACTGTAATTAGGATGAAATGGCACAAAGGGCAATAGTACTAGTTACGAGGGCTTGAAACAAGCACTAGGCTAGTTTGCTGTGTTGGAGTGATCTCAGATCTGGATGGATTTTGATGACGTTGTCTAAGCGGTCATAACATAGCCCTCGGCAGCCCAAAATATCGCAATCTATGCATAGGGCTGAAAAAAATCACGAAAAAAATTTGTTTCATTTCCATCCTACTATGCCACAAAGACGCCTTCAAAACAAATGAGCAAAATGAGAAGAGGACGAACGAACGAATGACAAGGAAAATGAGCGTATGATGTGATGTGATGTGGTGGTATGCTACAGTCATCGAAGACCCCAAGAAAATGAAAATGAAAAACGAAAGAGACAGTCCGAGGATAAGGTGTCCAACTCCACAAACACAAAAGCAAGGATAGCGGATGAGGTGAGGAATGCGCACGGATGCTGGGCGTGCAGAAACAAGAGGGACGCGGAATGAAAGATAAAAAATGAAGGAGTGAACCAAGAAACGAGTGCTATGATATTTGTAGTATGTGGATGTTGTATGGAATGGAGGATGCATATACGGGTGTTTGATACAGTGATGGACGATGACGCAGATATACAGTGGACGCAGAGTGGGAGATAAGGAGGGTATGCATGTTGAAAGCACACAGAAGCAAATGGAATAAAAAAAGGGAAAAGGAACTAGACGAGGCTGCCAGCACCTTGATCAAGCCCTGCTCGTTTCAGATCCCGCAACGTAATATTGACGCCTCGGAAATCCTCCAGCCAGACCTGCCGTTCACCACAACGGGCCAGAATCTTGGCCCAGAACTTCAGGATTCGCGTCTTTGGGCGCTGTCCACCGCGCATTGAGTGTGATGCGCGGCTCAGGTCACGGATGTACCGTAAAGAAGGAAAGGCGTCATTGAAGAGCAATGACGAGATTTGCTCCACTAATGGAAAAAATGGCGCGTCATCTTCTACGTCGGCAGGGAAAGCAGACGCGTCATCCACAAGGCGCTTATCAATATCTCGGATGCCAATGAATTCGAGGTGTTTGTGCCCAGGAAGGAGGACGTGTGGTGCTATCCAATCTGGGTTCTGCCAGTTCCACTCTGCGTCCGCAGAACAAATGAACTCTTTGAGGTTGGGGCACCACTCTGCTAGTGGGATTTGTTGCACGGGGCGAGGACGAAGTGAGAGGTTGTGCTCGACGACGAGTGAAGAAGAGTGACCCAGTTCCAGCTGGTGTAGCTTTTTGCCATGCGCGGCAAAGAAATAAGCAAACCCGGGGCCTGCGTAGCCAAAATCTGAAGAGACTACGGACACATTTCGCAGATTTGGCATGTCCCATGCCGCAAGTACGGCGAATGTTGTGTTATCGAGGGTCAGCTTTAGGGACTGAAGTACAGGAAGGGAAACGATGGGGGATTTGGACGCTAAGAGGTGGCCAGAAACAAGGGGTATACTGGATGAAGAAAGTTCTAGGTATTCCAGGTTAGCGGCAGTACGCCGGAGGAGTGGCGATACATGTTTTGGGAAGGGGTCATCGCTGTAGTTGGTGAGAGAGAGCCTCCGGAGTTTGGTATTCGAACTGAGAACAGAAACCATCTGCTCCGGAGAACAGCGCACATCGATGAACTCTGAATAGCGCGTACATCTGACTGAGTGATGATCGGAGTAGATGACGAGATGTGGGGCGTAATCGAGAATGGTACGGATATCGTCTGTAGCGCACCGCCTAAGGACGGGTGTTTCCATGTGTAATCGGCGGATGTAGTGGCCACTTGAGGGTTTGCCCTCTATAAATTGGGTGAGCAGGGTGAGTGCGAGGGCTTTTGCCTGACTGGCTCGACTAATCCAGACAAACTCGTAAAGGTACTCTTGGAGGTATTTATTCCACGCTTTGCTGACAAGCGACAGGTCTCGCTTAATCTTCATGGCAGCGTGGTACTCTGCGACTTCACATGGGGTTTCTAGGAATGATAGACCCAGGGATATGTCGAGGGGGTCTGAATTCATAGTTGTTGCTTCCCGCAAAATCATGCGCCATAATTCCGTTGGTAGATACGGGAGGTCAAGTGCTGGAGAATGAATGAAAGATGTGCGGGGAATGTTACAGAGTCTGTTTCGCCTGTAAGAAGATATGTTAGATTGTGTATAAGATGAATGAACTGCACAGATGGTTGATCGAAGTCACCGAGGGATGGAGCCTCGTGGAGTTCGGGGATGTACGAGAAGGTGAAACACTTACGGTTTCGTATGGACCTTGGATGACAGGGCTGTCAATAGAGAGCGGATGTGACGGACAATGTGTGGATTGTCCAGAAAGCGCATGATCTGAGCAGAGAGAGGGATGATAATGAAAGGGAGGATGTGGCTCGCTGTCGATGAAGTAGTAAGGAACTAAGTAGCCAGCGTCTATATATGCCGGAGCCCTGCCCCATTGATATTTCGCACGCTCGATTCGATCTATACTGTTCCTGCAACTTGGCTCAGAGATAAGATGCTGTACTTATATCCGTATTCTTGGACCAAGGGACATGATCCTAATATACGTTCTAGTCTTTATTACACCTTCTGACTGTCCTTTCGACAGCTCAGAGACAGACGGTGACCGACTACTGAGGTGCCCGCTTGTCGCAAAATAATTCAAGGGTTCACCCTCGGACGCAATACAGAAAACGCCGTACGACTTTGAACCTACGGCAGGTCGCATAAATCGTATAGGCACCGCGGTGAAGGTTTGGTCTACAAAATGAAAATGCATATCTAAAGGTAACCACATGGGTCCTATATCATTATTAGAGCTTGGCAAGGGCTGAGCCACCCTGCCAGCGAGCAGTAAAAATGGTAGTGGAACGCTCCCTGGTCTAGGAACGAGCTGGCGAATGCCGTCGAAATTCTCCCGTGTTCTACTTTTTTTTTACCTTCGCGACCTGGATGTCAAACAAGGTTATGACCGTCAACGAACACACCTGGTCATAGCGAATCGGAACTTCCGTTGTGCATTCTTCCGATAAGTGCCTCGCGCACGTTAACTAGTACTATTCGGATGCGGTACGACGGTGGTGGCGCGGGTAGCCCCAGTGTCCCAGAGCGAATCCGGATGAGTCTATGCCCCCATGCTCCACCGAACGCTGAACCTCGGTCATCTTTGGAACTAGCTCCTCCAATTTCAATTTAAAATCTTATCAAGGAGTAAAGGCGAGATTATTAGGCGAACCGCGAAACTTATCCGTTTGAACGGAGAGGTCCTAGAATATTCTTCGAGAATTTGCGCCCACAAGAAGAATACCCTTCACCCGACTTGAAAACCTGCAACTCAGGATGAATATCGGTTGTGGATTACCCGTCGCCGACTATCGGCCATGAATATTTTACTTTAAAGTTTGTTTAACGTGATCAACTAAGTACAATAGAAGCTTTATAAGTCGTGCTTATGCGAACCCCCTTGGGATCATGCTTAGTGGCCACGGCTGCGTCCACGGTCCAGTGCGTCTGACGAGCATCGACCAATCCAAGGCCTAAGTAGTCGTCCGTAGGTTACCAATCCTCTATTATTCAACACTGGCGGCCGCACTCACTTCAACCCTAATTCTGTGGAGCTCCTGCATTTACGTTGATCTGCGAGGGTTTCCCGGGGACCAGTCTCCATGATGGAGACAACTCGGTTCCTGCAGATAAACCATCTCAAAATAGTACGAACAGTTAATTGAATGTCGGCAAGGTGCGTCGACAGTCGATCTGCATCTGTGGAGGAAGCCTGTCGACCCAGTATTAACTGTCACGGCGACTTGGTAAGTAATAAGTATTTTCGTGATCGTTCTCGTATTCACTAACATGGTTACATTGTGCATACTAGGGTTGTGCCAGTGGCGAGGTTAATCGAAGCAGAAATTTTTCAAACGTTTGGTGATTTTCATGCGCACGCAAGTTGCCATCCGATCGAAGTCGTTCCTTTTCGTGAGATCGGTTGGCCCCTGGACGCAGCTTTCCGTGCGTGTAAAATAATCCGCGGCGGAAAAACGTTTCACTCGTGCTAGAGTCTTAACGTTGATTCGCACTGCTCATCGCCCGACCGCAAATGTGATGCGATATAAAGCAGTGTCGAGTACGAACCGGGTACAGTCACAGAAGATAATCGTCGGATTACAATATTCGTATCGGTTATCGGTTAATATTGTAGTATTGCGAGTTGTTCCACTCCTTTTCCTTTTCAGTTCGTCCTTGGATGCCAAAAGAGACTGGTTGTTAATTGTAGGACTTTGGTACTCGGAGTTGCGATTGTAAGGGTCCAATATACCATGAGACGAAACCTGTGCCCGAGTAGTGTTGGCAGCTGTTGGCAGTCGCAAGTGAGGCAATCGACGAGGCGAGAAAGCCTCGGGAGTCCGCACCGAACCATTGATATTGGTAATAGCGTTACTTGGATGATGGTCCCAAGGTGTGGTGAAGCCCGTGGGTTACTAATGTTGATCGCGAAGAGTCGGGCTGTCACTGGTCGCGATGAAAGACACCGTTCATCAAAGGTCAAAAGGAAAAACGTGAAGCGCCAAACCTGCACAAAAAGGGGGTGCGTACTGTAACACGTGGGTGGTGGAGACTCTCCACGCTTTCTCCACCCACAAGTGCATCCGCGCCCGGGGCCGCGATGCGAACCAGGGTTGGTGTGGGAAGGTATGCGGCCTAGGAGGTCCTGCCGTCCTAGATGTTTGAACACTCTTGCCCGTGGGTAATATGACCCGGGTCGATGGTCGATGGTCGATGGTCCACGTCGTAGGATTCGTCACTCATACCCCATCAAAGGCTAGCCAAGCCTTTCACTAATCGCTAAGTACTACCATGGGGGTGTTCTCAGCGACGGTTAAAGACGCATGAATCTTGCCCCACAGCAAGCAAGGTAACGTCCTGTAAGTTAGTAACTGAAACACCTGGTAACACCGGATGTTAAGAGGCTCCAGGAGACATGGCGAAGGAACAGCAAGTTTAGGTTTACGACCAAGGATGTGGCGGTGTTAAATAGAGTGGGAATACCAGCTAAATCCAGGCACCATCAAAACATATGCACTAAGTACTGTACTAAGCAACCGGTCATGGCAAATGGCCATAACATCCTTGATCACTATCCAAGCAGAGGCTGCGTCTTTTCTTTTCGTCTCTGAGACTGGACCGCCTAGTGAACACGCCTAACAAACCCAATTGGTTTGTACTCCGATGTGCATGGTTCTCAAACGCACTTAATCATCAGCCAGAATCACTTTGGCGCATATATCCGCTGCGAACACCGCGGTGGATCATTGTACCGTCCATCAATTCGTCATACTAGTTGCGTCTTCAATGGCATGCATGACAACTGACATAGTGCGCCATCTCCCAAAGCCGCACTAACCCTCAGATCCATTACGCAAAAGGTTTGGTCTCCCATCAGCACTAGTCAGCGGCGCACTGCACCGGCCAAGGTTGAAGCGCTCATCTATAAAAGTATGAGCTGCTCCACTTCGCGTTTACAGCCCTTCATCTCCCCAGCTTCCTCTCTTCCACTAAGTTACTGTATTGCGCTTATAAACTATTAGACAATGCTCGACTTGTCATTTGAATTCAAGGCCTTGGGAGCATTGGTCGCTCTCGTTCTGGCGGGCGGTTTTCTTCGCACTAAGATACGATCAAAATCACGCTTGCCTCTTCCTCCTGGGCCTCCTGGACATTGGCTGTTCGGAAACGCGCTACCAAGAGCCAAGTGAGCACATAAAATATAATACTCTCTGAGTATTTGGATTCTAACAGTAAAACGCATGACAGCCAATCTCAGCAGTTTGCTGAATGGATTAATACCTATGGACCCATCATCTCACTCCGGGTCGGGCCCAAAGTCATGGTCATCATCGGCAGACATCAGGTAAGTCGATCCCAATACTCGTCGCTGAGTATATACTCACTTGCACAGGAATCTGTTGATATAATGGAGAAAGAAGGTGGTCTGTTAGCAGACCGCCCCCGTGCAGTTGCAGCAGGAGAGATCCTGTCTCGCGGGCTACGAATGATCCTTGCACCTGCCGGAGAGCAGTTCCGGAGACTTCGCAGGTTGTGTAATATCTTCTCATGGCGGCCTGTTTTGCTAATATCATATATCATCCAGGGCCGCACACACTCACCTTCAAGCGAAGGCCGCAGAATCCTATGCCCCTATCCAGATGGACGCAGCTCGTGATGTCATCCTTGACATCCTTAATAACCCTAAAGGACACCAAGCAGCGGCGAATCGGTGTGTTGTACTTTATGGCTTATTTAATAACCACTTATAGTACGCATTCAACTCAAGCTATGCTGCTTCTGTCATCTTGCGCGTCACGTATGGCAAGTCCACGCCCACCGCCACAGATGCTCCCGAGATCATCGTCATCCAAAAAATGCTCAAGCGCTTCCAGATGCTCATGCGACCTGGCGCGTTACTCATAGAGCGCTTGCCAATACTCAAATACGTCCCGGGATACACAACCGAGTTGGAGGAATGGAGAAGGGAAGAGAGTCAGCTCTTCCATGACCAACTTGATCGTGTCTCGAAAGAATTGGTCGGTTTTCTTTCATATGCTTTTTTTTGCCTGTACACCGCCTGAACTAGTTCACAGGCGACCGGTAAAGCTGGCCCCTCATTTGCGCGATACCTTCTTGAGAACCAGTCTTCGCACAAGCTCTCAGACCAAGAGATGGCCTATCTCGCTGGATCACTCTTTGGCGCCGGCTCAGACACGACTGCTGTCGCGATTATGGTTGTCGTCATGGCTTCTGCGTGCTATCCCAAGGCGCAGGAGAAAGTACAAGAGGAACTAGATACCGTCATCGGTCGTGACAGGGGTAAGTCGACCTGTGAACTTATCAGAGCGAACGAACCATTCTCATCCCCGGTTGTCATAGCTCCCACATTCGACGACTACAGTTCCCTCCCGCAGATCGAGGCGTTCATGCTCGAGTGTCTTCGCTGGAGGCCCGTAACAACTCTCGGATTCGCCCACCGTGCGCTGACCGATATCGTATACGTACGTTTTCCCAGCTCTGCCGTGATCCCTTGTTTTAATTGCTGGTTTGAGCAGAAAGACACGTGTATACCACAGGGCGCTATCGTCTTTGGCAACCACTGGTACCGAATTATATGCATTCTAGGCGAGATATGTGTGTTGATCACCCTTTGACAGGGCTATCTCGCGCGACCCAAGCGTCTACCCCAACCCTGACAAGTTCGATCCTGAGAGGTGGCTCAACAGTGACGGCAAGATCCGGGAAGACCTCAAGTTCCCTTCATTCGGTTTTGGACGCAGGTAAGCCCTTGCTTTTGAACTGCGCTGTGAGAACCCCTGCTGAAGAACACACGCACGTGCAGAATCTGCCCCGGTCAGCATATTGCGAATCGTTCGGTGTTCATCAATGCTGCGCTCCTCTTGTGGTCGTTCAAGATCACACAGGACCCGGAGAACCCGATTGATCAATCGGGCTTTGTGGATGGTGTGATTGCGCACCCCAAACCGTTTGCTGCGCGCTTCCAGCCGCGCTTTGGGGATGAGGCATCGTTGAGGACCGTGATGGCGAAGTATGGAGATGGGTTGTAGGATCTTGAGCATGAAGTAGTGATGTGTATGAGTTTGTGATGTGGTAATATTTTTGTGCTGAGGGCTGGTATTTTTGCACAGGCGTCCCTAAATGCTCTTTGGACTAATATTAATGCATTCCTTCTTTATATCTGCATTTAGGCTCAGTTCAAGACGATGTGGCAAAACTAGGTGAGGCTGGTGGAGTTGACATTGAGAAATTTGGCTTTTGATTGAGTTCAACGAAACGTTTCGATGTCCGAGTTGAGACTGGTGGTCTATTAGTTCAAAGACTGGTTCGAGCTCGAGACGCGTCGCGGAAACTGATGATTTAATATTTCTGATTCTCAGCTCGCAATCATAGAGAAATCCCACACTTGGCACAAGCACTAATTCATTGGTCATAAGGCGTCGACCCTCGTGTGTTTCCCAAATGACCACACTTCGTTTGTCACAAATATGTGAAGACTACATGAGCAATGCGAGTATCGTTCATGTGACCTCGTGTTCTTTGGATATCTTTGCCAGCTCGTCTCTTGCTGTCTTGTACATGATCAGATTGAACGCTTCGGCGTTCCGAGCACTGTAACACCAAGGGTCGGTGTGTGAAAGTGTAAATAACAAGAAGACACACTCATCAAAGTCAGCTTCCACGGATGAACCAGGGGCCGCTAGGGCCACCTTCTCATAATCTTTTCCATAGTCCGAGGTCCACTGCAGGTACAATCAAATATCCGACAGCCAGAAAACTACACGTCACTCACCTTGGAAAACAACCTCGACTTCCATGCGCTCTGTGGTGTATTTGCGTTACGGCCCGGATCCGTAAAGAGGATGTATTCGTACAACGTCTGGACCTTCATCCAAGTCCATGCAGCCTGTGGCACCCCAAGCTCCTCTGTCCGACACGCACGACAAGCAGCTAGGTTGGAAAAGAGCCTCGTGAACGCTTTGGCTAGGGAGTGGATTTGCACGGGGTCGAAGTTACACTCCAGCCATGAAGGACCAAACTCGATCATTTGGATCGAGGGAGATGGGAGGCTGAGGTTTCCTTCCGAAATGTTCTCCTCGCACGCGTCCACAGCCTGCATGCATGTATCGACGCTGGCTTTCGTAGATGCATCGAGACAAAGCCCCAGCGCTTTCAAGCGGCGACAATATCGCGCATAGTGCACCAGGGACGCGATGCTGGCGGGAGGTTTGTGGGCCCAGACAACACGCTGGACGATTGACGACAGGTATAGTAGCCGCACAGAGCACCATGTCTGCGCGATGCGTAGATGGTCTTCGTCTGTGAGATAGAGTGGGACACCGAGACAGGCCGAGAAGATCTCGAGATTCTGGAACTGCAGGGCAGGCTCGATGGCGTGTATGTCTAGTATGAATTGGTGAGTGTTGATTCCCGACTCAGCATCCCATTGGGCAAGGTCGTTGCTTGAGAGCACGGAAGTCATTATAATCTTCTGTAACGACTCCTTGGACACAGCTGCAACGACCCCTAAGAGCACCAGTGCAACATCGGCATTGGTGTAAAGACCGTGCATCCGTAGAATTGCGGATTGGATGGTGCGATTGGCTGGGAGTGCGGAGAATATACGGCTGATGACATCGGGAGAGCCGTCAAACGTGACGTTCTTCAGCGAGCTGAATGTCTCTGGCGAAAAGGAGGAGAGGCGGGGAACCCCCTCGAAAGGTCTCTCGCAAGTCTGAATGGTCAAGTCCTCCAGCTTGCAAAGCTGTGATGTTAGATCGAGGACTTGTGGCAAAGAAACGGCAGTTATGTAGAATGATGCATGTGTCAAGCTTTGAAGACATGCCATATCTAGATGATCTTGACCCGGGGGCTTAGTAAGTGATAATAACGGTAGTGCTTCGTGCAAATCAACTGCAGAGAAATGTACGAGCTTGGGCGCACACCGGAAAATAGTCATATAAACCGACTTGATGAGGTTACCAAGGTCTAGGGGGCGATCGAAAACATATAGATTTTCGTCAAAAGAGAGCGAGATGTCGGTCAATTCTGGTGTGATAAGAGCTGGGAGAAGACGAAGGCCAGCCTCGGATGATATATGAAGGCGTAGGACTTCTATGTGAGGAGTTAAGAAGATATTGTATTCAACAATGCCGTTTATTAAATTGCGAGGGATAGTCTCGCGTGGCTCTGAAAAGGATAGAGTGCGCACGCGGCTGGATATTGAGATATAACGCTGGCGCTCTGGCGACTTCAAGTCCCCAAGAATCTACAGGAAAATCAGTAAAATCAATGTGGCTGGTAATGGGCCGACGAGATGACCTTTGAAAGTCGAGCTTTATCACCGTGCTCTTCGTAAATCTCGAGAGGAAGCAGCTGAAGAAGCGGGAGCAGGCTGTCGATATTTCTCCAAAGGAAATCCAATGCAGGATCTCGGAAGGTCTTGCAGACCTGAGAAACCCTAGCTATGTCCTTGACGCCCTGGCGAAGGTTGGGTCCCTCGTCATTGTACACCTCGCGAAGAATGTGGGTGAGCAGCTCGTTGATTGCGAGGGCACGATGCATTCGGGTACATGACAGTGCATGTTGATCTGAACGTTTAAATCCTCAAAGTGCGATTCGGATTCGATTTCAGGTTGAAATGATGTTCCACTTGACTGACAGGTCATGCCAAGCACCACGTGCACATGGAAACCAAGCAAGTGAAACGATCGCACTACTGAAACCACAAAGACACCGTGGTTGGTTATAAAGGTACACACATGGCGTTGGGAGACCGTTGAACATATATAGTCAAGTGGAGGGCTGCAGAATTTCGACACATCTAACAGAACTCGGAATTTGGGGGGAATTGAATTGGCTTGTGATCCTAACAAGCGTCAACAAACATCTTGCTACCCCGGGCCCGCGTTCAATATTACCCCAAGTAACAAGTTTCACTTTCACATATAAAATTGTTTTACAAACAAGTGGAATACAATACAGCGCGATCGGAAACCGAGGCAAGTTGGACTTCAACAAGCCGACGGTCAAGCCTGAGGAACGTGAGGCGAACGCGCTGAACAAACAGACTGCGCTGTATTCTGGATTGACAACGAGGACGCACACGCATGGCGCATAGAAATTTCTAGATACAATGCGATAATTTGAAAGTATCCATCACATTACCTCAACATGGAGTCTTCCGCCTCTCGAGTGCATATGGTTGCACATCACTGAAATACTCGTGTACAGTACCTACACATGCTATACATCACTGTTGGCAGTTAATTCGTATGTGCGCTCGTGGAATACGATTGCAGTCATGACAGTTTCTTCGTCAGAATTGACTAGAACCTGCGCGTTATATGCTCGAATGTCAAGGATGAGGCGTGGTCCCAGTACAAACAACTGCACAGTCGAAAGAACTGGAATAACACCACCATAAATTTGAACTCCCACAGAAGAGATGTTCTGTAGGAATGATGAGCGTTCAAATCTGAGTGTCAACCGCAAATTATGCGTACCCACAGCTTTGGGGACAGTTCGCTGAATGTGAAGCAAGAAAAAAGAACAAAGCTAGCAGAGGAATATCAGCGGAAAAATATGATTATATTCAAATCATAAACTTACGCTGCAAAGTAAAACACGTGTGTCTTGATCAACACCGTGAAACAGTCTTTGACATTCCATCTTGTCGATTGTTGTCGCATTTCATGGAAGTGTTTTATGACAATCCAGACGGCAAGACTCAAGGTGAGGACCTCCCATATGAGTCCAGTAACGAGTACCCAGTCAACGTTAATGAGAAATGGGACATTTTCTCCTGAGTGGGTGTACCCGCACTGATACATGCCAGACAGGACATACTCCTCTGGAATTCCCATGAGACTCGTACACTTAAAAACTTTCATCCGTGTAGCTTACCTCCTCGAGTAAGTATAGCCACTTACTACTGTGAGAATCACTCCGGTTGCGATCGTGAGAGCCAGGAAGACCACAATGAGAAAGATGAGCATCTTCCTGGATCCCAGATACATCGCATGTAACCGAATGATCATGACAACTTGCATGATATTTCAGTCAAATCAAAGTCACTGCAGCCGAGGAGCTCACCGCCCAGTATGACAATTACGACGGCAGGCATACAGTTTTGCATGACCCAAAGGATAGTGCCTGAAAAAAACAGTTACTGGCGAGCCTCGGAGATGCTTCAAACAAGCTCACAGCTGTTGTAGTCATTATGTTGAACTAACAAGTCGGTCAAGAATATTACTCACCCCTACATAGAAGTACAGTTAAGTTCGGAAGGAAAAACTTGATGCGGAAGACCCACTGTATCTGTCACCCGAACTGACAGGATATTCCCTGCATTTCGCTGGTCAGAAACAACAGACGCAGTGTATGTGAAAAGACATACACAGTATGCTGGTGCTGCTCGTGAGAGATGGCTTGTTAACACAGTGCCAACTTGTTAGTCCCGAAAACATACCCGCAGTATATTACTCCAAAGAAGCGTACCTAGAACATTTTATGTATAGTCAGCACAGCTTCGGATATAAGATAAGGTGCGCACACTGAGATATAGAACCGTGACGAGTGACCAGCGTTGCGACTGCCCCAAATGTGGATTACAACACCCCTTGCAATATGGGATTCTGCTTACCCAGATCAGTTCGAACTATGAACCCGCTGTCAGTGAGATGGTCGCTCAGGTAATAGCATCAACCTACCTCTTGCCCAGATGTCAGTACTGGAGAACACGATAATGGCATCGGCAATTCCGTCAAGATGAGTATCATGTGGCTTACCCCAATCGTATGCCACCATAACAGATGGTGCAACTGCGAAACCAAAATCAATGATTGAGTGAGAACTTAATCATCCAACTTCTTTCCACGAACCTATAAAATAACTGTAAACAAGCGAATAGTTGATTACCGGCCACCAACTGGGATCATTCGAGATTTGAGTCATATTCAAGGGATCAGTGGTAGCGAAGTCGGTGGACTAGAATCAAAGCTTCTTACTGACTTTGGCTGCTAAGTATGTAGATGTCAAGCAGGGTCACGTAGAATATCCGCACAGGTTCTCGACCACCTGTCAAACTCGTAATTGTTTCTAAGGCCATTCTTCACACCATCAGTTCAGGCCACCCTGAGGCTGAGCGCTCGACGTGGCGTAATAGGGAGTGGCGCCGTCCGATGACACATGCTAGCTATACTATCAGATTGAAGATAAAACTTAATGATTAGACTCACGGCGTGATGCAAAAGTGTCTAGGATTCCGACATGTGTAGCTTGATGCGTCAATATTTCCAGTGCTCACGTTAGAGTCTAAGACATTCGCTAGGGTCTCCGTGCTAGGTGATGACCGCTCGTGATCAATCATCCTATGACCGCAACTGACCGTACCCTCTCGCTATGCCTCTCCATTCTCTTCATATCTTTGAAGTTCCACAGACGAAGTGCCTTGTCGTACGTGCCAGTCACGATGTGCCGTCTATCAGAGAAGATTGCGACTGCTGATAGTAATTTCTTCCCCCCTGACTGAACTTGGGCTATGCTGTGTCTTCTGCCATTCTGATGGACGGCGTTGAGGACCGCACTCGGTAATGAGCTTGCTGTAGAGGCGTGCAAGCTGCCGATGTGCCTGTACCTCTCTGTACCTGAGCGTTTTGATGCTACATCACAGCGTCAACCTGTTCCTGTTCCTGTATTATTAGAAGTTCATCAACAAGCAAGGTTGTTTGGGTACAAACCTCCATTGACCTGGTTAAGCCGGGCTACTAAGAAACTCATCAGTAGCGCACATTGTATGGATGTTTTTTATCGTCGGTGTCGGCGGCATATGGTTTCTTGCGATAGGACATGCCAACATGGACGAACTTCATCGCAGAAACCCAGCTTACGCCCACCAGAGGATACCTTGTACCGGTGAGTTGGACAGTCGGCTTGCATCTTGCATGTCTCCTGTTATGCAAGATCGACAATTTGGCTGCTTGAAACAAATACATGGGCAACTCATTCGAGGACCTTCACGAGGAAAATTAAATAATTTGATTCCCAACCATCGACTACCCAACCATCGGAATCTGAGGCAGCCGTGGGGACGGACATCATAACTGTCCAAAGCGTCAGAGCTGCGTTACTTGCTGCAAGAATGCTACTTACGAGTAGTTCGTACCTCCAGTGGCAGTGTGCACCGCCAAAATGGAGTTCTCAGTATGACTGCAACATTGTTTGGCTTTCTTTGCCGCCTAGCTGCCGCGAGGCAGCGGCGTGGCTTGGCAAAAATAGAGCTTACAACTATTAGCACCGCCTCATGAAATCCTGTCATACACACAAGAACCCACCGACATTGTTAGTTTGCTACCAGAGAGGACCAAGCAGAAAAGCAGCGAGTACTGTACAACTGTTCCTCTCATTTTTCTACCATGACCAATGTCAGCCCAGAAAATATACGGACGGTTTACCCTAGTGAGCATGATGACTTCTGGATCCCTTGCGACACCGACCGTTGAGGAAGCTATGGCTTCTGACAGAATAGGGCCTAGTAGGCCGTCCACAGAAGAAGCTCCACCCCCACCGCAACCCAAACGACCAACTCAGAAATCGCTCTGCGCCCACTACGACCATTATGTGGGAAGTACTTGATTGCTTTGTCATGATGGACTGCTGTGTAACAAGAACATCTCAAAAACACGATGACGAAATCACGAACGGTTCAAATTTACGTTCTTTGATCTTTTGCGGTGTTCAAGTGTTCCGCCCGTGCAAACCAATTTTATTTATGTACGCTGCTCCACATCTTTATGCGAATCAGTTTGCCTGATTAAGCACAGCCGTGTTCCAATCCACGTCCCTACGCTCGAGATATGTACTTGGAGGGAGGTATTGCTAGCCTGGGTAGGTGGATCTCCCCTACTATTTCTAACGGCTGACTTTTCTGGTCTGGCATCATGCCGACGCAATGAACCATTGTTGATCTTATGGATGACACTATTATTAGAAGGGAAATCGATCATATGAGATCTATGGCGGCCTGACTTAGTACTAGAACCCTGTGGTGCTGATTACTTTTGCATCACCCCCATTTTATTCAAGGCCCGCTACATCACTTTGAACAGCATATCTATTGACAGGAACACCCTCGATCTCATTTTGGTCATCTAAGCATTGGATGGCGATGGTATATCTAGCACGAATATCATCCTTGTATGTCCACCAAGTTCCCCGCTCCCTCACATCCTTCCTCTGACAGTATGACCCTAGTCTCAGACGACCCTAGTTATTGGCCATTCATCAACGCTTGGCGTATTAGCAGCTATTTTTCAGGTTCGTGAAGAGCAGTCAGATTTCGGCGCTGATTTCTCGATCTGACCTTGACTGCGGTGTCCCAGTTGCCGCCTTGGTTGGATTGGCGTATGATTGGGGTGAGCATCATAACATTAGAGAATTGCTGATTTCCTACAAGTATTTCCAGCCCTTACGTTCGGACAAGAGGTATGTTGATGCTATGACCAGAGCAGCCATCTCACTAAGATTTGTTTGTAGGTCGAACTGGTCTGGGTGAGCACAGTTCCACGTCAGAAGAACAATATTGATTTGCGACAGAGGCAACGTTGGTCCCCGATGACCGTTCTCTATCTGAGTGTATGTAGCTTGCCTGTTGTGAAGTTGTGCTGACTTGACAATATCCTAGTTGCGCTATCTTGGAATTTTTTATACTGTGTATGTTCAGAAGGCTTGACAATTGGTGTTGTGCTAATCAGCCATCTCTCACACTCAGCCTGAACATACTGGGTATGTCTTCTCGCATTCACAGTGTTTGTTTTTTCTCACCAGTGGCATACAGACAATGTTCCGACGATTTTGTTGACAGATCCAGTGAGTCTTCTGCACCGATGCCTGCTATTCCCATTCAATTAATCGCGACACCCTGTAGGGGTGAGTGTCATTCTTGACCAGCCTCTTCGTTTCCTATCATGATTGCTACAGATGTGAGTCTGTTTGTAGTGTGTGATCCACCCAAGGCCCATCACTCATCGGATTTCTCAGGCCGGATTCTGTACATCGTATATAGTTGGACGAGTGTTGTGGCATTTCTAATGGTGTGTTGTGAGTTGTCCAGTTACAAAACCTATGCTATTGACTTGACCGAAACATGTTGCAGTCATCATGATCACTCGGTTATATGCCATGTATCAACGATCCAGAAGGATCCTGATATTTCTCGTCGTCGTGTGCTTGGCTGTCAACATTTTTGACGGAGTGGCCATGGCGATGTTGACGAGGGTTATTTCAGGGGGTACACTTCATTGTTAATGAAAACCGTGCATGGCACTCATTGATGAATACCAGAGGAACTCATTCTCTCTGGCTCCTATGTGTGCACGATTAGCTATGCAGACAATTTCTCACTTCTGAATTCCATTGCTTGGATACTTGGCGCTGTCTGGGAGGTCCTCGCACTGTGTCTCTCAGTCTGGATTGCTGTAAAACACTTCCGTGAACTGCGACAATATTCGACAGGGAGCATTATCAGCGACTGTTTCACGGTGTTGATAAAATCCCATGTGCTTTACTTTGCGAGGTGAGCTCATATTGTGAATATGGTTCCATTTTCCGCTGAATGATTGAACGTGCCAGCTATATTGCTGTGTCTTGCTTCAACCTCATTGTTAACTTTTCTCCAACGATCTTAGCGGTATGGCAATCCTTTGCTGACCTCTGCATGCGACCGCCGTTCATCATTTCTATAGGACCAATTTTCCCTGGACACTCAGATTCTTCTTGGTTTTGGTCAGATTTTGGAAGCCATACTGTCCTTTGTGCTGGGACCACGCCTCATCCTAAGCATTCGAGAATTTAATGCTCGGCTCGTGGCCGACTCTGATGCAGCAACCGCCATGACCTCAATCGCTTTCCAGGAGCGCGTGCATATATCAACTGGCAGTGGCGTGTAGCGTGGGAGATGCTCGATGAAGTTAACGGTAGTCTGGTGCTCTGCAGGGAGCAGGAGAATCTGCTTTTTCTTCTTGATTTTCAAGTTTCGTCGTGGTACTTATTTATTTGGTGTTGCGAAGTCGATTTCAAGGAGATATAGGTCTTGGCAAATATTTCGTCGTAACGTGTATCTAGGTTATTCGTTCCGAAGAACGTTGAAAGAGACACGACGAGGTGTCAAGTCAGACTAATCATTATGGAGTACGTAGAAGGAATCAACGTGTCATAAATATTAATCTTTGGGTCTAATATTGGTGACGCGCATGGGGAGGTTGAACGTTGACAGATGCAGGCACGGGTGATGAAAGCGTGCTTGCGTCGTTGTAGACTGTGCGAAAGGTTGTGAAAAGAGATAGTAAGACAAGTGAGGGTAGGGAAGGGAAGACGTACTGAGCAATCCTCTCCTTATAATCAGCCTTTGCGATTGTCATGAAATCTTAGCATGTGTCGTGGTCACAGATTGGGGCCAGTCATTTGGGCCTCTGGCAACAGTGATACCGCGTGCAATCTTGTTGAGAAGGTCCAGAGGTGGAATCGATAAGGACAGGATAAGATCAGAAGGTTCCACTCTATGCTAGGGTTATCAACAAGTCCTCATAAAAACAATTCTAGGTATGGGTATAAACAATCCAACGGTCAAGGGGTGAGTATGTGGGTATATTGTAAGGTACGGTCAACATTGTGAATGGGAGCTGTTCGTTGATAACAGTTGAAATGGACATACTCTACAATATCTCTAGTGTCCTGACGTCCATCATGCTGCGAACAGAAGCCATGTCTGTGACCTGTGCGATGATATTGCAATCTGACGCGATTCTCTTGTATTCTCCACCGGGTTGCTGAGCTAGCAACAATGCACTGAAAGGTTGTCCAAGGCGGACAATCAATTGTAACGCTTGCGAGTGAGATTCCGAATCAACCGCCTTTCCTCCGCGAAGCGCATCGAAAAAGGATCCGAAAGGCTGTCCAAGGCGAGGAAACAATCGCGCTGCTCGCGACCGAGACCCGCCGGGGAAATTGTATAAGGAAGACCCGGCCATGGACCAATCGGCCACGCTCTGTACATCATTTGCAGAGTCAGGCAGGCCAAGCAAATAACGGCTCCATGGACGGACAAGCAACAATGTCTGCTTGGTGTCCATTGCCCTGGAGAATTGACTCGGCCTATCTTCCGTGGTGATCAGCAGGTCGTTGAGACCGTCTGCCTTGAGTGTATATGTGAAAGATGTTTCTTGGCCTTGACCACGCCTTCGTCTGACTGCTGTGACACGGAATGCGATGCAAGGGAGATGTAGTCTGCAGTTTGCAAACCGAGGAGCGCTCTGCTTGTCAAACAGAGTATAAAATTCCAACGCCAACTCCACGGTCACGGAGTTTCGTAGGAAGGAAACTGAGTCCTGCATCTCATCTTCAGACAAAGATGGTAATATGGATGGCGGAGCTTTGTATGACGTGATGTCCGCTGGCAGGCAGGTATTGAACTCGGAGGGTTTGCCAACCCAGTCGAGCGCAGTGATGTCACCCGAGCGAGCCACAATCTCCTGCAAAAGCCGCCCAAGTGCATTGTGCTTCTTCTCGCCATAAATGGCAGGTAGGTGAACGCCGAAGATACCGAACAATGAGTATGCGATATCCTCCTGCAATGTGGTGACACGTGTCGACGCCCATTGAAGTTTCTCTCGGGCACCTCTCATACCTGGATAGAAGGTGACGAGGGCACTTGGGTCTATGCCCGTTGAGCGGACCAACTCCCGCATGATCACGACAGACTCCTTGTGGTTGGGAGAGTGATCATTGAGATATGGGGTCCAATCCTTCTGATAAAAGCGGATAACTTTGGGAGCTAGGAATTCTCCAACAGTCCATCCTCGCCTGATCCATTCGCTCTTGGATAGAGCGCCATACTTTGACGAAGGGCGAACATCTGCGAGGTAGACGATCGTCAGTGCTGAGTGGCGATACCAGACAAACATGGAGTTGAGTGATTGTTGGAGCTCGAGATTGTCATTCTTATCAATGCAGCATGTGTCGCTCCACGCCCATCGATACCCCGCCTCACGAGCAATTTTGCAGAATGACTGCAACTTCAGGATGCCGCCAACTGCATCCAAATTGTACACGACCTTGTTCTGAATATCGTGCAGCAAGGGCTCCTTCCCTTCCCACCGATGGGATAGCATGACACAACTGAAGTGCGTCTCCACCATTTCTTTGAGACCCTCCAAAGGGAGTTCTGCGTGATCCATTGTATATAACAACAGTTCCTTGTACTCTGTGCTCCTTTTGAAGACAGTTATTTGCGCCTCTCGATCGCACAAGAGCCCGGTGATAGTGTCGAATACACGAGGTGGGGTATTGTCGAGTTGAGCATGAATGACTGCTCGAATAGCACTCTCTGCTTCGGATGGACTGAGATAATGCTCGCGCAACTCTGGAGAAAGAATTAAGCATTACAATGCATATGTTATTCAGGGCTTACTTTGTATTTGCGCGTCGAAAGTATTATTCAACTTAAAGAGCATGGTTTCGAAGGCTTCGGTGGCTTCGTCATAGCGTTGTGCGTCATGAAGGGCCGCATGCATCAACTCATATCCACGATAAGATGAAGGGTTGCGATTGATGAACTATTATGTATCGCTAAAATTAGCATTGTTCGGAAATAGTGAATACCATCGTACCATTTGTGCATTGAGAAGTGCTTCATTGAGGGCTATCTGGTCTATGGCACGAATCTGCATGGAACATGATTACATTGCGTTGTAATAGTCAAGGGCGAGAACGTGCTTTAGCAAAAGGCAGATTTAAACTGCCCCGGAGAACTGCCCACTCTGAGATCTTTTTACCCTGACCTCCACTGAGGATGTTCTTGCTATCCGTGGAGAAGGTGAGGCAGTTCACCCAGCCAGAGTGCTCCAATACGGCAATGGTCTGTCGATCTGAGAGTCGCCAGAGGCGGACATGCTTGTCGTCAGATGCGGAGGCAACGAAGTTACCAGAAGAGTCCACGACAATGGCATTGATACTTTGGGTATGGCCTTCCCAGGGATCACCAACCTGCGTCCAGCTGGTCGATGGATTCCATTCCCGTATAGTGGGATCATCCCAGTTAGATCCTGAGATAAGTTTGCCACTGGGCGTCCACGCGAGTGACAAGCTGGCATGAACCTGCAAATTTGCGATGCAGTCCCTCGAGGCTGGATTCCAAATTTGTATACCACCGAATGTTGCGATGGCAAGATGTTCGCCAGAGGGCGAATACCGAACACAGTTGACTCTTGCATGACAGTAGATTGGATTTCCTTGCAGCGTCCATGTTTTAGTCTTCCACAGCTTTGTCGTTTGGTCTTCTGAACCAGTCGCCAAGACAGCGCCATCTGGAGAAAAGTCCAGCGAGCGAATCACATCGGAGTGGGCTTCGATGGCGAGGGTCAGAGAGCCGCCAGTGTTTCCGTCCCATGCGATGAATTCTCCGGTTTCATCACCGCTTGCCATCAACTGCCCGTTTCTTGTTACTGCCACTGCCCGTACCGCTCCGCGATGCCCCTCCATTTTCTTCAGCACACCCCTGTTGTTCAAGTCCCATAGACGAAGCGTGTTAAAGGAGCCCGTCACCATACGTCGTCCATCGGGGAAGACTCCGACAGCTGATATGGCCGATTCATGGTCTTCAAACACCCCAACAGGTGTTGTGTTTGGAATGATGGACTGTGCTGCTTTTCCCACCATTCTGAGCTTGATGGTCAGGTTGTGCACCGTCGATGTGGACTACTCGATGCTTTTATACCGGTTCACAGTGCCACACCGTCTCATCAGACGAACAGCCATGGGGCTGTCCCTCCTGAACTCCCGGCCTTCTATCAGGAAAGAGCGCGACTGCCTCTATGGGGCGTGTTTGATCTTCAAAATCTTCACATGGGTGGGATAAATGGTGAGTCTGCTCGTGTCTGTGCTGCTTCACAGCATTGTGGCATTACTCGTTAGGCGCCAGAGGCACGGGCGGTGCTGTTCGCCCTAGTACTCAGGAAAGACCGTGAGTTATCAAGTCGTTATGTTTAAACGCGGAGTTTGAATCTGCAGGGCTGCTTCCTGCCCGCACCGTGACCGCACCTCGCCGATATCCCTAACTTCCGCTTCAACTTTGCAGACGCAACGTCCTCCGCCAATCTGAGAAAGTGCTACTGTTACTTCACGGCTCACTGCCAAGTCCTTCTATACGAGTAGCATATCTCGCTGATAGTTTAGATCTACATAATAAGCTTTGGACTTGTGAACAGTGGTATTGAGCTTGAAGTGGTTCTCTCTCCACAGTCCGTGAATTGGATACAAACGTTTAATGCCCACTCGGAAGATGACTATAATATGGCGAAAGCCTGTCATTCTCGTCCGAGTCATGTCGGTGACTTGCACGCAACTTACATGAAACAACATCGATGTGAGTCGAAGCCGCTCGAGGCCTCATTGCCTCATACTCGCGGCCGGACAAGCTGTGAGCCACACTGATCTCCTCTCAGACGACCAACAGACCAGAATTCCTGATGACATACCATATGGTCCCCTTTGTCTCAGAAGCGAGTTCTACACATGTCAATTGAGGTCAATCATAGCCAGGTCCCAGAAAAAAGGAAGCCAAATGCCCAGAAACTTGATTGATGGATATGCGCACAGGGCGCAAAAGAGACTTCATGAGCGATAGCATTTAAATGTCAAAATACAGAATGATGCATAGCAAATATTTACATTCGAGATAGATTCTTCATGCAACGTGAAGGGATGAATAACATCCTCAAGTTGATGTTAGTGTTCTGATTCACCGATCGAATCATAAACATAACGGTAAGCCTGAGGATAGTCATCCTGGTTTGGCCCAGGAAGGAGGGGCATGGTCTCGATATTCACAGAAGGCACTTGGGGAGGTTCGATGGTGGATGTCCGCGTGAATATACTTCTCTCCCGTTCAACGATGCTACATAGAGGTAATGTAATTCATGTTCGAGCCAAAAATAGCGAGAGAGAAACGCACTCTCTCATGACAGTCGCATTGATCATGCGATTGGCATGCCGCTTGCTCTGATTGTCCTCGTACTGATCAGTCTCATCGACGATCTCTTCTGAAATAATTTCCTGGGAGAAACGTCATGTCATATGCTCATGAAAGCTAAGCGAACACCATACCTCGATGACATCTAGACCGAAACATCAAAGCTGTTAGGCAGCGACAAATGTGCACATAATAGGTTTTACCTTCCAGAGTAATCACACCAATTCCGCCGCCAGGCGAACCTGGTGTCCGACTTATCAATAATAAATGGGCGCGCCCTGTTTGGCTAAAAAATCGCTTCCGTTGTCACCCGCCTGGCATGTATAGAAGCATGCAATGAGAGCGTACAAATAGTCGAGCGCTTGGAAACAGTTGATTGATGGCAAGGCCTCAGGTAAAATGGACAGAGGAAAGTGCGAGACTGGGAGCCCTTGCGCAGGGTCGTACGTCAACAACTGTCGCGAAAATGTTAACAAGCTGTTCAGACAACGACGTGGTTTCATCTGCACCTTCTTGATCAAAAGTAGACCCTGAAACGCAAGCGGATTTCCTGCCTTGTGCACAGGAAACCGGGAGTAGCCGCTGGCGAGGCTGAAGTTGTGTTAGTGCACTTCCTCGAAGACAAAAGTAGTTGTTTGAATACATAGCGTCAACAGTGGAGTGGTCAAGAATTGTATCCGAGCTCAACGTGACAGCGTCCTGGATTGATGGACGCCCGCCATAAGCGACGAGCCCACCGGAAGAAATTGTCAAAAATACTGACACAAATAGGAGTCATGATCGTCTCCACGTTCTTGCTGCTGAGCTCCAGGACGCCATTGAGAATGCCGATCTCATCATCGCGCAAAGGCTCTTCGCCAGTACGGTGAAATTGGAGAAAGGATTTAAGTTCAGCTTTCTTGTAGGTGTGCGCATCATGAGCTCCTAAGGCATGGTCGAGAATTTTTGCGATTGGATATGCGACAGGTGCTGTGCCCGGGCAGAGGTCACTTACAAACTCCTGGTAGTCAAAAATACGTGCGCACCAAATAGGTACATCAAAAGGAGAACGAATGGTGCACATCGTGCGCCGATGGCGAGACCGTGTCTCGCGCAAACTGCTTGAGGTATAACCCTTTTGGGAAGTAGGTCAAAAACAACTGTGCGGTGCATGACACGTTGTACTCACTCTCTGTCCGTCAAGAAAGGAGTGTTTCATCCACCATGATGATGCTCAAGAAGAATGTCACACGTACCCAAAAATAACTAAGGACGGTCCGATCAGTTGGAACATAGATCTGCGTGAATTTTGCTACTTACCGATGGCAGTAGCTGAAATTACTATAGCAAGTAAACCTCCTCCAATCTGATTAATGATAAGGGCCAAATTCTATCAACACTCTGAACCGAAAGGGGCTATGAATGTGCTCACCGCGCTGTCAAGAAAGATAGGCAAGCTCTCGTTGATCACCTAAAACCCGATCTTCTTTACGCAAAACAAAATTATATATGCTCAAGGACACGAACCACATTGCTGAGAAGAAGTACCTTGAACGAGCTTCAGAAGAAAAGAATAGAGAGCAAGTATAGACTTACCACCAGAACCCAGTGACGACCCTTTTGCATAAGGTTCAATACTGGTCATCGTCCAACGTCAACTCAGAGTCAGTTGACACCTGTTCGGCACTGCACGCACCGATATGTGCATTTATCTGTTCCGCCTTATCTTCCGATGAGGTAGCCAACACACGAAGATGAAGTTCATCAAGGCCCATGAGACCCAGTGTTAATCTATTGAGATCATTTTGATCGACGTCTGCTAAGCTCATTGTGCGACCCACCCTGCGAAGACGCCTCCTGCAAGGACCAGGAATGCGCTGATGAACATTTTCCACCAAAATTCAAACGAATCAGGCGAATCCTTGGTGGGGACTTTGGGGATAAACATGGCGCAGCAAAACCACTACGCAGATAATATGCAGATGGATGATCAAAGGCCTTGACTTATATCAGTGAACGTATACTGCGCTGTTTGTGCTATTGGGTGGTTCGCGCAGACATTTCAGAATTCTGCAGAACACATCTGATCAGTCACGTCAAAATCGATGGGAGCGTTTCCGACAGCTTTTGTTTACCAACCGTCCGGCGCCATGATTGCAATGTGTCCGCTTCCACAATACAGAGAGGGCTGTAAGGCGCTGGGCCTGGGGAATCCGGCCTAGGTCAACCTTGTAATAATTATCTCAATACATTTCATCAATATAGAGGAAATTGGACACTCCCTAGATGTGTTGACGTTGTTTGTAAGTCTGACAGACAACTGGTAGAACGGTCTGTGGCGGATAATGTCATTCGTGAATTGACTTCTTTGGAGGATACGAAAGATGCAACTGTATTACATTATTATCATGTCTAACGTAGGCCGAGGTGACGCGACTCACCACACCGTTTGCTTGGTTTGCAGTCTATGGAAATGGAGACGGGAAATGGGGAATCAAACAAGGTTACAATCAATTGTCGTTGCGATCATTTGAAAGCGGTAATAGTTTTAAGGACTCGTTTTCACGAGGAGACGGCTGCTATCAAGGACCACGCACGATTTGAAACTGAGCGCTCCGCTGAGAGCTGACGGTTCGTATGGATGATCGTAGCTTTGCTAATCCAATCTCCTATAAGCGGACCGAATAGAAAACCCGTTCCTTGATGGATCGACTTGGTGTGCCATAAAGAACATCCCATTGCGCTGTTTATGCTATGGGATTGTGCACGCGGACATTCCAGAATTCCGCATAGTAAGTGGCATCTGGCATTGTCATGAACCTGTTTTGACAAGAGAATAGTGCTCCTCACCAATACCACCGCTCCGCACACACGAGATATACCCTAGAAATGACGCGCCATGATCTCACCGAGCGCCGCAGCTGTAGATAAGAATACTGCCTTCCAAAATGAGTTTCACAGGTAAAAGGCAACATATACGTGCCAGATCCTGCTGCCTTGAAATGAATAGAAGTCCTTTCAGTCGCCACCATGAAACATAGAGAGGCTGGATTATTACGGAACAATATTGCAGTAGTTCTCCTCATTCAGGCTGATGGAGTAGAGGAAATCTGTTCCTATATGTACTTAACCGTTGGGCCCAGTAAAACTGGCGGTTGGCATCGGTAGAGGCGCACAGTCGCGGCAACTGTGTTTTTCCCCAAGTCATGAAATCAGTAGCCATGAAATGCAAATGCGAAGACCTGCAGCAAGGCTTATTCCGCTGAGAGTCGAGACGCAACCGAATATGCCCAACGTTCACACGTGACAAAAACCTCGACGGCTTCACCTCGCACATATTCCACATTGACACTGATCACTGTTAGACTCTTTCTCATGCCCAAAATTGCGACAGGAAGTGGACGTTACGATGACAATATGGATGTAGTGGGAGTAGACGAGGAACGAGAAGTTGATGAGCTATTGGAAGATAGGGCAGACCCAGTCATAGGCGACACAGAATTGATGGGAAAACTTCGCGAGGCCTGGCAAATGATATGGCCGCTGGATGTTATCGTCGAATGGCTTGAAAAACAGCCTGCCGTATGTCCTTCCCTCTGACTTTTTATTCACAGCTCACAGGTCACGGATTTCTTTATTTTGCAGTGTTCATCGTGTGTGTCACAATCACGCAAATGCTACCCTTCACCACAACCAGGTTCGTTGCGCTGTATGCCATGTGCACGTTCAAGGGCCAAACCATGTCCACGAAAGCGCCAGTTTCAAGTTGAAAAGTCGGCTGAAGTACTTCAGCTGACGGTTGAGCATGTCGAGAGGCTCGTGGAGCAAGCGGACGCCTCTCCTTTCAAAATGCCAATTTCCGGCAAGTTATGGAGGAGTACCTCCGAAAAAAATATGCGTCGGATGGCACGCAAGTCCACACCTGGACGTGTGCGAGCCAAGAATGATTTTCAAGAACCGGGCCCTTCACAAATCATTTCTGCCCCTGCCCCGAACTTCGAACTTCTTTCCCCAGCCTACCCTGATACCGATCAAAATCCATCGCGGCCACCTCAGAACGCTCCCACCGGCTTGACAATCAAACTTCCACCTTTTGTCGGTCGGGGTGCAAACGACAAAAGAACCAACCTGGTGGAGCCAGATCCAAGACCTGAAGCTCCTATTCACCATTCGCCTGTCATTCCACAAGACTCTCATGTCACGATACAGGATGTACTACCCAACGAACAGGATTCCAGTCTTCTTTGGTCACCACTCTCCTCCGTCGGGGAGTGCCTGCCATCCCTTGATGTGAATAACCCACCCGTCGAAGAGGTTCAACCACAACCACCAGCTCCTCCGCCGGTGGTTCCAGACGTTAATCCAGCACACACGGTCATTACACTTAATGCAGTCGATTCCGGATTCGAAGAGGAATTCGAGGAGGTTCCGGTTGTTTTTGCGAGCGAGTTGGATCGCGCTGAAGAGGAGATTGCACGACTCAAGTCTGCCTTGGAAGCACAGGAGAAGGAGGTTGCAAGGCTCCAGCGTAACCTCAAACGACGGGACGAGCAACTCGAGGATATTCGCGAAGAACTTGACGAAGTTATTCATCTCCCTACACCTCGCGCAACGGCAGCCGCAGAACATGAAAACAGTATGCGAAAGTACACTGCCTGTCAGTATGTCGCGCGGACTCTGAGAGCCATGCGCGTAGAAGGTCTGACGGAGGAGGAACGAGAGGCTTTGCTGTTGAAGGCAGAGCGCCATCTTGGCAGACTTGCTAATGTGGAGATGGATGGCATATGGGATCCCAAGGCCGATGCAGACGCCCTCTTCTTGGGTCTGGTCAATGGGTCCTCTGCTAGGGCAGCAAGGCATGCTCAAAGAGGAGCGACTAATCCTACCCCAGCCAAGACGACTAATCCTACACCAGCTAAGACCTCTGTGTCTGCATCCGGAATTCCCCAACAACGCCCGCCTAAACGGAGACGACAAGGAGACTCGGAACAGCTATGATTGCTAATGTCAATGCAATCATCCAGAACCCATGTTTTGACGCGTGTACAATGTTGTACAATGCTTGCGCATGCTACATGCCTGTAATACCAGATATTTAACTCGGTATTGTACGAAAAGGTTGTGTGGGTCGTTTACAGTGGATGTGTATTGCTATCATATTACTGGCATGTAATACGGCACTCTGAATCTACACGATATCATCATCATCATAGTTGGAACTTGTGACTTGGAACAAGGCCCGGCCGCTGACCGGCCGACCTCGCATCTTGCTCGCACCTTCTATGCATTACACACCATGACTAAATGTTCCTCCCAATGCACCACAGTACTGCTAACGTCGTGCCAACGATAACTTTCTCAAGATTTGACTAGCGTGTTCCGGCAATTGCAGCAAGACATGTGAAATATAGATGGTCATTCAGCAACGTCGGTGACGAACTCGGGCTCACGGACTCTCGCGAACGTGAATAAATGTAAATGCCAGCGCAAACCCATTTCACGAGTTGTTGGCTTCGGGAATGGTCATAGCCGAGCCGGAGGATAAGAAGCTCAAGTTCGGTTCACAGCTTCTAAGTTGACGTATCACATTCACGGAGGATAACGTCCCCAACGATACATCCATGGCAAACCGTCTCGCACAGGTTTCTGGTCACCTTAGTAATGCACATGGACGCGGGCTTCTCTCCGGAGAGGTGGCTATAATCACTGGTGAGTTGTGTTATATTGCGCGAAGCTATGCCAGGCACTAATGTTGCCACGGTTAGGTGGTGGACAGGCAAGGAGATATGTCCTTGAGGGGAAGGTCAATATTAATGAATATGTGCTTTTATAGGGCATCGGACGCAGCGCTTCCCTGCTGTTCGCAAAGGAAGGTGCCAAAGTCGTGGTTAGCGAGTGAGTTTCGAATAGATTCCAGACCTAGGGACTTCATGTCTAATTCGTTATGCTGCTCAGTATTGACGCCAAGAAGGCCTCGGCAGTAGTGGAGGAGATTAAGGCTGCAGGCGGTGACGCAATATATGTCGCAGGAGACGTTGGCGCAGACGACTTCCCACAAACAATCGTGGACGCAACTGTGAAGTTAGTGCTGTTGCGCCATACGAGTGGATCTCATTTCTGATCGTATTTCAGGCAATATGGCAAGATCAATCACATCGTGAACAATGGTCAGTGTACTTGACGGTCATGAAGGTATCTTCAGTTCTGACGCATGACGTAGCTGGTTTCACACACGACAAGATGATCCACACCATGCCAGACGAGACATACGACATCATCATGAAAATCCACGTCCGTGCACCCTTCCGCCTCATTCGTGCCGCTGCACCTTATTTCCGAATCAAGGTTCGTTCAAAGCGCACTTGATCCGGTCGTTTCCGTGTAATGACGAGCTCTCAGAGCAATACTCCAGAAAATCGTTCTATCATTAATGTCTCTTCGACGTCCGGTCTGCATGGAAATGTTGGCCAAGCAAATTACGCCGCTGCAAAGTCTGCAGTTGTAGGTCTCACCAAGACTATTGCGAAGGAGTGGGGGCCATTTGGTGTTCGTGCGAATACCATTGCATTTGGCCTCGTGCACACTCGGTACGACATACCGAATTGTACCGCTATTGCGCCTGACAGGATACAGGTTGACCGCGGCCAAAGAGGAGGGTGCAACCATTGAGATTGACGGTCAGAAGGTTGCACTTGGCATTCCCGGCGCAAAGCAGCGCACTGCTGCTCAGAACGTAACTGCTTTCGCGGACATTCCTCTGCAGAGAGGCGCCACTGCCGATGAGGCGGCCGCAGGCATGCTTTTGTACGTTTCTGCCTTTATCTCGATACCTTAGCTAACGTATGGTATGTCTAGCCTTGCGTCACCGCTTGCGTCGTATGTGAGCGGCCATACGCTGGAGGTAACGGGCGGACGAGGAATCTAGTGTCGTATTTCATTTCATGGTCAACTATCTGCTGTGCAGCTGTATTACTTTTTCCGACATTTCTTCATTGCTAGGGCATCGATTCAGAAACTTCAGCCACTAAAATTCACGAGCGGAATGGTCGTGGAGCACATATTTTGTCACTGTTTTTACTTATTATTCTGACGAGCACACCGAGGGAGAGCAATGTACCGTCCTACTTTGTGGCACGATCAGGATTCTATAGTCAGGGTCCACCCAAATTCAACGTCGTACCCGGAACTGAAATCTAGTCTAATCATGATGAGGTCTCAAAAATGCAGCATCCATGCCCATCCGCGCAACTCTAGCTACATCATCTCTGCTCAAGCCAAGGCCTAGTGGAGGCTGCGCAAGAAGCATAGCGTACTCTCCAAGACAGGACGTTCGAAAAGGTAGCGTGTCATCGGTCTACCAATAATGGAACACATCAGACGAAGGAGCACATGGCGCGTAAAATAGTGTGCTTACACAAATGACGATAGGATGGTCATTCTTCAGATAATAGCGAATATGATGCGCGTCGAGGGAAGCTACGGTTTTGCATCTAGAACAAAGATTGGGTTCGATAGCTCACCGAGTTAATGTATGGTCCTACAGAAGATTGGAGCTCAGGCATATCTCGATGCATGGCTTGTACTGTCCATTTGCGCGCGCGCTATTGGGTAACTCGGCTTGTTTGATTATCTCTTGAATGTCCTTGATTGCAGCTCGCTCGGAAAATTTCTCTGCATCAGCCCAAAAAGACATGTGCATTCTCGCTTCCTCGGACTCGGTGCTATCTGAAATGAAGCGCTGAAAATGACCCTGTTTGAGATTTTGAAATTTGGGGTAGAGAGGGTGAGAGGGATCTCTGAGTCCAGCTGGTGTATGAGGGTTTGTTGTGCCCGTAACACATTCAGACAACAAACTGCATTCCGTCCCTGGCTGCGGGATATCGGCAAAGAATAAAGCCTTGAGTTCATCTGAAAGGAATGTCGCGTGTCCGAGTCGATCCGGACGACAGCTAAGGAGTGCCAGGGAATCCTCAGTTGTGTTCTCTGTGGACTACAAATCCTAACGTCATAATTGAGTCGCATACACCAGAGTGAACATCACAAACCTCTGCGATGTGCACAGTCAACCCAAGACCAGCACCCTTGGCTCTTGAGAGGTGTCGAGTAAAAGGCTGCATGTCGCCTTTTCTTGGATTCCCACATACATCGATGCCCACGACTCTTCTGCCATTGTTCTTCATCTCGATTGCAAGTCTAACACATTCTTCAACGTCCAAGTCACTCATGCGACGATCGACGGACACTATCAGGGCGGCCTGAGTGGCAGGATACATCTCTATTTCATCAAGAACGACTGTGAGGTACCTCTCTCGCATCATGTACTTTGTCGCGCGAGGTGTAGTCCGCAGTTCGAGGTACGCGCACTGAGGATTTTCCGCGCCATCACTTGCGGGGTTCAGGAACGACTGTAGGACTGCACGAGTAGAAATCGCAACTGCTTCCGGAGTGGATGTCAGAGCGTAGATGGCGGGGAACAGCGGGAAAAAGTCAAATATTTCGTTCAAGATGACTCCAGACCTGAGTCTTTCGATAGTTTCTGCGACCTCAGGTGTTAGTGCACTATAATGCGAGTGTTCCTGCGCAAGTTCTAGAATTGTTTTGATAGGGATAGACCCGTTAAGATGAGCATGAAGTTCTGCCTTAGGGAGCGACCGAAGGAAAATCACGTCGTCAGGGCATAGCGACGATAGTGCAGCAGCAGCAGGGCCTGCGATCTCTGGCATTCTGAGAGGCTACTGAATTTCAAACTTCTTGCTTTATATATGCCATGAGTCAGTTCTGACATAAAATTGACAAGGACGTCTGCACGAACCAGATTAACTGCTAGCTGGCTACCTGCTAGGAGAGTCAAGACGTTCGACAGCGGCTATCCTGGACGGATTGATTACCTGCAGGGGGTCTATAGTAACATACATCCTGCCGGGACCCCCCGACCGCCAAACTGTTGCAGGGAGAAAAGGACTTTCTGCCGCATTCGGACAAATTAGCATTAACATTATGTTTTTGGGTTTAAACTCGTTTCGTATTCAATCTCCGTTCCATTCGTCACTATTCCCCATCGTGTTTACGTACCTTCACCAACGCTGAGGTACGTGTCTCCGTTCTTGCTGCATGTTGCTCCGTACTTATTCGAACTACTCTAGCGTCCTTTTCTACAGCAGGGAGGTCGTAATTGAGTCGTCAGGTCTTTTTAGTGACATAATTGTCCAGGTGGTTCCAGACTCAGTGTTTACGCGACTCTCCCAGACAAAGCTCGGGACTGTCTGCGAATCAAAACTAATGTACTTGAACGTGCGTAGCTCACGCGGGACACACATAGTTCGAGCGGGTCATGCGAGACCTAAGGGTACTCTATAATAGGAGGAAGTATGCAGCGGTGTGTAGCGCGAAAAAACACTGGCAGGCCGACAGACAAGAGACTACTGACAACAATTCTCAGCGCAGCTATATAATCAGACAAACAATGACATACGCATCCGACACGGAACTGAGGATTGGGGACTTGACTTGAAGGAAACCCAGTGAGTCAAATCACTGAATTTCAATGTATTTATCATCCAGTGTGGCGACATAACCTCAGTTATGAATTCAATTGATTTCGCAGCAGCGCAGCTTTGGTTGTATAAGAGAGAGGGAAAAGAAGTTTGAATAGTATGTATTATTCCAATCATTGCGAAATGACGTGACAAGACAAGTTCAGAAAAATGCCTTGGTATCCTTGAATCTATACTGGGTGTCAGCATCTTGGAAGGGCTTCGAGAACAAAGCGACGAACACTAGTGTCCTCATTCCCAGGTGGAATGACCATAGCCTCCAGATTTATCCTCGCCAACCCCAGCACCAAAGAAGGCAGCCTTAAGCGAGCCATTCACGAAGAAGGTAATCACAAGAGCATCAACATCAGCGGCAATGACAATCGAGTTCTTTTTCGATTTCAATACGTCCCAAGAGCTATACCCCAGCGTTCCTTTGGTCAGGTCGAGTCCCTCTCCGATGCCAAAGGCCCACCCAGTACCGCTATGACCGTCAGTGGTGGTGACATTGACATGGCTGGCGACAAAACCGGTTATAATGCTGACTGAAGCAGCAGTCACGCTGGGAAAATATTCTAGGCGTACTCTCGGTACTTCTGTAGGTGGATCGCAGGTGAGACCCTCGCGTTCACAGTCTTCTTGTGAAATATGTTTCTGCACCTCGTGTGGCGGGAGGCGCTTTGATGCACATAATGCGCGTGCAAGTTGTGGATGCTGTTCTCTGCCGCGCTCTTCTCCGTATACCTAATCTGTTTGCATCCGCTTGAACAATGGGCAGTACGTTACCATATCAACGCAAATCCACAAGTGTGCAACAAAGCATGCACAATTGTCCTCACGATGACTCAAGTACTCACCTTTGGCCTTTGTCAATGTGGACAATAGACCGTAGACCGTGGACTGTGGACAAGTTGAATTGTGACCCCCTTGAACAGTATTTAAGTCTGTCCGTCGACCAAGTTTTTTCTTCAAACCACTCTCCCTTCTTTCGAAGTTCTCAAGTCCCTCTCGAAACTTCGCAACTCCTGTATTCTTGACTTCAACTTCTACTGTTACCAAAGATTATTCTGCGTTGTTTCCACACAGAGAAATCTACACAGAAAAATCCTTGGTAAAAAAAGTCAGTCGCCCCGGGTCGTGACTCTGCTGAGCCATGTCGGGTGGTTCGTTGTTTGGAGCGCATCTGCAAGTTGGGAGTCAACAGTCTCAATTCACAAAAACGTGTCGGTTTTGTCGTCTTGGTTTCTCATGTCTGTCGCACTGAGCCTCAGCCTCAGGGCAACGTTACGCCATGTGCGAGTCGCACATGGCGTAACGTTGCCCTGAGCTGCTCCTCACTGTGGACAGATATCACCATCGCGCCGCGAAACGTGTATACTAATGTGGCTCCTGCTCGAAGAAGAGATCCATGTGCGAGATCTCGCACATGGATCTCTTCTTCGTGCACAGGAGTTCGCCTCGCATTCTAGAGTCTTCCTGTTGTCTGTCCGACTCGAACTTCCCATAACATTGCGGATTCACGGACGTATGAAGTACGGTACCATTGCAGGGTACCGTACTTCATACGTCCGTGATCATGGACTGGCTCTGTCAGGTGCTACCATGCGTCAAGTATCTCTCAGTGTCCTGTGATACTCTCCAAGCAGCGTGGGCCGTCATGACTCGTTTACAGCCAGCTCGCATGGAGGCTCTGGAGGCCTACGAAATAAAGTTTGGCTATACAGCTCTGTCCTTATGGTCTGCAATTCTAACGCCACTGAACCCGCACTTTCTTGTTCTAACTGGCCGAAACTGTTCGAAGTTGACCCATGTTAAAGTATCTGGGTTGCCAGTGCGTTGGTCTCAGTGGTCTTTAACGCGGTTGACATCCTTATCAATTAATTTTATGAGCTTGCGTGACCGACCTTCGATGTCTCCCTAACGGTGAGACGTCGAAGCAGAAGCAATCCACTTGAGGGTTAGGCTCACTCTGTCAGATTAATGATTATGCAAGGAGAGAATAAATGGTCAGTCAATCGTGACTGTATAGCTGGCGATCAATCAAAGCTCCTCACCTTAAATTGAGACATGTTTTGAATTGGGATGTATAGTTTCCTAACAACTTGATGGTCAGCGGGGCACACTGCTGGTCCACGCACATACGGCGTACCAATAGAAAATAGTTGTTCGAACAGTGAATTGAACCTAAATGGCGACTTGGGTGGTGGACATCACTCATGCATGATTCCTCTTTATATGGCTCCTGAATGACAAAAAGTATGCGTTCAGTTAATTCTGGTGTTGCCGGATGGTGAGGTACAGGGACAGGGGGAAGTAAATATTGTACCTAAAAGTTCAACTTTCCCTTGCACACGAACTTTTTGCTCCCGGGCCCCCCCTTGCACCTGCCAAAATTCACGGCACATCAAACTCATCAGTAAGATGCACTGCGGAGTACATGCTAAGTCACGGTAGCACGAAGATTCCGAGATCTGCCTACTCACCCCCAGGGCTAGACCTTCGACAGTCTTAATTTGAGCCGAGGATTATCTGACTGTCGCCCCACGCGCGAATTAGCTATGATCACTGAAAGCAACACTTACACACAAAGTACTATGTCGCCATCCCCAGGCGCCGTTGACAGTATTATTTTATCTCCTAGACGCAACTGCTGTGAGGAGTCATGATTAATGATGCCCAGTATGTCCAGCATGCATCCCAATCATCGCCCGGCGATCGCCACAACCATGTCTGCTTATTGCACGCATTAACCCGGATACCAGTGGTAACTGATGCCACCCCTGACTCGGAAAGTGCTGCAGTGTTGGTCTTGAATACGATGCTTGAGTTTGGCCCAAGCAACCTGCGAAAGAGGTGACGTGTTAGCGGCGCTAACGTGTTGAGATGTCGTGATCTGCGTTAATAGCCTAGCCATAAGATGGATGTATGTGAAACTCGGCTCACTGTTGAAGCGATAACAGCTGGGACATCAATAGGCACGCCCAAAGATAATAAGTGAGATTTACATTAAGCACGCATAGCAGCTGGTGTGGGTTGTAGTGCTGCGTTCAAGAAAAAATTACAGAAGAGCGTTCCACTCCCAACAAGAATCTCCGCAACTTCGCATCCAGAAACAGAATCCAATACCCAGTCTACCAATGGTGAGAGGAAATCGCGGACTGGACGTTGACCCTAGTGGTGATGACAGGGAGGCTGGAGTTGTCGTCCTGGGCGGGGATGGAGAAAATGCCAGTGTCAATAGTCTTGTGCAGGTTAAGCATCAGCCGAGAGATGAGAGTAACGGATATGCTGTAGGTCATATTTAATATCAGTCTGAGTTTATCGTACCAACTGCTCACCAGCTAGTAAGCGTGGTCAGACTGCCTCTGGTAACAACCTTGACAACCGTCAGGAAATAGTCAACCTAAATTTAAGATGCGGCTGTATATGCTCACTGAACCAGACTAATTCAATCTGTGAGTGCTTTGTGACTCCATCGGTGCTAATTCGTCAACTCACGTAGTACGTCAGAATGTTCGGTACACTAATCAACACCATCGCTCTGAAGGCATGCAGATCAGATTCACTCGAATCACAATCCCAATAGCAACCTTACCCGAAATACATAACTCCTACGTTCATTTGATTGAGCATTCACAATACATATGCAACGAAAGATTTACCATCATGAAATATGACATCAATCATATTTTTCCTGGTGAATAGAGACAACCGCAGCAAGCCTCTACTTTTGCAAATCCTGTACACTGTAAGGATGAGGATCAGTAATTGGAAGACCAACTCGGCCACCCATGCCAGCCCAACATCTGCAATAGGATAATGTCGTGGCATCAAATTGCATGCAAATGAGACAAAAATTTCACTGACGGGCGGCTCTGCAGAAACTTTTGAGTCAGCACGCAGAGCGGCGAAGAGGATGGCGTACGTGTCCGCTGAAGTTATTTCATAGCAGCCAGCTCCTGACAAGATGACCGCACTGCCTGAAAAATGCCCAAAAGACCACACCTAGAAACAATCAGTACAAGAATGTAAAATACTATCTGAAGTCGTACAGAAACTGCTACCCCAAGAGCAATCATGATGATTATCATGCAAGTAAGCAGGCGCTTATTACCACCGTAGAGAGCGTAAGTACGAATAGTCATTATGACTGCAATTTTCAGTACATGAAGTTCTTGCAATAAATTTCGACTCACAGCAAACCATGATCACTTGGGAAAAAATGGCCAGTTGTCTGTATAGCGTATATTTTGAACAGCTAAGTTTTTGTTGAGCAAAACAGCAGATATCCAAGAACCAGAGTAAACCAAACCTCTACAGAAAGAAGTTGTGAGTTCACCAATTGAGTACACACATAACGAAATCATAGAACCTCATCTGAGATCGACACGAAATTCATAATTAAAGCGCAGATATTGACAATCAGAGCGAAATAGCGATTGAGCAGAAATAACATTGCAGACAGCGCTTTCGGACGACGCCAAATAAAAGCGATTTCTTCTGGTAGGGTCGTCATATGGTCGTATATCAAGACACCTATAATATCGCGTTATCATTCTGGACCACAAAGAAAACTAAGCTCTGGTACTGTTTCCCGCCAGAATGGTGAACCCGTTGACCAAGCTGTAAATATTCAATCACCATCGGGATGGATAGTCAATCTATGTGCGTATCACTCACATCTGCTGCGCATCCGAGACAATAGTATCCATTAATGAGCCAATTTTCAATGGGAGAAGGGGTTGAAAATGTGCGGCGATCCGTTATATACCAGCCGTGATCGATTGATCAACGGTATTTTCCGCAATCACGTCAATGAAGTGCTGTGTATGCAAGCCTGTGCCGTTTCGAAGCTATATATACCGTTCCATGCTAAAAACACAGCGATCATGGCCACCATGGCGATCAAGTGGGTTCGAAAAGATAAGTTGGTGACTTACTTATGCTTACATCAACTCCGAGTCGGCACTAAACCAGAAGATGTGTACGAGAAATTACCTGAAGTGGGAAAAAAAGCAGAAGCAATCCATTGAGATTCCATTAATACTCATTCGTTGACTTCACGTAATGCGTCAGGATGTTCGGCATATTTACCAGTGTCATCGCTCTGAAGGCATGCATATCAGATTCACTCAAATCACGATCTCAATAGCAACCTCACCCGATATACATCTCACCTACGTCCATTTAATTGAGTATTTACAACACAGATGCAACGAGAGATTTACATGATATCAATCACATTTCTCCTGGTGACTAGAAACAACCACAGCAACCCTCTAAGTTTACAAATCCTGTACAGTGAGGTTGGAGGTCAGTAAAAATTTGGCCACCCATGCTAGACCAATACCTGCATTTGTCTAAGGTCATGACATTGAGTTGCGTGCAGACTTAGACTTCAATGACAGGCGGCTCTGCAGAAACTTTTTAGTAAGCACGCAGAGCGGCGAAGAATACATATCTGCTGTTGAGGTTTTATGGCAGCCAACTCCTGGCAAGATGACCACATTGCCAGAAACTCCAAAGCTCCCACCCAGAAACGATCACCATCGAAGTAGTGGCTAGGATGGTGATATTGCTGGGCTTGATGTATCTAGTCCTACGACACTAAGTGAGGAGTGAGAAACGGCAAAGCAAGGGCTCACCTATATTGCGATCATTGCTAACAGAAGGACACTAGCCTGCAAAGTAGAAGATTTAGTTAAACGCCGGTTCCAGAAATGTATCTCAGGCAAACATGTGGAATATTCTTACCGGTAGCCAACGGAACTTCTTCTTGCCGGTCAGGACTGCCCATTCAAAGAGACCAAGAATTCTCATTTGAGCCATTTATTCCATCATAATCTTCGATAGGTCAAGCAACCCAGTGTGAATCAGTCAAATGGATGTGCATGAATGTGGATCATCGATACGCACAAGTTTCTTCCGGTGAGTTCCAGGCTACCATCTTCATTACGTCAGACTGTTTTAAGCCTTTGCTGGGATATGATGTCAATTTGGAGAAACATTAGGCCCGGCCGCAGTTTTTATCTTTTTGAGAACAACCTGAGCGATCGCAGTCTACTAATCGTCCGCATTTTATTACCAGCCTGTCATGGCCTGTGACTGTCATAATATTGATATGCCTGGAAGTTCCGGCACTCGGGTTGATGTTGATGTTGATGTTGATGAAACACTTGTACCGGATGAGGTCTTCACAGCAAAAGCAAGTGCTGCATATAGGCATCGAAAAAAGACATACCATACAAGTAAAATATACCACGAATGAGATAAGTCTCACGAGATGCCGCGGTCCGCGACAAAGACTCGAAGGAGTTCCAGCGTCTTTGGCAGTGTCATGAACTTACAGAAAACCTCCGCTGCGCCCACTGCCGAAACGCTCTCCGAGTCCTTTGGCATCCCGAAGCATCTTCTGCCTCTGTTTATCGTCCATAAGCCGTCCACCTAGAGACATATCGCGTTCGTGATCCCAGATAACCGAGGGTTCGCTCTGCTTTGGCCTGTGCTTCTCTTCCTCTTTTTCTCGTTCTATATGTGACTGGACAAGGGCTGAACCACGAGCCTTGCGCTGGCAAATAACGCTCAAGTTCCGTTTCAAACTGACCAGCAATGAAAGGAAACATACTGTGTGCTCATCAACTCCTCTGCGTATCTCTTCATCCTGTCGCCGTCGCTTGGCTGCGTCATGCGACTCCTCTTCTGGCTCTGCGTTTGTTGCCCGTCGTTTCCGTCCAGCAACTTCGTCAGCAAGACGTTGTTGTTTTTCAGCAGGTGTCTCAGTCCAAAGGGAAGATCCAGAATCGTCCCGCGATGGTGCAGCGCTACGTGCAAACTGACGAGGCCTGGCTTTCGTAGGGTCAAGTGCTACATGGCTTCGATGAGTACGCAACATAGAGAACCGCGTCTTGGGTGAAACATACACGCCAATAAGTCGCCTTTTTTTGGAGGTACAAGCATCCACTCCTCCCGCTGAAGCTTTTTCGGCTTGCTCGCTTCCTCCTGAAGTTTCCTTCTCCTTTCCTCCCTCTCTAGAAACTCTTCCACACCTGACTTTCCTTCTACTCGCGAAGCATAGGCAGCTGGAAGCGGTTGAGGCCCGACATCTGAATCCGAGTCATCATCATAAGGAGCTTGCGGGCGAGGTAATGATGGTCCTACGTATTGTCGTTTCGGGGGCGGTGTATTCGATTCGCTCGTTGAGGGCAATGAAGGCCCAGCTGTGCGGGAAGCAGCAAGGTCGGGTGGCAGAGAGGGTGTGTAGTCGTCCTCTTCGTCAGAATCCTCGGCCGACGCGATGGATGGAAGGAGATGTGCTGGAATTTGAGGACCGATGGAAGACATTGGAGTAAATGGCAGCGATGAACTTAATCTTAATTCAGTTGTAACTCCTAGTAGCTTATGTAATTACCCATCACTTTTGCCGCCGCATTCAAATGATTCATGCGTTCCCTCCATTTCAACTGGCCAGCGTAGGAACGATTGGTTTCCTTCCTTCTGTCATGGTCTGACTAGGGGAGACTATGGCCAGTATGCTCGTGGTCGACTTTGTTTTATGAAGCTTCACGAACCCACACAAGCTCTCCGTACAATACATGTAGGTCCTGCCGCCTACTAATTCCATCATGAGCACTCCCTCTGTCAAAGCTGAGTTCTAGCATGTAACTTACGACCTGCCGACCTGCTTACGATCGAAACAATTTCTCTGACGCAGATCAGAATGATCTAGGAACGCAGATTGCAAAGGAAGTCACGGTCGCTTTCAGAACCGTCGGACGCATCAACTGGATTCCTTAGAGTCTTAGACCGGCTGGGTCTGGTAGTAGAAATCATGATGTTAGCCTTCCTGATATCTCCTTCCCGACCCAGCGAGGCCGAGCGATCATTCGAGATTTGTTCGGGACACGTATCATTTTCCTCGCGTGTACTACCTCGAGCTCTTATGAATACGTACTCCGAATTATCATTGCATTCAACCCAAGGACGCCCAAGCAGGCAAAACGCTTTTATCAAAATCTATTTTTATTGAATACAAGGATGTGCAGAGCAGGCGGGAAACAGGTAATGTAAATATCAAACATGATAAGCAAATCGTTTCCACCCGTCTCAGAAATTCGAACGGGTCACGCTGGGGTCCAGTAGTGGGTATCATGAAATGGCGTCATGGCGTCTTGAGTAGTCCGTCTTGAGTATCGTGAAGTGGTCCTTTTCATAGCATGGTGGCGGCGTGAATGTCATGAAATAGTCGTCTTTTGATAGCATGGTGGCGGCGTGAACGTCATGAAGTGGTCTATTCTGAGGTAGCATGGCGGCGTAAATGCCATGAAATGGTCTTGTTACTGAGAGCGTGTAGCTTCGCGAGTGTCGTGGGCGATGATCGCGTTCCTACTAAACGTGGGCCATGGTCGTTAGCGTTGCCCGTCACGAGTGTCGTCAAATGATCGTGTTCTGAGACGTCGTGGCGGCTTGAGTGTTCTGTCTTGAGTATCGTGAAGTCGTAGTATCGTTAAGTAGTGTTCTTTCTTAAATGTCGTGAAATGGTCATGATTGATAGTGTCGTGGCATTCGTGTCATGAAACGGCCGGTTATTGATGGCGTCGTATTCTTCTCGTCGGATTGTGGCCCGTGACTTTGGTGGGCTAGTATCGTGGTATGTCGTGGTTTAGTCGGTAGTTCTCGGCGCTGTGGTGAGTGACGAAGCTGCAGCGGGTGGGCACAATGTGTTGGCGGACGTGCGTCGCCAGGGTAATGGTGGTGGTGGTAGTGGTAGTGGCTGGAATCGCGGCTGCGACCACATTTGTTCGATGGCGAAATGACGCAACGTGGGCCTTGATTTGCGAACCAGGTTCTGGAACCAAAAAACCGCATCGACTGTGAGAGGAAGTGGTGATCTCGACGACGTTGGGTGATTGCCCATGGCGGCAACCCAGTCGTCCACGAGGGACGCTTGGTCGCAGACGTGCCATAAGGTGGTCAACTAGTTTAACTGAATTCAACGAGCATTCAGGAGGTAGAAGGAAATCCTGACCAATCCTGTTGGCGTGTCGCCGAATGCGAGAACGCGCAATGCTGTCGCAGGTGGCGTTCAATCGCAAAGCTCTAGGTTTGCGCTAACAAACAGCGATGCCTAGTCTAGTGACGAATATGTCGGTACCTTCTGCTGCATGAGCTTATGCGGTCAGGACTTCTCAGGCTGATATCGAAGCGCCGCAGGAGGGGGAGGTATGAGTCGACCGGCGGCGTGTTTCGTAACCGGGAGCGGGTACCTTAGCCAGGAGGCAGCGGCCTTTGTCTTCCGAGCTAACAAGTCAGTGGGGCGGGCAGATCCAGGAAGACCACCACGGAGAGAGTTGGTGACCTTCGTTTAGACGTCCATGGGGTTGGAGAATCCGAGGGGAGAGGATTGGTAGTATTTGTAGCCGTCGTCCGGAATTTGTCGACCAGGAACAGTGGCCGCAGGTTCGACGGACAAGAAAGGCCACTGAAAGTCGGTAGTTGTTGCGCTTGGGGGTAGAATGTCGACCTGGTGGTCGTCCTTCGTGTGTGGAAATAGCATAGTTGTCCTGCGACCAAGTTAGGAAAATCAAAGTCTAGGAATGATACTCCATACCTGATGGATAGTCCTTTTGTCACCAGACGACTCGACGTCTTTGGTGTCTGAGGTTTCGTCAGTGAAGACGTCCTTCCGAGTCGAGTCGTCGTCGTGGGCTATGAGGGTAGTATCAGATGTGATAGAGATCCGGTTACATTTGGAGACTGGGGTAGACAAATCGAGTGTAGTGTTGGGTGTGGTCGAAAGGCTTGTACAATCGGAGGTGAAATTCGACAAATCGAGTGGGATAGTGATGCTGGGTGTTGATTCGGGTACAAGTGACGATGAAAATGAAAATGAAAATGAAAATGAAAATGAAGATGAAAAAGATGGTGAAGAGTGAGTCTGGGATTGAAGTGAAGCGAAATTCGCGACTGGGCGAGTTATCTTGATTTAGTTTGCACTCTGGGCCATCCGGTGCTGTCGGAACGGTATCTGTGAGGTTCTCACCGGTTGATGGCGCACCGATCTCGCCGCCGAGTATTTTTGAAGCGGTTCTGTGCGGCGATGACGAAAACGACGGTAGTCGCGTCGTGCAGGCCGATGCGACAATTAGGCTGGTGGAACCTGGCCTTGGACCAGATTGAATGGGACGGCCGACAGTTTGGTTGAAGAAAACCACAGATAAAACGCCCGTGAAGGCTAGGCGTGAAGCGATATGGCAAGAGGAGGAAATCATAATGGTGAATATCGTAAAACGGTATGCAGCGTGCGGGCAAAGACATTCGACGGCGAACGTTAATACTTATCCTTACCACGATATTTGCGCGTGCTTGCCAACTCGATGTTGAACATGACGCGTCAGTCACGTGTCTGGAAAAGCAACCTTCAGCTTCATCCTCCTAACTATCAATTAATGATCAGAGGTACTGACAATATCGTCAGCTGATGAACGTTCGAACGTTCGAACCCCTGTCACATGCGAAAGCTGACAGTAGCCTAGGGTTTGATCGCGATATCCGATTCGCGATTATTGCAGCCAGCTGCTATATTCGCAACTTTGACTCACTTACCGTATCTGTCATTCGTCTTGTTTCTGGTCATGACAAATTGACAGCACTATGGAAAACGCGATATGCTGGCACGATTGTGGATCGCTTGCCTCATTATACAGACTGATTAGCCTGTTAGAAACGCAGAACGTCGCCCCACCTTCGCACTCGGAGTCATCACGAATCACAAGTTACCTCAGAACAACCGTCACCTTGCAAGACGGGATGGAACAGCCTATCTCGATGCGAGCCCCCCGGTTAGTCGTTATACCTCGCTTGAGATCTCTGCAATATGTACAGGTATGGCGTCGTTCTCGAGCGCTAACACATGTTGGTTGTTTTCAGCACATTAATGGGTTGGTTTCCGATAGGGGATCTGACCGATTGAACAAGATATGACAACCATTTCAACTCAATGAGTTATCTCTAAAAAGGTTTAGTGTTATCGTTCTCAATGCATTATAATCAATATCACTTACACCAAACCCCTGAATATCTCCCAAAAGACAACTTTGAGGTCCTTTGGCCCAAATTCGACGATAAACGCGGTTTCGGGTGTACAGAGCATCCAACATCCATGCATTTTTGGTTAAACGGATCTTCTTGCAATTGTTAACTCTGCACTGCTCGTCAAAACCAGTTTGACCATAACGGACTCCTCAATTTGTGGCTGTCCACTTACTATTACGGCGATCTTTTGATATCAGGAAAAACTGTTCAAGACCAAGCGGAATGCAAGCAAACTTTCATCCGTACCCGTCCGACTCCTCGTACATTGTCATTGATGGCGACGCTAAGGTACCGCCGGTCTAGAGCGTGGATGCTCGTGGAGGCCCTACCCATACGCAATGCATGTGCTCCATCGTCACAACGGCTTTGATCTATTCACCATCCATAAATTATAACGACACGCAAAAACGGCACACATTGGTGATCGGTGTATTCATCTCGCCGACCGGGCTCTTCAAGAACCGAAACTTCCTTGCAACCGATGCGGCGCAGCATGCGATGTGGGCGATTAAATTGTAGCCCCGGACGGAGCCTCCTTTTTCATGAGAGATGTCGTTTTTCATTGATCTGACAAGGATCACTAGTCTCATCAATGACAAGTGACTCTACGGGGGACTTGTAACTACAACGATGTAGTGAGCACCTGTTGGCATCATACTAAATTATATCATATCCTCACTGTGCAGTTTATGTAGGTGTTGTGAACGTATTTCTTGTCTCAAGGCACATAATTATTGCCTCGTACCACGGGCCATTCCTTTTTTCACAGATATCACCCTATATCACCCCACAAAATATCCCCTGTTGAAAACGAATTAACACCCCTCACAGCCCCTCCAATCGGCCCGACACCCTCATGGACAGACTTGTACATAGTGCGCGCTCAGGCTGCGGACTCTAGGTGGTCTTGCCAAGTATATTTCCGGCACTCGCATCTGATGCTCATCGGAAGTGGACGAGGCACAGCGATTATATCGCCACATGGAATTGTCACATCAAAAGTCTTAGTCCCCTGTGCCGCCGCAACCTTCCAAAGTAACACAGCAAACACCTGGGAGGTATATAATATCATGTCATGATATCGTCAACGACGGCGATGTGTACAGCCAGGGTACAGCCTGATTCAATGCACACTCTTGATCCCTCGATGTTCAGCGCATTAATGCTACGATGGTACGGGGCGTTCATCAGATTCGAAGCATAATTGAATGTGTACGAGATGATATCAGGTCGCATTTTCAGACCGCAAAATGGCGTGATCGTCGATGATCGTTCAAAGATAGATTCCATCTACGCTCTCAGATCTGTCTTCATCTATGATCTGAGCAACATCCGAGTCCTGCGAGATAATGTAATGATCTGGATCAGGCGGCCAGTCTGATCAGCCTCTCCCCGAAACAAGTGTGGAGCATTCATATCTGCATGTCTATTCACCCATAAAAGATCCTGATCATGTGAGTGAATTAAAGCTAGTGTTTGTAGAAAAAGTACCGTGAACGTTTGAACCACTGTCGTCCATATCTACATTCATGCAATAGTCCATTTCAAAAGTCCTCAATAGCCTTCAGATGTTGGTGGGTAGGCCCTTCTCGCACCGCCATAGCCTCCTTGGCCGTAACCACCCTGGGCACCACCATACGTTGGCTTCCCGCCGTAATATTGCGTGCCACTAACGCCGCCTACAAGGCTCGCAGCGCCAGCGTGGTAGCTTGATGTGTCCTCCTCGTAGTCTCCACCAGGGGTCGTAACAGAAGCCGTGAGAAGCGGGTCCTTGACTTCCCAGACCGCAGCTTTGGATCCGACGGAGAACTCGAGGTCTTCACGCTGTGAAAAATAATATATATAGATGGGTGTAACAGATAATCCAAAAACACACGTACCGTGATACTATCCCAGTATTTGTATACCATCATCACACTCAACAGGACACACAGGGTGAAGAAGAAGAGGCCGTCCAAGTAATGCTTGATGGCATTACATATGGTGACGCTGAAAGCGAACAGGAGAACTTGAGCGATCGCGTAGAATGCGATTCCGAAGATGATGTCACCGAGAGGCCAGCGGTCGTCAAGAGTCCGGAATACTAGAATGAGTTGCGAGATGGTATATGTGGCGACACAAAGGATGGGCCAGATGAGGTAAATGACGAAGAGCCCGGTCGGTTTCGAAGGAGAGAATGAAACAAAAGATTTGAAAGTGGCGATAGAGATGAAGAATGATGCTCCGAAGACGGCGAAGCAGGATATCCGAAGGAACCAAAGGGAAAGAGGCGTTCCGTCTTCAGCGAATTGGAATCCAACGAAGCCGTTGATAAGCAGACAGCAGTAGGCGGTTGCTACTAGACCTGTATAGACTGCAGCAAACCACTACGCACATTTGTGACATGATCATGGCATGATTTTGCATGGCAACTCACGGGATAGCTGACGTTTGCAGTCGGTATAATTCCCGAGTCTAGGAACATTGCGAGAAGCTCGATGACCATGTACAACCAAAAGAACATCACGATCTCTTTGCGTCCAACCGCGGTGTACTTTGAGCGAATATGATAGATCATGATTGCGGTCATGATTATTGCGACGATATGAACAAAACATGTTGCTGAACGGATGAAAATCAGCCTCGTACGCTATATCCATAGTGTTGGAATACATACAGGGCTGGAAAATGAGGGTCTGGCCGATTTGAACGTTGCGTGAGTAGCATGTAGGTTCCACGCCTTGTCCAGATGTACCCATCAATGGGCAAATGACGAGAGCAGCAGTGCTGCACACTCCATCGAAGGAGCCAAACGTGATGGCCATAGCTCCAAGTAGATGATAGTACTTAGAGGGGTGTTGTGCGAGCTTTTGAGAGATGAATGTCGGGTAATATTTGGTGGGTGCAGGGCCCTGGCCTGGTTCCGTTCAACGTGCCGCTTTGTGAAGGGCCTTGATATCGAGAGAAAGCGAGCGAAAGGTGATTAGTCCGAACGACTTGGAATATCTGGCAGGTCTTCGGGTAACTGGCCTGCAAGTAAACCACACCTAGCGGGTATTGTGTGAAAAGACAGGGAGCGGGCTCGTCGCCCTATGTGAATGCGGTGCGTTGAAGCCGAGATGGCAGACAACGACTTGCACAGGCAGGCTGAATTGCTCTCCCACGCCACCTCTCCAGACAGCATGGGTCTCTCCAGGTCTCTCCCTAAACCCACAAGTGACTTGGAATCGACACCTTGTCCACTCGTATACAAATGGTCTTTCTAGGACGTGTTCTCTTCGATCAAAGGCAGCCGATACGCTCATTATGTGCACCTGAAATGAAGTCAACAGCACGACACGACACGACATTCCATCGATGCCACGGCGAAGACATGTTTCTGAACAGTATCTTTAACAAACTTCTTTTGCCTTGGTGACCTTGCATGAACATTTCAATATGGCTCCTCAAGGACTGAGGACAATCGATTCTGATCCCAATTTGACACACTGCTCAGAAGAGGATGCCGCGGTCGGCCTTCACTGTATCGCAAGGCAATTCCTGATTAGGTGCGTTCATATGTACTGCCCAAAAAAATATACATAGGACGCCCTAGTCCATGCCCGCCCATGACGGGTTGACAACGCTGTACTGTTCGGTTGTTGGATGGCCCATTGCGGACTGAAGCTTTGCAACCGGTGACTGCAAGATCCGCATTCTTACGAAACGGCACGGGTGACGGCGCCTGGTGTCTGCCAGTTAGCCACGGTACACGTTGATATCTCCCACCATGTCACCTCATGTCACGCGTAAATAACGGATCACCTACATATGTCTTACGATTTCGCCGCGCTGTGGGCAGAACGTACGTGCACTGCGCATACGCTGCATTACCCTTGATAAACTGTTCTGACATCCTTAGTCTGGACACCACGTGCCGCGCCATCACACCCCATGCTACGAACATGTGTATATTATTACTACAACGGCTGATATTACTGGTTGCAAGTATCGGTATTGGAACTCGGCTTTTCGAATGCAGACATCCCTCGTATTTGTAGCCCGACTTCTGCGAACACCGGAATACTGACGACATCGCACACGCTGATCTATGTGGGACTTTCGGGAATGCAAAAAACGTCCCTTGACTATTCAGTTTGGAGTATGACAGAAGTATCTCCTTTGGGAGTAAGCCGTTAGTATCTGAAGACACTCTGGCTAACTGAGGCTGAGTTGCACGCCCACTCCCATGGATGGGGTAACGGCTTTGCTTCAGGGTTTCCCAAGTTCGTTTCATGACAGGCGTTTTTTTTTCGGATCGTCCGTTTCAAATCAATGCACACAGTTGAGGCTTCTCCGTTGAACGCCAACAGCCGCGTTGGCGTTGAACCTTACTTGGTGGCGTTTTACAAGCCTAGTTTTGGGATCCTAACAATCTAGGCCTTTGCCTACAAAGTTAGAGTACTACTAGTTCGTCTGCTAAGATACCTCCGTGGTTCCATTGTTCAGAACACGCGCTGGAGCCTTGTTCGTTACCGCCGAATCAGTGGCCATAGCCGAAGATCAAAAGCATCCTTTTCCTTGCGCTCATCAAAATGAGTAATGACGCCGCAGGGTCACGTACATCATGTGCAAGTTTGGGAAGCTTTGTTTACAATCGAATCCGGATGGTTGGCTCACGCTCAGGCAGCTGCCATTTTGGTGTGCCACAACTAAGTACATAGCTATGGATAGGTAGGCTTCGACGGAACACCATGTGGAAAGAACTGAGGCCGTAGCCATCCTTCACAAATGCCATTTCGACCGATATTTCAAAATAAAATAAAACGGGTCCACCCTCATTTCGCGGGCGGAATTCGACCAAAGATGTCATTTTAGCGACAGTGAATGCCTCGGTGATTGTACAAGCGCAGGATCCATTTGGGCTCGACTGCGGAAAGTAGCGGCTAATATGGGTTGTCAGCCAAACAGGGCCGGATGATTGAACGTGGCATTGTCAAATGTCGATATGGTTTCTGTGATTTGCGTGCCGGGCAACTTGGCTACGGTTTGCTCGCCTCCTCATGCGTATACATGCGGTAGAGAAGTAGTCAAACTTAGGCTGGTTTAGCCCGTTGCGTAGCGATGGAGGCCATGGCTGTTTTGCCAAATACGTGAGAGGGGAGGGGTCTAAAAGTAGATTGCCGTTTTATTCTGGACAGTACCGCTGAAAGTCCATGATGTGAGCTCCAAATCATACGCCACATTCTCCGCTTCGGGCGCATGGAAATCACTATGGACTTGTGCCAAGTGATCAAGGAATCAGAGCCATGGCGCCTTGCGGGGACTTCGTGGATTCCCACTTAATACTACTTGAATTCAATGGATAGTGGGCTTACCGGATCAAGTTACTTTCAATTAACCCCTCGCCTGCCGCTGGGGCTGGGTTGATATCGAAGATGAACTTCGAAGGCGTTTGACGACTGCTTACCATCTTTGCGAACCGCCGCCCACTAACCCTGGCACCTGCCTTTGGGTTCATAAATCAAGCGAGAGCTTATATTGTATGTATGCTACATTAGCCAACTCACACCCCAAATGTGAAGTAACCTTCCATGACCCTCACGTACCTTAGCCACAAGGTGTCAATAGTGAGAAAAGAGTGTTGACTGATTCCGTGGCATAGTACCCCCCCTGTATCGTGTAAGATAGATGTGGAACATGGTCGAATTCTCCTGAAACACACTCCACGGCTTTATAATTTATGGACAAGGCGCGGCTTGACCTGGCCAGATCAATTATTATCTTATCTAGGTCAAGGCCTCGTGGCTGTGTTCAAGGCACCACGGGGACTTTGATCATGAAAATAATGCCTTTGTCGAGCTTTTGTGGTAATTTGGGCATGCACGATTCGTATCGCTACTCGGGGCCTGCACTGTGAATGCGCGTGTGCCACGGCATGCTGTAGCTATCTTGTGATTCCCGGCATGGTCCCTTGTGATATGTCTTTCCTTGAATCAACTGAGAACCTGTCATTCTTCCGCGAGCGTTTGGAAGCACGGTTGGTTGTAACATAGCTGTATAGTAATTCCTGTTAGGACTATCGTGATGAAACGGTAGTAGTCCCGGCACAGCATCCGACTCAATCACGGGAGAAGGGGTGACTTGTAAATTAATAGAAATGACTGTTTTGGGTCACCAGGTCCGAAAAGTTGCCGCCTTTGAAGGTTAGTATAATCACTTTCCGAAGTCGCATGCCATTGCTATGGATCGTTGGTAGTTTCTCAGCAGAAATCTCACGTCAGAGCCTTTCAGCACCGCGGGCTTGATATCTTTCAAGGCAAGGTTGATTCTCGATGGTGCAAAAAAAATCTGATAGATGGAGTGATTGCTCCGTTTGCCAAGCGACGGTCTAGCGCGAACACTTGCTCATCCGACAATGAGCCAATCAGCAGGTACTTGTGGGGGCACAATCTGTAACAAAGCGCCCTCTCCATTTTAACTGTCATATCTAATAATTAAGTAAATACTGGAACAGGGGAAGTTCCGGATGTCAGTCACGTGTAAGGTGAAACTTGACCGCGGTTATTATTTAGTTGACGGTCATGTGATCAAAATATACTTTATTAGGAAATGAGTTAGTGGTAAGGCTATGGGGAATCCCTGGGGATTCCCCCATGCCGTTGATGCCGATGAAAATGTAAGGTTAAATCTGTGAAAATCAGACAAATTTAAATTTGACGGGGACAAGTCAATCTTAGCAAAAAAAAAAACGTCTAAGATCTAACGGAGCGCTTGCAGTTACTAAAGACTACGAAGCGGGCTCGGAGGCGCTGCAATTGTAGTTCTTCCAATTCAACTCACTCAACCCTTAGCATTCCGGGTGCTAGACACGCTATCCCCTGTTTTTGTCTCTAAGCGGAATATGCCAACCATGTCCGCCAATTTTACACCTCCATCCAATACATACGACATTTCCTTTTTATATATCTTCATGATCCCGACACTTGTTATTGCCCTCCCGAACTCAATTCCAGGTTCATCCAAATGGCCCTTTATACTCCTCCATCTCTCCCATTAACTCCTTGCAAAATGGGCTCGACATCACGTCCCTCATTGCCCACTGAGCTCCTAGCAACTTGGTCTGCTTGGCGTCCGCTAGCACACACTGGCCTCCTGACTCCTCCAATGTCTGCATCTCTACCAAGGATCGGCGCTCCCCAGGTGACGTCCTTGCCACCCATTGCTCACTTTGATCGTCAGGTATCATACATGCATCCAAGTACGTGTTTCCTACTCTCATTCTCATCATTAGTTATTCATCTAGCCAAAGTAACACCACCGCGTACTCAAGACGCGTCTGCTTGGTCGCGACCTGTTCACGTCGCGGACGTGTCACCCGAACCCTATGTGAGCGAGGTGGACCACCACGCGCATCCCTTTCAGCAAAAGCCTGCACCGTCTGAAGATGTCCCTCGTCCAATTGATTGGTTTGACGACTCCCTCAAGAGATCATCACATTACATCGCAGAGAAAACTTGCGAAATGATATGCTACCTATGGTTCTCTTCGTCACTTTCGACCTCGACATCTACTCAACCACTCACCCCTCCCTATTCACCTGAAATTCCTGCCGCCACCTCCTCTCTTCAGCTTGCTGCAACGCCGACCTTTGTGTCCTTTATGCAGAAGTTGCTAGAAACTACCCAGGTCAGCCAATCGGTGATCGTCTTGTCTCTCCATTACATATGGCGACTCAAGGAACGAAACCGTTTCACCGCTGGTTTGCCCGGAAGTGAGTTTCGCATCGCGGTCGCCGCGCTCATGATGGCAAACAAATTTCTCGATGAGTGAGTTCATTGTGCCTATTTACGTTATTGTGTTCTCAACCATGATTCTAGCAACACGTACACCAATAAGACCTGGTCGGAGGTTTCTGGTATCGAATTGACTGAAATTACCCGAATGGAGAAGGAATTTTTAATGGGAATCAACTTCAACCTTTACATATCGAAGAAGACCTACGATTCGTGGATGCACTTATTGAGAGGACTTGTCCACGCGAAAGAACGAGAGTGTCGTAGATGGCGTCATACTCGCGTCCGGCATCGGACGCCTCGTCACACTCAGCCGATGTCCGCAGCACCAATTCGTTCCTATAGATGGAGATGTCACTCGTCATCCCACCGCGCACGTTCGACCTCGCCCGAACAACCCATTCATCCTCGTACTTATTCGTCTTCATATCACGTGACTCCGCCGAATCCCGTTCTCTCGCCATGTCTTGCCCCTGGTTTGAAACGCTCGGCTGCTGACGCGTTCTCACCGACTTCGTCATCGTTCCACGAGTTACCGCCATTGAAGCGTCCCACGGGCATGACTTTGCAAATTCCGGAAACAAGTTATCCAACGGCCCCTCATTCGGCTTCACCAGTTGAATCTTTGCAGTCCTTTGCCAAGATGTCATTGTCATCATCTTCGCCACACTCCTTACGGTCTGCCCAACAAGGTGATTCACGCCCGCAGACTTTGGTAGCTGCCTACTCTGCGGAAGGACCCGTGAACGTTCCTCAGGTATGTTCTTTCCGTCTCATCTGCATAATCTATCTCACATTCGTGGTAGAACCTTTATTATTACTCGCTTGCTGGGTCATCGACCGACAATGCAGCGGAAGAAGAAAGAGTTCGCCGTAAAACCCGATTGCGGTGTTATCAACCTCAGCCTCCACCTCCGCCATCTTATCCGCCCCCGTCGTATATGCCACAGGATATCCAGTCCGAGTCTGTCAGCCCTTACGAAATACACGTCGACGTGCGAGCCGTGCCTCTTCCTCACCTGCACGATGCCGTCTGGTCTCGGAAGCTTGCTCGACCTCCTTCATATGGCGAAAGTTCTTTGCAATTACCTCCCTTGAGGGAAAACGCAGTTCCGTCAGCTCCTTTCGCCAACGCAGGACCACCTGGTGTCCATTTTTACTCTGCTTCTAGTCAGCGGGAATCTCCCGTGTATCCTTATAATTGGTCTTATGGCAGATAGTCCTTGGCTACTCATTCCTGTTTAATGCACGCGATTATTTGCATCTCATCGGTTCTTCTACTTTTCACATCGAACTTCAACTTTGCACTTTTTTCGCCATATCATTTCGTTGCACGCAATTCATTGACACTGACATACATTCTCGGCATCCGCATTTGTATTTCACTTACATTTCCACTTTCTGTTAGCAGAGATCAAGCAGAGATTACATTACCCTCATAGTTAGCTACTACTATACGAGAAAGAATGCTAAACTGACATACATCGAAGTCGTCGGAGCTGGTGGGATTACTTGGTAAACCAATCACAAGCCACATGAACCTTGATGTGATGTACTTATTAAGGCCTACTAACAACGGTAAGTTGGTAACTGTACAGTTACAGTGTTGTTATTGGTGCGGCTTGATAGATCTATGGCCGAAACAGCCTAAAATTTCAATGGTCTTCCGAGTCTGGAATGCATGTGCGCAGAAGCCCATCTTTTTTTTTTCCCGCATAGGTCAGTGAGAATGACGGTATCATGCCTGATCATGCCCAGTCCGCACTCCGCGGTCCCCATCGTGTCATCGGAGCCCTTGTTACAGATCGCGCCAGGCTTTTGATGCCCCTGCTACAGGTATGAGTCGATCTGCATTCACGTACGGTGGCATTGGCACAGGATGTCTCCGTGTGCCTCCGGGACGTCTATTTCCCAGTACTCCGTGCCCCTATATCCTCATTATAACGATACTTTCAAGTTCTGGTCTCGTTCTCACCGTAATCGAACGGTGTAGCTTCATAAATAGGTTGGGCCCAGTGTGACGAGACGACCTAACTATTTTACGAAAAGAATTTTAGCGTTCATCCCGGAGTAACCCATCACCACCTGCGACCAGAATTGGCATGTGAGGGCCTATCATATCACGGCCCAAGTCTGATAGATACGCATGATGGATCTTTTCCTGTCCCACAAAGGGATTGACAATGAGGGCTTTTTCATGTCGAACCCCCGTGTTCCTTACCACGCCCCTAGTAATAGCATTGTTGCAAAGGCCATTTGGAGTTACATTTGACAGATTTCGACGCCTCTGTACAATCGCCAACTCACAGGTTAATAATGATGCCCTTCCGAATTACTTATATGCGGGGCCAGGGGTCGGTTTCAGTGTCTGACGATACAGATTGTGATCTCAATTGGGCCATGTTGGATGAAAGGAACGCTTGGGTGAAGAAGTAACCGGATAGCAGACCCGTCACTGAAGGACCAAGTTTCGTTTCATCGAATTTCATATCAGTCACTGCTTAGTATGGGGGTGATGAATCTAGGGTGGACACACTCACGAGCACCACTGATAATAGTTTTATTCCGGCCAAAGCCCATAAATTTTGAGCCTACTAGTGCTGCCCGGATCGTGATATCAGGTGTCCGTTACAAGGCACATGGGGGCACGTGAATTAACTTGCCTCCTGCCAGGCCCGACGTCAAGCCAGCAAATATCCCATCTCTCCGAGCCTCCTAACGATGATAATATGCCATCATTTCAATGTCAATTTTTTATTTATATTTTTATAAAATAACACGAACCCTCCATGCGGCTGCTTTGAGCTGCTGTTCCACACCCGACTTGTGATCTAACTCCATTCTCTGTGGTTAATTGCGCAGCAACAACAAAGCAAAAGCAAATGGCGGCCGTAGACGGTATAGAACGAGATTTTTCAAAAATAAAAGTTTTTGGGCGTGCAAGGAAAGGGTTAAGCTAACCTGACCGGATTTGGAGTTAGTACTGATGCAACGCGTTTCGTCACACCACGTTACGCTGTGACATACGCGCTTCTACGCCTTTACACCCATATTGTTATCAGAACAAGTGATATGTCCCCTGGAGGGAAGAAGAGTCGGGCTCGGAGTCCACAGGAACTCTATGACGAAATCAAAGGTATCAATCTCCGACCCCCATCAGACGTATTCATCGCACCTGATGGGCTACACATAACCCCAAGAACTCTTGATCAAGACCAAACCGAAGCTAAAGGACGCAATCACCACCAAGGATGAAACCATAACCAGAGATTTACATAAGATAGCCTCGCTTGCACAGATATTCACAGAACAGCGGCTGAAGACGAGCAAAAACAGCCAGTTATCAGATTTACTCGATCAGGAAGGTTCGCTATCATTGTTCGGTATCAATGGTGAACAATCATGAAACCCCAAGTGTCTCGCTTTAGGTGTCAACCTGTGGAATGCGTCCGGCGTGGTCCGTCAAGGCTCTGCGCATGACAGCCGCGCTGTCGTCGCCGCTTGTATGCCTTTTTTTTTGTTCGTGTGATTGGTCTCACTTGACGCCCTTGGCCAGTGCGGCTAGCTGGTTTTCGCCTCATGGAAGCAGGGTTGGAACCTAAGCCTGACGCTGAAGGTTAGGAGAAGTCCAAGAATTCTTGCGTGATTGTCGCTCATTTACTTTATGTCCTATCAGCATTATTACATATTCTCCAAATTGCGAGCAAGACTGGCGCAACCCTGTCCGGTACGTTTTTAAACAAAGGCCCAACAAATATTTTATATTTTCGTATCTGCAAATAACATCACGGATCCAGAACTCGGTCACAATGACACCGCATCGAGCGTACTAGGTTGTGCGGCGAAGGTTATTTTTTTTTCCTCGCTATGTCATTTGGTGGTTCATCATTAATTTGCTTCAAGTATGAGGAAGCGCTGAGAAATATTGACGACCCGAGTGGCACCAATCACCAAGCCAAGGCATGTGTTACAGCTGTCTACCTCTCAACCAGAATGGAAGCAGTGAGGACTCTAATCCTCGTGATTTGGAGGCGTTTGATATATTTAGGAACTTTCGTGAAATAGGCTTGGAGGGAAGGAAATGAAGGGTTAGCGGCCTTCATGGCTGACAAAATCACAGGTCGTCCCTGAGTCGTTTAATATGAGCCGCTCTGATTGTCCTCATAGAGAATGACGGACGGCTCGTGCTCCTGTCTAATCATGACGTAAGTCCCATTCGGTCGACCATACTTCTCATGGTAAACATTTTCAGCGAGAGACGCTCGCGACTAAGCTTCTGGACATTGGAAAATCGCTTTTGAGAAGTTGCTATCAGGACAGCAAATCGGCGCCAGAAGAGAACAAGGCTCAGGATGCTATTCGATGGATGCAAAAGGCGTTTTCCGTTATTGAGCCACTCGATTGCGCGACTAATGCTGAGCTTGTTGAGCTCAAGGTGCGTATTTTTTTTCGAGTACACATCATTCGTTGCTCAATCCTGGGCAGAGATCGGTTCTCAGGAGTCTGGGTAAGTGAACTTGAGTACAATCATAGTATGGTACAAGGGGGCTCAGATCGGCCCCCTATCAGCCCGTGGCTACTTCTTGTCATCATCCCAGGATCCAGAGAATTTGATCAGAGCGGAAACCGCGCTAGAAGAAGTTATCGCAACTATCGATCCTTCTGTGGACAACGTAAGCAAAGTCCTGCCAAAATGATATGCTCAAGTGGCATTTACCCACGTTCTTGTAGGTAAGGTCCGAATACCAGCAACTCCGATGGATGAAGTTGGCTGTCATAAAGCGGCGAAAAGCTGGAGATACTGTTCTTCTTCAAGGTGAACTTTCTTGACCCGGAATCTTCCACATTTAGTGGCGGGATGTGATTACTCACGTTCTTCATTAGCCCTACAAGCCATCATTGACAACATGTCATATTCAGAAAGCAATCTTACCGAGTGAGTTTATGGGAATGCTGTAATCCACTTCGTTTTCTCAGATTGCGTTTCAAAAGTATACTACAGGAACTTCGGACGCTTTCTCAGTATCAGTAAGTCGTCTGATATGGTGGAGTTGTTCCCTTGATTCAATCTGGGCGCAGCCAATTAGTCACGAGTGCAATTCAGTACTGCCTTCATCGGGCCTTACAGTGCTCTTGGAGCACAGACGCCGTGGAAAGGCTTCTCATATCTCTCGTATTCCATTGTTCCAAAGATGACAAACACGACAGGGCCGTGCAAGATCTACATGCATCTTTTAAGGGTAGGGTCCCATCTTTATTTTGTTGCTGTATACAGGCTTGTGCGAACTATTTACCTTTCTGCGTAGAACTGAGTGACGTGGAATTTGAGCTTCTCAAAGCTCCGGCCACAGCTTGCATTACGGTATGTGCATGCTCCATTCCGTTCGTTCAATTTATAATGGAATTTTTGAACGTTTTTCATAGCTTTTATGGCAATACGGTGATCGCCATTATCATGCGGGGCGATGGAAAGAAGCTGCGGACTGGTTCAGTTGTGGCACTCATTCTATATTTGCAAGTTTAGGCCCTGTCAGCAGCTCAAAGTGTTTTCGGAAAGCTGCCCTAGCGCATCTTAAGCGAAAGGACTACGCTCACGCGGGGTCGGTCATCCGCCGCTGTCCTGACACAGAAGCTACGACGCAATATGTAACCTTTCTTATTGCCGTGCATCAAGGTTTGCGAGTCTATGGCCTGATAGCGTGATATGTATCTCATCTATGCTAATTACAGGACTGGAAGATGAAGGTATCTCCATTCTGAACAAAAACTGATCAATGTCCTCTAATTGATGGTCATTTATCAGCGATACAATCAATACGGAATATGGTACATGCGGTGAACTTCGACCGCAAGATGATTTTATTGGCCTGCCGGCTGGCGCATGATATGGACATGAAGAACCTTCTTCTTAACGTGCTGAAGGCTCTTCTTGAAACGTTGAACTTCCGAGAGAACGTGGAGAACATCACTGAAGCCATGGCGCTGGTAAGGTGTATAATAAGGCTTATCATCAAGCTCCTTGGAGAACCCGCTGCCGATTTGTGAGTTTGCGGTGTTAAGCCCATCGAGATATCGAGCTGAAAATTGTGTCAGGGAGCGCTTAGTGGCGTCATTACTCCACCACTTGAAGATTGGTTGGTCGAAATTTATGGACCACTTGCACGTGTTCTAACGCAGTGGATGTGGCAGCGGTGACTGTTGCAGAGTCTTGTGAACAGCCTGCCATGCTTGTTAGAGACGTATCTTGGCTCTGGAGAACTGCATACAATTGTGCTATCCAAGCTTGCTCGGATTGGGAAGACAGAGAAAATCAAATATCTGACATCTTTGACGCAGCGAGACGAGTCAGTGATTTTTTGACAATTATTTTCTTGAGTTTAAGCTCGTCGCACAGCTTCTCGAGCTCTACATACTACATGCGACTGTAGAGGTGGACCAGGCAATTTACGTTTACTTGGTTAATGCCTCGTTCGCATCCGCTTCAGGCCGTGGTACGTCTCGCTACATTCCTTAGAAGACTAAAGTGACCATACCTTTTTGCACAGTTATGTCTTTCAGACGTTTGCGGTCGCAGACAGAATCGATTGAAGTATTTCAAGGTCCTCTTGCGAAACCTTCTACTGACTTTTTTTTCAGCCTGAGACATACCGCGATCTGTTCAACGAGGTCAATCAATCATCACAGCGCATCGTCAAGGTTTTGCGGGAGGAGAAGGTATCACAAGAGGACCTTCCTCGACTTCAGTCATCCTTGCAGATTTTACGAGTTTTTATCGTCGAAGCAGCAACTCACCTGTCGGATTGGAACACGGTCCTGGCCACAATTGAGGGACGGTTACAATTCCCTTTTAATAAATCAGACAGGAACTTATTCTGCATACAGGAGGCATCTCGCTCCGATCGTGATTCATTGGAAACGTACGAGGCGTTCGCTGACACTCTAGTGAGAATTTTTTTTTAGCTCTTTCTGTGCATGACGTGTTCAACGTTACTCCTAGTGGGAGGACAAAAACTGCCCCATGCACGGTAGATATTATTTTCAGCTTCACGATGAAGCTTATGCTAGTCAAATTTAGTCCTTTTCACAGCGCTAGAGGTAGGTCCATGTGGAAGTCATCAATTACTTACCTTAACCCTGCGTTGTAGGCCACACTACACGCTTGTTTAGCTCGCGGACATTTTTCTCTGGAGAAATTTTCCCGGTGGCTCCGAGCGATGTGTCTTATACTACTGACAAGAGCAACAGGATCCGATCGATCCAAGGCAATTGGCTACGTGGACCAAGCTATTGCTGTACTGGAGGAGCACGGCGACGCTAGGGACGGCGGTGATCTGGTAACATTCCAGTCTCGCACTGTATCTTGGCTCACAAATTTGTACGGAAGCTCTATCCTTTGGACGAGCGTCAGTGGCTTCTGAGCACAGCGTACAACACCGGCCTCGAGTGTCTTCAGTCAGTGAATATCTCATGTAATGTATGCTGACGCAGGACCCATCTACCTCAGTGCATCCATGGTCGACGAAGCAAAACGTTGGTTCGAATGTTCTACCGTTATCTGCCGCTTCGTTCCCGATGGTAGGCAACGCGCAGAAAAGGTAGGCAAAACGCAATGACAAATCGGACTTCACCACATACTGCAGCAGATCTCGACGACGTATAGCGACCTCCTAGCACGCTACCCGACTAGATGAAGCGATCGCACGAATATCGAACAACTTCAACGTCACAACTGGATCGCCTCACATGTGTATTATTATGTGTATTTGTTCTTGTATTTGTAGCATTGCAAGCCCAATTGGACTACCTGCATTTTTTATTGCTGTGAGAAATGACGCAGCTGATAGAGTAGTACACGACCGCGAGTGTTGCCGATAGCCAAGTACTCGCTCTCACGGGAGAAATCGACAGAGGTAACATGTCCGAGAGGGGTACTTGACGTGGGCCAGTTCCCAAACGCTGTCAACGACGGGCAGTGAACCTGAATAGGAACGCGTCAATTTGAATGAATGAAAGCTTGGGAAAGATGCAATAGTGACACACCATCCGCATCTGATCTTTTTTATCGTTACTTGCTATTGCAAGTAGCTGGGAATCGTGATTGAACCGCAACGTAGAGATACTTGTTGTCAGGTTGCCTATCGTCTTCAAAGGCTTAGGTTTGCTTCCCTCAAGATCGACCGTACTCTCTGCGTTGTAGACATTGACCAAACCTGTGTTTGAACTTGACCATATTGTCAGTGTGATTAGCTGCCTCACAAAACCAAAAGACATACCCAACAGTCAAGTATTTTCCTTGGCCATCTCCGCCAAATATTCGACTACCAAACCCGCCTTCATCCTGCCACCGTTTCACGCATTTGCGCTGCCCGATATTCCAAACATAAACCTGTGAATCTTCAGTCAAGCCCAGAAGCTCGCCTGCTCCAGCCTTCGACCACCACAGAGACTTCACATTCGCGTTTGCCTTGAGGTCGCCCACGACTTGCGCTGCACCTGATCGCCAATCGACGAGGTGAACCTGGCCTCGCCGTCCCGCAACGGCGAGAATATCCCCTGTTGGGTTGAAGGAGGAAATCTCCATGCTCGTGCCTTGGTCCCCACGGCCCGAAGAGAATGTGGTGCCCCATAAGCCCCGAGGGGAGCGGTGGGATGCTCCAGATTGAAGATCGTAAGTGTAGTAGAAAGGCCGTGGACCAGTCATCAATATGGACGTGCCGCTGGGGTGGAAAACGGCATTGGTGAGAGGAAGTGATGGGACGTGAAGAGTTTGGGCATGAGGATTCGTGAGACCGTCAATCTATCAAGCGAGTTCAAGTTTGAAGTACAAAAAACATGGAGAGCAGCACCCACGTGGAAAAGTCTTAGGCGACGGTCTCCACTTGCAGTCATTAGGACGGGAATGTGTGGCGAAGGATGGAATGCAACCGTTTTTATTTCGCCATCCGCTGGTGCAGCTTGATTAGCATCCCGCAATCGCTCGATGGAGAGTGTGCTCGGGAGTATAGGTCTTGACTTGGTAGTCCCAAAAATTCCGGCCGTTGATGCCAGCAGCTCCGGCACAACATCCTCCTCACTCTCAGATCCAGAAGCCGATGTCCGTCGTCTCTTTGCGCGTTCGCTTTTCTTGCGTGCAATAGATGCCCAGTCTGGAGTTGGATTTATGTGTTCGAACTGCCTGCGTAATCTGCGCTCGTATTCGCGTCCTCCCACTGTATCGTCAGAGGGCGCGTCGCGCAATTTGCGAAGACGATTATTTGATGCGAGTGAGACTTGAACGTTGACATCGTCTGGGTCTGTCCATGCGGGAGCTTTGGTTTTTTTGGGCTGCTGGGGGATGTCCTCGCGGATAGTGGAGATTTCTTCGTCTTCATCGCTTTCTGGGACCTCCGGTGTTATGAGCTCTTCGTCATCTTCCACATCAGACTGTACAAAGTCTTGGGGAGCCTGGCTAAGCTCGGATGGTCCAACATTATCGTCCACGAAAAAAAGCTACAGGTGACGTGAATAATAGAGTGTATTTTCCAGTAGTTCTGCACATACATCCAAGTCGAGCAAATTTTCAAACTCTCGTCCTACATCAAGCTGGTCATCGTCTGCCTCCTCATCAGAAACAACCAGTATCTCCTTTCCAGCCTTTTCAGGAGCATATGGTACACCAAACAGCAAGTTTTCGAGACGCCTCTCCTCGTCGTCTTTACTGTCATTGTGCAGGTCAGCACCTAGTGGGACTTGTGCTTGGTGGATTTTGCCTGTCTTTTGACGTTTCCGAGGATTTTTGACCATTGTGACACAATGTTATCACTTTGGAGGTCGGTTGGGAGATACACAGAAGATGTAGTAGTGGAGACTTGGTGGACGTTGTCGCTGTTGTGAACAATGTGCAGATGATTTCGAAAGCGCGGGTGGCTGTGTAGAACTTCAAAGCCTTGATCACTTATCTGCTTATCAATCAAGGAATGACCACGACAGCTATCCATCATCGAAGTCGCCCACAATCCAGATTTTTTGCCGCGTATGGATCACATTTGTTCACAGTCAGGTGCGGTGGTTCCTTTCTCGAGATCGTTATCAAGCCTGTATCACGATCTCATCAAGTTGTGGTCGTTACGCAGACTCAACCGAGTACCAACCGTCTGTGGCAGACATCTTAAAAGTCAAACGATACCTGCAATTCAAGCTTCCTGCGGAGCTTATTGACAGGATTATCGACGACGCATGTTACTGGGCACACAGCACAGTCTACATCGGGCGGCCTTTCACCGTTCCTATTTACAGGAACGGAAAGCGTTCTGTAGATGGAGTCTACATAAGATCACTCCCTCTTGGCATTCGCGGCACTGAGGGCGACATCAGGCTAGTTGAAGAGGACTTCGAGGATGGTGGTGTGGCTTGGGAGAAGAAGTTGCAACTCGGCGGACTGGATGACGCCTCATCTTCTGCGCCGACGCTATCATCGCATCCGTGCAGAAAGATAGAGTTCCAGCTATGGTGTCATGATCAAAGCGTGCGCAAGAAGTTTCCTCATGCGTTCAGCACATCATTCGTATGGGCCGACGTCAGCATAGAGTCATTGCAGACACCCATCTCTGAAGACGACACCATCGAATGGCCAGCGCATCTTCTTTTCGAAGAGTGCAGCGCAGAGCTATCGCGTAGTCAACAAGAAACCGGCAAACCGTTCAATCCTCCCAGCCTGAAACTGAGGAAAAATATTGCAATGAAGACCTCGGGATCAACCCACCCCATGTTTTGGCATTTCCGCGATTCATTCCACAACTGCAAGGACCCCGACGATGACTGCGTCTGGCATTTTATTGATAAAACCTTTGACAGGGATGCTGCCAAGTCTGCTCAAGTGGGGAGACTGGTGCGCAGCATGGAAGTAGGAGATTGCGTGACCCTGTGGGTCCAAAATCGGCATCCCGAGTCAGAAGATAACGTTCAAGAGGCCAGGATCACTGTGTATTGGGCGGTGTAGCACCACGGCATTTTCCAATATCAATACATACATATTGTGGCAAGCCGAACCTCGTTCAGCTTCCCAACTTTGAAGATAAAGTTCAAGGGGCCAGGATCATTGGGTCGTGTGGTAGTGCCCGGCATCTTTCCACACATGCCGTGACTAGCTGATTTTTTCGAACCTCGTTCATTTTTCCATTACATACGAGACGTGCTCAAAGTTTACAGTACTTATCCCCTTGTCCACGTTTGTTATTGAAGGAATCAGTAAATTATGTCCAATACAAATTTCCACAGGGTTCTAGTGGATCCATCGTTAATCCCAAGCAGTTAACAAGGATCCGGGATGTCGTGACTTTACTGCAGGCAACTTCATGGTATCCGATCATCAAATATTGCCTGCCCCCCTCCCCAAGGCCTCCCTACGGAAACGCTGTATGTGTCTCAGGGCATCCTATGCAACTGATGCATCACACTGACAACACCATGTACTGAACACGATGAGAGCAAGACGATCGAGTGATAACCTATTAGAGTCGAGGGCTCGGACCTACAGCAGGGTACTGGTCGTACCCTGAAGTCTAGTCAGATCAAGCAGGTCCCTGACTGCTCCCTAAACTGCATGTCCGAATCGACAGCGCCTCACAGCTTCGAACGCAATCCCATCGATCGAACGCGTTCAAATCCAATCAACCACCACGTTTGACTTTTATGTATTTTTCGCAGCAAGGTACGCTCATCCTTTCTTGAGACTGAGCTACCAACTACTTGATTCAAGTTATGACCATTATGCCGGCTCAGGCTGGGCGGGATTGAGAACGTTACAGAACACACCGTTAACGTTGTCTAGCACTTGCCTCGAGTCCTTTGATGAATAATCTGCAGAGACCACAGAAGTGGTCAAACTGGGGCGTGGCCCGCAGTCTGGATGGGCGGTTTGTGTGTAGTTTGTAAGTACTAGGTGATCGTATTACCCTGCAAGCTCGAGCTCATGTTGCCACATCGTTCCCTAACTCGTATCGCCCAACACACTGCGGGGGGCATCGGGCATAATTCACCCGCCGAAGGGTTTGTGCCGACCAAGTCGGGGCTTCCTGAGTTCAGAAGGCCAATGTGTATTGTGTAATGTGATGCAGCGGCGTGCTGGAAGAACAGTTGTGAGGGGGCCATTCAGTAAGTGCGTCCTGACCTCGAATGCTGATAATTGACCTGAAGATTCGGATCCGGACCAATGATCGAGACAATTAACAGAAGGAGACAAATATTGGTTTCTCCTGTCCGACTCGTACGATCGGCTTGGTACACCAATGTCACATCGATCACTGAAAATGCCTCTTGATTACGCCAAGCAACTGATGACGACCCTTGCATTAGCATATTTCCCTTTGATCTATCTCGGAGGTCGTTGTTCACAGACGTGCAGGGACCATGCAGACGACACACGTCGTCCGCGGCATTCCCGGATGCTCCGTAATTGAGCCACGCCAGTACGGGACCCCGATATGTAAGCAATACGTTCGTTGTCGGCAGGAGGAACGCGGGCTCCATGCTGTGCGGCGAAATCGTTCGGCACTGGGCAGTGGGAACCTACAGGAAGGCACGAAATCAGTCAAAGTCACACATGGACATACCTCTTTTCCGTGGGTTCCCTCCGGTGAGTTTACTTAAGTAGACTCATCAACTTGGTTGCACTTAGCTTGGATTCTTGATTTGAGGCGGCATGGGACCTTTTGGTGGTATTTTGATCTTCTATTCCCGGGCTGGATAAGGATCGGGTGCATGTGGTTGATTCCCTTGCACAGCGAGCGTTCCTAAGGAGCGGGTCGTATCACCATAGAGCACAAGGGCCCTTTGATCGTATACGCGAGAGTCTCGGAGTCTTCTACTTGGTCGAATTTGTTGCTACCATACCATATAGCGGCCTCCGCCCGCAGCGTTGGCGCCACCAGTATAATTTTCAGCCCTGCAGTGACCGTGACTGCCATTTTGAGTTGACAAGAGATCTAAACTGAGACTGCTCTTGTTAAGTCACCGTTCGTACAACGTATAGCACAATGGTGTCTTATCACGACGCACGTTCAAGGAACGGAGAGCGCGTTGAGACACCCATGGTCCACCGACTTGAGAGCGCTGAGACAACCACACACTGCAGTCACTGCACCGTCAGATGATAATTTACAAATGTCCGCGGTTTAGTCGCGATAAAAATTTGCTGGCTTTGAAAGTGAAAGAAGAAGATGGCAGACTTAGCCGAGACAGCATCTTTTCCCCCGGTCCGCCCAGGTCCACAACACACCCCTTCAAGCTTCACTGATTTTGTAGCTTGCGTCCGTGATCTGGTAACCTTTTTTTCATAGCAGGACCTTATCCCTCCCTGCGCTGGAAGGAGTGTCCAACACACTCCAACCACTAGTACCTGGCACTGCCAACGTGTTGATACTTGTTACTGCTTTTCTCCTGTTGTGGAGCATCTGATCTCAGCTCTCCCACTCATACAGCTTGTTCAATTTGACCCTCATTCGTCATCAGACTGTTCTTCAACAGTTCTAGAACCTGGTTGTTGGATTCGTAGCCTTAGGGCCCTGCATTCGTTTCGGCACCACAATAAGAAATCATGGGTGCATGCATGTCAACAGGGGGGATGGTGGATATCTCGGAGGATGATAAGCGGAGGCACAGAGAAGCGGAGAAATATCTCAAGGACGTGAGTTTGCGACGGAATGACCATGACCTTCGCCCGTCGTTCTGCACCTGTCACTGGTAGCATGATGTTGATCACATCCATTATATAGGCTAAGGCCAAGATGACTTCCCAGGTCAAAGTACGTACCACGCCCAGTTCTTGTGTGTTGTTCACCTTATGTGTGGCATCTAGGTCCTTCTCCTAGGGTCTGGCGACTCAGGAAAATCGACAGTTCTCAAGGTAAGTTATCTCCCCAGTCCACTTGCTGTCAGTTCACGAGGGCTTCTTTCGTAGCAAATGCGACTGATTCATCGGGTACCCTTCTCGGTAGCAGAAATCGAGACTTACCGCCAACTAGTGTTCAATAACCTAACGACAGGCATGAATTACGTTTTCGAGGCCATGGAGGACATGGAGCTCGAGCTTGCGGAGGAGAACCTACCACACGTGGAACTCATTCAGAATGCCCGGGATATCCATGAACAGGAACCTTTTCCTATGTCATACTACGAGCCTTTGAGAGATCTTTGGGCCGACAGTGGGGTCCAACAGGCTTACGGAAGAGGGAACGAGGCTGCGCTTCCTGAAAAGTGAGCCTCGTGTTTTCGTGCCTTGCTCCTCCGAGATCTTACAACTCTTACTACAGCTTGTCGTACTTTTTCTCTTCGCTGGACAGACTATTCGACCCCTCATACCACCCAACCGAACAAGATATCGTCCAGTGCCGAGCTCGCACTATTGGGATAACTGAGACGACTTTCCAACTTAAAGACCATGAAATGCTTATGGTCGACGTCGGTGGTCAGAAGAGCGAGCGGAGGAAATGGATTCACTGTTTCCAGGATGTGACCAGCATTTTATTTCTGGTTAGTCTAAGTGGGTATGACCAATGCCTTGTTGAGGATCGGGATGCGGTGAGTTACCTTGCACGTCGTGATTTGTCCGAAGACGAACCTTCATTTTATGGTTCTAGAACCAAATGCAAGACGCTATGACAATATGGGACTCAATATGCCACTCGCAATGGTTCAAGCAGACATCAATAGTACGTCACGTTGTCCTCGTGGTTTTGAAATCCTTAACGCGTGCACCATCAGATTCTATTCTTGAACAAGGATGACCTCTTTCAAAAGAAGATCCTCAACTCTGATATCAAGAATTTCTTCCCGGTAAGTCAAGTTCCTCCGACTGGCGCCTCCTGCTCAAAGTACTTTAGGATTACGACGGTGAACAAGGGGACGCAAAAGCTGGACGAGATTACTTCCGGCGGCGTTTCACGCGGCTAGCTCACAAAGCTGGACGTTCTAAAGAACGCGAAATTTACATCCAGTACGTCTTTCTCTTCTCTGCTGAAGACGCAGCCTTAACGCTAGAAAGTGTGACAACTGCAACCGATACGGAAATGTTAAGAGTAGTAATGGCCGCCGTTGAAGGTCAGTTCTTATGCGGACATTTTTAGGATCTAGTTACTAATTCGTTGCTTCCCAGAGTAAGTCCCTCCTTCTATTGATCCTTCCCCCGCCCGCCAGTGACGCCGTCCAACCGTACGCTCATCCATTTCCCACCACACTTCCCCTTTCTTTCATAGCATCGTTCTTCGATCCAATCTTCAAATCGCGGCACTAATTTGATGTTTTCTTTTTTTTTCTGTTCATCTTATGCATTTATCCATGTCATCGTCGACGTCCGCATCTCGCTAACGTGCTTCAAACGTACTTCTATCGCCATCTTGAATGGGGGACAAACAATCTTGCATACTCAAATGTCAACCTTATTTTTCCACTGCGCATCTTACCAACCATTGCCACCCAATCTGCCAACATCACGTAACCGTCCCAATCTGTGCGCTTCTTTTGCGTTCTTCCAAAAAAAAACAATAGTGCCGTCATAAGCAAAAACGTGAGTTAGTCCCCCCTTTCCGATCAGGAGAACATTTTTCACATCAATGCGCTGATGAATTCTCCCCGGTGTCGCCAGATCCGCGAAATCATGCTATGAAGATACATTAGGCTACAGGCACAAAGAGTACCCCAAGATCCGGAACCCATTTGTGGCGCCACGCTATCTAAAGTAGGGAAGGCCCACCCTGCCCGCCACGACGACTGGCTAGCACACTTTATTTTACTCCGCGTCCAAAGTCGTGTTGTGCTCCTCATTAATGATCTTCACACATGTTGCCTTGACCATTTCTCCTAGAACCCATCGTATCATTGATCAAGCAGTCATGCAATCTGTGTAAGATACCGAACCATGTAGCGTTTGCTTTGCTTATGGTATTTATTTCTTTTCCTCGTCGAACATTATTCGCCTCTTGGCTTAGCTTGATTTTCTTGCATTTTCTGACGACTTTACATCGGTTCTTTATTGTATTGATTGACAATCTGTATCGTTACAATGCAAGAATTATGACAAAAAGTGGGTCGACTCCCGTCAGTATTGAAGGGTGCGTGAGTTTTCAGGCCTTCACATGATGTAGTCATTGCCAACACTACCGAACAGGATAATTTTAAAATTTATCTACATCATTGATCCGAGGTTACAGTGCGCCCCCCGCGTGCGTTCAAAGTGCGTCTCGTAGGGGAGGAATTGCGGAGGATAGGGTTACGGGTTATCTTGACTCGGAAAACGCCGACAGTTCATAGATCTGACGTGGGCAGAAACCTTGCTACTGCGCACATTGTGAGCCCCAATTGTTTAGCGGGGCTTCTGCGACCTTGGCGGGAAATCCACAATATCAATAATTTAAGCGCTGAACAAGATTGATAATGTATTAAAGGTGCGCTCTCAGCTCTGTTCCGACTCTTCGCTTTTGAAGTGCCGTGTGGTGTCATGCTTCGGATACGAAGTGGCTCTGGGCCGGGAATGTCGGAAGAAGAAGAAGATTACCGCCCATTGGCCATTTAATGACTCTATTGCGAATTATGTATGATTATTTGTGATTTCTCTAAGCCTAAGACTAATGGTGCTTCTTCGCCCGGCCGCGCAACGCAACTACCCCACGGTGAAGTCTTTCTCAAGGGGGCTGAACTCACCCACAGTGCCGGGAATGCCAAGATAGGGAGTGGAGTGGGTTTACAAATTCTTTTCAGTGCGTGCAATTGGTGTTCGAGGTAGACTGGATTGTTGTGGCCGTATGGGATAACAATGTGTGTCGTCAATACCCCTGTTTCAGATATTATGGGCGTAGTATTTGATATTGGTCAGACCGAAATGACCTAGCTGTGAAACTTCTTTGGCCAATACTAATTGAAAACACTTCCCTGAGATTTAGCAGAGTCCATCAAAACGTGATGAGATAGTGACGCACGTACGAGTATCGCTAGTACCTGTATGTAAAAAATCGTGATCCCTTATTATTGGAGAAAGTTTGACGTGCGGGGGGTTTGTAGAGCAGACCGCGAAGCCTGTCGATAGGTTTGTGCGCCATGGGCGGCGGGTGCCTGTCAGATGTCGCGTTCGAGGTGCGGGCTGCAGCTGCATGCTCCCCTTGGGCTGTAAAACACGAGGATATCTTTAGAACATTTCATCATCGGGTAGCGGAAATAGGCTGCGTGTGGTCGAAATGACCATGTGGATGCCGCAGGGTGAGAGTGGCGCATCACATGCTACACCCATCAGTAAGAAACCGTCGGTTCTTGCCAGTGGAAAGCTCGATGAGACGAATATACTGGTCGCCAAATTGTGCTGTGTTATTGTGTCGTTATGATGTGTAGATGGTGAATAGGTAAAGCCCGTCGTGACGATGGAGTACTTGCGTTGCGCACTATAACCTATAGGAGATGTAGAGCTGCACGCTCTACACCGGCGGTACCATGGTGTCCGGAAATTATAGCCCTCGGCCATCAATAGAAAGGTACAGCGAGTCGGACTGGAACGGATAAAAGTTTCCTTGCATTCTGCTTCCATGGCCTTGAACGGTTTTTCCAGTAAACGAGATTTGACGTGCACCCAAGACGACGCGTAGGTACGTCGGCTAATCGCCGTTCTGGGCCTTTCCAGCCTGTCTCGATGCGAGTTCCCTAGTTAGCTACCATAACTCGCTGGAGGTATTTTCAAGATGTACAGGTATGACGCAGTGTCGTTCTCCGGTGCTACCATATGATGCTTGTTTTCAGCACAAGAATTGGTGGATGTGACCGATTCGTCTTGAACGAGATACAACAACCATCGCAACTTGATGTATATCTCTAAAATGGATTAGCTATAGTGCAATTGTTCTCAGTGCGTATTTACGTCACTTACAACAAAACCCAATATTCTCCAAAAGACAAAGGTCCTTTAGGCTTTTACCCTGTCTCGCAAGGTGGTGGTCATTCTGAGATAACTTGTAATTCGTGATGTGACTCCCAAGGTGGGGCGAAATCCTGTGTTATGACTGGCTAATCAGTCTGTGTATAAGGCAAGGGATCAAAAATCGTCTACCGCGTATGTTATAGTCGTGCTACTGTCTGATCATGACCAGAAAAAAGATCAGTGACATATGGTAAGTGAGTCAAAGTTGCGAGTATGGCCGCGACTGGTCACTGATCCCAGCTTTCGCATGCGGCAGGGGGCTCATTAACTGACTATATTGTGAGTAGTGACCTTCTGGATCGATTTGATCATTAATTGATGCTAGTTAGGAGGATGAAGGTTGCTTTTCCAGACACGTGACTGACGCGCCGTGCTTATCGAGTTGGCAAGCACGCACAAATATCGTGGTATAAGTATTGCGGGAATCCTGGAATCGCCCGCTGTCGAATATCTTTGCCCGCACGCTGCATACATTAGACTCGTAACCAGTCTGGACTACGTCTTTGATATTGTTAAGTGTTTGACGTAGTCAGACTGGTCGATCTCGGAGTGATTTGGCAGGCGAAGCGAGGAGTTTGAAATTTGGCAGATGCCGGTTGTGCCGCTTTGGGTAGTCATTGTATTTGGACAGCGCTGACCACACAAAGTTCCTTCATTCGCATCGTACAAAGCATCGTATGCCTCTAACTGATTATAGCGCATCTAGGAGCAGTACTAAATGTTAAATAGGACAATCAAATGATACCTTTTCATGCACTATACCCACCCATGATGCAGCCTGAACATTTGGCTTGGATGGTCAATCCTTCCAGCCTGGACGAGGAAGGAAAAATTCTCGCTGTCCTCAAGATACTTCGTGGATTGCGGATGACGGTCATGGACCTCATGCTGCACTCAATCTCGCAAAGACCCTCCATGGCAACTTGGAGGGAAGGTTTTTTTCGGAGCAATGCACTTGTGCAATTTCTTAATGTGTTGGGCACCGACGAGCGATCGAGCGAGCACCTCCGTGTCAGTTTACGACCCCTTGCTATCGCAATGGTTATTGATGAGGTTGACACTGAGATGGAGGCCGCTAAACATATTTTTCATATGTCATCGAAAGACGTCACCCCCGAACTACTCCTCTCGTTTAACCTCGACACATTTTTGACAGAGTGGCTGTCTTGTCCGGAGAAAGAAGTAACGGGAGAATCATTGCGAGGGTCTTGCCGGAGCCTGTTGCAGCTCGAAGTACGACGTGTCTTCCAGAAAGTAACGATACGAGACATCTGAGTTGAAACAACTTCGGATGTTGTGATCCTTGGGAAATGAAATCGAGTCGCGAGAAGGCCTCGAGAACTTGCTGGTGTTGTGTCGTTGAAAGCGCACTCGTAAAGTCCGTCGGGAGATCTTCAATCGCATCTCGAGCAGCGAGCGATAAAGGTCGTATGGAACTCATGTTTGAAACTTAACATAGCATATAGTCTGAACGAGCGTATGGTAGACGCATAAGTTGTGCTACATACGATCGAGTACCGCCGGCACGACCGGCACCTACTAAATTTCAAACTCCTCGCTCCTCCTGCCAAATTTCTCCGAGATCGACCAGCCTGGCTTCGCCACTCGACTTGTCCGTGGTATTGGTAAGCCAGGCTGGTCACGAGCCTATGCATACATACCATTTTACGATATTCACCATCATGATTTCCACCTCTTGCCATATTGTTTCTCGTCTGGCCATCACGGGCGCTTTATCTGTGGGCTTTTTCAACCAAGCTGTCCTCCGTCCAATTCGATCCGGACCAAGGACGGGTTCCGCCAACCGAATGGTCGCATCGGTCTGCACGACGACCGTCATTCTCGTCATCGCCGCCCACAGAACCGCCGGTAAAATTCTGAGCGGCGAGATCGGTGCGCCATCAACCGGCGAGCTCACAGATACTGTTCCAACAGCACCGGATGGCCCAGCGCGAAAATTAAATCAAGAGACTCGCCCGGTCGCGATTTTATCTTCACTGCAATCCCAGACTCCATCTTTTCCATCTTCTTCTTCTTCATCTTCTTCTTCATCGTCACCTGTACGCGAGTCGACACCCAGCATCACTATCCCACTCGATTTGTCGAATTCCACTTCCGAATGTACAAGCCTTTCGACCACACTCAATACTACACTCGATTTGTCTCCACCTATCTCCAAATGTAACCGGATCTCTATCACATCTGTCACTACCCTCATAGCCCACGACGACGACTCGAAGGACGTCTTCACTGACGAAGCCTTGGACACCAAAGACGTCGAGTTGTTTGATGACGAAAGGACTATCGACTCGGATGAGGTACGGAGTATCATTCCTATACTTGGATTTTTCTAACTTCGCCTCTATAGGACAACTATACTATTCCACACACTATTCCACACACTAAGGACGACCACCAGGTCGACAGTCTATCCCCCAGTCTTACTATCCACAATGGTTCGTCTCCGCCGAAACTGCGGCCACTTTTTCTGGTCGACAAATTCCGGACGACGCTCACGAATACTACCACTAACCACTCTCGTTCTGGATCTGCCCACATCACGGACACCTTACTTCAGAAGACGAAGGCCGCCAACTCCCTCCACAGTGGTCTGTCCGTTACCGCCGGCAACGATTTCAGCAAAAACTTGGAGGACGCCTTCACTGACGAAGCTTTGGACGTCGAAGATATTAAGTTATCTGGTGACAAAAGGACCTCCCATGAGGTGAGTATCGTAACTTAGATTTGCATCGCCTAACATTTTGGTTGCTATAGGACAAACACGCTACACCGGACAACTATACTACGCCGGACAACTATACTACGCCGGACAACTATGCACACACTACCACACGCGATACACACGACCATCACATCAACATCCTACCCCCCAAAACGACAACTCTTACTGTCGACAGTGCCCCATCTCGTCCCCCGAACCTTCAGCCCCAGACAACATCATCTACGAATACCAATCCTCTTCTGATATCCGCCCACCCCACTGACTTATCAGCTCAGAAAACAAAAGCCGCGGCCTCTTGGCTAAGGCCTCTCGTACTCGTTACGAAACGTGCCGCCAGTCGACTTACACCTCCCCCTCCTACAACACCTCTCCCTCCTACAACACCTCTCCCTCCTACAACACCTCCCCCTCCTACAACACCTCGATGTCAGCACGAGAAGTCCCGCCCACATAAGCTCAAGCCACAGAAGGTACGGATATATTCATCACTAGACCAAGTGTCTTGCTCATTATGGTTTGTTAGCGCAAACCTAGAGCTTTGCAATTGCACGCCGCCTGCAATAGCATTGTGCGTTCTCGCCTCCGGCGGCACGCCAACAGGATTGGTCAGTCATTTCTCGTAACGTCTTGAATACTTGTTGATTTTGGAGCTACTTAGTTGGGCACCTTGCGCAAGTCTGCGAACAGATTCGCGTCGACCAAAAAGGCATCATGGACGACTGGGCTGCTGCTATGGCAGAGGTTGGCCTCACCTCAACGCTGACTGGCAATCACCCAAGTTCGCCGAGATCATCACTTCCTATTCCAATCGATGCGGCTCTCGTTCCTGAACCTGGTGTGCGAATCAAGGCTCACCTTGCATCACTTCGCCATCGAACACATGCGGTCGCAGCCTCGATCCCAGCCACCACCTGCAAGTTAAAGTACCCATCACCTTGGCGACGTACTTCCTGACATTTCTAACCATCTTGACTCCTGCCCACCGCGGCTTCACTACTCGCCACAGCACAAATAACCATTGCCTACTAGCAAAGACGCACTACATCACTAGCCCACCAAGGTCACGGGCCACGAACTGACGAGAAGAATACTTACGAGTCGACGACGCCATGAAGATGACACCCATCACGACACTGGCACCACGACACCATCAAACATTTCAGGACTTCACGACCCTCAAGACAACACGGAGTCCGCTACGACACTCAGACGAAGATTATCTCAAGACACTCGAGACAACGCGAAAGCCGCTACGACGCTCTCAAACGAAGATTATTTCACGACACTCACGACAGACGGAGCTAATCGCAATGACCCACATTCATTGGGAACGGTGGTCGCCCACGACACTCACAACACTAACAAGACCATTTTACGACACTTACGCCGCCACGATACTTTCAGAACGACTACTTCATGACACTCACGCCGCTACGATACCATCAACAAGGACCCCTTCACGACAGACCACTCAGACGTTTACAACTGACTTATCCAAAACGGCCCGCGTCATCACCGAGAAACGCGACATTCCCCTAGAGCGCCCCAGCGAGACGAATTTCGACCTGCTTCAGAAGACCGAGTGACCTCGTCTGTTTGCTAATTATGCTTGCTATCTACGTTACATGTTTCCCTGTCTTGCTTTGCGTATTCTTGTATTTGATGATCGCTTTCAATGATAATGTTCTTTGCCTGCTCGATCGCGCGTCCTCGGATGAAATGTTATGAATGACAATTCGGAATTCATCATATTCCTGGACCCCATTAGATCGATACCGGCTAGCTCGTGAACACATGATTTGTCCGCTTTCAGACGAACCTCGATGGCAATGCGCGCGCCGCCTCTATTTGCTTACTACCGTGACATACCAGTATCCTAGCAGACAACGCGGTCTTCAAGTTGTTGACCAGCATTTTCCATGACCGTGGTTTGACTCTCTGCCACCTGCCACCTGCCACCTGCCACCTGCCGCCTGCCGCCAGTGGATCCAAGCGGCTTACGAAGAGTCGAACCGTTTTTGACAAGCCGACCAGAATCATTCTTCAGCTTCTCATCTATTGAGTTTGACTCGGAGGGCTACATACGATCATCGCCTCATCGCCATCGTTCCATCACGGCTCTCTTCAAGTCCCATAGATGCGACCACCGATTATAACACGTGTTACATCTAATAATAACGCAGTCAACCTTTTCGGCGGTAGGAGGAGCCTGGTCGAACTAAGCCTATACCGTCGACGGACTGATGATTCCAATGATGCGGCGAACTCAAGAACCTCTCGAGAACGACATCTGAAACAAGTACTGACATCACTGACAGTAACACGAACAACTTTTCGAATCGGTGTATTTATAGGCGAGTGACTTAACGGACTTCGCCTTGATTTCGTACAGCAATAATAAGCTTACTGCAGTCAATCAGAATTCAGAACCAGTTCTCGCATGATAGAATCTTCCGGCGGTTCAAGCGCCGGAAGATCGTATATCTACTCAGGACGGCATCACGAAACGTCAACGAGACTTCGCCGCACACTGACACCAATACCTGGCATATGATCGTGTTCTCAAATGATCCCAGGTCATGGCCACCAATCAAATGTGTTGGTAGCTGTTATGCAGGTTCGTAAAGCAATTCAGATTGATGTTGGCTCTATTTTTGACTGGTTTCGTAGTTGCATCCTCTGTTGCGGCGGTATACGATTGGGGTGAGCAAGATAGTCCTTATTGAGGAAATTATTAATGTCCATTTGCTATTCTCCAGCACTGACATTCGGACGAGAGGTAGGTTGATACGATCACTCGAGAAGTCATCTCACTACAACTTATGTTACCAACAGTTTTTGACCTAGTCTGGGTGAGCAGATCCCTCCTACTACGTCAGAAGAATATGATACAATTGATTCTGCGCAGAGACAACGTTGGTCCCTTATGACTGTCGTATATCCAGTGTAAGTACCTTATGTTTTATAATTGCGGGCAAGTGAGTTGATTTCAAAAATAACTTGTATCAACTGGCAGCAGTGTCTCCAAAGAGCACGAAAATTACAAGTTTTGCTGTGGTACTGATTCCACGAGAAAATCAATATGGTAGTTGCCCGCAACCATTCTCACAAAGCTGAAATCATGGGAAATATCATCATCTCATACCTAGGCGCTCTGAGATTCCACTAAATCACACCAGTCTTGAACTCACATTGTTCGTTTCGTTGTCGTAGGTCTGAGGACCTCGTGCGCGGTTTTATTGCGGATGATCATCATAAATATAATCCATAGGACCATGACTAGGAGGCCATGGGCGGACGAAAGCAATGGACATCGGATGCTCAGTGACGCTTGACTGACTGCGGCGGGGCTGATGTGGTCAGCCTGCTCGCATTCCCACAGACCTCCAAAGCATTCGCCGCTTACCGATCCACAGTAGTCGATGTTAACATCGCATCCGCGCAAATTGACCGACAAAGGTCATCCAGGTGTGTGGTCCTGCATATGTAGGACGCAATCGTCTCCACTAAGACTCGCGACTGACTGACTGACTGACACCAATCCGTGTCATACGACCATAGTCTCAAATGACCCCAGTTCGTGGCTGTAAATCGAATGTGATCTTGGTTATGATTCCTACATCGTTACAAGGTACGTCACTCCTTTATTAAGTATTGCAGTTCCAACTCTCAAGCTTGTATGGTAGTATGTACTCGTCATCGGGCTCGCGGTTCGTTTAGCGCAAGTCCTGCAATCACTTCCACAACATTCCCGACCTACACATTCTCTTCAGCAGCGTCGCAATGATGATATATTTGCGCGGTGCCAACGTCTCGGATGCTGAGCTTGTGTGGACCCATATCCTTCAGGGTGGAGGTGGAGGTTTTGCCGTCGTGCTCCAAGTGACTGAAATTGGAGGCACAGTTGGGAACGCACGTTGGTATGTTCACTCTCAAGCATCTCCAGCCACGTTGATTAGATCGAAACGCACTGGCAGTCGGCGCGATTTGGTCGAACACGATACCGGTCAAGCTAGAAAGTATCTGCCGTAGTTGACTGACGAGCAGCGTGCAGAGCTGTACGGGAGCATACCGTTAGCGGCGTCTTATAGATCCTGTGCGAGAGGGCGTCAACAATGGTGTGCGTTTGTTCGGTTTGTATACATGTATATGCCAGTGCCCACCGGTTTATGGTTGTGGTTATACTGCAGCGGATGACGGCACGATGAAGACCATGGCAACAACGACAGCTACCGCACTCAGCGTAGTACCTGTTTTTCTTCAAATTTCTTGCCCTCGCGATGCCGAACTGGTACTTGGGGGATAAGAGGAATGTGATTGATGCTGCTGATCTCACTGGGAAGTCGGTGCTTGACGTGGATGATGTTGAGGATGATGAGGAGCCGTAGTACTTATTATTTTAGTCTTATTGGGAAGACGGTCTACCTACGGGGCATTCTGAAGCAGTCGATTACTTCTGATACCCCGAGATCGTTTCATCGTCAGTACTTATTATATATCATGACCGTCAAGTCTGCTCATTGAAGTTCATTCCGACAAAAAAGAGCAGATTTATGTACAGGAGATATCACGCGGAAGATTCCGAGTCCGAGGGCCGAGTCTTCCCTCTAACGCATACCCGCACTGGCACGGTGGCACCTAATCGATTCGCGTTAACGCATTCAAACGTTAATAGCAAACAACATGCAGAATCCGATTTACCAACAGTCCTAGACCTTGCAACCACACTACTTTCATCTAATGTGTCCGGTTCGGGGAATAGCCTGAGATCAAGCTTCTCGTATCGACGAGCCACTGATAGTAGGAAGGGGACAACCGTCCACACGAAATCTGGCGCCAGCACAGATGATGTTGATGTGGACCATGGACACCTCTCAAGTAAGTGTCGTTCTCATTCGGGATAGCAACTAAATCAATAATACCCAATGTATACAGATGCGACTAATTTTAAGACCTCGTGTGCGATTTTATTACGGATGGCGGGGAGCAAGATAATTCATGGGACCACAGATAGGAGACCATAGATGGAGGGGCATAGTGGAATCAAGGCGCTCGGCAACGACGGCGATACAAGTCCTGACTGCTTTTGCTCTCTTTTCAACACGGCCGATATCAGTGTGCTGACGTTCACCGAAACTTTTAAGGCATTCACTAGTCGACGTTAATGATCGGTCAGCATCACATCCACCCAAATCCCCACGCTTCGACACCGAAACTGACGCTAGTTCTGCTTATAGGTCGCATGGTTGTCTTGGAGGCACAGGTGATGCATCGCATGAGCTGCATAGCTTCTCACCCTGCGAGTTGTGATGCATCACATCATGTAGTGGTTCACCGAATTTTTTACAACCGCTGGTGTGATCATGATGCATCATTGACTGTCGTACCAACCTTCACAAGAATATTCCTTCTAATACCTTCTGTTTGAGGGATAGGATAATCGCCTCGTTGTCCTTTCTTCAAACCAACATAGATGTGGCCACATGTTTCATCACATCACATCACATCACATCACATCGCGTCTAGTGCTAGTCTTGTTACTGTTTATAAGCCATCAAACACCTTCGCTCCATCAGTGAAATCACCGGTGGGAAATTCAAGAAGCATTCGCACTGGAAACACATCACTGAAATTTCTGACGATGATAAGGTGGACAGGTTCTCGAAATGCAACTAGTGTCTGTGCCGCGCCTACTACAGCCAAACCTGGCCGAATTTCGCGAATTTCGCCTTACTACCTGATTTCATACAACTTACTGCCATCAACAGTAGTACCAGATAGGATTCCGTTTCTGTTGGGTGGTCGCATATATCTACACATGACACCATCGTGATACATGCACCAAGACTCGCCACTCGACTAACTAACACCAATCCCTTGAATATGACCCTTATCTCAAATGATCCCAGTTGGTGGCCGCTAATCGAATTCGATCTTATTTACAGTTATTGTGCAGGTTCGTGAAGCAAGTCAGATGATGTTGGCTCTATCTTTGACTTTGAGTATGTAGTTGCAGCCTCTGTTGCGGTGATATACGATTGGGGTGAGTAAGACGTTACTCAGTACCGAGAACTGATGACTTCCCAGGCTGTGCTATTCCCCAGTGCTGATGTTTGGACAAGAGGTAGGTTGATACCGTCACCAGAGTAGCCATCTGAATGCTAAATGTTTTATAGTTGGAGCTGGTCTGGGCCCGGGTGAGCCGAGTCCCATGTCAGAAGTACAACCGGGTGATTTAATCAATCAATTTGGAGTAGAAGCAACGCTTGTCCCTCATGACTGTCATGTATCTCAGTGTACGTACCCTATTATGTTGTGAGTGCAGTTGGCAAGCATATTTACCTCAAAACACTCTAGCTGCGCTACGGTGGAATACTGCACTCTGTGTACGTTTGCAGGGACTACAAGTGGCATTATACTAACAAGCCATCTCTTGCAACCAGCATCAATGTTCCGGGTATGTCTTTCCCCCACACCGTGTTCATCTCCTCTAATCCGTGATATGCAGCGCATTTTGTGACACTCTCGGTGATAGATGCTGTGAGTAATCTGTTTCAATGCCTGTCATCATTTCCGTCTAACTCACTACACACCTACACAGGGGTGAGTCGTTTTCTCGATCCAAGAGATGATTCAACATAACATCTGAACAGCAGCTGTGAGGTCGCTGAATTGAAATACTTAGTTCCCCAATGCTCATTAGTAAATGCGTTTTTCAGGCACTTTTTTTGTTTTCGAATATTTTTGGACGTTTCCAATCGCAAACATCATCCTGGGCGGTGAGCTAATCAGCACCAGTATCTTAGTATCATTAACCTGACTGAAATACCATGCAAGTGATCATGATCACTCGGTTATATGCCATGTATCAGCGATCGAGAAAGATGCTCATATTTCTTGTTGTATTCTTCCTTGCCGCGACGATCGCTAGCGGAGTAATTATAGTCATACAAAGCTTGCATCTTACAGGAGGTAAGCTTTGATGATCCATGAAGGACTTCAGCGAATCAGACTCACAAGACAAATAACAGAGGAGTTTGTCCTCTCCGGTACCTATCAGTGCATGACAGAGGCAAGCAACTCACTTCCACTGGAAGCAGTCGTCACTTGGATACTCGGCACTGCATGGGAGATCCTCGCATTGTGTCTTGCAGTCCGAATAGCTATAAAGCACTTCCGTGAACGACCATCGACAGGATCGATCATCGAGGACTGTTTCACGGTGTTGATAAAAAGTCACGTGGTTTATTTTGCATCGTGAGGTAGTTTGAATGGGATTATCGTTTAACGCTGAGGTACTCCCCATTCTAGCTTTGTTGCTGTTGCTTGCTTCCACATTGCCCTGCTGTCCCAAAAGCTCTGGGTACGCTAATCTATCACTGTCATCCACATCTGACCACCCTCGTCTATATAGAACTCCAATTCCGTGGGAGCTGATGTTTATGCTGGCGTTTTGGAAATGTCCTCGTTCGTGCAAATGTTTGTGCTGGGACCACGCCTCATCCTTAGCATTCGAGAATATAACGCTAAGGTCGTGGCTAACTCTGACGAAGCAACTGGGGTTAGTACAATTGCTTTCCAGGAGCGTGTAGATGTCTCGACTGGCAGCAGTGTGTAGATGTGGGGGGTGCTCCAAGTGATTGACATCTTGGTGTCGGTGTACGGTACTGGAAGGAGAATGAGACTCCTGTTTGAATTTCAGATGATGTGCAATGATATTGATCCTGTACATAACTTAAGTACTAATTATGCATTGACGACCATATGATGACTCAGTGGGAATAAGATATTACAACGACTACTATTACACGCTTTACATAAGGCTTCCAGTAAACTCTCAATGCGAAATGACCGATGTGATTAGCCTGCTCACGTTTCCAGACACATCCAAGGCATTCACGACCTACCGGTCCACAGTAGTCGATGTTGACGATCGGTCGGCATCTCGTCCACGCAAAACCCCACGCTTGGACGCCGACTCTGACTCTGGTTCAGCTTCCAGGTCGCGCGACAGTCATAAAGGCAAGAACGTTGACAGAGCTGGCCCAGTAAAGATCCAGGTCCATGGTTTCGCAGGTTCGCATTTCGTTCGTTATCAGGGTATGGCGCTCATGGGAAGATGATGGGTGTTGTAGGCGGTGTGGTCGGGGCTGCGCTGAACAGGGTTCATGATAACTTGTTTGTGCGGTTATCACGCAGTATCAGGGCGCTCTTGGAGAAGGGATCTGATGAACTCAGTACGACGTATGAGGGTGTCTTCACTGCATGCCGGGGCGTCGTGTGTGTTGCTGGGAGGGGTGAGGGCTTGTATGAGATGTTGAAAGCTGAGATCCATAAATGCGTCAATCGGCTGGCGGAAGAACTTGAGAAAACCAACAAGGATGGTGTGGAGTGGATCGGACAATTCGTCGAGACGTGTGCGTGGTTCGAAGGGCAAGTAGTGAGTGTCTTACAGTGAATTTGGATATTCGAGATTTGATTCATGGATTCTCGTTAAGGCGCTCCTGGAATCACTCCTGACCTACCTCGATCGTGCTTATGTGCTGAAGAATCCTGGTCTTCCGTCTATTCGGTAAGTTTTCCCTCATGAGAGCTATTTTCATTCGCTGACGCTCAGAACTTCAGCGACCTCGCATTTACACGTTTCAGAGAGCGCATATTCAGCGGTTATTTCATCGTCGACAAGCTTCAGAAAGGAATCTCCGTATGGGTGACATGGGAGAGGAACGAGGGGTACGTTATCCAATGTTCATTCTTTGTCTGCCTGCATGAACGCTCACTCATCACCCAGACAAGTACACATCCACCGCCACTTCCTCAAAGCGCTCGTCTCCCACCTCATAACGCACCACGTATACGACGTCATCTTCGAGCGACACTTCGTCGAGCAGACTCTCGAGTACTTCTCAAAAGAGTCATATCAGATGGTCGAGGTGGAGAAAGCACACGCGAAGGTGTTCCTTGCGCACTGCACCCAGCGGACGAATGAGGAGCAGGGTAGAGCAAGGGATGTGATGCTTGATGGTACGGTCGTGCTTGTGAAGGATACCGCTATTCGGGCGCTGTTCGAGGGGAGACTGGAGTGGATGGCTAAAGAAGGTTGGTGTGACTCGATTTGTGGGGTTCTCGGTTTAAAATAATCGTGCAGTCGTTGGAACGTTCATGGCGAGCAAGGGGACGAATGAACTCAAAAAGGCGTATGTGCTGTTTTCAACGGTAGACGGCCTGCCCGTGCTTTGCCGGGAGTTCAAGGCTTATGTCCAGGTATATTTAGTCTCTTTCCCCTAGCTCGCGCTGCTGACACCAATGCTCTAGAAAACAGTACAAGATATCGTGAAGGATACATCCAAAGACGACGAGATGGTTAGCCGGCTTCTCGAATTCAAGTCCTTTGCGGACACAACACTTAAGGAAGCATTCGTCGATCCCTCCACGAAGCAAAATAATCAAGACTTTTCCTACGGGCTCATCGATGCATTCACTAAGGGGTTCAAGGCGCGGCGCAATAAGCCTGCTGAGCAGATCGCGAAGCACGTCGATAGACTCATGCGTCATGGACAGCGGGGCATGTCAGACACTGCGTTCGAGGCGCTGTTGGATGCTGCTCTTGCTCTATATAGGTTCACGGATGACAAGGATGTGTTCAGGACATTTTATCATCGGGCGCTGGCGAAGAGGTTGTTGCTTGAACGGAGCGCGTCTGATGATTTTGAGAAGGCCATGCTCAAGAAACTCAAAGAGAGTATGTGCTAGAGTGCTTTTTTTTGAAGTCGCATCTGATCATTGTTGGGCAGAGTATGATCCGGAGTTTGGGATGGGAGATCATATGTTCAACGACCTTGCATTGTCGCGAGATACCATGCGGGAGTACCACGCTCGTATCAGGGACGATAGTTCCGCGCAGAAACTCTCTGTCATGGTGTTGCAGCGCAGTGTCTGGCCGTTCGGTGCGCGAGAGAAAGATGTGGACTTGCCTCCCTCGGTGAGTGATGCAGTTTCCGGTGTCTGCGCACGCTCATGATGAGTGATAAAGATGCAAGCAGACCTGAACAGTTATACGACTTTTTACAAGATCAAACATCAGGGGCATAAACTCGATTGGGACCATTCACTTGGGAATGCTACGGTGAAGGCGCGGTTTGCAGCTGGTCCTAAAGACCTTACGGTCAGCCTATACCAAGCTGTCGTGCTGCTTCTCTTCAACGAGGAGACAGAGATAGGGTACAGACAGATTTCAGAGGAGACGCGTATGGGCAAGTGTCTATTATTGTTTAAGACCGTTATCAGATACTGACGTGAGCCCCAAAACAGACGATGGGGATCTGAAGAGGACGTTGCAGAGTCTGGCGTGCGCGAATAAGAAGGTACTGAAGAAGCGGCCGGCAGGGAAGGACGTGAACAATAACGACGTGTTTTACTTCAATGCGGAATTCACTGATCCGCGGGCGAAGGTGCACATCAACTCTATTCAGGCAAAGGAAACGGTATGCTTCTGTTCTTGTGGTGAAGCGCATGTCTGATTCGGTTCGCTGTCATGTTCAGGTTGAGGAAAACCAGCGGACTCAGTCGCACATTGAGGGAGACAGGAAGCACTATTTGGATGCTGCAATTGTGCGAATTATGAAAGCGAAGAAAGAGCTTTCACATGAGCAGTTGAAGAATGAGACGATTGATGCAGTGAAGAGTCATTTTGTGCCGGAGGTGAGCGTTATCAAGCTCCGGATTGACGGGCTTGTCGAGCAGGAGTACTTGAGACGGGATGAGGATGATAAGAATTTGTATATTTACGTAGCGTAGGGACGCATGATGTATTGACGTGATTTACTTGTATCGTTCGTTGATCTCCACGGCTCCTGTCTGTTTTTGGAGGGTCATTCAATATTTGCGTATGCGCCTGGATGAGGGTTGGCCGCAAGGAAATATTACTTTCCTTTGTCGAGAGCCCAACATCATACTTGAGCAGAAGATTCTCACCACCATCCTTTGTGGAGTTTTCGGATGACGTCGAGAAGGAACCATTGGCCAAACGGGGTTGACTGGTCTATCTGAGCGCTGTCGTATGCAAATGGGTCTAGCTGAGTGGTCTCAATCAGTGGACATGTTCGACCGGACCATCTGCATTGTCCAACATGGTCCTAAGGAATTCAGATATTTTCCGATGTAGATTCTCTAAGTATAGGTGAGCCATTTGCAAACAAGTGAGAAAAGGATTGCTTACTGGCACGGTCGACCGCTTGGATATACTCTTCATTTGAGTCTTGCATTTGTTGTTCCAGTGCTTGAAGTCGGTTTGCCTGTTTCAGAGTTAGATTAAACCAGTATCAAAATCAACGCGCGCCTGACCTGCTGCTGTTCTGGTTCAGGGACTGGTAATGACTGGATGAGATATTCGATTTGTTTCGCCTTTACGATAAGATCTTGAACGAGCTCGTTCTTGTTTGCTAACGCGTCGTTTTAATTATCATAACTGCGCGCAAGTATAGACACTCACCTTCGAACAATTCTGGAGCATCGTATTTGTCTGGGTTGCGAGTCTTTGTGATGGGTATCTGCTCGCTAACTTGCACGAAGGTAGACCTGGCGGTGAGGTATGCGATAGTGCTTGACATGATTGTCAGGAGCTGAAACATGCATGCTGTTTAAGATTTTTAGTCGGATTAGAAGGAAAAGGAGCTCACGCGTTGGATCTCATCTTGGAGTTGTGTTATACGGTCCATGTGCGAGAGTTCCTGCAGCATGACGCTGCCAGAGGGGCAGGAACTTGTGTGGCGAATCGGAATGTCCGTGGTTGTACGTTTGACAGCTTGAACCGTCACTGACGCTTACTCATCACACCTTGATCTGCTACAACCATCATGGGGAATGATGGAGGCAGCATTCCAGACAGACGCGACCTCGTAAAGAACAAAAAGAAGGCAGAACAAGCAGACAAGGCGAATCAGACTCGTGCTGTATGGTTTTTCTGTGCTCTTTCAAAGGTGAGCACCTTCTGTTTCGGTGGGTGAATGCTTCTGACAGATTTCCTAGCGTCCCTTGCAAGAACCTATTGTGTCTTGTGCTCTGGGAAAATTGTATAACAAGGACGCCATAATCGAACATCTACTCGATAAGACTGCCTATGGAGATGCGGAGAAGATATGTGGGCACATACGTTCGTTGAAGGTGTGTGATTCTTGGCATTTATTACCAAGATGCGACTGACTTAACATTCGACAGGACATCAAAGTCCTCAAACTAACTCTAAGATCTCCACCCCCTCCGCCCGACTCATCTGCTGACGTCGCCAAGTTTGTGTGCCCGCTCACGTTCAAGGAGATGAACGGCGGACAACCCTTCGTTTACATCTCGACTTGTGGGTGTGTCTTCTCTCAGTCTGGTCTGCGTACCGTCCTCGGTTCATCACCTCCGAACGGAAACGTGGCGGCTGAAGAAAGTCCAGCCAACAAGGACGAACAGCTAGAAGTCTGTCCACAATGCGCCACCAAATTCTCCAAGTCGTCTGACATTTTTGTGATAAATCCACCCTTGGAAGAGGAGGAACGCATGTACGCTGCGATGGAGCTTCGTCGCTCAAAAGAGCCTGTGAAGAAGTCCAAGAAGCGCAAGGCTGGTGCAGATGCTGTCGCTGACGAGGTCGCTACCAAGAAGAAGAAAGAATCTCCAGAAGGCCACTCACCTTCTCCGGCACCGGGTCTGAACCCGAAGATATCTGCAGCTTCGCGATCTCTTGCTCAGAGTCTTGCTGTGGAAGAGGCGAAGAGAAAAGCTGGCATGAGCGATGCAGTTAAGTCGCTATATCGGGACAAGAACGACGCTCCTAGGAAGGAAACATTTATGACTATGGGTACTTTTACGAGAGTGAGCTGTTCACTTGCTTGTTGTGATGGTTTCCAACACGCTAACATGGGTTCTATGCAGTATGCGTAAATATCAACTTTTACCGGGTGTGGCTCCTAGACGTAGCGTGTGTGTAACTGTATTAACTTATGAATTCTGTATAATCCTTTTTGCTCAGATGGGGTGATCGCCCACGTTTGCCACCTCCAGTGTCCACCGTGATGGTTATTAAATGGAAGCACGTGTCTTGTCATATGATGTCCCACATGTAAAGGCAAGACTTGTTCACTAACCAAGGTCCAACTCGCTGCTAATCATCATGGTGAATTCAAGGTTAGCGCATGTACTTGCCTCGAAACCCTCTCTAATACTTCTTCAGAGTTTCAAGCATCGTAGCCATGGTTAAATATTGCGGATATCTCGTGCGAGACGACTGGTTGTTTCAGCGAGCCGTTGATATTGGACATCCGCCCCCCGTGACCACAGGAGACAGAATGGATATGATTTGCCTGGCTTCAAGGGATGTCAGACACAGACGGGTGTTTACTGCTACACCAGTTTTCGTCAAGTAAAAACCGCCAAGGGCACCGCGTTTTGGTGCATTGCCTTCGCCTCGAACGATCCTTTCGAACGCTTACCAACCAGCGCGCCGTCGGAGGAAAAATACAAGGATTTGAAGGAGGTGCTGCAGAAGAAAGGCCCGCCCCGCTGGAACCAAGCTTATTGAAATAATGTCAGTGATTTTGCACATCGGCAATGGAAGCAACTAATGTTTATTTTGACACCACAGTTTCGTCGTGTTCATGATCCGCCGCATACTTTCCAAGCCGTCGAATCCCAGGACGGGGACGTTATAAGTATCTGCACTTTTATTATTTGCGCGCTGCGCGGTTTTGTCAATGGAGAGTTAGCCCGTTTTCGTCAAGAGTTTCCACTGCGTGTTTTTGTTGATTGAGAGGGCTTTGGACCGCGTTTGCGTGTTTCCCAACACTTCAGATCTCGTGTACTCAAGCCCGGACCACCAAAACAGCGAGAAAAATAGTTTGAGCGCAAAATAAGTAGGGTGTACAAAGTATTGCTAAGTCACGCCACCTCCATATATGGCTTGGGGGTTGGTGACAATGCAGTTGGAGCCTTAGGTTGGGGGCGCAATGGAGGTTCTGCGTTGACCCTCGGAATACCTGCTCATAATGATCACCACAAACTACCATTTCTCTTTGTTCATCTGTTCCAAAATGTCCATCACCAAAACTCGTTCAAATAAGGTTGATTTCTCTGTGCCTAGTGCTTGTAAAATGAAATTGTCCCTCGATGTGGGTAACATGCGAAACAGTTGATGCAGATGTTCGTCCGTGCAGAGGCCAGCCTTGACGATGGCTGGTTGAAAACGAAGAAGACTTGGTGTTACTGAGTCTAAGTGGGTGGCCAGGAGAGCTACGGCCGACGAGGTGGTTGCGACCTCAGCGTCGTTCTTCAACTTCGACCGGGTACACCTGACCCCTATACGGAGTTCCGGAGAGACGCGAGGATGACTAGTAAACAACCTTTGACGATAATTATGCTGTAAAATAGGTTGGGGGATAAACTTTGTAGTGGATTAGGGAATCCAAACCTGTTGGCTCCGGATCGAATTCAGCTGCTCGCCATAAATTAGTACATATGGCAACAATCCTTATACCATGAAATCACCTTTTGTTGCACCAGTCTAAGACGTTGGTGATACACGAGACGAACCAGTACGTCGACTGCCCAGCCGTCTTCATACTGCATCAGGAACGACAATTCCGGGTCCAGTAGAACCTGGAATACATATTTCAGACTCGAACATGCCGGCGCTGTGCAGAAACACAATGAAATATCTCTTACCTCACGTTTTAAAAAATCCAACCGAGCTTGAGGCTGATCCGCGTACAGTTTGAATACGTCCAAATGACGAAGAATTAAGGCTCGAACTCTTCTCTTAATAGGCGCAATAGGTCGGGCCTGCAATATGATACACAATTTAATCGCCACTCACCTTGGCATACCTGAGGGTATGGTGGTTGACACGTAATGCCGAGTGGAAAAGGCGCACGGGAGTTCGAGCACTGAAGAGCTTGGTGAAGATCGCTTGCGAAGGGCGCTTGATCATAAAGAAGTCTACGTCTGGCGAGGCTGGTCAGCCATCGTTATCACGCATGAGTGTGATAAGTAAATTGTGGTCCAAATAACAAAGGGGCACAAAACCCACATCTTCTGGAGTTGCTCGTGCTCCCCGTAGACCAACCGCAGGAAGACATTGTCTAGGGTCTGTCTGCAGCCATCTACTCGACGGTTGTCAATTTATCCTGATTATCTTCGATAATCCGGCTTCTCCGGAATTCCTGCACGACAAAGGGGAACCTTGTCTAGAGTCTGAGTTCATTATCATTGACATTGAATCATATTAGGAGCGCGTGCGCCCGTCCCCTCGGGTCTTCTCTCCTTTTACGGCTGTCACCAATGAGCAAATCGATCCGATGTAAAATACATAAAGGTGTATGACTTGCCTGTTCTTGCGGCTGCTGACGTTCAACGTCATGAGATATACTATACATCGCCTATCTCTGAGGAATCGAGCGCGATAACTCGAATGCGAGGAGTTACATAAGTTCGAGAACCCTCGATTCTTGCTCTGATAACGCATTCAGTCACGCCGCACATCCCCTTCTGTCCAGGGTCCCTGGGCCTCATGCCAGTGATCAATCGATCACCCCAAACCACTGGGGTAAAGCGAGACGGGGCAGGTGAGTCTGGGTGAGTCACCGAAACTTGAAACCCAAACACGTGTATGCCAAACGATCGGATCGGATCGGATCGATGAATCGATGATCATGAGGATAAGTTCAAATTGTGATAAGTATTCTTCAGTCGTATGCATGATGAGAACTTACTTGGATTATTCTGTGGTAAATGATTCCGCGTGAGCAGAGCAGTCGTACAAGTCAAGCTAGTTGCCGGATTGTCGCAGTGACTTCAACTTGTCATTGACTCAAGTTGGACACCATTGCAATTATTAGTAACAACCTGCCGGGAAATTCGGGATACGATTTCCCGTCGATAACAATTTGCATCATTTGCATCGATCGAACGATCCTTTTGATTTTGTCTGCAATCATCTTGACGCAGTGAAGATGCATTGATGATTTGAGAGTCGAGCCTCAGTCGAGACAGAGGGGAAGACCTCAACATCACGTGCTCATTGCAGCGGCCGAAGGCCGAAACTGCAACTTGACCAAGTCGGACAGACAGGGTCGGTGACCAACTGAATTCTTGAAGACTCGGAGAAGTTTGAACCAGTGCCAAGTGGGCTCAGAGAGGCAATTCCCAGAGATTCTGAACGTAGAATCGACAGGTGACAGCTCAGTGTTTTCTTCGCGCTTTCAGAGGTGAGTGATTGTGTTCGCTAGCTGAATGCTTCTGACAGACTCCGTCATAGCGTCCATTCTATCTTATGCTCTTAGAACACTCTTTGAAAGGATGCCATCTACTAAGACTGCCTAATGAGATGCGGTGACCTGAGTATACGAGCATATATATTCATTAAAAGTGCGCTCTACTCTGATCTACAATGTGACAGACCCGATAACTCGACAGGACATGACGGTCCTGAAACTACCCTTGAAATTTTAACCCCCTGCGTTCAACACATCCACCGCTGTTGCCCAGTGTGCCTGCCCGCTTACGTTCAAGGAGATGAATATCGGACAGGCTATATCTTAGCTTGTGCGTCTTCCTTGAGTCTGGTCTGCGTATCGTTCTCTGGAGGAGTGCGCTGCGATGGTTCACAAGAGTTTGAGAAATCCAAAACCGTGTAGCCGGTGCCGATGCCGTCATTGTCGCTGAGGTCGCTACGAGGAAGATGAGAAAAAAAATCTAGATCCCCGGCACCGTGTTCGAGCAGCATCATGGTGTCCAGCTCAGCTGAGTGACTCAGCCTGAGTCTTGCCGGTATGAGCGATGCACTTATGTCGCTATAACGATGATCGCAGGAAGAAACTATGGATAATTTCACAAGAGTGAGCTATTCCTTCCTGTACTACATCGATCAGCGACGCTAACCTGTGTTCTGTGCAACATGCGTAAAAATCGAGGTGTAGCTCATGGATGCAAAGTGTGTATAGTACTTTACCAACTTATAATGTTGCATAATCCTTTTTTCTCAGATGGATTGGAATATGCCACTACAATTTTCAGCTTCGTCGAGGAGCAAATGTTTAACGCCAGAAGAAATACGGATGAAATGAGTGAGTGTTATTAGCGTATGAAAAAGTTCGTGCATGTCTGAAAGTCTCGTAATCAAAAGCAACTGATGACGCCTGAATGTAGGAAAACAAATACGGCAAACAACCCACCCAGTAATGCTAACGACGCAGTCCTTCCCTCTCGTTCCACCCTGTCTCCCCTATCATCGTCCGGCTGCTCGTCACGCGTGCTTCCGTAGCCATTATTCACTTCTCGAGTACCCTCCGTTTCTCCTAGAATCCATCCATTCTTTCCTTTATCTGCGTTTTGGCCCGCCGCGGTCCCATTTTGCTCTCGCAAGAGCTCCCTCAACTCCGCTAATTTCCCTTCCTCCCGAACGAAGATGGGCGTACCAAGTTTTGCCTTGATCAGCTCCTTGACAGCTAGTCTGGACTGCTCATATTGCTCGTCGTGCCAGTGGCCAGGACCGTCCTTGAGTGGTTTCCCTCTTATAGTGGTGATGCAGGCATGTCCGTCGAACGTCAGCCAATGCTTCTTAAATTCAGCTTCGTGCTCCTTCCACCACCCCTCCATCGGATCCATGTTCTCCAGACCCGTCACAACGAGCACCACGGGCACCTTCTTGCCTCCGATAATGTTAAAAAACGCGTCATAATTGACTTCTAGAGCCTCACTCGCGCGCGCGGCGTTGACGCAGTACAGAAGGAGATTGAGGCCGCCATGAACGTTTTGAATCAATCCCTGCAGGTTCTTCGCAGCACCCTCGGAAAGCGCGTCGTGATGCTCCCCCTTCTGCAGCCCCACTGTTTCCCACACCACCACTTCCCGCCCGCCCACGTCGACAGCGTACCCCCTGCTCGCAAATGTTGCGAGGCCTGGGTCGGATGGATTTGAGACATCCCGGCCGACGAGCATGTTGATGAGCGAGCTTTTTCCCGCGCCACGCTCGCCGAAGAGTATGACGTTGGGACGGGAGGGCTGTGGGGGAAGCCGGCCGCGCGTGCGTGCGCTCGCGGGCTCTGGCTCGCCCCTGTCTCTTGCAGGACCTGTGAAACGCGCCCAGAAGCCTGTTTTAGGCTGGGGTTGGGGTTGGGGTTGGGGTTGGGGCTGGTGTCGGGGCTGCGTGCGGTTGTCTGTGATGACGATGTCATCTGACTCGGCGGGCGAGGGCTGGCGGTGGCTGTATGCATCATACCCGCGGCTTGGACCTGCAGCCGGAGGGGGCGTGAAGAGGGGTGAACGTTCGTTGTATTGTGGGGCTTGCTGGAGCTCTGCGGGGGCACGTTGCCTGCCGCGATCTTCTGCGGCGGGTTGGCGCTGTTTAGTGCGATCGCGGTCTTCAGGGGGGGCCTCAGCTGGTGCACGTTGTTTTCCACGGTCCTCTACTGGGTTCGGGCGCTGCCTGGTACGGTCCTCGGACAGGAGCTCTCCTGGTGCACGTTGTTGTTGTTTGCCCCGGTCTTCTGCGGCTGCTGTGCGCTGATTCGAGCGGCTGCGCTCGCGGTCTTCGGGGGTGCGCTCGGCTGGCGCGAGCTGTCTGCTGGGGTCATCGGGCCGTGAGGGATCATCTTTGGGTGGGATATCTGCGGGGTGGTCTGTGTTAGTCACGGTATTTCACAGGTATTTGGGTGGTTCGCACTCGGAGGTGGTTGCTGCTGCTGCTGCTGCTGCCGCTGTCGCTCTTGTCGCTGTTGCTGTTGCTGCGGTTCGAGCACTTGAGGCTGAGTGGTGGGGTCTGGGGGTGCATCTTCGCGCCTTTCGGAATTGGCGAATCTATTCATGTGCTAGGAGTCGATGGCTATGGATTCAAAATTCATGGGCGTTGGGGGTGAAAGGTCATGGTATATGTATATTGTGCCTCGCTGGTGGGCACATGTTGTTCGCGAGCCGAGGCGCGCGCGTGTTGAACGCGTTTCATGGTTCTCGCCCCTTTGTGCGGCATGATGTGTTCGTTAGTCTCACACGTGAGTGCTATTCTCTGGCGTCTAACAAGGTGCAGGGTCTGTCCAAGCATCGAGTGCTGTGTACTTCTATTCATGTCCGTCAAGATTTTGGTGTGTGATGAGGCCGTGTGGCTTTCTCTGGTATAGCATGTGCGACTGAGCGCTGATGTATAGCATTGTGTGGTTGCGACACACAGGATATCACGTTCGCCATGTAGCCCTATATATCAATTCACCCTCATACTCATGTTGCGTTACCTTGCGTTTCGTGATATTGAAGTGGCAAGGAAGACCACGCAAGGCTTCGTTATACATTTACACAGTTGAGTTTATCTGCATTTGGATGTGCGCTAATTTTCACGCAATTGCCTCGAGTCCTGCATCGTGCAATATCATCAGGTCACGTAAGAGTTTATTCACCTCGTGTTGGCTGGGGCATCCTTTCGTGATTCCGCGCCCATCGCAATCTTCGCGTTGCCGCCCAAGTCCTCATTGACAACTCCCGTTTCAGTTGCTCTGCAACCAGACAGCAAGCCACCTTCAATCCAATGAAGCTTTCCTATCTCGTTTCACATAGCAGCAACGATAGACGGTGCAGTCACAAGTCCTGGGCATCTGGAATACCTCTGAGCGCCGCTCAGTATCAAATGCCAGAACATCAGCAGTATTGAACAGCTCCTCCAGAGCACGTGAAGTCGCCTCGCGGAAGCGTAGCATGATGACAGGAGTCACAGGACTGAAGACGGATGTTGGGTCTGACGGTACTATACAGTAACAGCCTTGTAGATATGAAGGCCTCGCAACGCACCGTAAAGAACTCGTCGGTTCTCTGATGGGCCTGCTGGCTAGCCGGCCTCCCTTGAAGTGGAATGCGTAAGAATAATGAGTCTCGCGCGCTATCAGTACTCATGACACAGTTTCACTCTATCTATCAAATACATTCAAACATAGAAGTTCGTACTTATGCGTAGTCCACGTGGACCCAGCCAAGCAGGCGCTCAGCTTTACTACAGTCAAAAAATCCTTTCCCGCCACTCTCGACCCAGCCAGATTTTACCTGCACGTCTGGGAAATATTTCTCCTTCAGTTCCAGCCAATCCTCATCGGCGGCCAGCTGAGGCGCGGCAATGAAAAATGTTTCGTGTCCTGTCCATTGATCCATCCCCACAGTCACTGCACGCAGGAAGGCATCCGCTGCTGAGTCCATTTGGACGTAGCTCCATAGGTCACCTCTGGAGCGGAAGTAATCCTCTCTATAGGCCCATGCGCGCGTAGGGGCGACCTTGTGCATGCGCATGCTTGCAACCCGCATGGATGGGTATCTTCGGACGATGGTATCTGCTTGTATCTCACCAATTCTGGGAGGATTTGGTCAGGCTCTATTATTATTTCTTCGATAATCATGGATTAATCACAATTTGGAAAGCCCATAAGGCTCGTCAGGTTCGCATGGGTGGTTCTCATCGATCGGAAAGTAGCGAAAGGTGGGCTCTGTGCCGAACACCCCACGCAAGACATTGACCGAGGACGCTACAGCGACACGGTCTATTCCTAACTGAGGATATTTAGTTGATATATTATCTGTGGTATGTTCTGAGTCACCTCAGCAGCTGCACGCAGGACATTCCAAGTGATCACGACATTTCTGCACATGGCGGGTGACAACCTTTAAGAAGTACTGTGATGGAGGGGAATTCTTACTCGTTATGCACCTTAACCTTGTAGTGCATTGGGTGTGCAAAAGCTGCCAATTGGATGATTGCATCGCAACCCTCGAAGACCTTCAAAGCCGTATCAAAGTCATTAAAGTCCGCTTGATGGAAAGAGAAGGCAGGATTGTCGTAGAAATCGGTATCTGGTACAATGACACGGTCTGCGCCGACTACGGTGTGCCCTTCCTTGAGCACCCAAAGCACAACTCGTTTGCCTACGTCCCCGTTGCATCCGGTGATGGCAATCTTCATTGTCAGGGCGGTCAGACAGAGAGAGAGAGGGGGAAACTTGGTCCAAAGTGTGCTCAGTGCTCACTATCAATTATGCTTATCTCGAGTAACTGGTCAGGAGGACAGGACCCCGGCTGTTCCCTACAACACATGACTACCCAGCTATGATAGTCCGCGCCGCGCTTACGTTCATCATGCATCAAGTTTGTAAGGCTTTTCATAGGTTAATGTCATGAACCTAAACAAGCACGTAGTAATGACTACGTGAGGTTGTTAAGTAGCCATTGCGATGTCACTCACGAGTCCAATTCTGATTCCTTTGGCATCATGCTAGTAGTATGTTGCCATTTGTTCATCACCTCGTTACTCGTGATATCATCGTCGAAAGCTCTATCACGTTCTGTTCAATGAGGATTCGAGCCGTGTATTTGCAGGACAATGCTCACTAAATGTTTACCGAACTCAGCAAAAACGAGAACGGCTAAGAAAAAACCCGGAGCCGCACTCGACGCGTTAGGACATTCAAAACTGAGAAGATGCCAGCATCCCATGATTTCACAACAAAACATACCTCGCTCCATAGCTAATCGTGCGACTGTTTTCTTCTCATACCTTCATCATCATCGTGCTATAGCGTTGTCGTTGTTGTCGTAGAGTCACCAACTAGCGCTCGCCGCTAGCATATAGAACTTGAAGAAGACTGTGGTAAAGTTAATTAACTTTTCTGCTGTCGGAGTGTGAAATTGAAGTTGGTCTCTCGAAACGCGACTGGGCGTCTCAAGTAGCTAAGTACATACCAGCTCACGCGCTCGCGCCTCGTTCTTGTGGAACGTGGCAGGACAAGGTAATGAAAACCCTTCTACACCATATGTTTCATTCACAAAATGGGTACTGATAACGCTCCTGGTCAGGTTTACTACACAAGCCACCGGAAGGCTATCCCGAGACGCTTGGCAGGTGCTGCTACCGGGTTTTGGAAAGGAATAGGCTTTTCGACACCAAGGTTTTCGAATTCTTCATCTGCTTCTCTTGCATCTATTGAACCGCTGGATCGTCCTGAATCACCTGCCATGTCTACCCCAGATGTCCCTACAACCCCTCTTACGAATTCAAACGGTGTCCTTCCACATGACAGCCCTGTAGACACGCCTCCTGCCTTTGATACATCACTGTTTCAATCTTATCTCGTGTCGCTCCTGCCCCCGGTACTTGGCGCTCTACCCGAGGAGTTTGTAACCTTGTTTGATGAAGAATTTGACGAAAGAGTCACTCGCTTTGCGGCAGAGGGTGGAGGCGTGATTTACGTGGTAAAAACGAGGGACGAGGCAGAGGGTGAGCTTTTGCATCCAATTTAGAAACGGACCTAACGCGTACTAGAGGACGCGCCACAGACTTACTCATACCACTTGACTTCGCAACTGACTTATTCTGCTGCGAGTGTTACATCACTTGCACTCATCAAACGCGGTCCCATTTTGGATCCTGTCACACCTCTTGCCACACAACTACATATCCTCAATTTGTTTGGAGGCGAAGACACACCGTACGAGAGTTTGCATGCCGTCGTAAGCTGTGGTGTTAAGCCCTGGTTTGATGCTTTTGTCGGAGCACGGGGTGGGGGTAAGGACGGGGATAGTAAAATGGGTATGCTCGCACTTCCTTTTTTTCGGCTTCACTCACTTGCGTTATAGGGATACCCATGACCAAGAAGAAGTTTGCCGAACTGGAATTGTCATTATTACACCTTCAACAGAATGTGGAAATACCTGAGACGCATTTGATCATCCATCCAGCCATACAACGCGCCGTAGAAGAGGTCTGTTCCTGCGCAGTGACGATAGTTGTCTAAAGGCTGAAGACATCACACTAGGCTCGTGCTTCAGGTTCCCGTCCAAATATATCGCACATATCTCAAAAGCTCGTAAACGAGAGTTCGTTCCTCAACACTTTGCACGGACACGTCAACATGTGGATCAAGGCCATTCAAGCAGTCACCAAGCTATCGCGTGACGTGTCCTCTGGCACAGCGTCGCAAGAAATCAATTTCTGGCTGAGTCTTGAACGGGCACTGGAGGGTATTGAGACTCAGCTACGCAGCGATGAAGTGACCATGGTCATGGAATGCCTTCGAAATGCGAAGCGATATCTCGCAACAGTCAGTTTTATGACGGACACCGGCTTGAAGTCTTCTACGGATCTTGGTGCGCTTTCTTTCTAGCATAGTCATTGGAGTTGCTGACGAGTATCGTTAGTGCACAAATACAACCAGCTGATGAAAGACTTTCCTCTCAATGAGTTATTATCTGCGACAGATCTTGAAAAAATCCAAGAATCACTGGTGCTCATCTTTGGACATATCAATCGCAAGCTCAAGCTTTCGCCGTACCCAATCCGTCGGGCACTACCTCTCGTGGAGGCGATTTCTCGTGATTTCAACGACCAACTATTACGCGTGCTGACGTCACATAGGCTGTCATACACCCCGTACGAGACCTTTGACCGCTTACTCGGCCAGACCATGAACATTTTTCGGACGTGGGATGACCTCATCAAGGAGTTCACGAATGTCGCCCGCGAGGTTATGCGCAAACGCGGAGAGAAGTTTGTCCCCATCAAAGTCGTTGCTGCGCACGCGAAACTACAGGAGCGGACGAGGTATCTGCGCGACTGGAGGAAGCAGCACGAGCAGCTGGCGGTGATGACGGGGCCCACGAAGGGTTTGGGGAGCATGACCAAGGAGGTGGGCGGGATGGACATGGAGGAAGAAGTGAAGGAGGCGTATGAAGTGGTAAAACGCATTGATGTTCTCGATGTTTCTGTTGGTGAGCGACTTTCACATATTGTTGTTGAAGGCACCTCACTCCCTTCGCAGAGGGCACGGAAATTTGGGTGGCTGCTGAAAACGCATACAATGAACGGGTTGCAAGGGTCGAGAACCAAATCATTGCACGGCTACGCGACAGGCTAGGCACGGCAAGAAACGCGAATGAAATGTTCAGAGTCTTCTCCAAATTCAATGCACTTTTTGTTCGCCCGAAGGTAGCTCATCTTATGAGACGACCTAACGCATGTTTAAGCTCATATCCCACAGATTCGTGGAGCTATCCAAGAGTATCAAACTCAACTCATTGACTCAGTAAAGGAGGATATCAAGCGACTTCACGACAAGGTAGGTAGCCTACTCTTGTACCGTCCCCGTTACTCATAATGACCATCAAGTTCAAAACGCAATACCGGTTCTCTGAAGCCTATCACATGTCGCAAATGCGCGACCTACCTCCAATAGCTGGTGCCATCATCTGGGCTCGGCAAATCGAGCGACAGCTACTCACCTACATGAAACGAGTGGAAGATGTACTTGGCAAGGGCTGGGAGCTCTATGCAGAGGGCCAGAAACTCCAGTCAGAAAGCGCCGCATTCAGGAAGAAGCTAGAGACACGGCCAGTGTATGAAGCCTGGCTACATGACATCAACCGGCGCGACATGGGTGTCAATGGCCGTCTCTTTGAGATTGTGAGATTGCGGGGAGGGGGATTCCAACTAGCGGTAAACTTTGACCCGCAAATCATCACGCTCTTCAAGGAGGTTCGCAATTTGCTCTGGCTAAACTTCCAGGTCCCACACGCGACCGCGACCATGGCGAAGGATGCGAAGCGAGTATATCCTCATGCTGTCAGTCTCATGGAGACTGTCAGGACCTACGGACAGACTCTGGATCTGGTAGAGAATAATATGGGTATAGAGTGGTTGGTTGCCGAATACCGGAACGAGGCTCAGCGGATGGTTGCCAAAGGTGCTTAGATTCGGACCGTCGGTTCATCGTGTCTGACGCTTTTTGTCTAGGTATGAGCATCAAGTGGGATTACTTTGTCAACCAATACGACACCGCACGGTATGTTAGTAGTGCCGACGGACGCGAAAACCGACATATCCAATTCGTGCGGGAGTTTGCGAGCGTTGTGTCTGTCCTACAGGATAAGACAAACAATGTAATCGACCTGTATCGCAACATTCTTCGAGCAGTCGAGGATCTCGCAACCTGCACATATACGAGCGAGGCGTTTTCAGAACATCTAGGCAAGATTCAAGCTGCTGTGAGTTATTGTTTGTCGTTATTGTTTGTGTGCTGAATACATGCAGATCGATCGCCTGAATCTGGAGGGATACGCTAATCTTGAACAGTGGGTGGCTGATCTCGATAAGCGGATAGAGGAGATCCTGCTTCAGCGCTTGGCTTATATCATTCAGCTCTGGTGCTCTGAGTTTGATCGGACGGATGATGGCGATGCGCGTCGGGACCCGATGCCTTTGCGGGACATCGCCAACAAGCGACGTGCTGGCAAAGGCGGGAAAGAGGAGAGGGTACGATATGTTGTTGTTGATTTGAAGCTAGCACTGACTCATCTTTCCAGGTCGCCGAGGGCAATATGACTGTAAAACCCATCGTTCACGAGATTCGGATACAGAACCAAGTGATCTTCCTTGATCCGCCGATAGAATATGCACGTGCAACTTGGATAAAGCAACTGCATGACTGGCTAGGTACGCAGGGTATCTCAATGCTCGAGAAATCACTAATTCCTTGGGTAGGTGTTATCTGCCGATTAAGACGCATCCAAAGCTCTCGATACGAGATTGGGTTGCAGATGCAGGGCACGCAAGTGTCAGAAACAACATATACATCTCTTGTGCGTATCTCCCACAATATGTCGATGTTATCTCGTCCTTACCAGCTCCACTCAGCTCACACGATTCTCGGACAACACTCTAGAGCGACCGTTTTCTCTCATAGAACTCAAAGTTCAAAAGCTCAAAGACTATGTAGCCAAGTGGCTACAGTTCCAGTCGCTGTGGGATCTGGAGGCGGAATATGTCTTCAATCGCTTAGGCGACTCCCTCGCGCATTGGCAACAGCTTCTGACAGAGATCAAGAAAACACGGTCGACATTTGACACGTCAGAAACACAGCTTAGCTTCGGCGTCTGTGTCGTCGATTACGAGCAAGTCCAAGCGAGAGTAAACGCCAAGTATGATGCATGGCAACGGGACATTCTCAGTCGTTTCGGTGTGAAGCTTGGGAACGCGATGAAGGAGATGCATGCATCCATCATGAAGGCGCGGAACGAGCTGGAGCACCATTCGATAGAGGGTTTGGTTGGAGGAGCACGAAGATTTTAAGTTGTGGTACATACTTCTTTTTCTTTTTTTGATACCCATCCATGCATCGCGCCGTTCGTTATTTGGACCTCACGCTGTGTTTCATTTTACATGCCCCATCATGTTCTATTGTATCAGTTACGCGTAAACATTTTGTAATGGATCCTGAGGACCTGAGTACTTGATGCACCTGCGCCTCCCCCTTTTTTCTGAAAATGATAAATGGATAGATAATAACATAAGAAAGCCTAAAAATAAATAATACTAAACGTATTAATACAACCTCTTCGGGTCACCTGCCAGTGCCACTTGTATTGGTAAACATTCGCGCTAGCCGCTAGCGCTGATCTTTCCCCGCTCATCAATCCCTTTACGCCAATGCTGCACTGCTTGTCTTCTCCTGGCAGTAACGAGCCAGGCCCATCAATGTTTGTGTGGGCTCGACTGACAGGGGACAACCTCGTCTTGTCGCAAGGGTCGCAAGGCGTCTCGCAAGAGATTTTTGTAGGGGAACGTCTCGGCGTGATAGGTGCCCTGTTACCCTTCCGAATTACTTCGGGCTTCCAGGCTTTGAGAGGAATAAGGTACGTGCATTACCTCACTTACTGCGGAGGCCAAGACCTGTGGAGGGCATATGGGGGTGCTTGGCTTGTGAGTTAAATGAGCTTGAGCCTTGAGGGTCACGGGCTAGGTATGTTACGTGAAGCTGAGGTACACGGAGGTCGACGTTCAGGTTTGTGTGCGAGAGTTCGTGTAAAATAACCGAGCTATCATATTAACACAAGCTTGGAATTGACGATCTCATGTAGAAGAGAGCATGTTTTGAATCGACTACGACACTCAAGTCGAGATCAAACAGCCTTTCAGAACAGTAACTTGACCCCTCTAGCTTTGGCTTGTTATCTCGGTCTTATGTACAGGATCCTGCATGTCAAAATGTTGTGTCTGTGAGTGACATCCCCCACGTCATCGATTCACCTTAACCTCATGCGCTTGGCTTTGTTGCCCCATAGAAGAAACTCTATTCCGAGTTCTCCATAAAATGGCTGCTCTCCGCCCGTCGCTATCTATCGACTTGTTGTCTCAACCACTTGCACCTCGGCTAAGTACTGTCTGCCTCCACCTCCCTTTATTCAGCCATCAAGTTCGGGGTCATGTCATCCGAAACCCCACAGACGAATCTATCCATTGAAAAATTTCGCCTTGATGGAATGATGTTATCGTGTGTTTTCTATGGTGTGTTTTCTCTCGGATGCGACAATATGGAAGGACTCATGTACCACAATAGGCATATACTTTTTCCTCACAGTGCAAGCCTGTACTGCTCTCATGCAACGTCCTCGATATGAGGAAAAAATTGCAGAACATCGTCGCGCGCTTTTGTTCTACGTCTTCATCACGTTCGTATTGATGTCGATAAGCTTTGCTTTGAACGCAAAGTATACGGAAATGATTTGGATAGACAATCGTGACGCGCCTGGCGGTCCGCTCGCGCTAATCGAGAACTACATGACTAATCGTATCAACCTCCTGGCACTTGGCGGGTAAGTGTCGTTGCCTGTCCACCTCAAGAACTCTAGTATTGACGTTCCGTCTAGTGCTCACATTCAGGAGTGGTTTATGCAAGCTCTGCTCGTGAGCCAAATAGTTTGCCAGATCGTCTGATACAACCCTGATGCTTGGAAATACTTAGCTTCACCGATGTTTTGTGATATGGAATTGGTCAAGACGGGTGATGGTCCCGATGATCGCAATCTATGTTGTCATGATCGGTGCAGTTCATCATCCACTAGGGGACAACAGTAACTGACTTCTCGACTAGTGTTTTCTATTATGGTTTTGATCGAGGCGAGCACCGGTGCTTCATTTTACAGCATCAGGATCGAGCTTGCCTACCTCGGCCTCGAAGTAGGGCACACCGTGATGTATACCATTCTAGTGACGAATCGCTTGTTCGTCATGCGAGGACGCATGAGGGAGATCATGGCCCAATATGATTCCAGCACATATGATACTGTCGCCCTTATGGTCATCGAGTCCGCAGCGTTATATTCCGCGTTCGCTGTTGTTTTCATAGTTGCATTTGCTGTGCATGCAAATGGCCTCACCACTCTATGTTTCCTATCTGTTACCAAAATCCAGGTAAGCAGACAAAATCTAAGTTACCTGCGTCTCTGATGGTATTTGTCTTTGTTGAACTAGGGCATTGCCCAATTGCTGATCATCATTCGTGTTGCACGGGGGCGGGCAGTTACACGCGAGTGGTCGACGCGAGCTACTGCGATGCCTACGGCTGTAGAATTCACAAGGACTGTATCGGATACGACATCGGGAACCGACAACGAACGAATAGGCAGGCCAGAGCAGGACGTCGTTCAGTTGTGTTCTGTTTCCGAGAAGGTGGCGGAAGTAGCGGCGCCTATAGCATGACGGACGTTTACTTTATATTTGTGAAGCTTTCCTGGGTCATTTGCAACTTTGGTAGCAAGTTGATTGTCTGTCGGCAATGCTGCCTGATATATATGATGTATATGAGGTATATGTCTGACTTCACCAGCACTTTCCTTTGTCCCTTGTTACTGCATGTTCGTAATGAAGAAGAAATGACGATTTTCCTTTTATGGTCTGGTTAGGAGAGATAGTCGAGGTCAGCAGACATTTGGTGGTGATGCAACTGATTCGACGGGCGGGTCGATTCCATCATCTCTATAATTAAAAGTACCCCCACATCGACGTGCTTGCGTTCGCTAAACACAATATTCACGAGTCCCCGATTCAAGTATCCTTACATGGTGACTCCGTACGGGCGAAGATGCAATGTTCAGTTCATGTGGATCTTGAATGTTCTCCCGTACGAGATCTATTCACCTCGAATTTGTCAGATCTGGGCCGCAGCGCAAAAATCACGTTTATTGTCGCTCTAGGCCAACCTGATGTCGACGACAACTTGGCGTAAGCTAGTCTATCATGTATCATGTCTGACCCTAAGCATAGTATTGCACCTACAAGGAAGGCCATGGCCCAGGCTCCCGGCTTGCGCACCACTGCAAAGATTACATACCTAAGCCGCTAATATCAATCACTCAAAGGCGACACAGAAAAGAGAGCAAGATATTCGTGTCCTTCGAGAAGTTCACCCAAGCACCATTTACCCCTCGCTTTGAATTTTTCCAACGCCTTCGACGGTTCCGCGTGATCAACATAAAATTCAGTGAATGCAGACGAGACAGCCCCAGTGCCTACGTTCTCCTGAAAGAGAGCACCGCGAAGTTGTCCGCTTTTGAGGTAGTCAACGGTGGAGGCCTCCAGAACCTTCGCCGCATTTTCACGAATGAAAGACAAGTCGACTGCATGCACACTGACACCTTTATTCATTGTTAGTTGCGATAACTGACTACATATATGATATAAACGAAAACATACCGGCATACTTTGCCAAAGCAGTGCATGCGGCAGGATGAGACGAAACAAGGCCAACAGCTGTGACTCTTTGAAACAAGGGGTGAACCTTGAGGGTTTGCAACAGCTGAGTTGCAATGTATCGTCTACGCAGACTCTTGTCAACGACGAGCTGAGTGATCCACCCAACCACACCTGCGAAGACGTGAACTTGAAACACCATAAGAATATACACATAGACTTACCTCCTTCAAAAGACCAGACACTTGCGAAGGCATGACCGACGAGTTTCTCATGCTGAAAACACGTCACCAGGACAGTACATTCTGGAATGGAAACAGATTGGCTTCGCAACTTGCTAGCAGTCATCTTGACTGGTTGACCTGCGAAAATGAACTGAGAAAAGTGACAGACCCAACACAAGTAAGAGCTGACCTGGTTTGGTGTACTTCGAGATACTGCTTGCCTATTCGCTCCAAATTCCGTAGTTCGTACTGAAGAGTTGCGCACACAATTTCATGAGATCGTCGGAAATTGCAGTACCTGACATGGCATTATACGTGATCACCAAGGACGTATTGGAGGGAGAAGTAGGAAGTGGTGGGGTTACGGACATTGCGTGTTGTGTGCACGACGTGGGGTGAAAGTCTAGCTTATGGACACTCTAGGGGCAAGTCTGTCGCCGACTCTGGGGGAATTGTCTGTGAAATCAATACTTTTGCTGCCTCAGATAGTTCACCTCATCCGACTCTATGCCGCATGTCATGTACATGGTTTGAGACGTAATGAATGTTAGCTTGAACCTCCGACCGAATTCACCAAAGCCGCTGACACGGATCAGTCTGCGACAGACATGCCGAGTGTCCATTTTCCCGGTTCCCGATGTGGCCCTCATGTAAGGGATTTCCTCTACGCCAGCACCCTGCAGATTGGACCGACGTCTACATATCTCATATCCGGTATTACATCGGATACGTCTCTTGTTCTTTATATATGCTCCAGCCTTTGTCCTTCGTCCAGTGCGTGGCACATCGATACTGTTAACTCAGTGACATTGAACGCAAGACGGAATATTACTTTGATCTCAGTGAGGTAAAGACCTAGTTGGTGCACGCACGTGCATACCTAGACATGCGTTGGCCACGAGTGTAGGTCCAAGACTTTGACCTGTATGGATAACGTTCCTGACTCTAGTCAAGACAGACATCAACGTGAACACTTGTGTTAGGCTATACTTGCATCTATCAGTCTACGATCTTCAACTCAGCAAGTAATATAAATTTCTCTCACTACTAACACTGACACATAACCCCCACCAGCTTCTAAACGCCGTCAATCAATGGCAATCATCGACATCCTCAACGCTGAAGTCGCCCAACAAGTGGTAGACAGCTTGGGCGGGAAGCGCCTCATAAATTCCCTTATCACCAACGTCGAGCGCCTCGCACAGACGACAGACACCCTCTCCTCTGACATTAGCGCAACTCTCGCGTCTACTGTTCTGCTCGTAGGAAATCTGACCGAGACGACGAATGCGCTTGCGTTGGACTTACATTACCTGCTGCAAGGCTGCATCGCCCTTGTTGCGTTGCTGTGCTTACTGACAGTCCTTTGCATCGTGCGTTGGTTCTACACATTTAGGAGAGAGCTTTGGGGTGTGCAGCGTCTCAAGACCACGTAGGCTTGGTATATCCGCTAATCCTAGGGTCGATAGTGTCTCCTTATTCCTTGGCGACGGGCTCCAGTGGTGGATCTTACGCTAGGAACCTTCGAGTTGCTTATTTGGCGTGGAACCAAATCAGGATATTTTCAAGCCAGGAGTACGTCGCTGTTTAAACATTTGTAATTACGACCCACCACTTGCCTACATTTATATCGTCTGGGCACCTCGGCCAAGTACCCTTCAAGTTCGTCTCGTGTTTTTGGTAACCTCCTTTTACCAAGAGCTCCACCTAGCTTACACAAATCATCGACGGTACTTACTTTGCAGTGACCATTTTCTTTCAGACATAGAACTCAAAGTTCAGACTTAAGCTCAAACATGGTCGACGTTTGACATGAGAAACACAGCGGAGTTTCGGTGTCAATGCCGTGGGTAACGAGCAAGTCCAGAATGGTCACTGCCAGAGTAAACGCCCAATACGACACCACATAGCAACGGGATATTCTGACAGTCGTTTCGGTGCGAAGTTCGGAAATGCGCTGGAGGAGATGGGCTGGAGCACGTGATCATTTAACAGCTTGAAGAATTAAGATCTCAAGGTGTGGTGCTATCATGAATTATGATGCAGTGATTTACATTTTTTGTTGGTACCCAGGTCTCATTCCATCGATGCGCGCCATCCGTTACTTGGACCTCATGCTGTGATTCGTTCTGCATGCCCGTCATGTCATGTATCGTGCTGGTTACGCATAAAATTTTGTCACGTATCCTGAGCTGAAGTGGTGCGGTGAATTAAAAATTTGCCTTTTTTCCGACAGGCCCCCTCTGCCAAATCGGAGATGCCATAATCGTGAGCCATTTCTCGCAACCGTCGGAGTCGCTAATCATTGATCAGGGTTTGGAGTTGCGTTGCCAATCCCTTTGCGCCATTGATTAGTACTACTAGTACTCTTGCAGTGAGGAGCCTGGCATTCCAATGATAATATTTTTCTGTGGATTCAACCAATACGGTCTGTCATTCTGCAGGCGCGATCTCAGGCTCCCCATCCTCATTTATTCTAGTCAACTCTGGCGAGACGAATTTCGACCCTTGCGGATCCAGTGCCATTTAATAATTGACTCGGGTTTGTGTTCTTGGTCCGCCATTACCCCGGGTCATGGCAGGCTTATAGGGCACTATTACGTTGCGTTGCACGAACGTGGCTTAGGTAGGTTTAGGGGCGAGAGTCCGTGTAAAATAATAAAGCTTAACACATACTTGGAATTGACGGCGACTCATCTAGAATTGGAATCCTTTCAGAATTAATGCTTCAGCTTCAGTCTGTAACCTTGGTCTCATGCACAGGGTCCCATATGTCATTTTTTTTTACGTCTGTGAGTGACATACCCAACGTCATGGTTGACCTCGTACGCATAATATTTAGCTGGCTTTCTGTCTTACTAACTCTATTCTGAGCTCCCTATATAATAGTTGCTTCTTGTCCACTTGCCACTAGTTATCCACACTCACTGGTGGATAGGGTCCCTCAGCCAAACACTTCGTCTCAGTGTCTTCTTTCACCTCCTGTTCGGTCACCAAATTCGGAATAATGTCAACTAGCACCTCACGGACAAATCTATCGTTTGAAAGATATCGCCTGGATGGAATGATGTTGTCGTGTTCATTCTATGGTATGTGATCGGTCGACATACGACGATCCGGAAGTTGACTTATATACCGCAACAGGCATATTCTTTCTCCTTACGATGCAAGCCTGGACTGCTCTCATGCAGCGGCCTCGACACGGGGGGAAAATAGCAGAACATCGTTATGCACTTCTGTTCTACGTCTTCATCACGTTCATATTGGGCTCAATAAGCTTTGGTGTGAACGCAAAGTACACGGAAATGATTTGGATAGACAATCGTGACGCACCTGGCGGTCCGCTCGTGCTAATCGAAAATTACACGAGTTATCGTATGAACGTTGTGGCACTTTCCGCGTAAGTGTCGTTGCCCGTCCACTTCCGGACCTCTAGTATTGACGCTCCGTCTAGTGGTCACATTCAAGAGTGGTTCATGCAAGCTCTGCTCGTGAGCCGAATAGTTCGCCAGATCGTCTGATACAAGCCTGATGCTTGAAATACTTAAGCTCCACCGATGTTTTGTGATATGGAATTGGTCAAGATGGGTGATGGTCCCGATGATCACAATCTATGTCGCCATGATCAGTGCGATTCATCATTTACCAAGCGACAGCAGTCACTGACATTCCAAGCAGTAATATCTATTTTCACCATGAGTATGGTGAACACCGGTACTTCATTTTACAGCATCACGATCGAGCTTGCCTACCTCTGCCTCGAAGTAGGGCTCACCGTCATTTATACCATTCTCGTGACGAATCGCTTATATGTCATGCGAGGACGGATGAGGCAGATCATGGCCCAATATGATTCCAGCATATATGATACTATCGCCCTCATGGTCATCGAGTCCGCAGCGTTATACACCGTCTTCGCTCTTGTCTTCATAGTTGCATTTGCCATGCACGCACACGGCCTCACCACTCTATGTTTCCTGTCTATTGGAAAAATCCAGGTAAGCAGACAAAATCTGAGCTACCTGCGTCTCTGATGCTAGTGATTCTCGTTGAACTAGGGCATTGCCCAATTGTTCATCATCATTCGTGTTGCACGGGGGCGAGCAGTGACACACGAGTGGTCGAGCCAAGCTACTACAATACCTACGGCTATAGCATTCTCAGGGAGTGTATCAGACACAACAGAGGGAACCGACAACGAACGAATAGGCAGGCCAGAGCAAGATGTCGTTCAGTTGTATCCTGATGCCGAGAAGGCGGCGGAAGTAGCAGTGTCTGTAGTGTGAAAATAATTTACACAACTTCATACTTGAAGCTTAGAGTTCGATTAACACTTGAATGTAAAATTGAAGTTATATAGATTAAAAAATTAGGGAAGGTCGTAAAGATCATTTCAGCGCTTCAAGCTTCAAGCTGAGCGCTGAGCAGTACCATTATCTGTTTTTATTTTATGAATGTCGTTCTGAGAAGGCGGCCGGCACTTTCGGCAACAAGGTCGGAGTTCAAATGCCTACCTGCTCGAGGCAGTTGACCCTTCAAGTCGAGGGCGAGTGACAGTTGTAGTTGCAAGACATTCAGCTAGTAGAGATTCTGTGTATGCATGAGCCAGAAGTTCGGTAAGGACCTTACGGACAGTTTGTCGAGGGGCGAGGACCTGAGGTACACGAGAGTTGACGGGCAATGCTCAGATTCAAAGTCCGACAGATTAGGCTCACTACAAGCGCCGAAATCAAACGAAAACCTTGCATGAAAACAGACGAAAGCCGTTGTGGGTTTTGTCAGAGTCGACACCCGTTTTCAGACCTGACAAGTTTGTCGAAAACAGGTGTGAAGCATCCAAGAACATCAGGTCTGACTTCCCCCCCCGTAATATTGCCTTCATTTGCGCTGCGGCCTGTTGGAGCTTTTCAAGTTGAAGCAGGGACAACGTGGGACCGTGACAGACTATGGGCATGTTGCAGAAATGAAAAAAAAAATGAGTTCATTTGGTCTCCCCATCATGATAGCATCATGGATCATGATCGATTGATCAGTTTAACGTGATGTACAGGTGTAAATTTATACCTGTCACTGAGAAAACTGGCTCGACTATCCTTAACTCTCCTCCCCGAAGTAGGCAGGGCAGCTCGCACACCTTCAAGTTACATATTTAAATCCATCAATGGCATCGTTTTGAATCTTTGGGATAACGTGAGTAACCTTTCTTTCATGCGTTCTCCATGAATGGTCAGTTTCATCGCGATCGGTGACCTTCAAGTTGCAGATATTCGAAACATCATAAAGAGTAGTTGTCTGTCCCCCAATATGCCATCACGTCGCCGTTTGTCCTGAAAGTGGATATATCACAACACAAGTTTGGAATTGACAACGATGTTTATAATTGCTCAGCCTTCGAATTGACGACAACATTTAGAATCGAGCAGGCCTTTCAGCGCTTCAGCTTCAGCCAGATACTATCTTGGTCCCACCGTGGGGTCCGGCACGTCAAATTTTTATCACTGTGTGAGCGACATCCCCGACATTGGCTTCATGTATGTGGCCGCCGCTTCTTCTGTTTCCCTAGCGGAAACTCTATTCTAAGTTCCCCATATAATATCTGCATCTTCCTCGCTCGTCTCTTGTGACTACTATCCACTTGTTGTCTTCACTACTTGCCATTCGTTTGACCTCCCTTCACCTGGTCGGTGACCTCTTTTGCGGTCATGTCGTCCTACACCCCACAGACGAATCTGAGCATCGAAAGATTTCGCCTTGATGGAATGATGCTTTTGTGTGTATGCTATGGTATGTTTTCGATCGACACGGGATGATGCGGAAGTTGGCTTATGTACTGCAACAGGCATATTCTTTATCCTTACGATGCAAGCCTTAACTGCTCTCATGCAACGGCCTCGATATGGGGGGAAGATTGCAGATCATCGCCACGCGCTTCTTTTCTACGTCTTCATCACTTTCGTATTGGGCTCGATAAGCTTTGGTGTGAACGCAAAGTACACGGAGATAATTTGGATAGACGATCGTGACGCGCCTGGCGGTCCGCTCGCGCTAATCGAGGGCTACATGAGTAATCGCATGAACGTTCTGGCACTTGTAGCGTAAGTGACATTGTTCGTCCAACCCCAGACCTCTAGTATTGACTCCTCTTTCAGTGGTCACATTGAGGAGTGGTTCATGCAAGCTCTGCTCGTGAGCCTGATAGTACTCCTGATCGTCTGCTACAAGCCTGATGCTTGAAATACTTAGCTCCACCGATGTTTTGTGATATGGAATTGGTCAAGATGGGTAATGGTCCCGATGATCACACTCTATGTTGCCATGATCGGTACAGTTCATCATCCACCAAACGACAACAGTAACTGACTTCTTGACTAGCGTTGTCTATCATAGTCCTGACCGAGGCGAGCACCGGTGTTGTGTTTTACAACATCGTCATGGAGCTTGCCTACCTCTGTGTCGAAGTAGGGCTCACCGTCATTTATACCGTTCTCGTGACAAATCGTTTGCTCACCATGCGAGGGCGTATGAGGCAGGTTATAGCCCAGTATGATTCAAGCACATATGATACCATTGTCATCATGGTCATCGAGTCTGCAGCGTTATACACCGTCTTCGCTCTTGTTTTCATAATTGCATTTGGTATGCATTGTAACGGTCTCACCACTCTATCCTTCCTGTCTATTGGCAAAATCCAGGTAAGCAAACAAAAAATGAGTTACCTGCGTCTCTAACGCTAGTTATTTCAGGGCATTGCCCAATTGTTCATCATCATCCGTGTTGCACGGGGGCGGGCAATTACACACGAATGGTCGACCCGAGCTACTGCAATGCCTACAGCCATAGCATTTAACTCAGGGACTGTATCGGACGTGACCGAGGGAACCGACAATGAACGAATAGGAATGCCAGAGCAGAACGTCGTTCAGTTGTATGATGATCCTGAGAAGGCGGTGGATGTTAGTACAACGTCTATAGCGTGAACACAGTTTATCGTTGATTTCTATATGACTGTCTTCATTTGCACTGCAGCCTATTGAAGCTTTTTGAAGCAGGGACGGCGTAGAACAGACATTATATCGGTATTCATTGCAGAAATGACAAGATGACAAATTCGCATGGTACCTCATATCGCGCGACAGCGCCATATGCCTCGAACCAAGCTCATATCAAGCATCACAAATATTGTTCCCCTAGTAGGTGCACAGCCCGCAAATTGATTATCCCGGTAGAGCTTGCGTGCTCCGCGCGCCGGATGGATCAAGGCATTCACGCACAACTCGCGCACAAGTCACTCATGCGTAATATAGCCTTATAAAATGGCGTACGGTCACATTGGAACTCGCACATAGTACGCGTGATTCGTCTCCTAGTGCATATATAGGAGACTTGTTAAAAATCCAACTGTGTGGGTCAACCCAACAAAATCTTGCATATCACTGGTTTCCGGCTAGTGGGTCAAAATTGACAGCCGATTCAGGGCACCCGGCAAAGCCAGCCAGCCGGTTCCAGTACCCATGTTGGTCAGCAGCATCTGAATTCAATAGGACCAAACAACCCACGTCTCCCAGTGTTCGTTGTATAACAATATTAATGGCCTTGGATGAAACCAACTCGCTGTCTCGGCTCTTTGAACAGTTCCCTGACCATGAAAAGTTCATCACGCATATCACGGGTGCGACGTCATCCTTCGTCCTCCCATTCTTGTACATTACCGACCGCCACAATCCGCGCATCACCGCATTAGTGCTAGATCAGATCTACCGCAACAATGGAGACTATTCTCCTACGCGTTTTGCGCACATAAACGCGGCAGCATGCTTTACAGCGCGCTTGCTGTATGATACCGTACTCAACGCACTCGCAGGATGGGAAGTAGCCTGGGAGAATGGGTGCCAAAACTGGCCTGGTGAGGATGGAAAAAGGTACAACGACAGTATCGATAGCTTTGTACACGGACTCCGGAATCTGCGAAACAAATCCTGGGAGGGAAAGGCTAAAGGGGACGGTAGAGCTGTCAGTGAGGAACCGACGATGGTGCTCCTCATCGAGAGAGCTGAGAGGTTGAAGGACAACCTCTTGGACCTTATTGTTCCACTCACCCGTCTCGCAGAACTGGTGAGTGGTCTGGTTTCATTTTCGTTCAATTATGCATCCTACATGCCAAGGGCAACTTTGACTGATAACACGTGTTTACAGTCACAGGTGAGGATAACGACTATCTTGCTATCCTCTGTGCGATGGGAGGATATCAAGCCACCTCTTGGCGCATCCCCCGATCCCTACTTCATCGATATTGATCCTCCAAGCAAACAAGGCAAGTAGCCAATCATGTGTATTCGGTTAGTATGATCTCAGGGTCATGGGCGTCTCTTCAGACACAGTTGACAGCCTTCTTTTTGCGTTTCGTTCTACGTCCACAGCACAGGTATGCGCAGGCACGCAGGATAGGACGTACCACCCATCGCTACTGCCGCTGTACGAACAATATGTGGAACATGTCTACAATGTTTGCTCTCTCTACACAACAGATATCCAGGAACTGCAGTATATTGCCGCTGCGCGATGGCCTGGGTTTGTTAAACCTGTGTTACAGGAGCAAGGCGAAGCTAATGGGGACGGGGACCCAGACCCAGACGGAACATGTAATGAACTGACACTCCCTGCTTCTGACGGCCGCATGAGACTGCTCAAGTTCTTCACGCCTTCTTTGACGGTGGCACTTGATGCGCTTTACCCACGCTTGACCAACGCTACGGACTGGGCAGCAGCCAACGACCCTGACATGCAAGCATCAGAGAAGGCACAATCCCAAACAAACACGGAAGCGAGCATCATCGTTGACCACCTACCACGCATGTCCAAGTTCATCTTACTCGCGGCGTTCCTGGCTTCGACAAATCCTGCCAAAAGTGACGTGCGAATGTTTGGTCGCGGAGCGGATAAGCAAAAAAGGCGACGTCGGCGATCTGCGTCACCAAAGAAGGCCGGGGCGCAGACAACTGTTGCAAAGGTATATTCATGTTTATTTCACACTGTATGTAATTAAAAGGCAAATAAAGGTTTCACAAAGACTACTTGGCCCTGTGGTATTCCCACTGGATAGGCTTGTCGCAATTCTTGGCGCTCTCTTGGAGGAGAATGATGTCGAAAGCCGGCCTCATGATCCTTCCTTTGAACTCCCAGGAGAGCACACCGACATGGAATTGGGGCGAGTACACATTTACGCCGCAGTAAGTGCCAGGCCTCGTCCCGTGTCGATCCCATCTGACCCTGCATTCCCAAGATCACTGAGCTCACGTCTATGCGCGCTCTACATCGCACGACTGCTGTCGAGAAACTAGAGGGACCACCTCTGTACAAATGCGGAATTTCATTTTGGGTAGCGATGGCTCTCGCGAAAGATTTACAGGTACCATTGAATGATCTTATGTGGGATCCGGCGTAGCGCTTCGGAAGCATGACCATTCTACATTTATCCGAACCTATTATAATTGCATTTCGCAAAGCATTTACTTTGTGAGAGCTGGGATATCAGCTAACGGAATGACTTCCAGCGCTGGTGGTGCTAACACAAATGTAGGTCCTACATTGTCACCTGAGCCATTTGTGGTCGCACACTTGAAATATATATAGCCCTATGAACGAATGATGATTTTTTTTCCAATGGTGTATGAACTCGTTGATCATGAGCTGGCAATCTGAGTCTGACAGGAGACATCCCTGACATCCACTCCCGGTACCTTTGGCCAGAATGTGGACGTCCCATTTCTCAGGGCTATTGCACAGCCCTGATCACAGACAGCAATTTTCTCCAATTGCTCATGATGTTTAAGTATTGATTCGCTCTCTTGATCACAACATTTGCGTAAGTTGTTGGTTGAAGAAAACCCTCAGTTCTGAGTCTGGTTGTCCATAGCACAGCTAGGGCTGCTGTGTACCGTTGTGTTCAACTCGTGCTTGCCATGTGGGAAGATTCCGAATCAATCACTACGCACACCTAGAATCTGGAGCCGAATTACATAGTGCTATCAGTCAATTCCATAATTACACCGCCAGTGCGAAAACTCTCAAGCCTGGATCAAACGAACGCTCTTCCTCAGGCCTCACCTCCTGCATATCTCTGACGATGCCCCCAGAGTTCATTTCTGAATCTGCAGCTTTCCCTTTACAACGACTCGATTCAGAGCTCAAAAACTCCACCGATCTCGAGAGTGAGGTTACTGGGGATAAGCAGGTTGACGACCATGTGCAACCTCTAAGCTCGAGTGAGTTCGCTGTGTGACAACACCTCATAGATACCCATATTGAATTCGAACGGAGCTCTTAGCTTCTGCATTCACTGTACGTTTACCTTTCGTGCATTATGAAGTCATAACATGGGTTTCGAAATGACGCATCTTACCACACAGAGTTCCATCAATAGTGCAGACTTTGATGACCCAAACCTCGACCCTTCACATGGCCCGGAATTTGACGACGAGTCGCCTTATCCAGAGGTTCGATCTGCCGTCGCAAACACAGACGATCCGTCCATACATGTGACAACGCTTCGTACATGGGTTCTAGGCTTGGCCTGGGCAATTGTTATGCCTGGTGTCAACCAGTTTTTCTTCTTCCGCTATCCCAGCGTGCCCATCACTGGCATAGTCGCTCAGCTGCTCTCGTTTCCAATAGGCCGCCTCTGTGCTGCTTATCTTCCCCGAATAAAAATCTTGGGCATTTCGCTAAATCCTGGTCCCTTCACCATCAAGGAGCATGTGTTGATAACAGTGCGTTCTCTCTTGAGGTCCTTTGTTAGCCCTGGTTTATAACCACCTGCCACGATAGATCATGGCTTCAGTGGGCGCTTCATCCGCCTATGCAGTAAGTCCCTTTCCCGAAGTGTCGTAGAGCATTCATTCAAAGCACCAAAATAGACAGACATTGTTGCCGTGCAAAGAGTTTTCTATGATCAGAAATTCAGTTTCGGGTGTTCGTCTTCCACCTTTTCAAGATTGAATGCATGCTCATGAACGGTTCCGCATTAGATCAGTGGTTTTTGGTGATGTCAACACAACTCATTGGCTTCTCCACTGGGGGAATCACACGACGGTTTCTTGTATCGCCTCCAAGCATGATCTGGCCCGTAACTCTCGTCAGCTGCGCGCTCTTCAATACTCTTCACTCTGAGCAGTATGCAGGTATCGGGCAACTAGGCGGCTTAAGTCGAGAACGTTTCTTCATCTATGTTTTCACAAGTGCATTCGTGTGGTGTAGGAATTTTCCTCAGCTCTCATTCGTGTCTGATTAAGTTTTTGATGATTCAGACTTTTTCCCTGGTTACCTATGTAAGGCATGTTCCCTATAGCGACCTTGTTTTTCCAATACCTTTGTATAGTCCAAGCCCTTTCGTGGTTTTCCTGGGTAACATGGATTTGGCCCGACGATCCTGGTGAGTGTCGAGATACCGAACCATGATCCACCCTTAACGCAGAACCCTAGTTGTCTCACAGCTCTTCGGGTGCGTTTCTTTGTTTGCTGAAGAATTCATGTACCACACGTTGACAAAACTAGTTATGTCCACGGTATGGTATGTTAATGTTTACTTGGTCCCTATCATGATCTTAAATATTTGCATCAGGGAATGTCCGTGATAACATTTGACTGGGCCCAAATTGCGCATGTACTTGGTCGTTCCTGCTTTATTATTATTCTAAGCTTGGTTGTCTAGATACAACGGGTCACCACTAGCCATGCCTTGTGAGCCTCCTGATATCTCTTCAATGTACAGTCTAATCGCGTTCACAATCAGGGTGGGCAACGGCGAACGTTATTGTTGGCTTTGTAGTTTTCTATTGTGCGTTCGGTCTCTTTCTTTAAACCGGTAATTGAACGATTATCCCAGGGATAGTAACGCCTATATTATATGTCAGTGATCAACGAAGATTTCACGACTCACGAGTTGACTCCTTCGCAGTTCACAAATACTTGGTATTCTCTATACATGCCGTTCGTCTTAGTCTCAGTCCCTTCCCGCACGACGTCAGCTCAATGTTTTGCAGTATATCGTCAAGGACCTCCTTCGACAACAGACAAAAGACGTACAACGTTACTCGGATATTGACATCAGAAAGCACTTTCAATGAGACAGCATACAAGGAGTACAGTCCAATATTTATTCCGTAAGTGACCACATTTTCAGCGCCGGTAATATACCCACTTCTATAACAGAACGGCGTTCCTGATGTCTTATGGGTAAGCTCACTAATTGGTAATTGGTATTGTCTTCGTATTGAGAAGAATGTTTTTATTAGTCTCTCATTCGCCTCCATCACTGGTACGGAAGTACGCACTATGGCTATGACATAGATTGACAGAAAATGGCTTAGCGACTATCGTTCATTGCTTTATTCATTTTCGGAAGCAAATTTGGCATCAAGCACGACGGTCACTCGGGGAACAGGCAGACGTTCATGCTCGCCTTATGAGTCGATACCCCCAAGTTCCTGAATGGTATGTCAAAGGATTTCTCGTCTTAATGGGGTCTAAACTCGACACATTTCTTTACCCCAGGTGGTACTTAACCCTGTTCGCTCTCATGTTTGCATTGGGTGTCCTCAGCATCGAGATTTGGCCTACAGAGATGCCTGTTTGGGCGTTTATAATATCGCTCATGATTGGTGAGTCATTAAGATGTCTACATGAAAGTGTTGTTGTATTAACGTTCATATACCCCTTAGCATTCACCTATGTGATTCCATGCGGTATGATACAGGCAATTACCAATCAGCAGATTGGGTTGAAGTACGCCACGTGATTATGGATGAATTCTATAACTGAAACATATCCTAGCGTAATCACAGAACTGATCATCGGGCAAGTCTGCGCTGGTACATGGCATCAATCCATCTGACAGCTTGCCATCCAGATATTCGTTACCTGGCAAACCGGTAGCAATGATGCTATTCAAGACCTACGGCTATATTGTGTGTCGTTAATTCTCTAATCTTTTGGTATATTGACTTTCGTAGTCCATGGCTCAAGCCTTGACATTTACGTCCGACTTCAAACTTGGTCACTACATGAAAATTCCTCCTCGAAAAATGTTTTGGTGCCAGATCGTGGCTGCTATAGTCGCTGGAACCACGCAATTGGGCGTTCAATCGTGGATGTTCTCTACCATACCGTAAGCGTGAATGTCGGTGGCCATCTGATGAAGCTGAATTTCGTGTAGAGACATATGTTCTCCCACTCAAAAAGACGGGTTTGTTCGAATGTTCAGTATGGCATTTATCTTTGCTCAACATCGCGTAGTTTCACCTGTCCTAACACGGAGGTATTTGGTACCGCATCCATCATCTGGGGTGCGTTCATTAGATTAGTACCTCGAGGGACAGATGGATTTACTCTGACGAACAGGTGTAATCGGCCCAGAACGCTTGTTTAATTCCGGGCAACTATATCAGTAAGTCGTCACTCTACCTTGAATCACCTAAAAACTGAATGCACTATTGCAGCTGTATGTCCATTGTACTAGCTTAACAGCAGGAATTTTAAAGACCCACTTTTCTAGCCTTATTGGTGTTCTTCATTATCGGAGCAGTGACCCCTGTCTTGGGTTGGCTGGCGATGAAGCGGTACCCAAACAGTTTCATACGATACGTCAAGTGCGCAATCATTTCAATCACCATTGCTAACTGATTAACACTTTGACTAGTTTGTAAGTTTGTGGTTTTATTTCCTCGGATAGCATGACATCATACACTATGGCATAGCCCGCTAATATTTAATGGCACCTACAAGATTCCCCCAGCTTCTGCGCTAAATTATGTACCATGGGCGTACGTGCGCAGCGTTTGTCATGGGGTGCATTGGTTTACTGATGTACCGCAGGATTGTCGGGTTCATCTTCCAGTATGTCATCCGAAGGTTTGTTTCCCGTTTGAAAACCTCTGCAGAGTTCGCTGACGTGCTTTTGCAGGCGCAATTTTGCATGGTGGACGAAATACAATTGTAAGTGGAGTGACGTTACTGTTCGTACCGTATGACGAGAGTTACGCAGATGTTTTATCGGCGGCACTGGATTCTGGACTAGCTGTTTCTATCATCTTCATATATTTTGTGTACGTCCCCAGTTGATCATAATGCTGACTATAATTCACCGAGCTGGACAGATTGCAATATCCGGCAAACGGGGCGGTAAGCCAAAGAGTTGCCACTGTTGCTGATAAGTGTTTAAATATTTTGACTAGATCGGAGAGAGCTTGCAACATTGGTGGGGCAACACGGTAGGCTCTCCATTGAACTATCCAGATCAAACTGCTGATGTGTCTACCATCAAGGTATTTAATACAACCGCTGATGGTATGGGTACTCCAGTTCGCCAGCTACAGAGCTCAGAGACATTTGGGTACGTTGACGTGTTAGCTGATCACTTCTCTTGCGCTGACATGTTGACTCAGCCCAAGTATGGGATCTTGGTAACCACCGCAGTGTATCTTTCTTGCTTTGAATGTAGAGTTATTTTGTTGTATATAATATGGACTTGTACTGCGTTCCCGCATAATGACACACACAGACATCGTTGCAATGATATCGATTTCGATGAAGGAGTGATATATGTAGGGGTATTCGTCATTGTCGTAAGATGCGTCAATGTAGATCGTCTGTGGCAAGTGACCGCAATTAGTCGGTCTTCACTTTGCGAACTGTCGCCGGTTCATTGGGCACGTCGCCGATGCGGTTTCCAACCTTGACTTTCTGCCCAGCCTTTATGGTGAACTCGAACGTCTTTGGGGCTTCGAACACCAGTACGATGGTGCTTCCCAAGCAGAATCCGCCCATCTCTTCACCGAAGGTCAATGGCTGACCGTTGAGGATAGGAGAGGCAGCTGAGTAAACAGCCTCATTGTACGTTCCGGGCGGAGGGGGCCTGCCTCGGAGGTTAGTGCGAAGAGCCTGTTAGTGCGACATTAGCATCAACCGTGCTTCAATTCTAATGAAATAATACATACAGTATCAAAATTAATCTTGATGCTGCCTACGTTCGTGGCGCCAACGGGTATCATACCAAAGAAACCAAATTTCCATCGGCCGAGAAGCGCAACTCGTTCATTGAGGACGAAGAGGTTTTTCAGCCGCTTTGCCATCCATGGGGAGACGGAGAAGAGTTCGCCTTGAAGACACATGCCATCAGCAGTACGCAAAACATGTACGGGGGGACTTACCGACAAAGTGACGCCTTTTCTCCACTACCCAAGCGGTAGGGCTGTGGAACCTGTGATAATCGCCCGGAGCGAGGTAGATGACAGTGAAATAGAGGGCATTGCCTTCTTTAACGCTTGTGCCCGAAGTGCTTCTCTTGCGTTCGATCGAAGGTCTGAGGCCTATTTCGCGAGCAACGGAGGCATCATGCGCGATAGTTTCTTGGAGAGACCCCGGATGCTCCACAGACGCGTCAATCTGCTCGCCGAATTTCTTTGGCACGGAAGATGATTCTGCCTCAGAGGCTGACTGAGTTGTGGGGGTTGGAGGTGTCACAGTACCAGGAGTGGAAGCACCCAGGAGTTGGTCTAGACTATACTCGATGCCGTTCACATTAGCAAATTCTCGATCCGTCACATGAGACATCTCTCGATCGGGAAATTCGATTACTGTCGAAGTTGGGCTTTCTGGATCTGAACGTTCCACGCCGAGGAGAGCGTCCAACGAGTAAGTGATTCCCTTGACTTGCTCAACTCGGAGGTTTTCTATAGTTCCGAGATGTAAAACGGTGCCGTCGGCGGGACTGACCTGTAGAATAGTTAAGATGGGAATCATATCACAAAGTGAGATTCTTACGAGTATAGCGCTGTCTATGGGCCTAACACCTGGTTTGAGCTTGCGGTAGAAAAACTGACCCAAGCTGGCGTATTGCGCTAGATCGTCAGGGTCTATTTCCTCAAGGTTGCAGCCAAAAACGTATGCATAGAGTCGGAAACCATAAGGCCGTACCCAAACCGGCAGCTCGAGTGAATTCATGTAACCCCAGACGCGCGACATGTTCCGGAGAGGAAGGGCGCCTAATACGTGGACCTGCACGAGACCAGTTGAGCAAAACGTGGTTCGATAGATAATCAGTGATACGCACATGCCATGGACCTTTGAGCTTGATAACTTCACGACCTTCATCATCGACATGAACCTCGTTCTCTGCACGTGCTACTTTCTTGCGGTATTGGATAACGACGAGGAGAATGGCCCCAACGGCCAAGGGAAGCGGGTACCACTTTGTTGGAGTTTTCGTCCAAGCCAACAGAATACGTCCTAAAATTCGCGAGGTTAGATGGGGCTTATGGTTTCTTATCCATGAAAATGCATACTGTAGAGCGGGACGCCATGGGTGCTTGGCAATGGTGGTGGTGTAGTCTCTGGAGGAATAGTGCTTCTAGTTGATGTTGACAACGATCTTCTTAATGCACCGCGCTTGAGTGAGCGCACAGTTCCTGACAAACTGATTCTACGCTTCACAAAAACTCGTGAAAAAAGTGCAGAAGAGCTGTTTGCGGTAGACGTGATGGCATGAGACGCTGCCTGCAGGGGTCTCTTCCCCTTTACGATAGCTTTATAGAACATTGAAGGTGGTGGGTGTGGTTCACAGTTCGCGTTTGAGAAGTAACTGCTTCGATGTTGCTATGAGAGCTACTTGAGAACTTTTTGAACGGGCACAAACAGCCCACACGAATCCTTCGGCAGAGATAGGCATATAAGGCAAAAGCTTTGGATTCTAATAACACCAAACAAACGGCGTTTATTGCGCAATACAAACTTATGCCAGACGTTCGTGACCTCTTCGCCACAACGCTTACACCAGGGATATAGACCGGCCAGCTGACTCACAACTAGCCCAATGCATTATGACAGCGAAATATCTTCCAAATAATTCCTTCGCATTGTCAACAAGTAAACTCAACATGGACCAGTAGCAATAACCGAGCACCATCACGAGGTCAATCATATGATGACTGACGCATATGATAACGGACCGTCCTCAACATCAGCTAGGATCTCTTTCTCCTTATGGGAGCGTGTCCCGCTCTGACGGATCTTTCAGTTCGTATAACAGTATTGCCACAGAACGGGCCGCATGTACAGCGACAAAGTTATCAACATGAAGCATCTCAATACCAACTTATTGTACTCTTTTCACCCAAGCGCGGACGGCAGATCGCCCACCAGAGTGTATGCAATATGTGGCCACATGTACCTCGCATCCAATACCACAGCACACCGTCATCAACAAGAAGCATCCCGATACGGATGATGGTGTGTACTGGGTTGCAAGTGTTGCTTGGTATGGGTATTGGAAGGTCGGGACGGGCTGGTAGATCGCTTTTTTCTCGCGTGATAATTCCTTTGCGCGGAAAGCGGTCAGTGATGAAGAAAAACCGAGAAGAGGAAAAAACGTACAGGCTTCGCCCATGTACACGGGAACTTGACTACTCAGTGGTGGCTCTCACAAGTGGGTATCCGATCCGTCTCGTCTGCGCATCATACCAGAAACCAAGTTTCGAGTCAAGTTGGACCAGGATTGGGTATCATGTTCAGTCGCCCCGTATCGATCGAAGTGGCGGAGCCTGAACGAGGGAAACATGCGTGGCGTGCGGCACCATGCAGCATCAACCTGGGGGAGCAGATGCGTTGCCAATATGATTGAGGATGGGTATTTCCGAGCCTGAGAGACGGCTAGCTTCTTTGATGAATATGGGGGCGTCCATCTCCACGGAACCAGAAAAGGCCGCGCATGTCACAGGGCCTTCGTGGTGGAGTATTGCAATGAGCTGATTGGATTCGAGGTTCCATAGCTGCACCGTCGTGGCAAATCTTGATATGCTTGTGCTTACCAGGATACGCACGGGCACGGCAGTTTCCGTCCACATGACGGTGTCGAATTTCCTGATTTCCATCCGAGCTCCATGCCAGGGACCTAAAGGCTAAAAAACACCTCTCGATTGTTGTGAGCAATTCGCCTGTGCTGGCATCCCAGATTTTCAGGCTATCCCCGCCCGTGGCGATCATCTTGGCATCAGGTCAGTAGCAAACCGCGCAGATGGTCCAGGATTCCCCTGCCTTGAAATTTTTCACCATCTCAAATTGATGCATAGTCAGACTGGTTACGAGTCCAGCCGCTCTCGACATTCCACACTCTGAATGTCCTATCTTCCGATCCGCCCCTGTGACGTGCCATTGGCACGACACTGACGCAACAGTGCGCCACGACCGCGTCAATATCACCTGGCCCTTCGATTCAGAGGGTTGGCTCTTCTTCCTCCAACCAGCAATGAGAAAGAATGACATACACTCTTACCTTCACCAAAGCCCAATCAGATGCGGCAGATCGCCTATCGGGATGCCTGAATTCTCAATTTTGAAAATCCTCTTCGTCGATCATGTCATGTCACTCGTGAACTCATCCGCCAATAGTCAAAGATGCTGCCTCGCAATTGACCTGGTGACAAGCGTAATGTCCGACCGAGAAATAAAGCGAAATGGGATGTCACTGTATAGCGTGTGGACCCTTCAAGTACATCTGGAAGTACTTCGGGCATCAAGTAACACTGCACCTCAAGTGTCCTTAAATTTTAGCCACGTAAACGCCATGACCAGACATGAGCTAGTCTGCGTCTGCGTCATGGATAGGCATGCAACAAACCCAGGACATGAGACTAGCGGGCCATCCAGTAATGGTGATTTGATGATGCGAGATCGTTCCCGCTGCCCCCGCGGCACCAGCAACGGCAGGAGGTATCGAGGTAGTGGCAGTAGTGGTTGCTGCAACGACGTGCCCTGCGTTACTGTGTGTTTCTGGGCATGGGTATTGGAAGGTCGCGACAAGCTGACAAATGTCTGCTTTCTCCGAGCGTGATGGTTTCTCTGCGCGAAAAGTAGTCAGCGATAAAAAGGAACCAAGAAGAGGAAAAAACATTCATGCTTGCCTGCTATGCACGGGACCTCGACTACTGGTGGCTCTCGCAACTCGATGTTTGATACATCTCGTCTGCACAGCATGCCAGAGACTAAGTTTCGTGTGTCCAGCTGAAAGGGCTCGACCAGGATTGGGTATCATGTTCAGTCTCCCCGTGTCGATAGAAGTGGTGGCGCCAGAATGAAGAAAACGTGCGTTGATGTGGTAGTGCGGTGCGGCGGTTATGTTGCCCATGTGATTGAGTATGCGAGCTAGACAACTAACAATATATCGGTCAAAGAAATCAATCACAGGTGGAGATCGCCTACATCAGCACATCTGTATCCCACTCCCGTATGGTGTGATCTCGCATAGTGCTCGCTGAGGGAAGCCGTGTGCCATCGAGCATCCGCGCGAGTGAGCTGTTCCATGCTCCATTGAACACAGAATGAGCCTCGAAGTTTGCAATGCATTCCCTCTTGACTGGATTCCATAGTATCTGGATATTTTTCATTGTTGCGATGGCAAGATGTTCACCAGTCGGGGAATACCAAACACATTGGACCGATGCACGGCAATTGATTTGATTTCCTTGCACCTGCCATGTTTTTGTGTTCCAGAGCTCTGTTGTGGCATCCCAAAACGAAGTGTTTTGTCCCCCGAGCCCGTCACCATACGGCATCTATCAGGGAACACTGCGACTGCGAAGACCAAACTTACATGGCCTTCAAATGTTCGACTGGGTGTGGTTATTTGAACGATATGCTCCGCTGCTTCGGCCATTCAATTGGATGTTGATTGTTCTTCAGGCAGTTGACATTGACGTTGACTTTTGGAGGTGGTACCGTGGCGTTTGTGCTGCTTCCTATTTCGGGTATGCCGTATCGTTAGACGCCCATGCATGGACACAAGGTTGCCACCAATATTATGACCATCTCAAATCTGCATTTGTGGTTCACTTTCGACAATTTAACTCTGCATTGGTTACTTCATGGTCGCCTCGAAGTGAGCTGGGTGTACCAAGGTATATATAGATAAAGGTAATCAAATGGAAGCACATCTGAAACGCCTCTACGCCTCATGGCCTCAGGCTGGGTATGCCCATTACCCACAGCTGGATTAGGCTCGCCACACTAGTGGTTATAAACCTACTCACAACGCTGAACAATTCTCATCACTCAGTCCCAGCACCATTTACCTTCATCCATGGATCCTTCAGAGATAAAAGAGAGAATCAATCGCTTTCGAATCCTCATCATAGGAAGAGCCAATGCGGGAAAAACAACTATCCTAAAGAGGGTTTGCAACACCAAGGAGAACCCCCAAATATTCAATAGCGCTGGGGAAACGGGTGCGTATCGTGATGCTAGTACTACAATACTGATAGTGATGACTGTCCTATCGACATCAGATCGATGCCACTGTTCTGAACGCATCCAGAGAGGTAACGTACTATCATCAGTTGGCAATATGAACTGACGTGTTCTCAGCGTGGAGAGCACAATATCGAAAACGAAATGGTTTTTCAAAATAACCCGGGATTCATCTTTCACGATTCACGTGGTTTCGAAGCAGGCGGCGAGTCCGAGTACGACCAGGTGAACACATTTATCACAGACCGCTCGAAGATGGGAAATATCAAGGATCGAATTCACACTATATGGTAATCGGTCAACTTGGCGACATGCGTTGGCTCACTTCTTTGACATAGGTACTGTATCCCAATGGATCAAGCAAGCAGGGCATTCACCCAAGCCGAACTCAAGTTTTTCTCCCGCTGTGACACCGGAAGCAGTAAGCTGTCACATTTGCCTGTTGTTCGACTGATCCGCAACTTCGATCCTCAGTCCCAGTGATTGTGATATTCACAAAATTCGATGCCCTTTACGACGTCGAATTTGCACGGCTACGAAAGGAAGGAAAATCGAGGACAGACGCCAAAGCACTGGCCCCGAGGCATGCCGAGGAGACGTTTGCAAACGGGACGCAATTGAAGGTCTTATACCACTCCAAGGACATCCGGCGGCCGCCAAAATCTCACGTATGCCTCCCTGGTAAGTTGTGGATAGTCAAATGGCAATACATGATGACTATTGATCCATTAGACATGGACAAGGACAACGCAAATTGTGGGCCACTCATCAAACTGACGGCTGGAACTCTGGACAGCGAAGTCCTTCAGCAATTGTTTGTCTCAACTCAACGAACGAACTTGGAGCTCTGCATAGAATATGCAGTAGAATAGTAATTGCCCATAATCTCATTTGCCTGGCAAAAATGTTATTAACTATTGTCCAGCACACTCGCAAGCTTTTTTGACTCGGACGAGAAAATCTCATCTGGGGATGCAATAGCGAGGTTGTGTGACTGGTTTCCACATATTTTTGTAAGATTATAGGAATCTTTGAAAGTTGCCCTCATTCATGTTGGGCATTTGCAGGCAGTATGTCTGTTGATCCTCGTTCGAGCTCTAGCATGCTAATCCAAGTCATTGCCCACCGTTCGCAGACTGTGAGTGTCTTGATCCTCGTTCGAGCTCGAGCCATGCTGATCCAAGTCATTGCCCACCGTTCGCAGGATGTGGGTGTCTTGATCCTCGTTCGAGCTCGAGCCATGCTGATCCAAGTCATTGCCCACCGTTCGCAGGATGTGAGTGTCTTGATCCTCGTTCGAGCTCGAGCCATGCTGATCCAAGTCATTGTCCACCGTTTGCAGGATGTGAGTGTCTTGATCCTCGTTTGAGCTCGAGCCATGCTGATCCAAGTCATTGTCCACCGTTCGCAGTATGTGAGTGACTTGATCCTCGTTCGAGCTCGAGCCATGCTGATCCAAGTCATTGTCCACCGTTCGCAGTATGTGAGTGACTTGATCCTCTTTCGAGCTCGAGCCATGCTGATCCAAGTCATTGTCCACCGTTCCCAGTATGTGAGTGACTTGATCCTCATTCGAGCTCGAGCCATGCTGATCCAAGTCATTGCCCACCGTTCGCAGCATGTGAGTGTCTTTATCCTCGTTCGAGCTCGAGCCATGCTGATCCAAGTCATTGCCCACCGTTTGCAGATTGTGAGTGTCTTGATCCTCGTTCGAGCTCGAGCCATGCTGATCCAAGTCATTGCCCACCGTTTGCAGATTGTGAGTGTCTTGATCCTCGTTCGAGCTCGAGCCATGCTGATCCAAGTCATTGCCCACCGTTTGCAGATTGTGAGTGTCTTGATCCTCGTGCGAGCTCGAGCCATGCTGATCCAAGTCATTGCCCACCGTTCGCAGGATGTGAGTGTCTTGATCCTCGTTCGAGCTCGAGTCATGCTGATCCAAGTCATTGCCCACCGTTCGCAGACTGTGAGTGTCTTGATCCTCGTTTGAGCTCGAGCCATGCTGATTGACGTCATTGCCCATTCGTTCACAGACAGTGAGTGGGGTGACCCTTTGTCGAGTTCGAGCCTTGCTGACTGAAGAAATCGCTGATCAATTGACAGAATGTCAGTACATTCATCCTCCACAGACCTTGGGCTATACTCATCAAAAATTTGCTGATACATTGATAGCTTGTGAGTGTGTGCATCCTCTGTCGATCTACCACCTTGCTCATTCAAGTGTTTTCAGGGGGTGGGTTCATTCTCTGTCGACCTCGAGTCATGCTGACCGAAGACATTGCTGATCCGTTGACAGATTGTGAGTGGGTGATTCGCCGTCGGGGTCAAGTCATGCTTATCACTGATATTACGCATCCCTTCACAGACTGTGAGTGATTTATCCTCGAGCCTTGCCCACCAATGACATTCCTCATCCATTGCCAGAAAGTCAGTGTATCTATCCTCCGTCGAGCTCGAGCACCGCTTATCACTGACATCGCGCACCCCTTAACAGCCTGAGCGTGTGAGTATTTAATCCTCGAACCTTGCTCACGAACGATATCACCGATCCATCAATAGGAGGTGAGTTTGTTCATCCTCCTTTGACCTTGGGCCATGCTGACCGAAGATCTTTTTCATTGACAGTGTGTGAGTGTATTCATTATCAGCAGAGGGAGACGATTTTCAACCTTCCATCGTGATTTCACCAGGTTTCGCCCGCCCAACGTAAGGAGATGGAGTCTAGGTTACTCTCTGTGGTATGTCCAATTGGTCACAGACTACACACAGTTCGCATGTTGAAAATAAAAATTTGCCAGGCCTCTGGCTCATCACCATTGGACACAATTCTTCAGCTTAGCTCTGGTGAATTGTCAGGCGATGTTGCAATGAACCTGCTTATCATTGATCATGTAGCTGCCATGATCGTTTTCGAACACTCTTTCTACATTTTTGACAAGCGGCGCTATCTTCAGAACCAGCAGCAGTCTGTTCCCTACATTACTGACGCTCTCGAGCAGTACATGGCGTCTCCACATGCTGCTGCTGTCAGGGAAGCTGTGAGCGCTGCCGTCTACACATACCGAGAAGGCTTGTCTACTTGGAAAGCGAGACTACCGTTTCAATCCTCGAAGCGCTCTCAGCGCTCTCAGAAGAAAGGAGACTTAGTCAAAACAATTCTTGAAATCACTTTACAATATCGCCTGCGTATGTATAAACTCTGATGATTGTAACAATCCCGTTGATCTGTTTGTCTTCAGCGAGACCTTAATGGTGGGCAACGCATCACCACGTGGCTGATGTTTGGGGTGGAGCTGAAGTATTCGGCGGTGAAAGCGAGTATATTGAATGGTCTGTCGAGGTAGTTTTAGGAGGTTGAAATAGTTGTATGATCATGCAATCTGGTGCTTTTTCTGGTATGGCGCATACACCTTTGAAACGTGTTGGTCTCCCTCAGTCGATACGGTGGCGAGACCTATGGGGCTTGATCATACCTCCCCATGTATCCGTAGTCCGATTGCGAGTGCATGAAGGTAGGCTATGTTCTGCGTACTAGCTGTTCTCTTAGCAAACCGCTTCCACCCCAAGAGGTCACTCAGTTCTCTGCACATCGATTCATGCGGCCATGGCCCACGTATCGCTTCAAAACTGGTAGAGACTCGTGTCGCTGGGGTCTTCTAGGGGAACAACCACATTCCTATCAATCACGTGGGCCACTGTGCATTGAATATCCTGAGTGCTGCTGTGGCTGTCAGCGAAGACGACAACGACATACTGTACCGATCATCGACCGACTTATGTTACAAGCGCAGGACGATGTGTATGTTCAAACAGATGTTAATGGCGAAAGCAATAGGTCCGACTGCACGCAGTATGTCTGAGGATCGAAATTTGAGATTGTGAAGCATTGAGTCTGATCGGAGAGAAAGGTTCAACTCACTTGATTTCTGAATTATTGCACTCTCAACCTTCCAGAAACCACTAGTATTGAGAACAACAGTTTGAGCTGTTGCTGGCAGGCGCGGCAAAATCGTGGCACCACGTCAAAAATTGATGGCTTCGGTTTATGTGTGTAGCACTTATTCACCGCCGCGAAAGAGAATGAGGATCTTATGTCCTCTCAAAAAACCTACAGAGGAACTAAAGTGCAAAAATGATTTCCGACGAGATCAAATTTGAGGGACCTGGGAGGCAAGGGCCAGAATATTGTCCACCTGCCATGATTCTACCTGTCGCGAGTCAAAGAATCGTGCTGCACTCCGGAACACATGTGTGGGGCTGAATAAACTGCCGGACCTTCGATAGTGCCAATCTGTGGGCCCTTGACAAAAGTTTTCATCTCCGATGTTCAACGGGCCCGCCAGTCTGCGTCTGCGTTATGGATAGGCATGCAGCAACGACAGGAGGTATCGAGGCAGTGGCAGTAGAAGTCGGAGGTGGTTGCCGCGACGACGTGCCTTGCGTTTCTGTGTGTTTCTGCGCATAGGTATTGGAAGGTCGAGAAAAGCTGATAGATGGCTGCTTTCTCCGAGCGTGATAGTTTCTCTGCGCGAAAAGCAGTCAGCGATAAAAAAAACCTAGAAGAGGAAAAAACATACAGGCTTGCCTGCTGTGTGCGAAACCTCGATTTCTGGTGGTTCCTCATCTGCGCAGCAAGCCAGAGATTAGGTTTCGAGCCCAACTGAAAGGGCTTGACGAAGATTTGGTGCCATGCTCAGTCGCCGCATCGAAGTGGCGGCGCCCAGATGTACGCGAGGTAAATAACTAATGATACATCGGTCAGAGCATTCAATTATAGGTGGAGGTCACGTACATTATCAAAAAAATGCGGGAGTATTCGACGAGCACCTTTGATCTTTGCATTAACCTGGGGGAGCAGATCCGTTGTCAGTGTAATTGAATGTGAGATGTATTCAAGTTTACGTTGTTGGACAGGCCAGCTTCTTTGACGATACCGGATATATCCCATTTGTATATAGAGATGCCCAACGGCGCCATCCCAATGCAGGTAGTGATGAGGAACATACCATCCGCAGAAAAGGCCGCGCAATTCACAGTGAACAAGTCTTCATGATGGAGTGGCGTTCTGATGAGCTTGTTAGTTTCGAGGTTCCATAATTGCACCTTCTTCGATGTACATGATATGCTTGCGAGGATGCGCTCATTCGGAGACAACGCAATATTACGCACAGAACTGCGCAAAACAACTGTTTGTGTCCAGGTGATGGTGTCGAATTTACAGATCTTGGATCCCCCCGCGATCAGCGTTTTTCCATCCGAGGTCCATGCCAGGGACCTAAAATTTCCTTTGAGTGTCGTAAGTAATTCACCTGTTCTGGCATCCCAGATGTTCAGGCTGTCCCCGGCCGTGGCAATCATCTTAGCATCGGGTGAGTAGCAAACCGCGTCCACAAATCGCCCTGCCTCGATTGGTCCGAGAATTGTCCTGCCGCTCTCGACATCCCACACTCTGAATGTTCCATCTTTGGATCCGCTCACCACTCGCCCACCGTCTGGACTCCAAGACAGAGAGCTCACGTCATCTGTGTGCCCCGCCCATTCTTCGATAACCTTGCCTGTGTCGATGTTCCACAATCTCACTGTGTTATACCAAGGGCCCCCACCACTTGCAAATGTCTTGACGTCCGGTGACAATGCTATGGCCTCCACTCCTCTTTCTCTGAATTCCCATTCCTCCCCAACCGGCGCGCCCGTCTCCAAGTCCCAGACTCGAAATGAGCCATCCCATAAGTAGGTGATGATCCGCTGTCCACCGGGCAGTGGTAAGATGTGTTCGATGCCACCGTGCCATGGCGTTTCACCTGTCTCGATCTTTGTGTGAGATATTGTCGCTGAAATGCGTTTGTGTGCAAGGGATGGGTACGGCATGGTTTTTGTTGGGGAACTCGCCTAATGGGCGCAGTATGATTTTTGCTCTTAGCACCAAATGCCGTATGAATATCACTAACCTGATCAGAATCCAGATTACTTAGTACACAGAAAGATGAATGTTGAAAGCGTTAACCATACATAAACCTATGATAGTGTCCCTTACCAGCCATTTTTATGCATTCATATGACACTATAGCCTGGGAAAGCTTCAAGATATTTATCAAGTATGAAATAAACTTCTTTCATGCTATAGACACTGCCACTTCCACTTCCACCACCTTCTCGGAATCAGAGCGCAACTGAACGACGTCCTGCTCTAGCCTGGCTATTCTTTCATTATGGGTTCCCTCTGTCTGATCCGATGCAATCCCTGTGAATGTTATAACCGAAGGTATTGCAGTAACTCGAGTCGACCACTCGCGTGTAACTGCTCGCCCCTGCGCAACACGAATGATGATGAATAATTGGGCAATGCCCTAGTTCAACGGGGTCCAGCAACTAGCATCAGAGCACAAGGAACTCAGATTCTGTTTGCTTACCTGGATGTTGCCAATAGACAGGAAGCATAGAATGGTGACACCGTGTGCATGTATGGCAAAGGCAACTATGAAAATAATAGCGAAGACGGAGTATAACGCCGCAGACTCGATGACCGCGAGGGCGATGGTATTATATGTCTTAGAATCATATTGGACCATGATCTGCCTCATGCGCTCTCGCATGGCAAACAAACGATTCGTCACGAGAATGGTGTAAATGAGCGTGAGTCCTACTTCGATGCAAAGGTAGGCAAGCTCGACGGTGATGTTGTAAAATAAAGTACCGGTGCTTGACTGGAACACAACGATGATAGATAACACTGCTCGAGATGTCAGTCACTACTGTCGCTTCGTGAAGGATGAACTGCACTGATCATGGCGACATAGATTGTGATCATCGGAACCATCACCCATCTTGACCAATTCCATATCACAAAACATCGGTAGAGCTAATTATTTCAAGCTTCAGGCCCGTAGCAGACGACTTGGGGAACTATTCGGCTCACTCGCAGAGCCTGCATGAACCACTGCTGAACGTGACCACTAGACGAGGCATCATTATTTCAATGCCAGAGGTCTGGGGATGGGCGGGCAAGGGCACTCACGCGGAAAGCGCTAGGACGTTGGCCCGCCAATTTGTGTAGTGCTTGATTCGAGGGAGCGGATCACCAGGTGCATCACGAAAAGTTATCAAAATCCTTTCCGTATACTTTACGTCCACACCAAACTTTACCGACCCCAATGCGAACGTGATAAAGACGTAAAAAAGGAGTGCGCGACGATGTTCTGCTATCTTCTCCCCATCACGAGGTCGCTGCATGAGAGCAATCCAGGCTTGCGCTGTGAGGAGAAAGTATATGCCTATTATGGTACATAAGTCCTTCCGGAATTTGCATTAAGTCATATCCGAACAAAAACACACCATATAATGCACACGCTAACATCATTCCATCAAGGCGAAATCTGTCAATGGATAGATCCGTCTGTGGGGTTTGGGATGACATGACCCCGAATTCGGTGACTGGACAGGCAAAAGGAGTTGAAGGAAGACACCGAGACGATTACTTGGCCTAGGCGCAAGTGATGGAGACAGCGAGTGGATAGTTAGAGATAGGTATACGAGAGCAGTCATTTTATGGAGTACTCAGAATAGAGTTTCTATCACACGTATCACGTTAAGTTAAACTTGGGAATGTCACTCACAGACATACGATTGTTGACATGCTGGCAGGATCCTGTAAATAACACCAAAATAAATAACAAGCTAAAGAGCTGAAGGGGTCAACAACTTTTCTGAAAGGCTGCTTGACCTCGAACGCCGCAGTCAATCCAAAGCCGCCACTCTGTCAACATGAGGTCGTCAATTTCAAGCTTTTACTATGGTTCGGTTATTGTGCACGGACCTCCGTGCACCTCAACTTCACGTAACCCAATTAGCCTACACCTAACCCAACCTGGACCAAGGTAACGGTAGCTCATTCGCGTCGAACGCAATTGGACACCTGGACAATCGCCGCGACGTTCCCCTGCAGAATTCTCTAGTGAGGCGAGTTTCGACCCTTGCGATAAAATGAGGGTGGGCCCTGTAGGTTATGTCCTCGAAAACATTGATGGGCCAGGCTCGTTCCCGCAACTTGAAGGAGAAAACATGCAGTGCAGCAATGGCCTAAAGGAATTGATCAGTGGCAAGCGTGGAACAGACCAGCGACGGCTGCGACGCTAACGCGAATAATCATAAACGGACAGAAACAACCTGAAGGTCATCGTCTATTCAAAAATGACAGCCGGCTCACCAAGTCTCGCTTGTAATGTTTAAATAATACTTATGGTTGACATCGGCGGTCCTCCGGCGTCCGGGAAACCCTGAAAATCCCCCGGAGGTGATAAGCAGTTTTCCATCCGAGCCCTGAGCTGCCCTGTCCCTTGCCAGGCACGTAACAGTTCCTCGAGTGCTGTTATGAGCAATTCCCTTGTGCTGGCCCATCCCCACACTTTCAGCCCAAATGCGCCTGTGGTAATCATCTTGGCATGGGGTGAGTAGGAAACCGCTTACATGTATCCCTCTGCCTTGATTGGTCCGAGAATCGTCCTGCCGTTCTTGACATCCCACACTCTGAATGTCCCATCTTCCGAACCGCTCACCACTCGCCCTCCGTCTGAACTCCAGCAGACAGACTTCACTATCTCCATTCATTTTTTGATGTCCCTCCCTGTCCTGTGTCGATGTTCCACAATCTCACTCCTGCTTGGTATTGGCTTACTGTCCGGCGACAATGCTTTGACCTCACACGCCTCCCTGACCTGCGCGCCTATCTCCAAGTCACAGACTCGACATGAGCCATCCACCACATGATTTCATGGCAGGTGTAAGATGTTGCTGAAGTTTCTTGTACCCAATGGGTGCAGCATCATTTCAGCTCTCAACGTCAAATGCCGCACGAATATAACTTACTTGATCAGAATCCAGATGTACACAGAAAGACGAGTGCTGAATGAAAGCTGCGACGGAATGGGCATCCAGAGTCCCAGTCAACTGAGGAAGGTCGTTATTTAAGTTCTCCACAGCATTGAGCACTGGTTGTGCAGATTAAGCGTTCAACAATCTTTTCTGACAATATGCCACCACATACTCGGAGGAACATCACGGTTTCTGTGCTGTGTCGAGCAAACAACATAAAATGAAGTCTTTCTCTAGTTCCATGGTATGTTGATGTATGTTCTGGGATCCAGATTAGCGAGGGGCTGTCGGCGTCTTGAAGTCGCTCTGATCCTGCATTGCCCTCATCGACCAACATATCACCAGCCCTAAGCGTCGCAGATTGTGGCCTGAAAATGAACCAGAAAGTCGTATGCAGTACCAAGCGCAAAGAATATGGTAGCGAAACATTGCACACCATTTTAGCTTACTAGAAGCGATGCTGCTGCATGATATTGGATTTCCCAGATCTACTTCATGAATTAGAACACCTAACCAGTGCCAAGACGACACACCAAACAGCATATTCTCATATTCCCCGCAGAGTAGTACCCCGACAAGTGACAAGACGTCCACCATTTGGAATATATCCCACACTGCACACTGCCGCCACTCGACACGTTTGAGCGCTCTTCGAAAACGATTGTATTAACGCCAATTACATCGTCATAGTCAGCCATGCATGATTTTCTCGAACGCTAAGGATGAGACGCGGTCCCAGCACAAACATACGCAAAAGCGCACAGATTTGCAAAAGGCTGTAATAAACCTGAGTTGCCACAGAAGACGGGTTGTGCTGTATAAACGAGGAGTGATCAGATGCAGTTATCAGTCACTATAGATTAGTGTACCAGGAGCTTTGGAAGCAAGCGACAGCAAGACCTGCAGGAGACACGTTAACTGAGACTGAATAACTCGAAGGAACTGTGAGCGAACCTTTTAGACGATACATTTTCAGGGCACGTGACGACCACCGCAAGAGGCGTTTGTTGGATGGGTAGACTCGATTTCGGTTCAACCTATGGCGCGCATAAGGCCACAGCAGCGGATGATCGACATAGGTTGAGCCAAGGTTGCGTGACTGTACCTGACGTGTGCCCTAAACACCAATCATGAGCCTTTACAACTGAAGATTATCCGACCGAGAAATAAAGTGGAATGGGATGTCACTGTGTATAGCGTGTGGACCCTTCGAGTACATCTGGAAGTGCTTCGGGCATTAAGTAGCACTGCACCTCAAGTGTCCTAAAACTTTAGCCACGTAAACGCCATGACCAGACAAGAGCTAGTCTGCGTCTGCGTTATGGATAGGCATACAGCAAACCCAGGAGGGCCATCCAGTAATGGTGATATGAGGATGCGGAATCGTTCCTGCTGCCCCGCGGCACCAGAAACGGCAGGAGGTATCGAGGCAGTGGCAGTAGAAGTCGGAGGTGGTTGCTGCGACGACGTGCCCTGCGTTGCTGTGTGTTTCTGGACATAGGTATTGGAAGGCCGAGACAAGCTGACAGATGGCTGCTTTCTCCGAGCGTGATAGTTTCTCTGCGCGAAAAGTAGTCAGTGATAAAAAGGAACCGAGAAGAGGAAAAAACATACAGGCTTGCCTGCTGTGCACGGAACCTCGACTACTGGTGGCTCTCGCAACTCGATGTTTGATACATCTCGTCTGCGCAGCATGCCAGAGACTAAGTTTCGAGTCCAGCTGGAAGGGCTCGACCAGGATTGGGTGTCATGTTCAGCCTCCCCGTGCCAAATAGAAGTGGCGGCGTCAGAATGAATAAGACGTGCGTTGACGTGGTGGTGCGGTGCGGCGGTTATGTTGCCCATGTGATTGAGTACTCGGAGCCGCGAGCGCAGTACTGGGAACCGTGTTTTCGGGGTCCTAGTCCAAGAAAAGATATCGGGTCAGATCAGATCGGGTCGCTCCTTGCATCCCCAGATCCGGGCTCATGCATAACAGCCCCTTTCCCTATTGGCAGCCTCGCAAATTACAACTTCTCATTCTAGTGTGCACAAGGATCTGACTGAGAAACGCCAGTCAGGGCTGGATCCGAATGAAATCAACAGCGTTGCCGCCTCGCTAACTCGGCCTCAGGCTGGGTTGACCTAGGTCTGACTCAACACCCAGTCCTGTCACGGTGTCTTTCAAACATTCTGCGGAACAAACAACTTATGTTAATATATATTACGACGAAATATGTGCCAAGACCCATGTCTCCTTGAAATCGACTTCGCAACACCAAATAAATAAGTACCACGACAAAACTTGAAAATCAAGAAGAAAAAGCCAAATTCTCTTGCGCCCTGCAGAGCACCAGACTACCGTTCACTTCATCGAGCATCTCCTGCATTACACGCCACTGCCAGTCGATATATGCACGCGCTCCTGGAAAGCGATGGAGGACATGCCGGTTGCTGCATCAGAGTCAGCCACGGACCGAGCGTTATATTCTCGAACGCTTAGGATGAGGCGTGGTCCCAGCACAAAGGCCTGTATGACTTGCAAAATCTGAAGAAGACCGGCATAAATCTGAATTTCGAGGGAAAATAGGTCCTATAGAAATGATGAACCGCGGTCGCATGCAGAGGTCAGTGAAAGATTGACATACCGCTAACATCGTTGGAGAAAAATCAATTACGAGGCCGAAGGCAAGACACGACAACATAACTAGTAGCACGTTCAATCATTCAGCGGAAAAGGGAACCACATTCACAATATGAGCTCACCTCGCAAAGTAAAGCACGTGAGCGTTTATCAACACCGTGAAACAGTCCCCGATAATCCCTCCTACCGAATGTTGTCGCAGTTCACGGAAGTGTTTTACAGCAATCCAGACTGCGAGACACAGCGCGAGGACCTCCCAGACAGTGCCGAGTATCCAAGTCATGGAAGCCAGAAGTACGGGATAGTTCGCATAGCTAACCGTGCACGCATAGGTGCCAGAGAGAATGAGTTCCTCTTGTATTCATCAATGAGCGCCATGCACGGTTTTCATTCTCAATCAAATGTACCAACCTGAAGAAATATCCCTCGTTGTCATTGCCGTGGCCACTCCGTCGAAAATGTTGATAGCAAAGCACACGACGACGAGAAATATCAGGATCCTTGCGGATCGCTGATACATGGCATGTAACCGAGCGATCATGATGACTGCAGCATGTTTCAGTCAAGTCAATATCATAGGTCTTATAAGTGCACAACTCACCACAGAGCATTGGAAATGCTACAACAGTCGTCCAATCCCACACGAGGGTTAGAATCCGGCCTGAGAAATACGGTTAGTGATGGGCCTTGGGTGGATCACACACTAAAAACATACTCACATCTGTAGCAGTCATGATAGTAAACGAAGAAGCTGGTCAAGAATGACACTCACCCCTACAGGGTGTCGCGGTTAATTGAATGGGAATAGCAGGCATCGGCGCAGAAGACTCACTGCATCTGTCAACAAAATTGTCGGAGCACAGACTGTATGCCACTGGTCAGAAGAAACAAACACGGTGAATGCGAGAAGGCTTACACAGTATGTTCAGGCTGATTATGAGAGATAGCAGATTAGCACGACACCAATTGTCAAGCCTTCTGAACATACACAGTATAAAAAATGCCAAGATAGCGCACCTAGGATATTGTCAAGTCAGCAGAAATTCACAACAGGCAAGGTACGTACACTCAGATAAAGGACGGTCATCAGGGACCAACGTTGTCTCTGTCGCAAATCAAATATTGTTCTTCTGACGTGGAACTGTGCTCACCCAGACCAGTTCGACCTACAAACAAATCTTAGCAAAATGGCTGCTCCGGTCATAGCATCAACATACCTCTTGTCCGAACGTAAGGGCTGGAAATACTTGTGAGAAATCAGCTATTCTCCAATGTTATTATGCTCACCCCAACCATACGCCACTCCAACAAAGGCGGCAACTGCGAAACCACAATCAAGGTCAGATCGAGACATGAGCGCCGGGATATGACTGCTCTTCACGAACCTGCAAAATAGCTGCTAATACGCCAAGCGTTGATGACTGGCCAATAAATAGGGTCGTCTGAGACTAGTGTCATGCTGTTAGAGGATTGGATGTGAAGGAGCGGGGAACTTGGTGGACATACAATATTATGATATTTGTGTTAAATATATGGCCAAAATGAGATCAAGGGATGATATCCGTTTCTGTGAATGAATAGTATGATTTCACGGAACGTGACATCCGTTCATTCATTCACAGGGACGGTCGACATGTCATTAGTTGCATAAGATTAACAATGGCTCATTGCGTCGGCATGACGCCAGACCAGCCGTTAGAAATAGCAGGGGAGATCCACCCACCCAGGCTAGCAATACCTCCCTTGAACAAGATAACACACTTGCCATACAGCTGCCAACGCACACCCTCAACGTTCAACGTTTAACGCTTAATCAAATGAAAACTGCAAAACATGCCACCATAGATGCACGATGCAGTTGATGCGAATGCAGGAGTCGAGCTCTACTCGCGTTATTCGTAGGTAGGGACGTGGGTTGGATTGGAACGTTGTACGCCTGTGCTTAATCAGATTTACATAAAGATGTGGGGCAGCGTACATAAATCAAGTTGGTTTGCACGGGCAGAACATTGAACACTTGAACACAGCAAAAGATGAAAGAACGTTGAAAGAACGTTGAAAGAACGTGAAGAACTGTTCGTGATTCCGACACCTTGTTTCCGACGCCATACCTCCCACACGCGCTGGTGGTGAGCGCAAAGGAAATTTGCCAAAAAACATCAAGATTCGATGAAGCGGTGGCTTCGCAATAAGTTTATCACCGTGATTGACCTAATGCGTTGAATAATCTTGCGACGGTACTCGCCACCCACTTTGATCAAGACTCGCCGAGGCATATAGCGTAAGGCCACAGCAGCGGATGATCGATATAGGTTAGGTTGAGAGATTGGGTGGCTGTATCTAACGTGTCTTGAATACCAATCATGAGCCTTCGCAACTGAAGATTAGGAAAAGGGCGCACGTCAGATACCAGGGCGAAAGAAACAATCCCAATGACCAATAAATATCTGTGACTTGTCAGCATCACTGCGCCCCGTACAATAATTATCCCGAATTCGTCACCTACCTTTAAGAATGTGAACCAAGTCACAAAGAACTCGGTCAACGTTTACGAAGACAGGACGATGCTCTCCTGCATTCGCGGATGCTAAACTCCAAATATGTGTGTCATGTTTGGAGAATGTATCCATGAAGACAGTGTCAACATCTTGCAACTTGGGAGATACTCTGTGTATCACGCCGTTTTGACGGCGTTCAAGCTCAAGTTTCTAGTTTAGGGTTCTTCAGACTTATATGTATACCAACGACGCGTACACAACACCAAATAACACCAAACCCTCCTCGCGCACGATCCTCCATCAACCACGCACCAAGCAAACGCATACCAATCCATGAAAGTCCACATCAAACACTGGAGCGCCGTCGCCCAATGGCGGTGGAACACAGGCAACACAACCCACGACCAAGACGACGAAGGCGACGTATGTGGGATCTGTCGCGTCCCGTTTGAGGGGTGTTGCCCATCGTGTAAGATGCCTGGGGATGACTGTCCTTTGAGTGAGTCTTTGGTCTTCGTTTTGGTCTTTTGTGCGTCTAGTCGTGCGTTCCCCTTCTCGCGTTCTTCTCTCTCCCACCTTTATTTTCTTTTGAGACGATCGAACTGCACTATTGACGATCACATTCTCATCTAACCTCCTACTACAGTCTGGGGCGAATGCAGCCACGTCTTCCACATGCACTGCTTGCTCAAATGGCTAGGAACGGTTGCTTCGAAACAGCAGTGTCCTATGGATCGACGCGCTTGGGGTGCGTCTTGTTCTTGATTTTGAAATGGATTTACTGACGCGTCACATTTGCAACTTATAGTCACTGCTGAGCGCAAGGCGAACGAGTTGGCTGCGAGTTAGCTGCCAGCGGATCAGTCTTCGAGACTAAGCTACAAGCGGATCCATCTCAGAGTTGGCAGCGAATCAATCTTCGCGGCTGAGCTGCAGGCGGATCAAACCTTCAAGTTAACAGCTCAACGTTCTTGATGGTGCGAGTCGTGATTGCCGATCATAAAAGTTCTCGATCCTGATGGTGATCTCGATCACTCACAGATTCACATATCACCCCCCACATCATACCCCTGTAGTACTCACAGTGCTGAGACGGTTTTAGGTCACATCCCATAGATAGCTCATTCAAACGCATACTTCTACACGCGTAAAGCACCACAATATTTATCTTAGATTGATATACGATACTAATACAAGGCGCCGTGGCCATTGCCCACTGCCCACTCATTCCCTTCCGCTCTCCCTCCCCACCAACCAACGAGAAATCAAAAATTTCTACACTAACGTACACACAACAAAAATACGATACAAAACCAAAAACCAGAACATGAACGAACATTGTTCCATAAATAGCTTGAACATTGAATGAAAAAGATTGATAAAAGAATGGAAAAAAGGGGTTCTAGATGTGCGACGAAGAGCGAGGATATTGCATATCTAGATACATACATACATACATACATGGCTGGCGTTATGGGGTCGTGATAGTTTGCGTTTGCGTTGGGTTCTGGTTTGGCGTTTTTGAGATTGAGATTGATAAAAGATTTGTTTTCTCCTTCCGTCGTCACTTGTATAGGGAGCAATTACTGCTCGTACCCTCCTGGGCCTTGTAAAGAGGCCATCCAGATCCTTGTTTTATACAATCTGCATACCTTCGTCAGCAAGCCAGGAATGATAGATGCAGAGAAGGCGCACCGGAATAACTCCCGCACGAGCTCTCGAAAATCAATTCGTTTTTCAGCGATAAAGTAGAATGTGAGTTTACGTCGATCCCTGCGTGCGCGTTTCGTCAGTATTCTTGTATTGCGCATCCCAAACACGAAAAACACAACAAAGGACAGACAAGAGTTGAAACCGAAACGCACCACTGATACTCTGCATCAATAACCTCCATAGGGAGTTTCTTCTGCCGAACTTTACTCTGGCACAATTGCAGCGCTTTAACTTCATCTTGCATCTTCGTCACTAAATGCCTATCACCCCCACCACCAATCAACACCCACCCCCTCAAAGAAAAAGAGCAAAGAAACACGCACTGAGTATCATGAGCCTGCGCCTTCCCATAAATCATCTTCGGATTAATCTCCTTCTTCCCCGCCCCAGCACTAGCACCACCCGCACTCACCCCCCCAGGACTCATCACCTCCCCCGCCTCCCTCTCCCTAACCTCCCGCTGAAACGCCTCCACCTCCTTCAGCGTGATACTATCATTAACAACTTTCCCCAAATCCTTTCCCCTGTCCGCTTCGACGATCACTAAATCCCCAACGCGGATATCTTGGCTTAGGTCAGTGAGGTAGAAGAGGTCTGTACGGCCTGCTTTGAATTCGACGATGTAGAGGGGCCAGGAGGCCGGGACGCTGCTTAGGGGGAGACCTTTGCCTAGGTCACTGAGTGGGGTTTGGCCCTGGGTTTGACTCGCGTCTGAGGGACGGCGCTGGATTTGGTGGTAGTAGGGGCCTTGTTGGGGTTGGATGGGACGGGAGGTGGTGGGTGAGAGTGGACCAGCGCGTGAGAACCCAGCGCCGTTGTTCTGAATAGGGAGGTACTGGATACCTTGCCCTGGGATGAACCGCGCCGCGAGCTGTTGTTGACCGTATTGCGCCTCGAGGATCTGTTGTTCAAAATGGCCGCGAGGGGGGCTTCCACCCGTAGACAGCGCGCTCTCGCTTGGAGACCCGAATTGTTGGCGGGAGGCGAAGCTCGTGCCGCTTGGGATGTTGAGGTGGTACGGGGATATACGGTCTGATGAGGGGGGGCTGCGTGGGTAGATGGGGAGAGAGGATGGCTGGCTGGTGGTTGATGACGTAGACGGCGCACCGGGCTCTTTGAGGCTCAGCATCCCAAGATCAGCAGCTAAATCATCATCCGAAAGCATAAGACCCCCTCTCCCTCCAAACGGCTGAGCATTAAACACGCCAGCACTCCTATGTCCATGCGTCTCGTCCCCAGGGCTCTCGGGCGCATTAAACCCCACAATAGTAGGTCTCCTCGGCTGAACGACAGAAACGCTGTGTCTCCGACTAGTAGTCCCACTTCCGCCTCCGCCGTTCTCGTCTTTTGGAGGGTTCATACCGGCCCAGAGTTCTCGGAATGCAGAGCCGTCATCTAGAAGGATCTGTCCGACATCACGGACAAATGGACTCATATTGGAGACGTCGATGGTGTTCCTGTTCGGATAGCCGTTATCGGCGAGCGGGGACCTGCCCATAGCGCCGAGGCTCCCGTAGCGACTAGAAGCGGGTGGTTTGATCTCGCCATACCTAGCAGCAGGGATATTAAGCGGGTTCGAAGATGCATCTGCCCATAAGTTAGATTGGTGATATGGACTTGTGATTGAAGTTGGACGAGCGGTGGTGGTAGCGAGGCTTTGAGAGCGGCTGCGGGTGAGATCGGGGGCGTAGGAACGGCCACGGGATGAAGTGGGTACGTAGCGGTCGTCATCATGATGGTCATAGGTATCTGAGAGTGCTTCTGATTCGTCGTCTTCGAAAGTACTCTCGAAATGGGATTCGCGGAGTGCGGAGCTGTAGTTTGATTGTGGGTTTGAGAAGGAGGAGCTACGGGTTGGTACGCTCATTGGGAGACCTGTTGTTGTGCGAGATGTTGTTGTTGTTGGTTGGAGGATGCGGGGTGAGGAAGAAGACCAAGGAGATGCTGATGAAGATGAAGGAGAGTTGCGTAGACTTGTGAGGTTTGTTCTTGGAGGTTGACTTGCTGCTCGTTCCCTAGCTGAACTATTTTGATCTGGGTCAAGGAAGCGATGCCTGCGATTAAAGTCGAGCTCATCAGGGAGATGTTGCATGACAGCTGGCGGTTGCAAGAACAGGTGATGTTACGCTGGCGGTGACAAGACAGGTTGGGGTTGTGGCAAATTGGACTAGTAAGTAATTAGATTTTTCTATGACCTTGGTTACATTTGAACTTTGAGTATGGATTTGAAAAGAACTAGACTCACCCTCTAGTAACTCTAAAAGAGCGCAAAAAAAATGAAGTTCAAGTTAAAAGGTCAAGGCAGTGTAGCATGGATGGTTGGATGCGCATGTGCCCTCCTCGGACCTTCGGGTGAGCTTTTGACACGGCCTCGGGTCACGAGTTTCTTCGATCACCAATAATTAAAATAATACAAACAAAAAAAATTCAAATATATATATTCTCCCGCCACCCGCCGACATTCCCCCCCGTGGGGACGGAAACATCCGAGATCACAGATCTCGATCAACTTCCCAATTCAAACCTCGAACACAACATCCACAGCACTGAACGCTGTATTCCCTGGCCAAACCACAACTGGCACTTCACACTCCACAATCTCAACTTGCACATCCCTCCAATCCCCTTCTTCCTCCTCCTCTTCCTCTTTCGCAGCAGGAGAAGAAGGAACCTCATCATCAATATCATCCCCATCATGATACTCCCTCTCCCCAGTCCCAAGGAACGAGCTCATGAGATACGACGTCCAGCTCTGCGTCGGTTGCGATGGCTGTTTCACCTCCTTCCCAGCAGAAGCCACATGCACCTCTTGCTGTTCAGGAGCGATCCCCACAGGCGCACGCCACGCACTTCCCCATGCAGTAGGTTCCCCATCTCTCGTCAACCCACGCACCCGTGCGTTCGGCGCTGTCACCCCTACCAAGAGCGTCAGGTGCACTTTCCACGCTAATCCACCTGCCTTCCCACTCCCTGACCCATTGACGTTCACATTCCCAAGCAAAGACGGAGCTGAGAGCACTATCCCGAATCCGGGACATGCGTCGCTGGGTATGTCAAGTGCGAATGTAGTCCGTAGGGTGCTTCCTGTGAACGATGCGTGGTGTTCAGCGTGGACGCGGCGTGTGCTGCTTGTATTTGTAGTTGGGTTTGGGGTGCCTAGGGAGGCTGGGAGGCTTTCGTTCGTTTCTAGCGTTGCGCTTAGCTGTGATGTTTGTAATCAGCCAATGTAATCTTTGACAAAGGGACGATGTAGGATTGACAAGAAAAAAACAAACCAGAATCCAGAATTGACAAAAAATGCAGAATCAATACCAAAACACTCACCGAAATTACCTTTCCCCGTCCCCCCCGTTCATTAATCTCAACAACGCCCAAAACAGTCTCCCCAAGCCGATATGCGCTCTTCGTGAATGTCAGAACAGCGACCTTGATGCCGTCTTTTGTCACGTCATAAGACACTGTTAATATTAGTACCAGTGTCAGTATCAGTATTGCAACATGTTTAAGCCGCAGAACGCACCTTTCTTTGGATTTCGGGTTAGAATCTCAACAGCCTCTCGACACCCCGTTAATTCTCCTTCTTCTCCTTGCCTCTCCCTTTCTCTCTCCCGTTCTCTTTCAAACGCTCTCAGAGGGTCCTCACCACCTTGACTCCCGGAAGCAGAAGCAGGCCCAGTAGAAGACGAAGGTACGTTCTCCGGCACACTCTCAGCAGGTTCTTTAATCCTCACGCCCGTCGACCCCTCTGCAGGGAACGTCGAGAGTAGCCGTTCGCCGTAGGCGCGTAGGTCGTCGAGGGAGCCGCAGGGTGTTGTGGTTGGTGCTGTCCCCACAAAACAAAACAAGATTATCAATACAATTCAGTTCTGCGTTGAGATAGGACGTACAAAGTTTCGACGACGCCAAGTCTTTCTTCCCGTCTGTACCGTCTCCGCCTGCGCTACCTAGATCTAGGACTTTGCCGCTGTCAGGTTTACGCACGGGTAGGAGGAGGTCGTAGGGGCGTTGTGGTTTGCCGACTGTATAAATTATTAGAGTCAGAGTCCGTTATCGATAAGTCGGTCATGAATGGGATGCGAGAGTGGGAATAGGGGGGGTGAAGGACGACAAACTCACCGCTGACCCAGTTATATACCCTTATAGGAACTTTCATCACCCTGCTCACCGTCACACCGATAGAAGAAGCATTACCTTCGCCGCTATCGCCCCGTCGACACGTACCAACCACTAGCTCGTATGAGAAGCGGATCATACGGCCTCGGAATGTCGGAGGGAGGGTCGATGGGAGGGGCAGTGTGTAGGTATCTGTTGAGGTATGTCAGCGGTGCAAGGATATCAAAGAAAGAAGTGCGACTCACAACTCCTACTCTCTCCAGGACTCAGCGCAAGATCAACAGCCAACATCGCAGGTTGTACTTCAAATACAGGGAGGGGCATCTCTTCCTCTCCTTCTTCCCCTCCTCCCACCGCATTCCCATTCCCGTTCCCGTTCCCTGCGCCGACGCTCAACCCTAACCCGACACCCCCACTAGACGCATCACTCTGTGAACTCAAGGAAGGCGGTCTTGACCGTCCAATGGAAGGACTATAACTCGAGGGACTCAACAAACTCAACAAGGAACCCGTAAGACTCGTCGAACGCGAATGTGTCCTCGGATTCGTGCGCGTACGCGAGATATCCATGCTTCCCCCGCCCAACACCGGTTTTTTGAGGAGTTGGGCGCGGAGGGTGGTTAGTGCCTCCGGTGTGTTGGGTGGGAGGATGTGGGCTGTTCCGGAGAGTTGGGCGTAGGAGTAGAGGAGGAGGGTGGTGTTTGGGGGGAGGGGTTTTGTGGTGGCTGGGGTTGGAGGGATGGGGAGGGGTGGGTGTCCGTGTCCGAGGGTGTGGTGTGCTTGTTTGCGAGGGGGGTAGGGGTGTGGTGGGTATGAGTGGAGTTCGGATACGATTGTGTTTGATGGGGATGGGGTGTGTGGGAGGGGGGTTGGTGGGACGGGGGATTGGGGTGTTTCTGCGATTGGGTCGAGTGCGAGTGTGAATGTACTGGTTGAGGATGTGCTTGGGATGCTTGGGGAGGGTTGGGGTTGGACTTCATTTAGCTGGAGATGACCGTCGAATACTGAATGTTTGCGGGCGTGGGGGTGGTTTTGGGGGAGTGGGAAGGCGGAGCGGGGGGTTACTGGCGCTGAAGATGGCTTAGAACGAGCTGGAAGTAGAAGATGAAAGAACTCACAAGAATCTACTTCATAAGCTTGTACATATTCTTCACTAGATGGGATATCAATGCTGGCACTGCGGGCTTTCTCCTTTGCCTTCTCCAACGCAGCACGTCTTACTTCAAGGACTTCCTTCCCTTTCCCCTTCCCATTCACATACTCGACTGTTCCGTTCCCAATCAGTCCCTTCCTCCCCTCTTCACCATTCACACCACTCCCAAGGGCTTTAATAAAGTCTGGTGGACGTGTGCCCAAACCAGGAGAGGTTGGAGGCCTGGCAAGCGGGGCAGAGCTTATAGAATGTGCATTTCGTTTGTGTGATTTATGGACTGGTGCCGACGCTGGGTGGGGTGTAGATGGTAGACGGGTATTTGTGAATGTGATTGCTACGGAGAAAGTTTCGCCTGCAAAGTATGCGCTCTGTGAGGGGGAGACCTGTACGCGGATAGAGGGGTCGTCCATGTGGTATCAAGGTAAGTCAGGTTGATGAATGTGTTTCCTTTAAATGAGGGATGATATCGATGATATTGCAATTGGTTTGATGGGAAAGTTATAGTTTGTAAATATAACGATCATGCGAGGATTCCACACATATGAGAATACATCCCAGGTTCGGTGCGAATCATCCCCTACGGTGGCCTTTTAGTGTGTCTCTTTTGCTGTACCCTCTTTCCCTCGTAACTCCCCTTCATTTCTCTTAGGCCCCCTCGGCCGTGCTATCACTTTCGCTCCCGACTCCGAGTCTAACATTTTGCCATGACCACCCACACCCCCTTGGATACTGGCGATGAATATTGGATCACTTTTGATTTTAAACTTGGATTTTCATGGTACACGTGCGTGCATCGTATACGTGGATCTCAGATGTCGTGATTTGTATATAGAGGTTAGTTTGCCTTTGATTGGACGTGTTTGGTTGACCTTTGGATCCAAATAACGTTTCGGTTGATCGATCGGCTTCGACTCGAACCACCTTGGCAACCTTTGCCTCCTTTCCTGAGCGCGATGCTGGCGGCATGTGTGTCATACATGTTTCAATGCTACTCATTGATCAGGGGGATTCAATCAAAAGCAGATCTAGACCTGGCTAGAGCATTACAGACTCAGCATAGAGCGTTCCAGTACCTGTCGAATGTAATTCCACTGGGGGCCAAATGTCACTTCTACCATTGTGCCTAGCCTTGCAGTGCTGATCCCAACACGCATGCCATGCATGATGGTGGTGAGTGACATAGGATACCATATCGCACAAGGAGACACCACATAGCTGCCAGTGAGTACCATTGTCAGTTTCAACACCTTCTATTTTGTTCTCAACATGCCACCTAGTTTTTGTTCAAACACTCCGCCCCAAAACTCTAGGCTTTTCTTCGCTAAATTACCTTACTAGTGACAGCGGGAAGTGTCCCAAATCTTGCGAGTCTTCCTGTCGTCATTGGTTATGGTTGTCGTTCAAGACATCTCACGCTCATCTTGTTCTTCTCCCTGACACGATCAGAATGAACATGGGTTTGATGCCCTTGCGCACTCGTCCGCCCCTACCGCCGACCGACAGGTTTTTGGCGCCATTCGTCCTCGTGATGGCATGTACTACGAATATATATCACAATGTTTACTCATTTTTCTCCCCTTTATCCCGCTGCTTGTGCACGACATATTGATTCGTCAATCTTGCGCCGTACACTCAGCCTCGCGCTCATCTCATGGTCCATGTTCTAACGATAACATGCACGTATGCGATGAGTTTGATGACTCATGACACACGCCTTGGAGCAGAATCCGAGGGATGTATTGCTGGTTTTCCAGACGTCTCGAACAAGCGGAGACAGTATTATCTGTGTCAAGCCTTGCACGCTCACGTCCTCGCGAAAAACATTGGGGAATCATGTGCTCACTAATAGCTAGTGCGCATACTGTTTCTCGATCTCATTCGCTAGAATTCTTGGGGTGCGGACCATGGTGTTCGGGCTGTAGGTAAGTTTTATCTATCTATCTTGTGTGTGTTGAGCTGAAGAGTGTTTGCAGAACTTCACACTGGAGTCGATGATTTGGGCTCGACAATAATTGCTTGCGCGGGATCAACATCTCCAAGTGTGCTCGCATCCTCGCGAGAGGATCGGTGGTCAGAACATGGAGTTTACGTCTGTCCCTCGATCTCTTTCGCTGGATTTTTTGGGGTGTCGTGTTCGGGTTGCAGGCAAGTTTTTGTCTATTGTACGGGCGTGGAACTGAAGTGTTCGTAGAGGAGTCAATGATAAATTCACGAAAACTGCTTCCGCGAGGTCAATTTCTGCAAGAGCATCCATGTCCCGCGATCAGGGCAATGCGACGAGATATAATATCATCTCGTCACAGTGCCCCGATTTCTTTTGCGGATTTTTTTGGGGCCACGACCGCGGTGTTCACGCTGCGTATCTATTATGTTTACGTGCATGAAGCTGATGAGGGTTCGCGATGCTTTGCAGATTCAGACTTGACGCGAATTAATTGCTTCCGCGGGATCAGGCTCTGCGAGTGCGTCAGGCAAAGATCGGGAGACGTTCGATCGCATTGAGGAAACTGTGAGCCTCACTGCGATTGACCTTCTCTCGATCTTTTTGGAAGTTTATCATGATTATATGGAGATGGAGAGCGTCCGGATATGGAGTCGACGACTTGCTTCCGCGGGAATAAACACTTTGCTTCCCTCCTTTCATTATGTACTTGAGTAATTCAATTGTTGCATCCGCGGGAGCGAACACTCCATTGTTGCACTGTCTTGTCATTAAAAATCGAATCTCACTCTCCTCGCTTGGAATATCGCGAGGTCCTTACGGTGTGCAGTGTCCGCACTAACGTCTCCGAAGCTGCAATCTGACGGAAAGAACAGGTCTAGGTGTACAATATATCAAATTCACGATTGTATATGAATCATAATTGAAAGTCATGATAAGGGTGTGGGCGTGTTCGAACTTGGCAGCTAATCGATAAGCTATTCGTGATGTACCGATCGGCTTGCTATTGCTTGTCTGGATGCTAATCCGTGCCGGACGAACAGGTTCATTCGCATTTAACCAAGGCCTGTCATTGGTGGTGCGCTCGAGCTCGATGACGTTGCTATGGCGACGCCCACCCGGTGGATCCATTGCATAAGTCAGGCGGAATCTCCAATGCCCGTCCAGGCGTCGTATTATTTACCAACACAATAGTGTATCCCTGTGAAATACGTAGTATAAGACTTGCTAAAGGACAGTCAGGCAGAAAAGACGACGACCCCTAGCTCGTCTTACTTTCTGCGCAGTGTTGCAAACGACAGAGTAGGGCTGGGCACGGGCTCGCAAGGAAGCCAACGGTGGGTAAAGATACTGTGGTACATTGACGATCACAGAAAGGATGTACTGATTCTGTCGTGACTTTTCAAACGATGTCAGTGTAAGCTTCGATACCAGAAACTTCCACTGACTGAGTATTAAGTATCAAGTTTTGAGTTGCTAATAGGCCAAGCCCCATGCCCATTCTTGGGGTAAGTCACACTAGGCCAAGACAGACTGGTTTCAAGAAAAAACCATTGTCAATGCGATCACCGGTGAAGCGTGCGAGAAGGTTATAGGGTTCAACAGCTGGGGTAGGATAGCTATAGTGGCCAGTAGAGAATGGGATAGAATAAGTTGACGCCATGCATGGGGAAGAAATTCAACGAAGCAGCGTATATTTTCCCACATCCTTGGGGCCAGCCTATAGGCTGTCAGCTGATGACGCTTTGCGTGAGCCGTCTCTGCGTCGTGTTCTGCATCGTCAGTGATATCATTGGTGGCGCATGCGTGAAAGTGACGCACAGTGTTATTGTTCGCGAGGAATTGGGATACAGTGGCTACTAGCAAGACACAGTTGACCCCATGGATGGGGGAAAAAAACGAGGGCAATTTAAACGTTTTGTTCAGCCCATCTGTGGGGCCATCAGCTTGTAAGCAAGTATATAACGCTAATTAGGGCTTGTCGCCATCCGCAACTGGATCGTGTTCTGAGACAGCTGGAGAGGAGCATGTAAGTTATGATGGGTCTTTGGATGAACTCAAACTCGGACGTTCTTTGAAAATACTTCTGACTAAGCATATTTTCTCACAGGTCAATACGATCACCGAGCCCGGCTCCATATGTGGTTCATGCAATGGACCATCTCACGCGACAGTAAACTTCGCCTCCCGCTTAGTACACCGCAAGAAGTTGATTGAACCTTAGGTTAACCCGGTCGTTTTTGGACCCGAGATAGACAATTTGTGTCCTGTATTGCTTTGAATAAAGATAGAGCACTGAGCATGAACAAGATCTGTCGGTGGACTATAGGCAGAAACGAAGCCTTAATGTAACATTAGAGAGCGCCCATCCCTACAGATAACTATAAGATGACCCTTTATACTATCTCTAAGTAGGAGCCTATGATAATTCTAAGCAGACATGTGATAGAGACGAGTGACAGATCCGTCCAGGTCCTTGACCAAGTCCGAAGTCCGAGTCAAGTCCTGGCACGGGTGTCACAGTGTTGCATCCTACTCCTCAAGGTTCAATGTCCCTGACCTATCCAAGCTTTAAAGCTTCTCATTTAGCCTCAGGATAATTCTGCAGCATGAGCCTGAGCTCCGTTTCCGGAATTCTCTTCTCAAACTCATAAAAGCACGGCCGGACATCTGGCATCGTCCCAATCATGTACCCCATGTTATCTAATGGTTTCGTAGGATCCAGAGTGAGTCGGAAGGCCCAAAGAATAAGGAGGGCGCTCATGAATACCGATCTGCATCAACCGAAGTGAGTTCGGATGCCAGCGTGCGTGCAAAATAGTTTTACCTCTCCGCTACATGTTGACCGGGGCATACGCTGAAAGGAATGTCATTAAAAAACTAAGAGCTGAAAGACGGTGCTTACCGCCGACCAAACCCGAAGACAAAGAATTTTATATCGTCTCTCGGTTTACCTTGGTCGCCGATCCAACGCTGAGGCTTGAACGCCTCAGGCTCCGGGTATACGTCTGGATCTTGAGAGATAGACCTAAGGGAGTGACCGTTAGATCATTGGTATCTTGAAGCACGATGCTTACCAAAGGTTACCGAACACTGTGGTCCCAGCTGGAATACGATAATTTTCCTGTTGGGCCAGATCATCATTCGCGCGATGAGTTGTTCAAAGATCACTTGCCCAAATCACGTCTTTGGTTGTTCGGTGAGGCAATGCTGCAGCATAATTTGTGTGTCATCTTAAGGTACAAAACGAAAACGAAAATGCCCACCACCGGTAGCCGAGGGTCTCCATCTCAAAGCCTCAGTGATGAATGCTTGTAGGAGAGGAAGAGATTTTTGGTCGGCAAAGGTCGGCACTTTAGTGCAGAAATTATTGAACCTATAGCACAGCAAGAAGGAATCAACCTACCTCGGTGCCTTCCGATGACCGCATCGAGCTCGGCGTGAACTTTAGCTTGCTCCTCGGGGAAACATGCGGCTGCCATGAGCACTGTGCATATTGCCAAACTAGTCTTTCACCTGTTTTCAGCTACATACATTATGAGGCAACAAAACAACACCCCACCGTTTGCGTTCCAGCTCCAAAAAAGACACCAGAAAGGTAGGCCATCTCAGTCTCTGTCATACCATAGAGATGGCTATTTTCTAGCATATATTTCGAAAACGAGGGGCCAATGTCCTCATTGTTGTCATGCTGTGGAACAACTCAGTCGTGGAGTGAACATTGAAAGGGAAGTGCACACCATTTGCTCTTTCACGCGGTTCAGCTGACCAGTGTGGAGTTTCTTGATCCTCTTAAACATCAGCTTTAAGTCCCGGCCATACCAAGGAAGGTATCTGAGCCACGGGATCGCATCTACCAGGTAAGAACCAGGGCGCAGAATTTCCCTAGTCATTACAGTGAGTCTTTGAACTTCAAGGACGGTGGGATCAGTCGCAGCCGTGGGCGTATTCTTCCCATATGCAATTTTCGTGATTGTCGTCGCAGAAAAACTTCAAAGCACCTGTAAGCACAAAAATGCCACAAATCTATCGTAACCAACAGCTCTTACCTTAGCACATGGTTCTGAATGTTGTCTGGATCATTGAGAATGGCAAGAACCATGTTCTTCACGTTTGACATTTGCAGGGGCTGATAGGCCTCAGCTGCTTTAGGTTGGAGATGCGAATGAAGCGCTCTGCATCACGTTGAAAAGTAATATAGATGAAGTATCGCAGACCACTAACCTACGCATCCGACGGAACATCTCCCCAAAGGGAGCAAATGTGAGGCCCATTCCGCCGCTAGCTATTGCGACAGAAGGCATGCGAGGACGGTCAGCTAGAAATTTTCCCTGATTCTCCATGATTTCCACGGCGGCCTGCCGCAGAATGTTGTCGAGCCTGGATATGAAAATGCAGCGAGGGACTGACTTTGTAACGGCCGATAAAAACTATCTTCTGGAATTTTGATCGAATGGTGATAACAGGACCGTACTCGTCAATCCATTTTGCTATAGTGAGATCTGATCTTGTCAGCGATAGGACACAATTAGCATTAAAAAGTCAACAGTTCGAATACAAATTCTTACCTGCGAGGTGGCACCAAGTGCCCCCCAAGTCTCCAAGTGGGAGGGGAAGGTGGGAGAGGAAGGTCCCTCTCCGATTTAGGACGGCAAACCCGAGCAATCACTCCTATGACACTGAGACAAGCTGCAGCACTGAGGAAAAGATGCGTGTTATCAGATATGCGCAGGTCAGGTAGTTGTAGTGTTATGAGCGCAAAGAAGGATTGGGGGGGGATCATCGTATGTCACAGTAAAAATAAAGTCATGGACAGCATTTAAGGTCCCAATGCCGACTGATGCGCTGGCAACTTGGCGCGTATCCGGATATCAAGTGATGGTGGCATGGGATGGTCACCTGAATGGGGCTTGGCCAGCATATTTCATTATATTGGTGCCACGTCTTGGCCCGAGACGTGGCACTGAGGAAAAGATGCGTGTTGTCAGATATGCGCAGGTCAGGTAGTTGTAGTGTTATGAGCGCAAAGAAGGATTGGGGGGGAATCATCGTATGTCACCGTAAAAATAAAGTCATGGACGGCATTTAAGGTCCCGATGCCGACTGATGCGTTGGCAACTTGGCGCGTACCCGGATATGAAGTGATTGGTGGCATGGGACGGTCACCTGAATGGGGTTTGCGATTCGTTTGGCCAGTGTATTTCATTATATTGGTGTCACGTCTCGGCTCTCAAAGGATTTCGCGACCCAAAGTCTCCCAAAAGGTTAAGTGGGAGCATTGTTGGAGAGCAACTCTTTCGGCAGACTACTAAATGCTCTCTCCACGCACTCCCTACACCAGATCAAGGGATTATGTCACTCGACAAGACCTTGCGCGGGAAGACAAAGGCTCGGAACAACGCTGAAAAAGCACGTAATCGTCCGCTGTCGATAAACAAACTGAATGCTTGATCAGGGGCTCGGGGATATGCGAAAGGTGGGTAGTGAAGATACTGCAGAAGACGCCGAGCACCGGACAGGGAAAGTGCGTAGGCATGAGTGCAATGTCGAGAGTAAGATGGGTGTGTGCGGGTCCATGTGGGCAGGTCATACAAAGGAAACATGACTCGAGGCGATGTCAATTCAGGGTTCAAAAATTCATTTGACCAGCAGTGACCTGAAGGACACGGTCTTGTATCGATGGATAATGTGAATCCGGCGCTTACCCAGCAAAATCATGTCCCATTCCGGTGGAAGATAAGTCCAGACGTTGTACATTTTTATCTTGATGTCCTTTTCCATGTCGATATCGTCTTCCAAGAAAACCACGACGTCCGAAGGAGTGGCATTCCCTGTATCAATGGGTTGTCAGACGGCTGAGGAATGGGAACACCAACGCGAGATCTTTGGGTGAAAATGATCCATTCCGGAAGGCTAAGTTTAAAAGGCAGGATAGAGTGATCATGAGTTGCGCATGTGATGTTTGGATGTAGCGAGACACTCGGAGAGGACGAGGTGGTAAGTCTGCGATCTCGAGTGTCTGAGAAGGTTCAGAGGTCAGAACAGAAAGATTCAATGTGCTTTGTGGAAGCAGAGAGAGCGTTGATATCAGCGAGCCAGCGAAAGACTGAGCCTATGTCATATAGGTCTGCAGTGAACGCCGAGAGACAATCCGCTCGAAGATATGGCTGATAGCAATGTTCGAAGGGTCGAGGGCATCAATATTAGTCCAATTGATGTATTTGGATGCTCGCAGATGTTCCATCTGTTTTCGCCAGTCTTGTCGCCAGGGCAGAGACACAAGACACACCTCAGAAGCGATACCTGATTGCGCCGACGATGGGGGTGCCAAGTGTAATGTTCTTGGTAGAACACAGAACCACGCCGTGATCCCCCTTCCAAAGAAAACAAAGAGAACGGACGAAGGTTGTTAACGTCCACAGTTGCGGAGACACGAGTGCAAGGACCGACGACTGCAAAACCAGAACAACACCCAGAACAAGGTATGTACATCTTGTAACACCCTCTCGACATACGAAAATGCTGGCAGCCATGGTAGTACTACTGGCCCGTGGGTGACACGCAAAGCAGTCGAAACGATCTTAGCAGACAGTTGATGGTGAGCATGACCAAGCAAATGCGCGGATTTTAACAAACAAATGCGCGAGTGGTCAGCGAGGAAGGGGTTAAATCTCCGCCCGGAACATTCCAGACCACCGGACTCTGGCCCGGAATATATTGTCCATTCCATTTACCTGTCCTCGCGATCGAGGCTCCAACCAGAGTCTTTGATTACGTTCATTCGTTTCCTTTCTTTCTTTCCTTTTGCACTATGATCATTGCTCTCGCTCGCTCGCTGCTCATGGAGTCCCCGGAGACAACGGGAGAGCCAGTGGGTTCACCCACCTTCTGGTGGAAAATCGCTATCAGTGCTGTCCTTGTGCTTGCAGGAGGTGTATTTGCAGGGTGAGGCTATCCAGTCTAGATATTTATGTGTCATGTTTGATCTTTCGTCAGATTAACTCTTGGGCTGATGGGGCTGGATGAATTGCACCTGCGTGTCCTGGCTACGTCATCAGAAGATTTGAAGGAGAAGCACAATGCGCAGGAAGGTGTGTTGAAAAACGGCCTTGTATCATTTCCGAGTTGATACTATTGGTTACACGACCAGTATTAAAACTGATGCAGAAAGGCCGCCATTGGGTCTTAGTGGTATGTTGATACACGCACGCGCGCACATATAACTTATTGCTCACTGTAGGTACTCCTTCTCGGCAACGTCGTGAGTGGATATCTCAGGTATCTACGTCTGCAACAGCTCAACACCTGCAGGTCATCAACGAAAGTTTACCTATCTTTCTTGATGATGCCGTGAGTAAAATCAATGAATACCGATCGTTCGGCTTCCCGCCGATTAACAAACACTATTTGCGCTAGCTTGGTGGAGGCATTGCTGCCATTCTAATCTCCACCACAGCGATAGGTACGAATCTTATTTGTTGATGACTTTACCGTCTGCTGATTAGTCGATGTCAGTTATTTTTGGGTACGTTCTCGTCCCTATCCGAGCTGGACTTGCTGAGCATATGGCATGTTTTTCTTTTTGGCAGAGAGTACGTACGGTACTCCGTGATCAGTGGCAAAAATTCTCAGATTGATCCTGCCGCATTTCCTGCAGAATTATCCCGCAGGCTGCCAGCGTCAGGTATGGCCTCTCAATCGGTGCACGGTGTGCGCCTTTCGTGCTCTGCCTTATGTATTTGTTTGGTATGTAATGCTAACATCGTCTTGAGGTCATATTAACTTCGAATGGCCAATAGCTCCTGTCGCGTACCCTATCGCAAAGCTCCTTGACTACGTTCTGGGCCAGAATGAGGGTCATACTTACAAGAAGGCTGAGCTTAAATCTTTTCTGCAGTTCCATCGCACGGGAGAGGAACCACTGCGGGATGATGAGATCAGCATATTGAATGGTGTGCTGGAGCTCAATACGAAGAATGTGGAGACGATCATGACACCCATTGAGGTAAGTGATTCTTTGGCGATGGGCGGGACGGTGTTGCTGATGTGTTGCGGAACACTAGGATGTTGTAACGCTGAGCTCAGACGCCATTCTTGATCACGCAACCGTAGACGCAATGTAAACGTCATAGTTGCAGTTGTCTATTGTTAGTTTGACTAACAGCTTAATCAGTCTCACAAGCGGCTACTCACGCTTCCCTATACATGAACCCGGGAATCCACTGTCATTCCAGGGACTTCTACTCATCAAGAAGGCAATTTTCGATGTTACATACCAGTCTGCCTAAACGCTGAGGTTGTTTCTCAGCTGTTGGTATACGACCCGGCGCGAGCTCTCCCAGTCTCGGATTTCAAGCTCTCGATTCTTCCAGAAGCACGTCCCAGTATAAACTGTTTCCAGGCGCTAGATTACTTGTGAGAATACTCACTTGAACTTCCGCGGCGTCTCTGATGAATGCGTTGCAGTCAGACAGGACGTGCCCACTTACTACTTGTCAGTCGGACACCTGGTATTTCAGGCGGTGGGATTGGAGTGATTACGCTCGAAGGTGCGCGTTCCCAGACAGGCCCGTTCCGTTACTGATATCCATATTCTAGATGTCATTGAGGTATGTCTGACTTGGACTCCAGTACATAACCAGAGACGACGGTTTGATTTCTGCAGGAGATCATATCAGAAGAAATTGTGGATGAAACAGATCGATACGAGGATAACCAGAGTAAAAGCCGTGCGAAGCGAATGACTACGTCTGCTGTAATGCGGGGGTTCGTATTCCATCGTCACTCTTTTGCATCTGTCACTAAAACTTCATATGTGAAGGATTGTGGAGCGAGAACGAGGTCTAACGCAAGGGTCGTCCTTCGAGCGGACACCCCTGTTGCGTAACACACCTCTCATGCCATCCTCTCCGCGCTCTGAGACTAATTATCCGGCTCGTTATGGCACGATACTTAGCCAGTCCCCAAAAACATGAAGATTCTGGCCATCTCTACAGAGCTGTGAGTACGCTGCCAGACTCGTTGCAGGTTTTGGACGAACTTCTTTGTTTCAAACTTGTTTTGCTCCACATCGCTTCGTACTGTTATTTATGTAGATCTTGGATTGGATTGATTGCTATTAGTCACTTGCTTTCCATGGGCACGCACATTCGCTGGATGGCAACTGCATCTCCTTCGTGATAGCATACCCTCTACTTTCGTAGAACATCGCTCGTATTTGTACTGTGTTGAGAACCATTTGAAAAAATGAATTATTCCCTCACTTGTCATCCAAGAGATCAGCTGCAAGAACGGTGTCTTGAGACTTTAGGATTAAAGAATACATTCGATAACACGGAAACATCTTTGGGTATCTGGGGAGCTTGTTGAAGTCGGACATGTATCCCCTCTCTGTACTATCGTGAGACTACACCCTGGTCCACAAATTCATGTTATTGAAATCATCTTCCAACTCACGGCGTCAGTGTTTCTTCAACTTGACGCCTGATCCTCTCATGTGCCCGGCTCCTAGCTGTCCCATAACCAGGCCAAGTTAGACTTCTTTCTAAAAAAAATGCGTTAAATTATATCAAGCTAAAATATTGGTGGGCCGTGGCCTGTGCAAGAAGGTGTCGTTTTTTAAATTTCAACAACGGCAATACACGGTGAGGATGGTGGCTACCAGGGGACGTGAGAGAAGAAGTTGCCCTCACGGATAGGAAAGAAAAACCAAAGCATTGCACTACTACATACCATGCTACTTCGCAGCAATCTCTGCAGGATACTGTTTGATACAAGATGCAGTTGACCCTGTGGATGGGAACGAAGAGACCGATACATTGGTTTTAATTCGCGGAAACCTCTCATACTATCATTTTGTTGCGCATATCATGATGACGGGCTTAGGAAAAGCCTTCTTCCGTTCGCAACCTGGTCCAGGGTGTACAATGCTCTACGACGAAGGCATCCTTATTCGCCAGGCAAAGTTTTCTTCCCATAGAGCTGGCTTACACGGAAGGAAGGGTGTGGCGGGGCTCAGATTATCATAACGACAGAAAATACTGACTCACCCGGTGAATGAATATAATTGCCAGCTTAGTGTCATCAACTGAGAGTGCCTCGCTCATAGTAGGCTTAGTGACATGGATAGAGCATATGAGCCAAGCCGCATCTCGCATTGGGTGGGGTATTTCGCTGCTGACAAGTCACGGTAAGAAGAGGGTAAACAAATCAGTTCTCAGACAACGTGCCGGCGCGGTTTTCGTGTAGTACATAACTGTTAGCATTGAGGCCTTTGGCAAGTGAAAAAAATATACGAATTCGTATGAAAACACAATGGAAAAAGTCTGATGGTGAATATTGAAGAGGAACTTGTTGGGAACTTGCGCTGAAAAGGATAACATCAATGAGCTTGCCATGTTGGAAAAAATGACCTCCTGCCGGTCTTGGCCGAAGGCCTAACGTCACAAAAGAGTTGTGTGTGGCACCCGTCCTCCTCACTGAACCACGCGGCATTGACTTGATGATATCCATGTATGCAATACATATTACCCGCTATAGCATTGATGTCATTGATTCACACACCGGCCTTCGTGTCATCTAGAAGAGAAGGTAGGGGTTTGCGAGACAAAGGATGCAGTAAAGATATACGACTACCCCAATATCAATGTATACGTGTTCCAGTATTAAAGAGTGAGCTCGAGGTTCTGCCGCTCTGCGTGATACGTAGCTGTCATGTATTATTTGAGTGACTTACTAAATTACTACGTGCCATCTACAACATGTGCGCACAGGTCACCATTAGCGAAGTCTGCCATCGTAGAATCTGCAATACGACGCCAGATCGTCGCGCGAGGTAGATATTGATAGGGTTTGGTAGTTAGTAGTCGAAGTTGTCATGTCACGCTCTCGTCTCGGACCGTTTGTATAACCGTGCATTGAGCCAAATGCTCAAAATATTGGGAACGCATGAGCAACGATTGAATGTATTTTCGTACATTTTGATTTTGTTGACTTGACTTGTGACACGTGCACCGAGGAAAACGCCGAGGCAAACTTCCACGCACATTACCGTCGTGCCCTTCAATGAGCTCTTCTGCCAATAAAATATCGAGATCCTGAGAGCAAGTCAATTTTGAGGTCTCTTAGCAATCTGCTGGAATTGGAAATATCATCTGGTCGAAAGGGGATTTCAGGTGGATAGATTCTTCTTACATTGCCAGTTCTGCCAGAACAATATTCAGCACATAAAAGCAAGCCGTTTTCCTACCATCCCAATCAGATTCATTCAATCCCATATCACATCCTCACAAACAATGCGTTTCTCCTTCGTCTTCGCTGTTGTTGCTGCTCTGACAGCGTCAGTATCTGCCAAAGAGGCTGCCGGTGAAAGTTGTCCCAGCCTTTGCAATGAATTAAGTTGCTGCGCTGGGCAGAGATGCGTGCCGACATTCGTCGATGAAATTGTGAGTGTGGTTTGTATACTGGACTGAACCATATGACTCACCGGCGCGGTAGAATACGGTCGTCGATTATTGTGAGTGAGTGGCATGTCGCGACAGTGAACTACAGTGAGTCGTGTTTCTGTTTTTGCATCGGTGCAGTGTGGTTGATGGCACGGCGCGCGAGTAGTTCATTGCAGAGCGGATCAACGTGCTTGCTTCTGAACAAATTTCACTGCCACTCGAGCAATGGAGATCATGGATTAGAGAACATGTCAAACAGTTGAATACGTATGACTGAAGTACTTACGATGCAGTTTTGTAGTCTTGCTATCAGCTTGAACATAGAAGCCCGCAACGGCACCACCCTTCAGTTTACTGTGCCTGATGGATAGTTGAGCATAACACATGCTGTAACTGAGCTTGATTTTTTTTGTTTAAATGCTGTCAATGATTAGTCTCGAACCACGCTCTCGTCAAAACCGGTTAAATGGTACACTCACCCTACCCTCATAGATTCGAATCCACCACCAGTGAGAAAGATGTTCCCATGGTGCATGCCAGTGGTTGTGCTGTCATCAGAAGAAAACAATGTTTCCAGTACTACGAATGTCGAATGAGGATTGGGAGATCTGATGAGTCATGGACGCAAGCACACCGATATATATTTTGTCAGTGAGCCACTGGGGTATATATATATTAGCGTCATTGTCGTCGGGAGCAAGAGCGTGACGTGACAATTTTCACTTCGAGCAAATTGCCTTCGATAGGATCCTTCCCGATTTGGGATGTCAGTAAGCTGCACGCGACCGACACTACGGCTATACTTTGTCACATATCAGGCTCAAACTCCTCTTGCTTGTACGTCGACCCGGTTCACAGGCATGATAGCGTCGTGCAGTACTTGATCGCCTCACGTCTTAGTCCAAGGAAAAAATTGTTACGCTGAAGCTGGAGCTGGGGGAGCGTTGGAATTGCACCGCGGCGACTGCTACGATCGTAAGCAAATCTTCTACACTCGACGCCACTCTACTCGTTTACGGTGTACACTACCTAGAAGGGTATGAGTTCTACAAATGGTGAGCGCTTAGCACAATCAAATACCTCACCCACACAAACAGAGGTATCTTGGCCCTGCATGATCTACATTTTTAGCGTCATCCCTGATGCTAACGAGGACACTTCCCATCAAGACCTTGAGCATTCTTCTCGATGTTGGCTGCGGTTGAGACACCCTCACTGCCTAGGCTACGATGTTACATGTATTACCGCGTTCGAGTGCCAGACCGAGCTCCGCAACGAGTGTATCTAGAACATCGCTGTCACTTCTAACAAGGCAAGTATCTTCATCTGCCCGTTTGTTTCTTCATAGTTCTTCCATCTTTCAACCATCATCCTGACTGTCTTTCGATTTTATTCGCTGCACTTCATGCTTTTCGGTCAATCTGCCTATCAATCACAGTATTCGCAAATTTTCTGGATCCTATTTCAAACTTGAATTGCTTTTTTCCCATTTTCCCATTTCTCTCTCGAGCCCTCAAACGCTTTTATCTGATTCCGACTTCCCGAGTTTACCGAACGTATGTGTGGTGTCAATGCAAATGGCCAGCAATTCGGGAAAGCAAGGATTTAAGGCATTCATTTGGCATGAGTGACGAGATCACCACGGCAACAATATTTCATTGCGAGCTTGGGTACCGTGTGGCATGGACGCAGATAGCGTAGGGGGCAGAACCACTTTGACTCCCGAGTTTTTCCGGCTAGCAGAACTGCACACTGTTCAACATTCCTAGAAACGGCGGAAATATTGTTGCCTTTATGCAACTGAGCCTGAACTTCTTCTAACACCCTAGTGGCGGGCCCGTGCGGCCCGGTTCGTGGAGTGATTGGCCCTGCGGGAGATGGATACAGGGTTAGCATTTCTTTCGTCCAATCACGCGAACATCGGAGATGAAAACTTTTGTCAAGGGCTCACAGATTGGCACTATCGAAGGTCCGGCAGTTTATTCAACCCCACACACATGGGTTCCGGAGTGCAGCACGATTCTTTGACTCGCTACAGGTAGGATCATGGCAGGTGGACAATATTCTGGCCCTTGCCTCCCAGGTCCCTCAAATTTGATCTCGTTAGAAATCACTTTTGCACTTTAGTTCTTCTGCAGGTTTTTTGAGAGGACATAAGATCCTGATTCTCTTTCTCAGCGGTGACTAAGTGCTACACACATAAACCGAGTCTATTAATTTTTGACGTAGTGCCACCATTTTGCCGCGCCTGCCAGCAACAGCTCAAGTTATTGTTATCAATACTAGTGGTTTCTGGCAAGTTGAGAGTGCAGTAATTCAGAAACCAAGTGAGTTGAACCTTTCTCTCCGATCAGACTCAATGCTTCACAATCTCAAACTTCGATCCTCAGACATACTGCGTGCATTTGACCTAGTGCTTTCGCCATTAGGATCCTTTTGAACATCCACATCGTCCTGCGCCTGTAACATAAGTCGGTCGATGATAGTCAGTACAATATGTCGTTGTCGTCGTCGCTGGCAGCCACAGCAGTTCATCTCACTCAGGATATTCAATGCACAGTGGCCAGCGCGATTGATAGGAATGTGATGTTCCCCTAGAAGACGGCGAAGACGGCAGCGAGACGAGTCTCTACCAGCTTTAAAGCGATACGTGGGCCATTGCCACAGGAATCGATGTACAGAGAACTGAGTGACCTCGTGGGGTGGAAGCGGTTTGTTAAGAGAATAGCTGGTGATGCAGAACATACCCTACCTTCATGCACTCGCAATCGGACCACGGATACTTGGGGAGGTATAATCAAGCCCCATAGGTCTCGCCACCGTATCGACCGAGGGAGACCAACATGCTTCAAAGACGTATGCGCCATACCAGAAAAAGCACCAGATTGCATGATCATACAGCTATTTCAACCTCCTGAAAATTCCTCGACAGACCATTCGATACACTCGCTTTCACCACCGAATACTTCAGCTCCACCCCAAACATCAGCCACGTGGTGGTGCGTTGCCCACCATCAAGGTCTCGCTGAAGACAAATAGATCAGCGGGATTGTTACAATCATCAGAGTTGATACATACGCAGGCGATATTGTAAAGTGATTCCAAGAACTGTTTTCATCAACTCCGCCTTGATCTCAGAAAGTCCAAAAGATTGCTGCGCCTTCCTCCGAGAGCGTTCAAAAGGTAGCTTCGCCTTCCAAGTAGATGGTTTTTTTTCGACAGTGCTCACAGCCTCTTGATATTTACGGACGGCAGCACTCCCAGCTTCCCTGACAGCAGCAGCATGTGGAGACACCACGTACTGCTCGAGAGCGTCAGTAATGTAGGGAAGAGACTGCTGCTGGTCCTGAAGATAGCGCTGCTTGTCAAAGATGTAGAAAGAGTGTTCGAAAACGATAACGGCAGCTACATGATCAATGATAAGCAGGTTCATTGCAACATTGCCTGAAAATTCACCAGAGCTAAGCTGAACAATTGTCTCCAATGGCGATGAGCCAGAGGCCTGGCAAATTTTCAACATGCGAATTGTGTGTAGTCTGTGACCAATTGGACATACCACAGAGAGTAACCTAGACGCCATCTCTTCACGTTGACCGAGCTCAATCTGGTGAAATCACGATGGAAGGTTGAAAATTGTCTGCCTCTGCTGAGGATGAATACACTCACATACTGTCAATGAATAAGATCTTCGGTCAGCATGGCCCAAGGTCAAAGGAGGATGAACAAACTCACGTCCTATTGATGAATCGGTGATATCGTTCGTGAGCAAGGTTCGAGGATTGAATACTCACACGCTGTTAAGGGGTGCGCGATGTCAGTGATGAGCGGTGCTCGAGCTCGACGCAGGATAGATACACTGACTTTCTGGAAATGGATGAGGAATGTCATTGGTGGGCAAGGCTCGAGGATAAATCACTCACAGGCTGTGAAGGGATGCGTAATATCAGTGACAAGCATGGCTAGACCCCGACGGCGAATCATCCACTCACAATCTGTCAACGGATCAGCAATGTCTTCGGTCAGCATGACTCGAGGTCGACAGATAATGAACTCACACCCTGAAAACACTTGAATGAGTAAGGTGGTAGGTCGACAGAGGATGCACACACTTACAAGCTATCAATGGATCAGCAAATTTTTGATGAGTATAGCTCAAGGTCTGTGGAGGATGAATATACTGACATTCTGCCAATGGATCAGCAATTTCTTCAGTCAGCAAAACTCGAACTCGACAAAGGGTCACCCCACTCACTCTCTGTGAACGGATGGACAATTTCTCAGTTACTGAGGCTCGAGCTCGAAAAAAGATCACTGCGCTCACTCTCTATCAACGAATGGGCAATGACGTCAATCAGCATGGCTCGGTCTCGAACGAGGATCAAGACACTCACAACCTACGAGCGGTGGGCAATGATTCGGATCAGCATGGCTCGAGCTCGAACGGGGATCAAGACACTCACATACTGCGAACGGTGGGCAATGACTTGGATCAGCATAGCTCGAGCTCGAACGAGGATCGAGACACTCACACCCTACGAACGGTGGGCAATGACTTGGATCAGCATGGCTCGATCTCGAACGAGGACCGAGACACTCACGACCTGCGAACGGTGGGCAATGACTTGGATCAGCATGGCTCGAGCTCGAACGAGGATCAAGACACTCACACCCTGCGAACGGTGGGCAATTACTCGGATCAGCATGGCTCGAGCTCGAACGGGGATCAAGACACTCACATACTGCGAACGGTGGGCAATGACTTGGATCAGCATGGCTCGAGCTCGAACGAGGATCAAGACACTCACGCCCTGCGAACGGTGGGCAATGACTTGGATCAGCATGGCTCGAGCTCGAACGAGGATCAAGACACTCACATACTGCGAACGGTGGGCAATGACCCGGATCAGCATGGCTCGAGCTCGAACGAGGATAAAGACACTCACATACTGCGAACGGTGGGCAATGACTCGGATCAGCATGGCTTGAGCTCGAACGAGGATCAAGACACTCACACCCTGCGAACGGTGGGCAATGACTTGGATCAGCATGGCTTGAGCTCGAACGAGGATCAACAGACATACTGCCTGCAAATGCCCAACATAAATAACAGCAAATTTCAAAGATTCCCATAATCTTACGTAAATATGTGGAAACCAGTCACACAACCTCGTTATTGCATCCTCAGATGAGATGTTCTCATCAGAGTCAACAAATGCCACGAGTGTGCTGGACAATAGTTAATAACATTTTCGGCAGGCAAATGAGATTATGGGCAATTACCGTTCTACTGCATATGCTATGCAGAGCTCTAAGTTCGTTTGTTGAGTTGAGACAAATAATTGCTGAAGGACTTCGCTGTCCAGAGTTCCAGCCGTCAGTTTGATGAGTGGCCCACAGTCTGCGTCGTCCTTGTCCATGTCTAATGGATCAATGGTCATCATGTATTGCAATTTGGCTATCCACAGCTTACCAGGGAGGCATACGTGACATTTTGGCGGCCGTCGGATGTCCTTGGAGTGGTACAGGAACTTCAATTGCGTCCCGTTTGCAAACGTCTCCTCGGCATGCCTCGGTGCCAGTGCTTTGGCGTCTGTCCTCGATTTTCCTTCCTTTCTTAGTCGCGCGAATTCGACGTCGTAAAGGGCATCGAATTTCGTGAATATTACAATCACTGGGACTGAGGATCAAAGTTGCGAATCAGTCCAACAACGGGCAGATGTGAAAGCTTACTGCTTCCGGTGTCACAGCGGGAGAAAAACTTGAGTTCGGCTTGGGTGAATGCCCTGCTTGCTTGATCCATTGGGATACAGTACCTATGTCAAAGAAGTGAGCCAACGCATGTCGCCAAGTTGACCGATTACCATATAGTGTGGATTCGATCCTTGATATCTATCTTCTTCGAGCGGTCTGCGATAAATGTGTTCACCTTGTTGTACTCGGATTCGCCGCCTGCTTCGAAACCGCGTGAATCGTGAAAAATGAATCCCGAGTTATTTTGAAAAATCATTTCGTTTTCGATATCGTGCTCTCCACGCTGAGAACACATCAGTTCATATTGCCAACTGATGATAGTACGTTACCTCTCTGGATGCGTTCAGAACAGTGGCATCGATCTGATGTCGATAGGACAGTCATCAGTATTGCAGTACTAGCATCAGAATACGCACCTGTTCCCCAGCGCCATTGAATATTTGGGGGTTCTCCTTGGTGTTGCAAACCCTCTTTAGGATAGTTGTTTTTCCCGCATTGGCTCTTCCTATGATGAGAATTCGAAAGCGATTGATTTTCTCTTTTATCTCTGAAGGACGCATGGATGAAGGTAAATGATGCCGGGACTGAGTGATGAGAATTGTTCAGCGTTGTGAGTAGGTTTATAACCACTATTGTGGCGAGCGCCCTTAATCCAGCTGTGGGCAATGGGCATACCGGTACATACCCGGGCCATGAGGCGTAGAGGCGTTTCAGATGTGCTTTCCATTTGATTACCTTTATCTATGTATAGTGACAGCGTTTGATATCCTTGGTACACCCAGCTCACTTCGAGGCGACTATGAAGTAACCAATGCAGAGTTAAATTGTCGAAAGTGAACCACAAATGCAGATTTGAGATGGTCAATTGTACAACCTTTGTCTTGGGAATTGCAGCTTTGTTGTAGATTACGGTCAATTGGACCAAAACGATTTACCTGCAAATATTAGCGCAAATCAGCGTCAAAGAGCCATCATGGGGTGAAAGAGGGTGAAAGAATGTTATGCTAATTAGCTGGTGACCCAACCAGAGCGGGATCCCTAATTCCCCGAACCCTAGAACTTTGCTTACAAGTATCTACCATATTACCTTCCTGTGCTTGAGCTGCTTGCTCTGCACATTCCTAAGTCCAAGATAATACGTGATTCTGAATGTAGATTCTATCTTGTCAATAAGACTCAGTGTGCATTGTGATTTGAAATAGACTTTTACTCACATCATACATGCCAACCTGATCCTCGTATCTAGTGCACGTTAATTTTGGCTACAGTGCCCCAATGGGCGCTTCGAGTGGATCGTAAAAGCGGTGAGCGCTTTAGGATCAGCGTCTTTCAGCGTCTACTCACGACCTTCATCATCTAGAAACCTGCCATCCTCGATCATCAATGGTTCGCAAATGCGATGCCTGTCGCGAGTCCTCCAATCTCAAGCGCTGCTCTGGCTGCCACAAAGCCTGGTACTGCTCTGTCTCTTGCCAAAAGTCTGTGTGGGTACGGCACATCTTTGCCTGCAAACCCCGTCGCCCTATCAACACTGCAGACCATCTAGCACTTGCAGTCAGAAACGACGCTTTTCCGCAAGATCCACAGACTTGCGAGGATTATGGATTTGAACGCGCATTCACGGTGGAGAACAGGTCCAAACTTCTTGGCTTGTATATCGGTATGTACATGTGGAGTTAAGCCTCTGCCACCATTATCACGATTCCCCTGATGCGTGTTTTGTTTCCAGGGCTGATGGGCTCGGGACGCATGGCAATTCCCCCAAAGACCATCCATGATTGGCGGGTTAGAGGCGTGCTTGTAGAGGAGATCAAAGCAGCATACTACAAGCTTCCCGCTGATAACAGAGGCGGTTACTTCCCTTGGTTCCTGCAAAACCAGAACATTCTTGATCCGTCTGCTGCCGCTGATATCCTGCGGCATGACCAAGCAGATGCCATGGTTCTGCGCGCATGGCGCTTCACCGGAGGCGCAGAGACAGACTCGCCGGAGGATATCAGAGCCCGCTTGACTAGCATGCCTCGGGACAAGCAATCGTGCCATGTGTTCTATACAATGCTCTTGAGCAAATGGCATCCCGCACCGTTCGATGACTTCTGGATCCCCTTCGGGTTTTGCTCATGTGTCTCCGAAGAGGAAGAAATGTATCTGGGTGGGCGCTACCAGGACCTCATTACCAAATGCACATTCGATGAATTCCATGACGCCTTCTGCTCCGCGCGTATCCTCAATCTCTTCCGCAAGCACGGAATTGACGTTGATGTTCGCTACCTTGCAGACGTCATGCAGAACCACCGAATGAACAAGTCCGTCTGGGACCTCAAGCAGTTTGCCATCCGGACTGACAAGGAAAACGCAGAGGGCGGAATTGTGAACTCTATCGCGTGCGATTATGGGTTCATGAATTGCAGGAAAGACTCTGAGATACAGGCGCTGAAGAAAGTTTATAGGACGTTTTTTGAGCGTCGTGATGCGGATCCGCTAGCGCTGCACGATGCTGCGTTACGCGGAGACACATTTGGGTATCTGGGGAGTCTGATGAAGCTGAACGCGAAGTTCGAACGCCTTATGAAGAACCCATACCCACTCCCCGTGATGGAGTGAGATCACACCCGTGGCCCTGGTGGACAACATTTGACTTTGCGTTATTGCAGTCATTTTCGAACTTTCACGTAAAATGTTGCTCTTAGCCCCTTATTCGGTTACTAGTAGTACGTGCCTCATTTCTTCCATGTGACAGATGTATAGTTATGCCTCCTACTCACCTCGTTTTTTACCCTCATAGCTGAAACGGTCGTCTGGACAGTTTCCATTGTTTTTGGAAGACACAGTAGCGAGCTGCAAGCGGTGAAATTTCAGCAAATTATCTGACTGACGAGGTTGGTGAAGCTAGACTCATAACGACGGGGGTGTGGCAAATCAGAAATGGATTCAGGAGTACTAACCACGAGCATTATTGAAGTAATAAATAAGCACTACATTCTCGCTCTCATCGACACACCTCTGCCCATCTCTTCACCCAGCTATTTGTCTGTTCAACATCCCGCACATAGTGGTCGAGTGGGCCTGGATACTGCTCTTTCACTATCTCTCCGAGCAACTGAGCTCCTGGCACCCCCGAGTTCCGTATAATCGCGCCATTGATTTCTGAAGTCATCTTGTCCAGGACTGTAATGTTAGATTCCGTGGTGCTCCGGGACCTTGGAACAAGGTGCGCCAGCGAGTTCGCAAGGCGCCGCGGGAGGCTGGGTGAGCTCTTTTGCGGAGCTTTATAAGGGAGACCCCACTGTTCGTACGGCTTGCTCGAAGAGTGGACTTCCCGATCCGTGTCGCGCAGCTGCATGATGTATGGTTTGATGCGCGGTAGCCAGAAACCCATGGAAAAGCGCTGCGTTCTTTCCTTCCCACTGAGATAGAAGGTTTTGGTAGACTGCCCCCGTGTGGCATAGATGAATTGCCAGGGGTGTGTAGGGGACGGCTCGTAAGGGCTTCCCCGTACAACATCCAGCAGGAAGATAAGACCCTCCGGAGAGACTGGGCGTGAGGTCCCGTGCGTCCCGTGCGTCACCTGCACGAGCCATACAGTCAACTTGTTGGAGTCAAACATGATTGCATCGATGCCTGGATGCACGAGCGCATGCTGGGGTGTGTGGAGGAGTTGTGGGCAGTACTCGGCCAACATCGCAAGTTCGCGTTGGGTAGAGTATATAAAGCTCGAGGGCATGGCCCGTTGTTCCTCGTGTGCCAAATGTGTTTTGGTCCGCAGCACCAGCTCTTCTTGTGCCAGATGGTAATGGCCCTGCAAATCAGGGCGTCCGAGCGTAAAAGTCCCCCCGAATCTGGACATCAGAGCCACAACAGCTTGGCGATAGAAGATCTCGCCCGCCTCTTTCGTGTCCTCTGAGTTAAGTAGGGTATTCGCGGTCTCCTTGGCGCCGGCGGAGTCTACGGAGGTGATCTCGCCCGCGAAAAGCCTGGTAGCGACTTGCGATACGGGGAAGGAAAGTGGCTCTGCACAAGTTTTTCCAGGTTCGACAGCGAAGAGGTTACGGTTGTATTGCGCTTCAGGCTCGCGCAGTATAGGTGGCTTGGTCCACAAATCATCGTGGGCACGCTCAAGCTCCTTGAGATAATGATCTGCATCACTGGCATGACGAGATATTTGCAAGCAAGCATGTGCGTTGGACCCGAAATGGATGTACGACCATCGCAAGGACTTTGCGTCATGCTGACCTGAGGTCAGAACACTAACGAAGACGGTCAGCAAGAACTAATATGTGATGGATTGATTTACCTCATCGCAAAGATCTCGTCGAAAGTGCACGGTTTCATCCACTTCCGAAGCACGATATCGCAGTCAGACAACCATTCGACGTCGAGGCCCAGACTATCTGGCCAGAATGTGGCGAAGACAGCCTTGCCGCACGAGCCTCGCATCAAAGCACGAGTGTGCTCAGTGTTCAGGTGCGTAATGGTGTCTTCTTGCGTGCTGTCGATTAGGTGCAACACATCTTCACATTGGAACAACGAGTGGTATTCGCTGTTCTCCTCTGGGAGAGCGAAGAAGCCGTCGGCAGTAAAACACAAGACGCTCGAGCCTGGTTGGTCGACCTGGTAGGTGACCGGCTTGCGCGCAAGAAGTCGCCTGACGAGGACGTATAACAAGAAATATGTCTTTCCTGAGGGTGATTGGTGATTTCAAGCAGCGACAATCGTGGAAGGACTCTGACTTACCGATACCAGCCGACCCATGAACGACAATATTTCGCTCGTTATTGGAGATCTTGTGGAAGAAGGTCTCATACACCGGTCGGATGATCATCGAGGTCGCTCCGTTTGGTAGCGTGGCACCAGGGCATCGAGATAGATCAATGGCGTCAAATTTGAATGGGTGCACCCTGTGTCAGACCCCTTAGTATAGTTACAAGTCTCGTATGAAGGAAACATGCTTACTGTTCTTGCTCCTCCAGATCTGTGACATTGCATTTCAGCTGCCTTACGACAGCGTAATCTTGCTGCTGCCAAAGAACATGATAGAGTGATAAGAGGTTGAGGTGGGATACCGAGGAGCTTGTGGTTGCAGTGGACGACATGTTAGTCTGCGTGGAGTTTGACCAGCATTGAGGTGGAGGTGGCCGCCATTATATAGTCGTTGCGGCATTTTCGGATGTGAGGATGGGACGGATGGACGGATGTCTTCGTGACGTCACTTTCGGAACATCCATTTACTTCTGTTGAATTGTGAAGCTGCTGACCAAGGAAATCGCGCATTGCAATTTCGACCATTTACAACGACTTGTCAGACAGCAATGCATGGTGGCAATAAAATGCGGGCATGGATAATTTGTATTCTCTAAGAGGTAATTAAATCATTAGTTTTGACTACTCAATGTATCGCACGAAGGTATGGCACGCGTCGACAGTTGTACTCGGAGATATCATAGTAGGGAGAATTCTAAAGTTGTTCGTGTGAGCCCAGTTGTGTAAAGCCTTCACCAATCGCACGTCACAGAAGGAGGATGACGCATATCGGGACGTAAGCTGCTGCCCACCATGAGGTCCTCCGAGTCCCTAATTCCCCACTCAGGCTACTCGCAGGACATAAGTCAGGACTACCCTCCAGGGTCGTAACTGGCATGAATACCTGTATACACTCAGATGGATTCCAAGTTTCGTACAACACAAGTGGGTACTAACCTTTGGCAGCCCAGCGGCGCTCTCCACAGTCACGCCGCCGCGTTCATCCGCCACGTGAACACGACACGTCAACACATCGACAATATGCTGGTGCGGCTTGAAAAGTTTGTGCGTGACGTTCCAACGAGCTGAGGTAGAGCCTGCATTCGTGAGAAGGGTGAGCATTGGAGGTTTCCATATGGCGATGGTGTTATTGGTATTGGTTTCGAGGAACTCCATCTAAATTCGAAACAAAATTAGGACGGAACATAAAAGTATACAATTGACGCACCGGCGTTGTTAAAAAGTAGGTATTGGCAGTCATGGCAATTTTGCGAGCACGGTTCAGGTTCTTGAAAGCAAGATACTCGGCACTTTCATTATTGTACCTCGTTTTCCAGATTCTTTAGCCCCGTATTCAGTCAAACTGTGAGCAGGATCCAGAGTTTAGCACTCACGCTTCATGGTTTGCTGGTGGGTATCCTCCAGTGAGACCCTGTTCTTGGCCTAGTGATGTATCCATGACTGCACTTCAGAAAGCTGGTGGAAGTAATGGTACGCACCATTGTATATGATTGGGATGCCATCATGTACGAATGGCCAAACTGCTGCATTAGCTACAAGCTGCGCGGCAGAGATGGTCAATATGGATAAGCTATTGGACAGCATGACTGACTCACAGCTGCGTCCGAGACAAGGTGATTAAACCTCGCTTGGTCGCGGTTGTCTAGGAAAGAACCTGTCATGAATGCACCGCTAGCATAACGCTGCTGCGACTGCGTCACGACAGTGGTTAAGGCAGAGAGATTGCCCTCTGGGGACTGGAAGGCAGGTACAAGGGCATACCATGTTGGATAATCAAGCACCGCATTCATGACCTCTGACGTAGTATGTCAACTAACCATGGCCCAATGGGTCTTATTGTGCGCAGGAACTCACGAGTGTAATCACTGGTGTAGTCGGTATCGTTCGACATGACCTGTCACCAACGGTATCGGTCAAAGTACCAACTGCGATAAGGAGAAATAGAATACCTCTCCGATAGTAAACACCCCTGCTTCTCGCGTGAAATCCTGCCAAAAGTCCGTAGACACGAACTTCACGGTGCCGAGTCTTAGACCATCCACGCTGAAGTTAGATACAACATCTTGAATCCAGCTATTGAGCGTGCCTACGACACTCAAATCCTCTGTATCCACGTCCGCATACGGCAATGTAGCGTCACCTAGCCAACATTGCTCAACTTCTGTCTGATTATTGTAGTCCGTGATGAAGCACAGTGGATGTAAGTCATCCATATCTGCGAAAGGCGTCATTTCCGTCGCCGAGTTATTCTGAGGAGCCACAAAGCTCGAGGCAGTGACGTTCAGAGGTAGTGTTGTAAGCATGTGGTTAACAACAACGTCAACCATGAGGAGCATATCTCGCTCGTGCAGAGCAGAGCTCAGATTCTTGAGATCGTCCGCAGAGCCGAAATGCTGATTGACGGTGTAAATATTTTGAGGCCAGTAGCTGGAATCTGGTCAGAAATTCCATCGGACTTTTATTGCGGGGTGCTCACCCGTGATAACCCGCACCGTAAGGGGTCATGCCTTCGATGTTGGAGTAGACTGGAGAAATCCAAACCGCATCAAAGCCCATCTGCTTGATGTAGTCCAAGTGGTCAATGGCACCTCTCCACGAACCGCCACAGTAGTCACGGGCAGCTGTATCGCATGGTACAGTGGGAGCAATGCCATCGTCCTTGTCAGCAAGCGCAAATCTATCTGTAACAATCTGCGGGGCAAGTCAGGGCCTTGCGGTTGCATCAAGTGGACAAAGGACTGTCCTGGTATATAGATCGCGTTCTCCAATCATCCACGGTTGCAGCCAGTGGCGTCAAGCAATGCGAAAGAGCCGTGAGTATCAGAGAATAAGAGAAGAATCTCCAAGACATTGAAATTCGATGTTTTGATTTTCTGGCTGGACTCGAAGCCCCGGAGCATGGTGAAAATCGAAAACAAGCACCAGGCATGAAGAGGTGGTGGGTGCGCAGTCACAAAAATGGGCTGACTGCGTTGCGTTGGAGCCTCATACATATCGGTAATTACTAGGACGCTTCTCATAATTAAGGCTTCTTGAATATTGGGGTTCCGAAAATCGACGCGTCTTTTGAGCCTGCGTGTAGCGGTCACGTGCAGAAGTTTTTTCTATCTATCTCTACTTACTTACGTAGTGCAGCGCGTACTGGGCATGGAAATCTGCAAACCCCGTATCGTGAGCGCGTGAGCTACAGGCTCTGCATTGGCGCGTTGTTGAAGGGAGACTGCCAGGAAGGACCAGAAGATTGCTTTCATTGAGTAATAGAAATGTTTAAAACTCCGCGCATTTGCTTGGACTGGTTGATCAACTTCAAGAAGCTTGCAGCTGTCCGCTAATATCGTTTCGACTGTTTTGCGTGACATCCAGTACTGCCATGGTTGCCAGCCTTTTCGTATGTCGAGCGGGTGTTACAAGATATATTTACCTTGTTCTGGGTGTTCTGGTTTTGTGGTCGTCGATCCTTGCGCTTGTCTCTCCGCAGCTGAGGACGGTACCATCCTTCATTCGTTCTCATCGTCTGCCTTGGAAAGAAGATCACAGCGTAGTCCCGTGTCATGCCAAGAAGATTACACCGGAATCGGAACCGTCTCCATCGTCGGCGCAATTAGGTATCGCTTCTGAGGTGTATCTCATATCTCTGCCCTGGCGACAAGACCGGCGACGACAGATGGAACATCTACGAGCATCCAAAGAAATTAATTGGACGGTTATAGATGCACTCGACCCTTCAGACATTGCTATCAGCCATATCTTCGACCGGATTGTCTCTCAGCGTTCGCTGCAGCCCTCCAAAGGACACCTGAATGACATTGGCTCAGTCTTCCACTGGCCCGCTGATATCAATGCTCTCGCTGCTTCCACAGAGTACCTTGAATCTTCTGGTTCTGACCTCTGGACCTTCTCGGACACTCGAGATCGCAAACTTACTGCCTCGTCCTCTTCTAGTGTCTCGCCACATCCAAACATTACGTGCGCAACTCAGGATCACTCGATACCGCCTTTTAAACCTAGCCTCCCAGACTGGATGGCTCTCACTGCACCAAAGATCTCATGCTGGTATTCGCATGTCTCAGCTGTTCGACAATTCATTGATAGAGGGAATACCAATCCTGAGGACGTCGCTGTGTTCTTGGAAGATGATATCGATATGGAAAAGGACATCGAGATAAGAATGCACAACGTCTGGACTTATCTTCCACCGGGATGGGACATGGTTTTCCTGGGTAAGCGTTCGATCTACGTTATCCGCAACTGATACCATACCGTGTTCCTCAGGTCATTGCTGGTCAAATGAATCTTTCTACTCTGAACTTCCGTCGCCTCGAGTCATGTCTCCATTATATGACCTTCTAACACGGTCGCGCATTCATCCATCTTACTCTCCGCGTTGCACTCATGCTTACGCACTTTCCCTTTCCGGTGCTCGGCGTCTTCTGCAGCATCTTCGTTACCCGCCTTTCGCATATTCCCGAGCTCTTGATCAAGCGTTCAGTTGGCTTATCGAAAGCGGACGATTACGTGCTTTCAGCGTCGTCCCGAGCGTTGTCATCCAGCGGAAGGTCCTGTCGAGTGACATATTCCCTGGATCCGGTGTAGGGAGTGCGTGGAGAGAGCGTTTAGTGGACGGTGTATTCGGAACGTAGAAAAAACGTTGATCTGTCGTCCCTGTTTTTTTTTGGTAATATCTGTCCTCTGTACCGCAACTCGTGTGTTATCAAGCCATCTCTTTTGCCATCTCTAAAATACTGGAGTTAACCCCAACGCCGCAGTTCAAAATGAGGCAAACCCGCATGGCTGGAGCATCGTCAACGCCCCACAACTTTAAAAGCTCTAGAGCGATGCACCTAGATTGCCAAGTCACAATTCTGCCCACTTCACTGGCTTGAAGACGATGCCTGCAGTCGGTATATCGGAGAAAACTTCTCCTGGGTCTCACATGAGAATGGACGAAGTGATGCGTGGCCTGTGATTAAAGCATTCGCATTAATGACCAATATGCTATCATCCGGCTGCTAGTGACAGTGGTAGCCCTAGCCCGGTGCTGTCCAAAGTGAGTCGAGAGGTCCGCACCAAAGGGATGCCTCTGAAAGTCCCAGTAGATGTACACGAGCAGGCATTCACAAAATTGATTCGGTGTCACATCATAACAGTACAAGCCAACTTCGTATGGTACGCAAGCCCTCTACCGATGTCAAATGATACCAGTTCAAACCAGTTCCCACTCTTCCCCAGCATGCACCTTGAAGATCTCCTTCCTATCCAAGCTCTTACCGTCCCTATGCAAGGTAGTCCCCGCAAGGAATCCGTGGAGAAGGTCACTGAACGTCAACCCTTGCTCAGAGGTCTTTGAAACGAACAATGCACCACTGTCTGGGTCGGATCTAACCGATAGGTCGACGGTAGTCAACGTGATAGCGATGCGGTCAGAGCCAATCATGATGGTCCCTGGAGTGCCGTTTATAATGTGGACGAAGAAGCGGGTGCGCTCTGTACGCGACGTATAGACCGAGTGACTGTCTTGCCCTAAGGGACAGTACCAGTACTCGTCAGGACAGGCTTTGGAGCGGATGAAAAACCTTTAATAAAGTCGCTATAGTATAAGCCAAATGTGAGATATCTTGTGAAGAATCAACTGACGAGTTCCCGCTAACGTGATCCGTGAAATCTGACGTGGGCATGACGCTCCAGACGCGATTGTCTTTGTTGTACAGCCATGAGAACATCACTTTGTTCATGAAGTCGGCAGCAACGCCACCTGGCCCGGTGGAGTCGGCAGCGTTGGCTGTGTTCTCGTCATGAGTGAATAACTGGGGGTCGATACGCTTCACAGTGTTCCCGTATTTGGTGGAAGTAGACAATACACGCCACCACTCATCGGCAGCGGCGCGGCTGCAGAAGGTAGCCAGGTATCGAAAACTGAAGTCGGTTGTGCTCTGGAAGAGGATTTAGCGCGATATCGCAAACATCGAATAATAGATTTTGGACATACCTGCTTTATGTATGCGTAGTAGACCATGATTGTGTTCTAATACCAGAGATGATTTGTCAGTTGTGTTTCAAGTTGGATCAAAACGAGCCAATCTAATGCTGTTATATAGGGAGAGTGAGATGTTTGGTGGGATTGATCATAATATGAAGAATCTGTGGGAAGCGAGTAGGTTAGCTGCTGCAATCATATCGCCGGAAATCTCAAGGAATGGAACTTGACTGGTAGTACATAATTGTTTCCGACCAGAAGGATCGGATGTGGAGACTCACTGTTAGGAGACACTAGCCTTAACCGGAACAAGTGTCCCTGCCCCACGAATCGTGTTCTTCCTCACAGCCTCAGGTGCCAGTGCACCAGGTGAGGCGATTTCCTCTTTGTCAGAAACGTCCCTCTCCATCGCCGCGTAAGTCGCTAGCTCCGAGTCGACCTTTGATTTCTTGTTTACGATTGAGTCGTGTCCACATCTTCCATGCAAACTGTCATGCAGTGAGATCATCACTCTAATGGTTGAAATGAAAGGGAAGATTATCATGTGACGTACGTAGGCTATAGTCCTGAGCATCTAACTAAGTATGCTCGGTTTATACCACCCAATACCAACTTCCAAGGTTGTCAGCCAGGACTAACCAGCAATGAAGCGATTAGTACTCCACACTGCACAGAGATCGTGTATAATTTACTAACTTTGAAGCCCATGCGGCAGGGGCAAGGCAGGGGTCCGAGTAAAATGACGAGAGTCGCCGTCACGTGATATGTCTTCCATTCCTTTCATCCGGCATGACAGTTTGCATGGAAGATGCGACACGACACGACTTCCACTACGGGCACCGGCTAGCGGCAACACTAACTGGAGTCTAGGGTCCACTCGGAAATAGCGACTTGACAAAGATGAAATCACTTGATCCAGGATTCACAGTGCACTGTCGAGAGAGGACGCAATGATTGGCGGGGAATGCTTCGAGAAACAGGAGGACGTCACAATGTCAATCACTTTGGATGGGTCATCAATGTTTTTCAGGTTTGCTCCGGGATTTGTCTCCGAGAGTTGTCGCGGTACACGTTCAGACTTCAGAATCCGGAGGGATGGCTTCATCACGAGGAGTATGAACGACAACTTTGGTCTTCGGTACAGACGGTGCTGTCCTTGACGATTACTGCAGCGTGCAAGCCCAGTTAAGGCTAGTGCCAGTGTCTCCTAACAGCGAGTCTCCAAATCTGATCCTTCTAGTAGGAAACAATTATGTACTACCAGTCAAGTTCCATTCCTTGAGATTTCCGGCGATATGATTGCAGCAGCTAACCTACTCGCTTCCCACAGATTCTTCATATTATGATCAACCCCACCAAACATCTCACTCTCCCTATATAACAGCATTCGATTGGCTCGTTTTGATCCAACTTGAAACACAACTGACATATAATCTCTTAACACAATCATGGTCTACTACGCATACATAAAGCAGGTATGTCCAAGATCTATCATTCGACGTTTGCGATATCGCGCTAAATCCTCTTCCAGAGCACAACCGACTGGAGTTATCGATACCTGGCTGCCTTTTCCAGCCGCGCCGTTGCCGATGAATGGTGGCGTGTATTGTCCACTTCCACCAAATACGGGAACACTATGAAGCGTATCACCCCCCAGTTCTTCACTCATGACGTGGGCAAAGCCAACGCTGCCAGTTCCACCGCAGCAGGTGACGTTGCTGCCGACTTCATGAACAAAGTGATTTTCACATTGCTGTACGACAAAGGCGATCACATCTGGAGTGTCATGCCCACGTCAGATTTCACGGACCACGTTAGCGGGAACTCGTCAGTTGATTCTTCGCAAGATATCTCACATTTGGCTTATACTATAGCGACTTTATTAAAGGTTTTTCATCCGCTCCAAAGCCTGTCCTGACGAGTACTGGTACTGTCCCTTACGGGACGGCGATCACTCGGTCTATACGTCGCGTACAGAGCGCACCCGCTTCCGCGTCCACATTATCGACGGCACTCCAGGGACCATCATGATTGGCTCTGACCTCATCGCTATCACGTTGACTACCGTCGACCTGTCGGTTAGATCCGATCCACACAGTGGTGGATTGTTCGTTTCAAAGAGCTCTGAGCCAGGGTTGAAGTTCAGCGACTTTCTTCACGGATTCTCTGTAGGGTCTACCTTGTATAAGGATGCTAAGAGCACGGATAGGAAGGCGATATTTAAGACGCGTACTGGGGAAGAGTGGGAACTGGTTTAAACTGGTATTAGCAAAAGAGACAAAGCGCTTGGCTTGTACTGTTACGATCGGTGATTTCGAAGCAATTGCATATTTTGTTGAACGCTTGTAACGGCGTGTCCACTACAGGGACTGGAAGAGTCCTTCCTTTAGCACATATGTTGCGACCACCTACTTTTGAACAACGATCAGAGTTGTCTGTCATGCGCATTATCAAATCAAAGCGTACTGCTCGAGAGTCTTAAAGTCATATCGCGATATCGTGGGGCGTGGACATTATTACGAGTCATCCGGTTTTACTGCATTCTGCCCCGTATAGTTTCAACAGTTCTGACATTTTAGAGATGGCGAACAGGACTAGAATCTAAGAGCGAGACACAGAAATCTGATCGATACATATGTACGAAGTACTTGCGATACAGAGGACTGATCAACAAAAAAAGGGATGACAGATTGGCGTTTGTTCTATGTTCCAAACATGCTGGGATCTGCTAAATACTCTCTCCATATCATATGTACTATGCATATCGACTATTTTCCTATTCATTACTGTAGAAATAGAGAGAGAAAAAATCGTGAACTGTCGTGATCCATGCCCCATTTCGGTCGCTCCTCAATTCGTCTAGGGTCATCGCCGCGCATGTCGACTGCTATTCCGTATCCTCTCTCCGTAATACCAAAATATCCAGGGTCTGCAGATATTATCATTAAGGGTGACGATGAAAGGAACGAAGACATACGCAGGACAGCCTATAACGATTGCTACGATTGCTAGAATAGTATTACCCTTCCCGAATCCGAATGTGGTGTATAATGCTGGAGCGAACAAGGGAAATCCAAAGCCTGCTAGTGACCGCAAACAGGAGACAGCGGCCAGCGCTGTATGTGAAAAAATTGAGATGGGTCACTACTAACGCGGGAAAAGCTATACGTACCGGAAGCGGCATGAAGCGTAAAGCAATCAACGATGTAGGTCTGGATACACTGGAAATTCAGAATAATGCCTGCTCCCACAAGTGCGATTCCCTGTCGAAAGCATCAGCAGAAAAATAATACAAGGAGAATCCAACCAACAATATCCGAAGCTATCCAATGAGTATGGGCTTCAGAAGTCCAGCCTACGATCAAACACCCTATTGGAAGTAGCACAGATCCGGGAACCATTGCAGCTGATGGTACATTGAATGAGCACTCGAGAAAGGGGGCACTAAAACAATACGACGAACGCAATCTGAACTCTGGCTTCGCAACTCCGCCGTTCTTACTTTTCAAATGAACGTAAATCTTGTCCATTGTTTTTGCATTTAATTGGGACGCCCCTGTCAACCCTATGCCAAGTGCAATGTAGTGAAGGCCAGCGATTCCTACCGGCTGCTGGTATACGCCCCGAAATATCGATGGTATCGTGGTCAAAAATACTGAAACTATGTGAGATCACGTCCGTGGAAGAATAAATGACTTACGATACAGTAACCCATATAGATACGCCATATAAACACCGAGGAGCTGCACGATCGGTTCATGAGCAAAGAGTGCAAATGGGCGACTGAGTGATTTAGCCATGATGGTTTGCCAACTGTATAAATCAGTATCCTCAGATGTCATCTCACACGTATCATCAGAGGACTTACGAGCGATCTTGACCTTCGAAAACGGTACGTATTTCTCGGTACGGCACTTTTTCGGCATCCATCGATCTGCGAATCTGTTCTGCCTTTCTTTCCAATAACAGGGGTGCGTAAGCTAAACAGGGTTGATAAGGATGAACAGATCGTAACCAGTCAACGACTCACTCTCTTGAAGTAAAAATACTCCGATGATTTGAACAGCTGCATCCACAATGGACGTAGACCAAAACTGACAGAGAAATGAGAACAGTATTCGATTGGTAGAGGCATCACATACCACCCATCTCCAGGTCGAGCGTTCAGCGATCCTGGTCAAAATTAACTAATGTCCTTGAACTTGGGGTAGCTACAAACCAGGCGCCTGTGATGGGGCCCACAACGGGGCCCAATAACGGAGCTAAGGAGGCAATGGCGACAGCTTTTCCTCGTTCATCTGGTCGCCAGCAATCCCCAAGAAAGCCGCCAGCAATCTGAAGAAGGAAGCCGTTCAGAAGGAATACTTTCTAGTTCAAAAATCAAACTTTACCGGAATGGGTGCGCTTCCTCCTAGGCCAGCAAGAAATCGGAAGGCAAGAAGCTGTGATTCTGACTGTGCGAATCCACAGACAAGATTCCAAACTGTCATTTCAAGAATGGGGATGAGATTATGGGTTGACTTGTAAATGTTACGTACTGAGATACCATAGATTTGCCAATTGCAAGACGCGTGACCGTCCGTAAATCTCGCTCAACGGACCCAGAAACAGAGGTCCCATGGCTGGTACATCGTTTGGTCGATCAGTGGGGTATCTAGCATACGCCAAATTGACCTACCAAATGCAAGCACAAAGATAGATGTTGCGAGTGCAACTATAACTTCGTCGTTAATCCCGAAGTCAGAAGCCATTTTGTTAGTAGCGGGCGCGATCATCGAGGAAGAAACTGGACTAATGAAAGCGAACGATGATATAATTATCGTCGCGGCCCATTTGCGTTTAAAGCTCCAACTGTAAAAACTGTGAGCCCATTAATCATGCTGCTCTGCTCACGCAACGTACTTTTTGGGATTTTGAGGGTCATCTGGGCCGTCCCAGTCAACAATCAAAACATCTGTATTTGTTGACGCAAGCACTTTGCTATTGCTGGTGTTATATGGCTTCGGAGAATGACTATGTTCTGGAATACGATGGACTGAGTTTGGCGTGCGGTCGCCTTGTAAAGTTGGTGGGGGAGACACCAAGTCTAGCATGCGGCCTTGCCCCTCGTCAGTCACGGACGCAGGAATTTGGTTTGTGGCGGACATGTGCGAGTGGTAAACACATGGTCCTGTCTTGTCTGCCTACTTATATGTAAATACAGGAGCTGGTCACTATGACACGACCATTACGAAGTCACTCGCTAGAATGCAGAGGTAAGAAAACGTTGCCTCCTACTAATACAGTGGTGCTTACCTTGCGCTCAGATAAGACCCTGCACTCGTTTGACACACACCAGTTTACTGTAAGGACACCGTCGGCCGATCTAGTTGCAGATTGATGGAAGGTGAGAAAATTTAAACTTTACAATAAAACGAGCAAGAATGAGTTCTCGATTCCACGTAATAGTGAGGAGTGAGTGCCGGAGAGAGGGTTTTTGCACAGAAGACCCTGAAAATTTATTCATTTGTCTATCCTCGACTCGTAGAGGAGGACTTTTGAGGTCATGATCGATCGGTTTGGGTGTCAAAGGGTGCGTACGTTTGCGAATAAGATAAATTCTCTCGGTTACGCGTTTTTTTGTTTTGTTCCGATGCCGCCATTGCCGATTCCGCGTACGTAGTGGACAGAGGGTTCGAGTGACATTTTCCCTGATCCGGTGTAGGGAGTGCGACGCGCGTGGATAGAGCATTCTTTGTAGATCATCATGGTATTTTGCTATTGAAGGAATTTGTCAGACAGAAAAGGAATTTTATTTACATGCCTGCAAGCTACATAATTAATTAATTAATTGATTGATTAATTGGCCGGGGGGGCGTCGGGCCAAATTATCTACCAATACTAGAACTGCTGTTAGTGGGTCGAGAGGTCTGTTCTAAAGCCCTGTAGTTGTACACGTGGTTGCAGACGTTCAAGAAAATATCCAATTGCTTCGGTGTTACAAATACAAGACCACTTTGTGTCATATGCAAGCCCTTTGCCTTGATATCAAACTACAGCAGTTCAAGCGAGTTCCCACTCTTCTCCATTACCCGAGCTGAAGAGCTCCTTCATGTCCAAGCTTTGACCGTCCTTGTACATGGTAGGCCCCACAGTGAATTTGTTCAAAAGGTCCCTAAACTTCAACCCCGACTCAGGAGCACTCGAAAGCATCACTTGACTGTTGTCGGCAACGTTAATGGACAAATTGACGGTGAGCAAGGTGATAACGATCTCGTCAGAGCCAATCATGATGGTCCCTTCAGTGTCCTTGTCCGTGATGCCGACGCGGAAGCGGGTGCGCTCGGTACGCGAAACGTAGACCGAGTTTGTCGCGTTGGAGTTAGATGATAAGGGACAGTACCAGTACTCGTGTGGAGAGACTTTGGATCGAATAAAAAAACTTTGATAGGGTCGCTATCAGCCGAATGTGAAATATCCTATAAGGAACTAACTCACGAGTTCCCGCTAACATAGTCCGCGCAGTCAGTCGATGGGATGACGCTCAACCCGCGACCAACTAGGTCGTTCAGCAACGTGAAAAACACCTTGCCTATGAATTGAGTCGCAACACCACTGGTTGTGAGGGAGTTGGCGGCGTTGGCCTGGGACACGTCATGGGTGTAGAACTGGGCGTTGACACGCCTGACACTGTCCGAAAACTTAACATTGCTGGAAGTGGACACCGCACGCCACCACTCATCGGCAACAGCGCGGCTGGCGAAGACAATCACGTATCGATAGGTTGAGTCAGAGTTGATCTAGATGGTGATTTAGCGCGATTTCGCAGACATTGAAGAATAGATTTTGGGCGTACATTTTTTACGTATGCGTAATGAACCATGATTGTGTGTTAGGAGAGATGATTTGTTGGTTGTGTTGGATTGAATGAGTCACTTGGATACTGTTATATAGGGAGAGCGAGTTGTTTGTTCAGGTTGCTCATAATATCGAGAGTTTGCAGGAAGCAAGCTGCTAGTGATGTGCCAGGCCTGAGGCCCTCAAGCCCTAAAGCTAGGCCCTCACCAGGCCAGCTCAAGCCGGGCCCACATGCAGGCTTTCAAGCGATATCAACACCCTTATCTCTAGAGCATATGTCCTGAGTAGTAAGCCGCCCTAGTCGCGAGCTTGCGTCGAGCCTCAATTACGTAGTAGTTGACAACCTTCTGGTCCCTTTATTTCAACCGCCTAGAACGATAATATCACGGACAGCTTACAGGGAAGCCGTGAGCTGTGGTACATCCAAATTCTGGACTCTGTACATTTCCGAGGGCATCTCTGCAATGGCCGGTCTGGTGCCAAGTCTGGGCCAAAGTCTGGGTCAAGTCTTCTGATGTTTCTAAGGCACATTGTCAAAGTTGATTACTCTACAATCGAGCCAGCGACTTACACAACAAAGAAGGTACGTTTCTGACGGGATTTGACATCATCATCCCAGTTTGCTTGATGAATATCGTCGTCCAAGAAAACTACGACATTCTCTCAACGAATTGTCGAACAGAGCTGAGACATGGGAATACCAACATGAGGTCTTTGACGCGTTGGGGATCATCCAGTCAGGGAGCTCAGGGTCACTGAAAAGCGGTGTAGAGTGGTCTTGGGTTGCGCATATGATGTTCGCATGTGGTAAAACATTAGGAGAGGACAAGGTGGAAAATGTGAGATCTTGAATGTCGACAGGTCCAGAGGTCGGAACTGTCCAAAGTAATCTGTGAAATAAAAAGGGCGTTGATATCAGCGGGCAAACGGAATACTGAGCCCAAGTCGTCCCTGTGATCTTTGTAGGGCGTAGCAAACGCTTTGAGAAAATGCGATATGGCTGGTATTAATGTCGAAAGGGTCGAGTAATCAGCAACCGTCCAATTGATTTCTTTCGAAACTCGCAGATGTCTCATCTGTTAGGGCCAGTCTGAACAGCGAGTCTATGTATTTGTTGGTGGCCTCTCGATCCTCTGCGCTTAGGGTGACTCTGATACCATGAAAATATATTGCCGATCGCGAGTGGAGCCATCATATTGCAGGCAGCTAGTGATATGGTTGTGTAAATGCGAATAAGTCAGTTGTTTACCTCCCGATCGATTTCATCTAGTGCATTGCTTTCGCAGTGCTCGGTGGCATCGGCCTTCGTCGCACCGCTGAAGAACGCTCGGATGTCCTGCTGCTTTGGGTCGTAAGCGATCTTGCCGGTCCCGCCGGCGTTAGGTTTCTGGAAGTAGTTACTATATAGATACCAGTGAACATGTACGGGTAAACGTACAAGCGTGACAAGATGATCCGCACGACCGAAGTCCGTCGCTGTTACGATCAGAGGGGGCGTGTCTTCATCAGCCAGGTCTATTGGTGTCCCATCTACAACGCCCTGCATGCCTTATCAGCATCCGCATAAAAAAGAAGTATGTCATTAACCAACTTGTATTGTAATAACTACTCTTGCCCACGCCGTGTTCTGCATCCCAGTGTACTCATGTGTAGGGACAACATTTCTAGAGTCCCTTTTCAACAATGCGCAAATGAGGGCGCCGATGTATATCCCATGGCTCACGAGCGCGATATGCTCTACACGCCCAGCCCGCGCTGCACCGCGTACGTGTGGCATGATCACCTCATCCACGGCCTGCATCGCACGCGCTGCCAAGTCTTCGTCGGATTCGCCGTCCGTGAAGCATTCACCCGGACGCGGTGTGGGATACTTTCCCTCGTCCATGTACTCCGCGAGTGACTTGGGAGTCCCGTGATCGGGAAAACACCACGATTTTCCTTCCGCAACGCCAAAGTTCTGCTCCTTGATAGACTCGACTGTGAAGTCATACGGCGGCTGCGGGGCAGGTTGGGCGGCAAGAACAAGCCCTGCAGTGGTGGCAGCGCGCTTGAGTGGGGAGGCATAAATCTTGGTGAACGGAGTTTGGGAGAGATATGCGCCGAGAGCTTCGGCTTGCTACAAGAAACAGATGTTAATTTTAAGCAAGAGACTTGAAGAGGACTTACCGCTTTTCCTATGTTGGAGAGAGCAGGTCAGAGCAGGTCAAGTGGAAGAGGACTCAACGAACCGCGCTGGCTGAGTGGGGCATCAGCCCACCCTGCCCACACGTGTCTCTATGACATCTGAGCATGATGCAGCGCACGGACACTATAGAGCAAACTGACCACGTTATCGGTTGATTCTCCATGTCTGATCTGATTCCCGTTCGCACACGAGTTCATTAACAATGACACAAAACGGACGACTCACGAGCGTCACAGTCAACATGAATCTGACTCTAGGTCTCTATTGTCCTTCGAAAAAAATTGAGCGCTGAAGGGTATTAGGATAGTTCTGCAGCTCGGCTCGAACGAAGTTCGTCTCAATCCATATTCGGAATTACGTAAAAAGTATCACATTGCCATGGCTGGCACCTCATCAGGCATTTGACCAGGGTATGACAATGATTTAGCTAGCTTTATTTAATACAAAATATTTAAATTATATATCACAATTACAGATCACATGATAAATGAATAAATAGTTAGACTACGTTGGTAGGATCTCTCAACGCTGGAATATTGGCAGACCTATGTGACCAAGTTATGATCTACTAGCACATTGTCATGTTATTAAGAATATACATCACAATTACAGTCATATGATAAAGGAATAAATAGTTAGACTACGTTGGTAGGATCACCCAATGCCGTAATATTGGCAGACCTATGGTACCAAGTTATGATCTACTAGCACATTGTCATGTTATTGTCACATTTATCTATGCTTACATAGGTAGTTTCCAACAGCAGAATATGTAATCACTGACGGTGTGCCAGGGTACGACAACTGATTATCATGCCACAGCAAGCTGCTGAAGTTATACCGAAGAGAACTATGGTTGCATGGGCGGTTTCTTATGGCAGGACCCGTAATCGCTGACAGTGTGCCAGGGTATGACAACTGATTGTCATGCCACAGCATGCTGCTGAACTTCTACCAAAGAGAACTATGGTTGCATGGGCGGTTTCTTATGGCAGGACCCGTAATCGCTGACGGTGTGCCAGGGTATGACAACTGATTGTCATGCCACAGCAAGCTGCTGAACTTCTACCGAAGAGAACTATGGTTGCATGGGCGGTTTCTTATGGCAGGACCCGTAATCGCTGATGGTGTGCCAGGGTACAACAACTGATTGTCATGCCACAGCAAGCTGCTGAACTTCTACCGAAGAGAACTATGGTTGCATGGGCGGTTTCTTATGGCAGGACCCGTAATCGCTGACGGTGTGCCAGGGTACGACAACTGATTATCATGCCACAGCAAGCTGCTGAAGTTATACCGAAGAGAACTATGGTTGCATGGGCGGTTTCTTATGGCAGGACCCGTAATCGCTGACGGTGTGCCAGGGTATGACAACTGATTGTCATGCCACAGCAAGCTGCTGAACTTCTACCGAAGAGAACTATGGTTGCATGGGCGGTTTCTTATGGCAGGACCCGTAATCGCTGACGGTGTGCCAGGGTACAACAACTGATTGTCATGTCATAGCATGCTGCTGAACTTCTGCCAAACACACCTAAACTATTGTATGGGTAGCTTTCGATGGCAGGGTCTATCATTACTAACGGCAGGTTGGTGGTATTGTGGTCAAACACACAAAGAGATTCTCATGCAATGCAAATACGGATGGAGCATTCATCAATGACATTAATATTATGTATTACAGGCAGTACATAGTAACACATTTAATTAAGTAGTGTCGGCAGTGGCTCGTTCTTGTAAGGCAGCGCGTTTTTCCCGAATTTTTGACAGTGCGCTGTTTTTGCTGGTACAGCGCTGTGAAGATGACGAATTAGGAAAAACCCGACTGTATAAGCGTTAATTTAGACTTTATGGGTGGTGAGGTGCATTACGAACCGTGTCCACCACATCATGAGGTCAGCTACTTCCTCATGCTCATCAGGATCCTCCAACAGGTCAAGAATGCTATGGTAGAAATTGTCGGAGTCCATGACCATGTCGGTACGAGAAAATACAGAAGAAGAAGTTAACGAAAACCGAACCTGAAAGATAGATCAGCAGGGGTTGTGTCAATGATGAAAATTGCTGCGTGCCTGCGTGGCGATGTAGGCCAGGGACCCTTTAGTTACAGACTTCATGCCATGAATGTAAGCATTGCCAGAGCGGGTAGCTTTTGGCTCCTTGTCCACCGAGCTCGGAGACGTGAAGACATGTTTGAAACCCTGCAGAGGGGAACTGCGTTGAGTGACAACTTTATTGACAATGGAATTTATTTACGAAGACGAGGATCTCACTCCTCAATAAACCCTTCCACGGATCTTCGGGATCATACACATAACCTGTATATAGAAACATGGGCCACTGGTCACCACGGACTGCGGTTTCACCACTCATGAGACCCTGCTTTGTCCTGGATAATGTTATGATGGTTAGTTGGCAGACGGTGGACGGCGGAAAAACTTACTCTGCATTCGACCAGTCGAGGCCTGCGGGGCAGAGCAGCGCACCGGTCACTTCATGATTAAAGCCGCGGTCAGATTTAATGTTTCGAGAGAGGGGCGGTATGACAACTTGTCCTCTGGGCACAAGCCATTCAAGGACGGCAGATTTAAGTGTCTTGGTATCATCACCTCGAGCACCAGACGCCCCTTTACCCAACTGCAAGATGATAAGTATGCTAACAGGAGGTATTGGAAACTTACTAATTCTCCCACGTGGTGAATATCTTCCTCCTCGCCATTCGCCAGACGTTCTAAAAGACCGGGATAAGAGTCTACTAGCTCCATGAACACCCGGTGTTCCCGGCGAACACTAAAATTGAAAATGTTATTAAGTGCTGTTGGCATGTAGTTATCGCAATTGCACTCACTCCGCTGGATAATCCTCTATTGGAGTATCCTGTAATTCTTCGAGCCGAAGTACACCTGAAGTAAGGAGAGCAGGATAGTTGCACATTGCAAACACGGTCCGACCAAAATGTCGGCCGTGAAGAACTAGCGGATTCGATGAAGTCCTGATGAGGGGCAAGTCAGGAAGACGGTAATTCAACACTTGAAAGAGCACGTACGCCTTTTTACGCGGACCCATGTGAAGCGCTGACCCACGACGCTTGCGCGAAGGCTCGTGGGACGGAGGATGATTCTCATCGCTACTCATACTGAGTTGAACTAAGCGGCTCTGATGACTCTAATACCAGTAGGAAACGAGACGCTTTATATGTCCCAACGGACAATACCACACGGGACAAAAAACCTGCCATCCGAGCGCCATCGATATCGTAACGGGACAAACGACCGTGAATCCGAGCGCCATCGATACCGTAAGGTGACAAAAAACCTGCCATCCAAGGCGCCGTCGATATCGTAACGGGACAAACAACCGTGTCATCCGAACAAGATAGATATCTTACGGATGATTTTCTAAAACACCGCCCTAGCGCCATAGCACACATGCTACATAAGTCGATGGCTTTTGTCCCACCCGCCATTAGCGTCAACAGCATTTGGATCTCGGATGTCCAGATCGCCCTCTCGGAAGCGTTCAAGGCAATGCGTTCACCTCGGTGATGGTAATATAACTCTAAAGTAGGTCTTCAGTATGGCATGCAGTACCAAGCTCATAAATTTACCTTTCAGCTTCCAACTTTCCACTGTGCACACACCGATGTGCTATGATACAGGTGGCCAACATGGTACTGATTGCAAGTGAGTGATCATGTTACGGAAGAGCAACTCAGAAGCTAACCGCGCATCCTTCGAATTAATTGTTAATTTCAGAGGAACTCAAACCACAGGTGAGATTCCATACTTCGGAGGCATAGATTGTGCTACCAGGTCTGAAAAATATGCACCTAGACACTGACCAACAATCCAAACGCGAAGCAGAATCTGAGCTAAGTCAAGTCAAGGAAAAGCTAAGGAACGCATACGATCATATATCATACCTTTCGGATAGGGTGGGGATGTACAGGCACAGATGGCTAACAGAGTACTACCGCGCCGAAAACCTCGAACTTCATATGCCCGAAGGTGTCAATATCCCCGACCTTGATCAAATTCGAGAAGGTATCGCTTCTCCCGGCTTCATGCAAGATTTATCGGTCTGGGATAGTGAAGGTTCAGAAGCGAGAGAGCATCTTTGAGCTCGGGGGTGTATCGGTTGCAAGAAAAACATGGGACGCAGCTGGTGGAGGACATATTGAGTGTCATGGGGCAGTAGATGATGCTGGCAAGCACGCAGAACGGGCTAGACTTCATGCTTTTAGTGACGAAGCTTTACTCGAATTTGCAAAGTGGTGCTACGTACAAGACAGAAGTAGTTTGCGATATATCCGATTTGAAGAAGCCGGTGTCAATGACATGTTGCATGCGCGACCATATCTGAAACCGGGCAGTGAATCACAATAATCTGACGAAGGTTAAACAATGTCCTTACAACTATGATTGGGCGGACAGTGCGGGTCTACCCCCTTCCATGACACGCATTTTTCTTGCGCACTAAATGTCATATAGTATTTCTAGAGCTAACTTAAATATCGGTTTTTGTGCTTGCTATAGATTTAAATATAGCAAGACTCGAAACTTTCCACTCGTCATAACACATGTACGGTACTTATAGATAAAGTAGACTTAGGAGCCTCGCGTCCGTACTGAGAATAATTCTAAGTGTAAAAAGACTCATACTATGTGAGCTTGGGATGATGGAAGTGCGAAAGAGGAAACACTTTTTAGGGAAAGCCCTAATATAGTGAACGACGATAATTCAAACTCAGACGGCATTCGGCGCCAGGCAAGCATTCACTTGCTAATCGGGTGTTGCCGGCTGGGTCTGAATTGCATAGTCATTCAGTATATCAACTGTGCCACTCACGTGCAATAATCTCTTTCCCGACTTCCAAAGTATTTTTGCGTTGAGGGTGTGAAGCATGTGAAGTAGAATTGTGCGGGCGAATGCCGCCTTGCAAAATACTAATGTAGCGGGTAGGCGGGTGACTTAGTACATTTAACCGCCCAATGTTTGGAATTACTCTACGCTGCGAATACTACAGCGGGCGGGACTACAATGTGTAACAATTTATTTGGCAGAGCTCACAAGTATATGATCATACCACACAATTAGGGCGTATACTGTGCCGTCGGTCCACCATGTCCACACTTCGCACCGCCATTTTCAGAAGACAATGCTGCTGCACTGTGGATCCACAATGTGTACGCCCAGAATTTGTACCGCGAGCATCTGTAAGTATTAGCTAATCCACAATAGTGGTTCACTATAAATACTGACCTTGCGCAATGAACAGGTCTTCTTTCTTTTACCACTACTTCGATACGATACCATAGATATCACGGCGAGCATAGACTTTTGAATAGCTCTAAGCATTGATTATAGTACGTAGTATTTGTAAGTTCACTGTAACTCTGAAGGTGATTCTGCAGATCACAGATAACACATGCTAAAACGCGCCGGATCCAACGGCGATGAACCTTCCCAAAAGCGCCTCAGAACTGATCAAGGTGAGTCATAGTATAATGTTGTATCTCAAAATATCGATGAGAATACAGGGAATTCGACAGCACCATCGGCACTGACGGATAATCGTGCATGGGCATTTATGGAACAGTTCCTCATGACCACGATGACGTACTCAGAGATGGAGGACGCGTTTTACATGTACCTGGGCGATCGGTACTCTCCAGATGACTGGGCGGAAGCCAGAGATGCGTTATGGTCCGGTGAGGGGAACTGACGAGGTTTCGTTGGAAAACCTTCTCCGCGTGAAGGACAAATACCTGCCTCGGGTCTCCTCTGTGCCAACAGAAGGTTCTTCCGTGTCCAGATCTGCATCGAGGACGGTCGGTCGCTTGTCAATCTCACGCGTTCGACGATCACAAAAACAACGCAAAAAAGTAAGCACTATCTCATGACTACTAACGGTGTATGCTAAACGAACGATGTAGACTCAAAATAGGTTTCTTCTTCTTGAGGCTTCAGAAGATGACGATGAGGATGAGGAACGGGAGGAGGATGAAGCAGAAGATGTCGATCATCGTGGTGGAACGTCTGCGCGGTCGCCGCCGACCATGCGATTGCCAGGAACGTCGGCAAAAGAGAGATTGGCTGCAACTATTGCAGACATGGTCATCAGGTTTGAAGAGAATCCATCGCACTCATCACAAGGTCGCCAGGGCGTCACCCACAGAGACACCTCGTTTTCTGACGCAATCGTGTCAGCCTCAGGCCAAATGCAGCCAGCTGACAAAAGGATGTATCTGCTTCATGTACAAAGTACGTCTATTGCAAATAACGTAGTGTAGCGCTCATGGTATCATAGGAGCTTCCACTGAATATATCGCCGAACATCTTCGGAGGCAACAACTTCCTGTTACCGTCTCACCTTGGGTAGCAGGCCAGCTTTATGTGGTGACTGATTCCTTCAAGTCCATTGTCAACTCAATTCCTGCATCACATACTCTCGCCCTAAAGGAGTGTCTTCGCATCACGGAGGCAGAACGTGAAGCAGTTGAACGTTCACGCTCCGAACTTCCCAACCAGGCGTGGGTGAGGATCAGGGACGGGAAGTACAAGGGTGATATCGCCCAAGTCTTCAATCCTAGTCTCCCAAATGGTCTTGTCGCAGTCTTAATTGCTTCACGGAACCTCCCCTATCCCGTGCCTCGAAGATCTCAAGCGCTGCTCGAGCGATCTCGCCTTCCGAATTCCAAGGCGGTGTCTGATATACTTCGTGATGGCGCAGTAGTAGGACTAATGTACAAAGGAGAAAGTTACTATAGGGGCCTCCTACTCAAAAACTTCCCCCTGCGATCGTCTAGAACTCGTCGTCTCCCCTCACGTCGATGATATTCATCTGCATCTCCAATCTGGATGGGACAAGCCATTCCTGAAGAAAACTGTCGTGGCGTTTTCCAGCTCGGTTCCTGCGTGTGGGGGATTATGCGAGGGTCATCCAAGGTTCTCTTCGTGGAGAGCTCGGCAAGATCGTCTCGATTGACCATACTTGCGATTCTGTTGGTTTGGAATTGACCTTTCATGGAGGTTTGGAAGACATAGAACTTCCACTCCAGGACTTAGAGCGCGTCTTCCGGGTCGGCGACTCTGTTAGAGTTGTAGCTGGTTCGTTCTTGGGTTTAGAAGGATACATCATCCAAATGGATGAGGACATTTTTCGCATTTGTCAAGCGGTCTCCAAGGAAGAGGTAAAAGGTCTTCGTAATTCGAGAAAAAACTCAATTGTCTAACACTTCAGTGAATAGGTGGAAATTTCAAAGTACTACTTAGATCGGCGTCCGTTGAGTCATGCACTCCCATCACAGCTACCAACGCAGCAATATTTCGAGCCTTCCCCTGACTCCGAATCTATTGAAATCGGGGATAACATACGAGTTGGGGACGGACCACATGCGGGAAAGTTTGGCATCGTGACCTGGATTACTAGTGGATCAACTTATCTGTGGTTCCGCGATGTCTGCACTCAGGACGACACGGAGTCCAGTGGTGAACTATCGAGTATCTCAGTTCCCACAGCATTTGTTCAGCGGACGAACCTCACCCACACACTTCAATACACGAAGGAAAGGGGTTATGACGTCAGGCCAGGAGACGTCGTGAGTGTTGTCCGTGGGCCAGAATATGAAGCAAAAGGGTTCGTGCATAGCGTCGACTTTCCAAACGCTCGGTTGACCCTGGTATCTGACGGTGACCGCTCGCTCGTAAGTACTCTTCATCTCTACTCGAGCATTCCTGACTTATGGCAGGTCGATGTTCCAATGAGATTCGTGGCAAAAATTCGCAATGCCAGCTTGGATGCGTTTCGCAACGATATTGGCCAAGAAGTCTTCATTATCGGGGGCTACCAGAAGGGCTATCGAGCCACACTGTGCGATCTCACCTCCGAGAATTGCACCGTTACTGTGCATGGGCAGCGGCGCACCACGGTTAAACTCCCAGACGTCGTCACTAAGTGAGTGGCATGCCTATTTTTGAGCTCATTTTAAAGGCTAACTACTGTCAAGGTATGGAATGAGGCTAAACGGGGCGATGCTCGAAGGCGCCGAGTTCATCTCGTTCTGTGACATGCGGAAACGATCGTTCCAAGCACTACCACCTCGAAGCATCACCCCGCCTGTCGAAGATGTTCCCGCTTCCACCATAAATCCCACCCCGCTGATCGAAGATGTTCCCGCTTCCACCGTAAATCACACCCCGCCTGTCGAAGATGTTCCCGCTTCCACCATACATCCCACCCCGCCTGTCGAAGATGTTCCCGCTTCCACCATAAATCCCACCCCGCCTGTCGAAGATGTTCCCGCTTCCACCATAGATCCCACCCCATCTTTATCTAGCGCGTGGTCCACTTGGTCCGCAAGGCCAGAGAACACTGATATGACGCATAACCCGACGTCGAGCGTCAATCCCAGCCCATCGACAAACGACCCCTGGACTGTCGATAAGCAAGACATCCAACAGAGCAATGACGCCAGAGTGTGCAAACCGCGAGACAGCAGTAAGTCCTTGACGGAGGCATCAGAATATCTACTTATTTCATTACAGCCCCAATCCCTTGGTTAATGAGCAAGGAGTTTGCCTCGAAGCTCTTCACATATCATGTGGTGTTGAAGGTCTCCCCGAAATTCGAAGGAGGATGGCTAGCCAAGCGATTTGTATCAACAGCTTGTCCTGACCCCTTCTGTGGAGAGAATGGACCCGCACCTGAGGATTGTGTCGCAGTATTCTGCACATCTAATCACACGGGCGCCAAACTCCAACACCGTCATATCCCTGCCCAGGATCTCAGCCCGGCCCCACCACGCAAAAAACACCAACAGTGTCTTGTTCTGGACGGGACTCATCGCGGACTTATTGTAACTATATCAAAGTGTAGCTCCGCGAATCGTACTATCGAGTTCATCATTGCGGGTACCGTTACCTCAACTCTACGTTTCGATCAGATATGTCTAGTGGAACCCTCAAAACATGGGATATAATAGTCCGTACTGTATTTTACACGATTCTCTTTATTCGGAACATCATTTGATTCCATACTGACGCTGTTTTTACTTTGGCCAACAATGTTTTTCATACATGCCCCACTATGTACTTACATACCATATATATAATCCATGTGCAACGCCACATCATACGTACTACGTAACATGAACAATCACAATACAGTGTCCTATACCACCAGTTGCCACTTTGGCCCGTAGACTGTACCGAGATTGTGCGAAAGTTGTTTACAATACCTGGCAACCAAGTGGTATCGAGTTTGAATAGACAACTTCGTACATACATAAAAAATTGTCCCACAGTAAAATATTGAGATTTCGCGAAAGACTAACTATCGAGAATGACTCGGAGGCGGTCATATATAAATGAGTAATATGTAGGTATAAGGTCCTGTGGTGTAGCGGTATGTGCATCGATGGTATAGGTTTTTCGGCCAATGACTCTGGAGTTCGAATTCACGATTTTGCATTGTTAATTTCTCGGCGTTTTTTTTTGTTTTAAACTATAGCGCCGCTTGCAGGGCTGTTTCCCAGTTCTCAAATAGCTCTCAACAAAACCTCCAACACAGAAACTTATGGTATATCAGAGCTAATTTACACGTCCATGGTAGGAGTCCGTGGGCGGTTGTGTTGTGGCATGTTGTGCCATTAGCCAAAAGTAGAAATTCATGTGTGCTTGCTCTTTCGGGTGCTGCCGGCTGAGTTTGATAATTCAAAGTCAATCACTTTATAAACCCGCAGTGGTTGTTACTTCGCCTCTTTTTCCATTCACTATCCCACTACATTAGCATACTTAGTGTTGTAAAGCGTATATAGAATCCTTGTAAAGCATTTATCGAATCCTTGTAACGCGTATATCGAAGGTTTATAGTCGTTGTGCAGCCATAGTGTAAATTAAGCTTTTAAGGCTACGAAGATGTAATCATGTACGAGCGCCAATGTGACATTGGATAGTCGCAGTAAACTAAGTTCACGTGTGCTGGTGCCGTACACCAATGCTTCAATGGGGAAGCACCAGACTGAAGGTGAGACGACCTTCCGTCCATATGAAAATTCTGATCCGATGTTCAGGTTACATCCTTGTCGTCCGATCTCGCATCAGCGTAAATGGTGCGCTTGGTAGTCTATTATCTTGGTCTAATTGCTAACTAATCTGCTATCATATCCGTACCCCAGTGCTGCCACATATCACAACTAACAGCAATGGGAATATGTTTGCCCATGTCCATGGAGTCACCGCGATGACAACGTGAAGGACAGTTGATCTCTGAAAGGGAATGAGGGTAGGAAGACGCATCTAATTGTGAATAGATACCTCTCCGCGGATAATACACTGCAGGTATGTAGACTCTCCCAAAAAACTTCTCACATTCACTAATAGGAAGATGAGCCCATCCGCCGGTCTTGACATACAAGAAGCACACTTACAGCATATATCCGCAATTGCCGGTCGCGCATTCGGCAGTGTATTCCCCTCTAGAAATCCCTGTGGCATGCTGAAATATTGAGGTCTCGACATAACTGCCGCCCGTGGCGCAAAGGCAACATGGGTAACGAAATACATGTGCCTCACGATAAGTCGCGAATTGAGAAGGGTGTATTTTCTGCCCGTATTCATCGGCCGGCCTGTAGCCATGTACCCGTGAGTGACGAACAGCTTTTCATCCCAATAAGACCTTTACCATTGAAACATTGTCAGTTTCCCCTGTTTCAGCGTGGTAATGCAATATGCCATGGCGGCAAATAAGGATTGCCACCAGCATCTTCAGGACGTTCGGGTCGACTTTGAATTGTGGTGGTTCGAGTGTGGAGCACTCAGAAGATGGGGAAGACGGTGGGGACATTTTGCGCACTACAAATCATATGACTGAACACGCAACATTTATACAGCTATGCGGTTATGTCACCACATTTGCATTTGATCCCTGCGCCAATCTGTCAGCGTCTCGCCTAAAACCCTGCCATTCCGCATTGGCAAATCACGCTATTCGCCTGAACGACAGCAAAATCGCGCTGTTCGGCTGCAATTCTACCCTCGAATTTCCGCCTCAAATTCGCCAGTGACAGACTCCTCGGCCCATGCCTCTATGTCAACGCCCGGTTACGCCTGCATATGCAAGCGTACATTCACGGCGCAGAACCACTTCATTCAACATCAACTGATCATGCTCCCACACAAAAAAACGCCTTTCTTCGGCTATGTCCTCGCTCAAGGAGTTCGTAAGCCGCAGGAAAAGGACGCGCACAGTAGACGATGGCGCTGGACCTCGATCGATCGATGAATCGCCCAATCGATTGGCCAATTTGCCCGCAAACCACTTGGCATCGGGGGAAGCCAACGCGTCCGTTGTCATCAACGCGGCCAATGCCACTGTTGCTCCACCCATTTCACCGTGTGCTTCTGCGGCGGGGATCGTCACCGGTGATTGTGAGGTAGCAGAAATTGAAGAAGAAGAAGGCATGAGTTTGGCACAGCGCCGACCGAGACGTCAGAATCGCCAAATGCCAAAGCGATTTAGAGACGTACTTCCTGTACCTCCGCCTACTGTGCCAGCGGAAGTCCGAGAGCTACCTCCAGCATCAGTTGGTGCAGTCGTCACGTCTGACGAAAGCTCAACCTTACCGTCGCGAAGTATATTCCGCACGCCCCCCAATATATTCGGGCTAGTGCGTCAATACTTCTCCTCCACACCACCATCCCACGATCCGGAGGAGTATGTCACATTGGCAGACCTCTCCTTTATACCTGGCAGCCCTCCAGTCGATGAAGCATCCGACCCACCTGCTGCTTCAGTCAGCGACTCCCAGTATCATCCCTATCCAAACCGAGCTTCGTTCGAACTCGGTGATTGGTACTGGAACCAGGGGATGCAAAAGTCTCAAAGGGACTTCATGAACTTAGTAGGTATCTTGGGCGACAGTGCCTTTAGCTGTGCCGACGTGAGCTCCACGCACTGGAAGAACATCAACTTCCAACTGGGCGTCAACGAGTATGACGAGGAAGATGGATTAGAGTGGGAAGACGAGGATGCTGGTTGGCACAGAATGCCAGTGTCCATCAACGTGCCCTTTTCTCGTACCACTGACACACCAGGGCCTCGGGTCTACCAAGCCGCCGATTTATACCATCGCTCCCTCGTGTCTGTTATACGGGAAAAGATTGCCAACGCTCGAGATAGCAAGCTTTTCCATTACGAGCCGTACGAGCTACGTTGGCATCCTCCCCACCTTGATACTGAAGTCCCCATATACGGAGACCTGTACACGTGCCCGGCTTTCCATGAAGCCCACAGCAAACTCCAAGAATTGCCCAGGGAACCTGGCTGTAATTTGCCCCGAGTTGTAGCTGGTCTGATGTTCTGGTCTGACGCTACGCAACTGACTTCGTTTGGCACCGCCAAACTGTGGCCTACTTATATGTACTTCGGCAACGAGTCCAAGTACCGCCGCTGCAAGCCATCGTGCCATTTGAGCAACCACGTCGCATACTTCGAGACGGTACGCCTTCCAACAATGTTCTAGTACTGATTGCCTAACCCTGCACTGTCAGCTCCCCGACTCATTCAAAGATTTCATAGGTGGCAAAGGCATGAGTTGCGAGTGTGCGACCCACTGCCACAGGGAACTGTTTCACGAACAATGGAAGATATTGCTGGACGGCGAGTTACTGGAGGCGTACGAGCATGGCATCGTCATTCATTGCTGTGATGGCATCACACGAAGATTCTACCCTAGGATCTTTACATATTCAGCAGATTATCCTGAAAAGTACGTGGACTTGTCGTGCTCTTCATCGTCAATTCTAATTTCACCAGGGTGCTTATAGCTACTGTTCGAAATCTTGGAGGCTGTCCATGCCCGCGTTGCCTTATACCTAAGGAACGCATCCAGAACATGGGGATGCCTCGGGATAGGCAACAGCGCGAGACTATGATCCGAAATGACAAGGGAAGACAGACTCAAGTAAGCACTGCTCGTTCGTTGATCTACGAACAGAACTTGGCGGTCGGGAGTGCAGCTGTGGAGCGTATTCTGAAGCCTCAGTCCTGGGTTCCTACATCGGTGAGGCCTGAGCATCCATCGCCGACGCCGACAATCGCTAACCAACCCATAGAATTCATTCATAGATCGCCTTGGTCCGCTGGGATTCGACATTTTCAAAGCCCTCGTAGTTGATCTCTTACACGAGTTTGAGCTCGGCGTTTGGAAGATGCTTTTCATTCATTTGTTGCGAATTGTCGCGGCGCATGACAAGGCACTTATCCACGAGTTGGACCGGAGGTATGTGACATGATTGCGTCACCCATTCAGCTGACTTCCCCGCCACAAGATACAGGCAAATTCCTACGTTCGGCACAGCAACTATCCGAAAATTCTCAGCCAACGTTTCGGACATGAAACGCATGGCGGCCCGAAACTTCGAGGACCTCCTCCAGGTATAACATCATTTCCATCGAAGTCAGGATGGGGCTGACGCAATCTAAGTGCTCTATCCCTGTCTTCGATGGTCTTCTCCCAGCCCCGCACAATCGTGTTGTTCTGCAGATGCTATTTACCATGTCGCATTGGCACGGACTAGCCAAGCTCCGCATGCATTCTGAGTTGACCTTAGAAATCATGGACAAAGTTACTTCCGCAGTTGGCGAACAGTTTCGCGCATTCAAAGCTACAGTTTGCTCATCTTACGAGACACACGAACTTCGCCAGGAAGTCGAAGCTCGTACCCGCTGTGCCGCAAAGCAATCGGCAAAGAAGGACAAGGAAAGCGCTCGCCTCTTAGTACAACGGGAGGCGCTGGAGTCGCCGATATCACTCAATAACGTGCAGCGTAAAAAGGTTTTCAACTTCCAAACTTACAAATTTCATGCTTTAGGCGATTATGTGTCTACAATCCGTCGATATGGCACGACTGATTCGTACAGCACCGAACCAGTCCGTCCTATAATATTTACTCTCCGTCCTTGACTCACTAACCGCTT